GTCCTAGCGCTTCGCCGCGCGGCCCAATTAAGCGAAATCACTCAGTTTCTAACTCACGTAAAAAGTATCAAAATATACTCAGAAAAAATAACTAACTAATGATTTCGATAGGAAATTTCCTCAGCTTTCCGATGGTGTGGTCAGATTTTCCGAAATTTTCCATTTTCCCCGGAAAAATTTGACATAAAGTTTAAAACGCAAATATCTCAAAAAGCCCATTTTTAAGATTTTTTTAAATAGTCCCAATCGAAAGCTGAGGAAATTTCCTAACTGTATGCAAGTTTTCAGAGTGTGCAATTGATTATTACTTAGTGAAACACAGCTGTGAACATCGGGCGCTCGGCCGCGCGGCGGTATGACGCCAGCCGCCGCGCCGTCAGCCATCGCGCGGCACCCACTGCCCTATTCTTGTGTATGACACGACTCTAATTTCTCTTTAAAAATTAAACAAATACATGATTTCGATGTATTTTTTTCTCAGCATTTCAATGGTGCGGTCAAATTTTCCAAAAATTTTCATTTTCTCCGGAAAAACTTGACATAAACTTTATAACTCAAAATATTCAGTCGTTTTTGAGATAGTCAGTTTTATAGAGTTCTCGACGATTTTCCCGGTGAAAATGGAAAATTTCGGGAAATTTGACCTCGCCATTGGAAAGCTGAGACAATTTTCCATCGGAATAGAGTGATAGTTATTTTTCAAGGGGCACTTAGGTACTTTTCCAGCGAGTTGAAAATTAAACGATTTTTGGAATTAACGAAAATTTTTGGAAAATTTGACCGCAGCATTGAAATGCTGAGAAAAAAATACATCGAAATCATGTATTTGTTTAATTTTTAAAGAGAAATTAGAGTCGTGTCATACACAAGAATAGGGCAGTGGGTGCCGCGCGATGGCTGACGGCGCGGCGGCTGGCGTCATACCGCCGCGCGGCCGAGCGCCCGATGTTCACAGCTGTGTTTCACTAAGTAATAATCAATTGCACACTCTGAAAACTTGCATACAGTTAGGAAATTTCCTCAGCTTTCGATTGGGACTATTTAAAAAAATCTTAAAAATGGGCTTTTTGAGATATTTGCGTTTTAAACTTTATGTCAAATTTTTCCGGGGAAAATGGAAAATTTCGGAAAATCTGACCACACCATCGGAAAGCTGAGGAAATTTCCTATCGAAATCATTAGTTAGTTATTTTTTCTGAGTATATTTTGATACTTTTTACGTGAGTTAGAAACTGAGTGATTTCGCTTAATTGGGCCGCGCGGCGAAGCGCTAGGACACTTCGCATGAAATGCCTCATATACTTCTTGGTGTAAATAAAAGCAAATAGTTATAGTTTTCTGCTTTTCACTTCATCTTCAAAACACTTAAGTGTAATATCATCATGGAAGGCCATTATATAAAAAATGACGTAAAAATAGTCAATGATCCTCGTTGGGTAAGTTCGTACTAATAAGCATACATTATCTAAATTTACAGGTCATTTTTACATATAATTTACAGCTGAAACTCATTAAAAACCCTATAAACCCTTCCAAAAATGAAAAAAGATTTCAGAAACCCCCACAAAAAACTCGTGCTAAAAAGGATGGTACAAGGATTAAATTACCAGACCCAACAGCAGAACAGTCTTGCATCGATTAAAGCTCGTAAAAGGTAAACAACTATAATTGTTGTCTGTTGCTTTCCTCATTTAAGATTTAATCTTACACAAGTCCAAGACTACATGTATTATAGTTACTTTTCTCCTCATCATCATTGGACTGTTCGTTGTTTTAATTTTTGGACCAACTATAAGAACATGGTTGACTTCCACGATGTCATACGTTCTTACATATATTAAAGAACTGGACGTTTCTTTTAAAGATTATTAAAAATTTCTACAAACCATGACGTAATAGTATTTCAATTGACGTATTATTCAAAATAACAGTAATAGTTTAATTGAGACTTTTTATAATTTTGAATAATCCAGCAACGAGGGCAACAAAATCATCATAATAAACGTTGACTAATTTTTGAAAATTACTAAACATTTAAGAACTATTCATGTGTATTGAATTTTTAACAACTTTAATAATTTATGTAGTAACAATTGTCGTAAACGGATAAGAGCTGTCGTAGAATCATAATACAAAAGCATCTAAAAAAAATTATTTTCTTATTCGTTTTATTTGACGCCTTAGCCGTAGAAGAAAAAGACTATAAAAATAATTTTTAAATTACTATTATGATCTTACAATAAAAAAATGTATCTTCTGGTCAGTTATCCGAATTTTCACTCTGGACGATTAAGACGAGTCTTAAAAATAAAACTGAAAAGTGACATTAAATCTACTCTTGATTTTTGATCAAACCAAATAGTCATCAGTTTCGAGAGCAGAATATCATGTACTTTAAATATTCACTTCAAATGAAAATTTTTGAACTGTTTTTAATACATCAGTAATTTTGAGATACTGATATCTTCTGATATGATAGAGATTTATAGATATTTGAAAGTTTCAATATTAAATATTCTATATAAAATCTGATCGCGTATAAAATATTTCACAGGCTTTGAAAAACTTTTTATCCTTTCTATTATATTATCTTTCTCAAATACAATGATCGACTTTATTCCATGTTAACCGTTTTCCTCTAATCTTTAAATAAGTTTTCTTATTATGAGAAAATTACTTGTTGCAGGAACAATAGGAGGATGAACTAAATAAAATTCTTATTAAAGGGTATGACAGTAAAGTATGGAAGCTTTTGAAGAAAAGACGTGCAATAAATTTCAAGGGTAAACAAAGCAGTAATAAAGTAAAGAAATATTTAGTTAAATTTGTTATGGTAAGATAATGTTTTCTAAAATGTAACAAGCAAAGTTTAAAATTGTTATATTAGAATAAAAGAAAGTAAAAACACCGGTAATAATGCCATAAGTATGCTTTTCGTCCGTATAAATATAAAATAACTGAATAGGTGATAAATCATAATGGCTTATTTTACAATTTTTGAAAAGACTTTTTTGCTTCTATTGTATCAGTTTTTCAATCGATAATGTTAACTGTCTATATTTCCATCTTTTTTCTCTAAAATCTATTTTCAAATAAGCGGTGCAATTCGATTTTATTTAAAAATGCTACTGGTACAGGGCTAAGTAATTTTTGTATTAAATACTACTAGTACCGAAATGTAGTTGTGAAATGTTAATATCAATGTCGTTTACCTTCGAATAATAATGATTGTATGGATAAAAAGAATTTTGTAATTATGAGTGGTGCAAGATAAATATTATACTTTAAGAAAATCCTTTGCGAATTTATCGTAATAAAAAAATAGTAACTCACTGCTTGCGTGGATTAAATGAAAATAGACGGTGTTCAAACGGCAAAACGCGTAAAATGCAAGCTCGCTGCAATAGGGACGCGTTCTGTACATCGATGCCTCGTCATCTACACGCGTTTTGAATTCCTGCGTCCTATCGAGGGATACTTCCCATATGTGTACACACGCGCATCGCAAAAGGGGGTTGACGAACGCTCGCAGCCGGCAGCGCAGTGACTTTTATTGCTCAGTCGAATACATAACGTTTTAGCCCTTATTCGCGCGCGCGGAACACAGACGCACCGCGGCGGCATATTCCTATTGCACCGAGGAGACATCACGTGCGTTATGATGCTTTTTACGCCGTAGAAAAATGTTATTGATGTTCCTCGCCTGGAATGAGCAATTTTGATTCGCATTCGCATATATGACGCGCTCGTCTGCATTCCTCGCGTGGTCGCCTTTTTCTCTTTTCTTTCGCGCTGATTGCAACCCACACGAGGACCAGTATCAAGGATCGGTGCTCATCTTTTTTCGTCCCTCGCGCGTCCAAGCTTTTCTGCACGGCTAATTACGTATTGCCTCGTCGAGCTGTATCATTCATGTTTTATATCGCACAACGACAGATCAATTTATTGGTTCTTTTCTGTCGACAAAAATGAATATGGCAAAATTAAAATACTTTTTTGTACATTATTTATTTTGTATAATTATGATAAAAGTATATTTTTGATTTACGGTTGATCGAGCTAAAATGAAAAATTCATAACATTGAAGCAAGAAAAATTTACGATTTTTAATTAAAATATACAGACAAGTTAATACAAAATAATTCATTCTTAACCTTTTTATAATACCATCATAGAAAAGAGAAACCGAGGTTCTCAGATTTCAAATCTCACATAATGGTCTCAACATCTCTGTACAAGGTACATATTTTAATATCAAAATGATCTTTCACACTTTTTTTGATCAATCAATATTACATCATACATACATTTTTTCTCACACTTAATTATGTAACAACAATAGTTGTACATTTATTAAATTTTCACTCTGTTATTCGAACAGTTTTTCATCGTCGATTTATAAATTTTCTTAAACAATACATTTCCACACATCTCCAAGTGATGTTCGAATACATAAAAGTTATAAAATACTTTAAAGCACTTGTTTCAACTATACTTGATTTCACTGAAAAACGAAGGATGTAAGCAACGCAAATGACGCTTAATGTTAAACTTTGATTTCGTCTTAAAGTTACAATGGTCGCAAATAAACATCGGTTCCTGATCACAACAATCTTTTCTATGTCTTAAAAAACTCTCTTTCAAACTAAAAGACTTCATGCAAGCTTTACAATACAGCGACTTTTTTTATTAATTACGCTATGTTTACGAGTTGTATGTATCTTGAGACTTCGTAACGCAGTAGTAGAAAATTTTGAAACTCACTGCTGCTAGCAGACACAGACCAATTTGTGACTCTAAATTTGACTCGTGAGCGTAACACTGGTTACATTTCTTGCACGAAAACTTCATTAATAATTTCTGTTATTGGTGATCGAGATTTCTATGTACACATTTTATGCATGCACCACACACATTTATTCTTAATAAAATAAAAAAATTAATAATGATTAGTTTCACGAATAAAAAAAACATATATGTTTGATCAATTATTTTACTTACTCTTTGATGCTTATTCACGGTTGCTATGTTCATCTAGAAATTGGTTTTTAATACTCATATATTATTATTTTATACAGACTATCGAATTCATGCCATAAAATTCTTAAACTTACCTTCTGCAATTTTTGATGTGATGTTTCGATCTTGATTCAACACGTGAAGCTTTGTATGGAATTTAAGAGTCGATTGATACTTAGTTTTAAATGAACAAATATTACACGTTAAATCTCTAGCTTTTCCACACAATTTCTGATGCTTCAATCTTGTCGAATGTAGTTTGAATTTTTTTCCACAGCCCTTAGAGCATATTTCTGATTCAATAAATTTCACTTTTGGAAACGTTTTTCGAACATGAGATTTTTTATTGACAATTTCATCATCCTGGTCGCCAACCCTGCATTTACCCTGAATGTGACAGCTTATGCGATTCGTTAAAATATAACGGCGTTCACATTGGTGGCAATTAAACATTAGATTAATATTGCAGGTGTTACAAAACTTTTTATAGTTACTAGGTATTTTTGTAAACTCTTCTTTACAATTTGGGCAGTAGATCTTCAAAGACCTTGGAACTCCTATTAACATTTACGTTTTGTAAAATAACATATGATTTTACATTTTTTAAAACTATAATACTCACTTATTAAAGGATTGGAATGATCAGATTGAATCTTTTTACTAGTTTCTTCAGCTAAAATTTGGTTTTTGAATTTAGCTAAAATAAAAATATTTTATTGTAAGTTGAAAATTCGACTGTTAAAATTAATTTAACAAAATCATACTTTTTATTTCAGTAGCTTTTTTTTGCACTTTATCTAAGATTTCTTCAAAATTTGTTTCAATAATTTTATCAGGATGATCATTTTTCAAATGCCGAATGACGCTAGGCTTATATCTTGCTGTATAAAAGCACAATGGGCAATGATAAATTGGTGGTATACCACATTCATAGTAATGCTTTTTTAATCTATTTTTATCCATGTATGTTCGATCACATTTTTTACACTTTACAGGTTCTATTGACACATAAAATATTACCAAGTTATTCATTAAAAAACAATGTTATTTTTGTTTAAAAAAACTTACCATTTCTATGAAGATGGACATCTTCTTTCTTAATTTCATAAGGGTGTATTTTTGAATCTTCGAATCCTTTAAACAATCATGACATAAATATTTATCTTTTTTAATGAGTACATTTTAGTTTTTCAAAAACTTACTATTGTGAAAGTGATTGTGCATTGGTAAAAGATTCTTTGTACAATTACTTTTTTTAATAAGATGATTATGACTAGATTTATTATTGCTGCTACTGACGTTGCTCTTCAATTCTTGTAAAGAAACTAAAATGTTAATAATTAAACATTCAATGATTTTAAATGGTCAATTAAATGCTAATTACATTTATTATTCAAGCTTGCATAAACGATACTTGTTTATTACATGAAGCTTTTATTTTTAAGAGTTGTATCGTAACATTTTTACTTTTGAAATTCAGGCGAAATTTAGATAAATCTAAAAAGATTCCACTTGTATTTAAATCTGTTAATTACTATAAGACGCTTAAACTTGTAAACAATATATTACTGCCCTACAGAGTAAGAAAAACAAAAAATTCACAGGAAACATGTAATTAGCACGTGCTCCGAGCCATTATTTTTTTTCTGGGTTTAAGCCTGTTTATGATTTTTTGTGACATCGCAATCTAAAGTAATATTTTGCTTTCGCCGGACGAAATCGAAAAATTTTTTACCTTATTTGTCTCGTAATCTACTAGCTACCGCTTTTCGCAACGGGAGGAAAATAGTCATTTTCGAACTACTGGTATGAAAATAACGATTATTAGAAGGCTGAATTCTCGAAAATTTACCGAAAAATAACTATTATCTCATTTTTGAAAAAATATCTAATGATTAATTACCACTAGTCTATTCTATAATAACGAGTAATATCGATTATATTATCGATTACAAGTTTAAAACATAGAACAAACGATTCAAAATAAATTTATTTCTAAAATAATTCACGCATCTCAAAAATAAAACTTTACCTTTATTCCAACAATTGTTCGTTTCAGGGAAATCTTCTTCGCTTTTGGAATCAATTCTTGAATCATCTTCAATACTTTCTAAAAAATATATCATAAATTTAATGATCATGAACTGATATTATCAAAAATGAAAATTTATAAATATTGTAACCTTCACTATCATCATCTCTTCTTCGAGAATATGTATGATCAAGTAAATCAAAAGTGCCAATGTTCATTCCTTCATTATAAATAATAACTTCTTCCGTAACTTCATTAGGCTCTAAATCATATTAACAAACATGTGAATTGAATGTGAAGAAAATTACACAATTCAAATAAGAGTTAGAAATTGAAAATTAAATAAAATTATCAAGTTGTATGGAAAATTCTATATCTACGTTTGAATTATCATTCATTCTCTGCGATATTTTAGACTTATTACAGTCATCAGTTAATTTATGTTCTGAATTTAAATATATTTTTTATTCAACTATGAATTATCTGTAAACTTTAATTATAATTTTTAGTACAAACCAGTTAAGCTGTTATTTTTCTCAAGGTGTGGCATTGTATTTTGAATATTATCTCTATAAACCTCATTCTGTTTTGAAGTTTTTGTCATATGACTAACCAATTTCTGGTTTTTTGAAAATTTTGAATATCTTACTACTTTTGAATGATGATTTTTCACATTTTGGGTATTCTCATCTTTAATGGCAATTTATTTTGTAACAGAAAATAATAATGTCAAGTGTATATTTAATATAAATTTTTGAATGTAAATATAACTACTTACTACTGAATTCAGATTCAGTTGAAGAGTTTTGTACATTTTGTTCATCAGATATGCTGACATTTGAAACAGTTGATTTAGTATCCGAGTTTTCATTTAATAATTCATCATTTTTATAAAATGAATTTTGATGTTTATTACTTTGTTTATTTTTCAAAGATTTTTTTAATAATTTTAATTCATTTAAATTTTTACTTTCACCTATAAACTTTGAATTATAATAGTTTTTGATAATTGGTGAGTCAGATGATTGTTCAATTGGCTTCTCCTTGTTTTTACTTAAAATAGCGATTGCTTCACTTAACATTTTCAATTGACAAAAAGGATCAACATGATCCACATTTGATTTCTCGTGATAATTCTGAAAACTATAATTTTTCGATTCTAATTTAATCGAAGTTACATCAAGATGTCCAAGTTCTTTAATTGTGGAAAGAGGGACTTGTTTTTTCTGTTCTATTGGTTTTGGTCTTATTTGTAATGCCTCCGTAAATTTTTCAAACTCACTCATTGGTTTTTCCTCAATTGTTGAATTAAAGTTTTTATCACTTTCAGTTGATTCTAAATTTAATAAGCCGTCACGGTCAACTTTTTCAGAAGTTAAAAGTTCATAATTGTCACATAATTTTTTATGCAAGTTACATTTTCCATCAGGTAATGGTCCTTTCGGGATGATTTTGGCTATGTCTTTCACATTTACTTTAATTGGTTCTGGAGACTCATTACAACAATTTTTCCGAGCAGTGATTCTAATTTTAGTAGGAGATATACTTTTTGATGTAAAATTGATATTAGATAAATCTGAAAAATTGTAAAATTTTAAATTGCAATATGAACCTTTATTTATGAAAAAAAATTGTAAATACTAACCACTGCGAAGTTCTGTACTGGCACTTTCTACATTTTCATTTTCAATTTGATCTTCACAAATTTTCATTTCCTCTGTTTTCAATATTTCTAGATTTTTATCTTGTACATTTTTTATTGGTTTTTTTTCTGCAACAAATTATGATTTTAAATTTTAACGGCCATTTTATTTTGGTTTGAAAATTATTGAGTTAATGATTCATTGATACCTGACTCATAACTTTCAAGTTCCATTTCTTTTGATTTAAAATTTTGATGTTCATTCATAACTAAATTTTTATCAAATGAATAAGTTTTGTTTTGACAACTATCATCTACATCTTATTTGAAAATAAAAATTATATTTATAAAATCTAAAATTATGTTTTGAGATACATCTTTGAATACAAACCATAAGTACTAGTAGACTCAGTTTTTTTTTCAAAAATGAATTCACAATCCACATCTTTACTAATACTTTCGTTTAATACATGTTTTTTATAAATATCATCTAGTTTTACATCATGATTATAAGTATGTTTTCCAAATGGAGAAGAGACCTGGTCATTTTGGAAATTAAGTAATTCCTGTGTTAATATTTTTTCCTTTATTACGGAAGAGCTGACCGCTATATTCTGAGCAATGTCAAAATTAGTAGTTTTCAGTGTTTTTTCTAAAACGCATTTAAAGGAACTATAAAAAAAACTATAATGTTCAATAAAATATTAGTATTAATCAAATATTTTTTTTAACATACTATCGATTGAGTGAATGTTTAGATCATCAACTTTATTAGAATTCTCATTGAAAATTAATTCTTTTTTTTCTACACATTTCTTTGTAGAATTTGCTTTTGATAATCGTTTTCCATCCTTTTCTGATTCATTTTCGTTAGTTATTGTAGTAACTAAAACATCACTGCAGGCTTTTAGTTCCTCTGAAATTGTCATATGATCTATTCTAAAAAGTTCATTGTCAGTTCGTAGACTTTTGAAATTGCATTGATCATCCCAATCTTCCAGAATTTTCACAAGCATATCAGATTTATTTTGGAATATCAAGCTACTGCTTTTTTCTTCTGTAAATTTCTCCATATTTAGCTTGGTATTTATGAATTTTTGAGGCGTTTCTAAAAATTTAATTACATGTATTGTAGCACAAAAGACTATAATTTAAGTGTAATCACTAACCAGGCATCAGCAAATTTGTCAAGTTTTTCTTCACCAGCGTAGTTTTTTCGCCCAAATTTTTACAACACGATAATTTTCTAGGAGATCTTCTCCGAAATAAGTTTAAATCATAAGGTTTATCCAAAGTAATAATTGATTTCACTAATGTTCGTTTTTCATTAGGTTTTAATGGTTTTTCATTGACTGAAACTAATTCTACGAAATTTTGAACGCTGTTAGTTCGACAGTTCTTTCGAATTAGTTTCTCATCTATAATACAGAAAATACAAATATCATAGTACATTATTAAATTACTAAAAAAAATAAAATTTATCAAAAAAATGATTACCTTTAGTCTTTTGAATTTCTTCTTTTTCGCCAAGACTTATTTCTGTATCAATATTTGTGTTTTTAGTGGATTCAAGTTTTAATAAATTTCGTTTTTTAGCTATTACTTTTTTTGCCAAACACCTATTTTTATTGTAATTTTGTTCAATAACAGCAGCTTTCATGGATACCCGTTTTTTAATTTGAAAGTTTTTATTTTTTTTCGTTTTTATTTTTACCAACAGAGGAACCAATTCTTTTATGAGAGGCATTTGTTTACTATTATACGTCTTGAATCTTCTAATTACTTTTCTTACACTTGCTGCATCAAGAGCTTTTACTGAAAAATTATTATTATCATCATTTATTGTGATTCGCATTTTTTAAACATTTTTGATGAATGGTACATACTGAAACTTGATTCATCTGAGATATCATCATTCTCATGAATTTTTATTGTACTCATAACATTTTCTGGACATTCTTGATCTAAGTTCTTTTTTGACTCATTAATTGATTGGGGTTTACTTTTACTATCTGTAACTAAATTTCCAAAATTCTTGATGTTTTCTTGAATTGTTCTGCATTCTTCTTTGGGTTTATCTTTGCTAGCTAAAAAAATATTTCGTAAAATTAAATCCAATTAAAGTAAGTAAACTAAAAACAATTTACCACAATAAGATGCATTAATAAACTTCAAAGGTAACGATTTAACATGTTCATCTGACAATCCATTACATTCCTCTTTAATATTCATTAAAGGCTCAACTTTCTCAAATGTAAGAGGAAAATTTAGTGATTGCTTTTCAATGTACTCATTATTTTGGCTATTGTGAAGTTTAAAAGCTGATTCATAAACTTTTTGATTTCTTTTAATATTTTCATTGCTTTTGGTGCCTTTAGGTGATGCAGTGTAGAGTTTCTGACTAGAGATTGAATTAAGACAGGTTGAATTGAATGTACTTTTTTCATTTGATATTTGTTGTATATATATATCTTTAGAATTAACATTGTTTAAATCTGTATCTGTAAGAATATTTGAATAAATAAAGGTTCTATATTTAAAAACTTTTATATTATAATGAACTATCTGACCTTTATCACCAAAAAATAAAGTTTCATTTTCTACAGCACTTGATGAACATTTATTAAAATTTCTATTTTTTTTATTTTTATTTTTAACAACATAATTCTTATTTGAATTTGATTTATAACTATTTTGAGTATGATCTTTTGAGTTTATAGAATAATCTTTCAGCCTTTTTACACAAACCATCAATTGTTTATCTATCTTGAAGCTTGATGGTAATGTTTTTTGATTTTGTGATGATATACATGGAGTACTATATAAATTCATATCACAACCTACAGATTTAAGTGATATTAGGTAAGTTTTGTCAAAAAAATAATGTTATTAATATGTTTTTTATAATACTTACAAGATGGCAATTGATCAAATACATGCGGATCGGATAAAACTTCAATTTTTTCAGGTTCAGAAAGAATAATATCTTTGGTTGAAGATAATTTAGATTCAACAGACAATGTTTTTGACGCTGCTTCAGCATCTAACTTTTTTCTTGATTCATATATTTTATCAGAAATTTTCCCATTCCTACCAGACACTAATTTATTGTCTGGAAGCTGATCTTTGAAATTTAGAATAGGATTTTTCGTAGCAAAAATATCTTTTGAAATTGGTTTTATTACTACCAAAGGATAATTTTTTGAAATATTTTTTAAATTAGTTTCAAGACCAGTGGTTCTCTTTCTTCCATTAGTTTGTAGTACTTTTTTTGAAGTACAGTTAGTACGAATTTTATTTTTATTATCTTCTTTCACTGATTTTTCAACTTTCTGATGTACACGAGTCCTATGCTTCAAATTGTGTGATAGTATTTTTTCAGGATTTTTTATAGTTGTTTCTTTTTTCTGGTTTACATTATTTCCTGAAGTAATTGCATTAATTTCATCATACTCAATAGAATTTTTTTTTTCTAATAGAGATATGCTTCTGAATGACTCAGTAGCTTTCTCAGAAACAGGATCTGTAATAACTGAATTATTATTGTTTAAAATATCTTTTATGTAGGCATCATTATTTTCATTATTTTTAATATATTTGTTTTTTGGCAATCTTTCTAAAACCACTTTTGTTTGCAAAATTTTTTTACATATATTCAATGATTGTTGTTGTATATGTTGAATAACTTGTTCTGCACCTGGTTGAAAATTTAATTTATCTTTTAAGGGTTTTTTAATATCTAATTTATGCAGTTCTTTAGCTTTCTTTTGAGACTCTAATAAATTAGACTTAACTGTTTTCATATGTTTTTTTTTTACATTTTTGTTGATTCTAAATAAATTCTCTGGTTGAGTAAAACCTTTAACTTTCAATGATTTTTTTTTTGATTCGTTCACTTCTTTTTGATATTCTGAATTTTCCAAAAATTTTGAAGTGGAATGAGATGCATTTTTCAAACAGATTTTATCAGCTTTTATATTTGTTAAACTTGTTTTATTGTCAAGAATAGACTCACTATTAAAAGATATATGTTTCTTTTTTAATTCAGATAATATTGCACTGGAGCCTGAAAAATTATTAAAATTTACTTTAAATTTTCAGAAATAAAGCTGAATCACTCAATTATTCATACTATTTTTAAAGCATGTAAGTTGAAACTTGCATGTTAAATTTTATATGTTGCACTATAGACAATAATTTCAAATTTTAATCATAAGACATAATTTTTTCAAGCATTTGTAATTCATATAAAAATCTTACCCATAACACTTTTTTCATTGTTATTTTTTGAAGTAATCTGGTTTTTAGTTTCATTATTTTCAATTTTTAATCTTGGTTCTATAAAAATATTAGTTTATCAAGTTTATATTTCATTTACTCCTGACAACTATTAAAAAAATTATACTCACTGGTACCAATTATGCTCTTGAAAGCTAGAAAATTATCTTTTTTGGTTGAACATGATATAATTTTACTCATTGATAATCGCTGTAGTATAACTGAAACATGAAGGCATTTTTCGATAGTTTATTATCGATTAGTTTATTATTTAGAAGTTTCAAGTCAAGATTTTAATTTTACCTTTAGGTAATTTGTCTAGTTTACTTGAATTAATCTTAGCATGGTCAATTTTGTTCCCTTGGTTCTTTTTATTTACATTTAAACATTTTCTAGCCTTATTGTTAGTTATTTTATCGTTATTTTGCTTGTTTTTTTTTACTGATTTAGGTACTGAATTATTATCACTGTTATTTACATCTAAAACAATTCAAAATAGCAAGTTCAATCAATTAATATCAACAAAAATTTTATTAAGATCGTTGGTATTATAAATCTCTGTTCAAATATCTTTAATTTGTAACAAACCTTTAAAATTCAACTTAACAGAATCATAGTCTTTTAAGTAGTTATCATCCACTAAAAGTATTCTTTCTAAGATAACTGTAATAAAAATAATACAATGAATTAAAGTCTTGTTAGAGAAATAAGTAATTAGATTGAATTTATAATTTTACCTCTGGAAGAAAATGGGCAGAGATGTTTCTTCTTTTCCAATAAATATTTGCTTTGATTTTTCTGTTTTTTGCCTTCAAAATAAGCAAATTCAGACATGATTGACATACAATAAATTCACAAAAAATAACAAATTATTAAAAAAAATTGATACACTATCACCTATTAATGATATTTCACACCAGTGTTATGTAAAAAAAAATAAAATACAATTAGTTGATTATTAAAACTACAACATTAACTCTCACTGTAGAAATGATTACAATATGCACAAACAAAATTTATAATTTCATAAGGAACGGACGTTATAAAATTTCAATAGTGTGCTTTTCATCCATAACTCAAAGAATCATAGAAATGCAAAATTACTTTAGCCAATCTAAGGTAACAATTTAACCTACCGTAGCTGTCATGACTTTCAGTATAGTGTTTCCGATTCATAACTATGAATTGTATAAACTTTTTTATAATTATTAACTACAGGCGATTAATAATTCGAAATTTCATATCTGAGGACAGCAACTGATGATGATTGTTTCCTAATTATTCTCGTTTTATGGAAGTACTATGATCGCTTAGCCTGTATTGTTTACATAAATTCACTGTTTTTTCTTTAAAAAATTGTCAGTATTTTTTTTTGCAGGACTTCGCACTTTTAGAATTGTCTCAAGAATTCATCAAAGCTCCGTCACATTAGCGTGGGTTGATTTGACTAAAACGTGCTTTTATATGCCAATTTTAAAACTGTATGTATATACATGTAATTGAGACCTATGAGTAATATTTTACAAGTTTGCAAACTCCCTTACTGACACTGTTATTATGGTAAAGAGTACAAACTACAGATTTTTATTCCATAACACACTAGTTGTCAGATGGAGGTAAAATATCAACTGTGAAATCAGCGCCACCGTGTAAGACCCGCTGACTATCGACTTCTCAGCTATAAACGAATGAATTAATTTACATTACCATTATCCGAACATATACATTTCTGTAATACCACAGCTTTTTTTTCTTTTTTCAATATTTTTATAGTAAAATAATAAGAATGAGTAAGGAGTTTTCATTGGCTTTAAATAACATGAAGGTTTTTGATTTGAGGATTCTGTAGATATTCTTTATTTTATTTACAAAGTTACTGTACAATTTCATACCTATGTATAAATAAAAATATTTTTATGTATAATATCAAGTGAATGAATATTACAATAATTTAAAAATTTTTACTAAGTAGTCATTACAAAGATTGAAGCTCAGTAGGTTTTATTAATTCATACTTTTCAGTTGAACCACCCGATTCTAGAAGTTGATTGACTAATTCATGAGGCAAAATTTTTCTGGATATAGTTAAGATTCTTGATGTCTTTGGTCCATAACTTTGAGATTTCAACCCCATTTGTTTAGCTACTAGATGAATAACGTGCCTTTCTTCATTTGTAAAACATGGTGAGAAAACCATGTCAGTTGTTATCTGATTTTTCACATAATTTCGTAGAACTTCTGAGCATTTTTTTCTAAATGCTCCAATATTGTATGTTCCAACCTTTAAACCAAGACCTTCTCTGGTCACTTGTTGTTGTAAAGTGCTACTAACTGGCTCAACCATTCCTTGAGATTTTTTACCCAAACCGCCACCTGACCAACCCATCATTTTCATCATTTTAGAACCAATATTATCGGAATTGATGTAATCTGAAGCTGGTTCAGATTTTTCTTCCAAGTTGACAGTCGGGGTCAAGTTTTTTGTAACTTTAATGGTATAATATCTTTTCTGCATTTCTTTAAGAGCTGCATCACATGCTTCAACTTTAGCATCTTTTTGAGTTAAACCTACACCTTCTGCTACTTTACCTTTATTAAACAATAATGTACATCTACACTTATCTTCAATATTATCATACTTCCATTCCATAACTACATTATTGGTTTGAGCTAATCTTGCAATCATAGTTGGAGCTTTTTCATTTTCATATTGGTACAAAACGATGTCATCTGCTGTGAGTGGTTTGAAAGTATATCTCTTTTTTATTTGAGACTCTGAAGATATTGCTTCTATATCTGTATCACTTTTTCTTTTAAAATTAGTATACACAGATTTAGGACCATTATTTTCTGTTGAGCTTCCAGCAATGACTGTACTTTGTGATTCTTGTTTGAATCGTCCTGTTGCAAATAAAACAAAAGATAAATAATTGAGTAAATATTTCTTAAAATATGATTAATAAGATGGTAGAAATACTGAGAAATATTTTACCAAAAGTTATGACTAATTTTACTAGTCGTATCAATTTGTAACTTTCAATAAGCAAATTAAATTGTTATATTCAAAGCAAACATGTTTGCGACATATTCAATGACCTAAACTTAAATGGTTCAAATAAACTCACAATTTCTTTTGATACCTTTGGCCTTTGAGCTAGCAGCATCAGAAGCTCCAACAAAGGTTCTTTGCAATCTTGTTTTTTGCTTTTCTCTGTAATCTTGTACAACATCCTTCGATAATTCAGCCACGGTACGCATTGTTTCTTGAGGATACCTACATCCAAGAAATTCTACGTTTGTAAAAACTTGAGCCAAACATATCAATTCTTCCTGTTTAAATTTGTCTTTATGAGCCAAGAGAAATTTTCGCCGCAGTTCCCAATGTTCATCGCTTTCGTGCTCTGTTTTGAAATTTTCAACATTTTCTTCTGTTATACCACTCATTCTTATCACAATTTTGAGTCAAAATAAAAAAAAACTGTACATATAAGTATTCAACGAGTCAAAGAGTAAATAAAAGCTACATAAATATCACGGTGCAACAGTAACACAAAGCTGAGCTGTAGCGTATACTGGTATACTTCGAATTTCGATATTTCAATATCTTTAGAAGGTTAGTTTAGAATTTGTATACAAGACAGATGCTCCCCTATTGGATAAAAAGTGAACTACCGAATTGATGACAAAATGTCCCGTAAATGTAGCGGGGATTTTTAAATGTGCTTATAATTCCAAAAAATCAAATAGAATATTAATTAATAAATTAAACAAGTATTGAAATTATGATTTTTTTTAAATTTTCAATAATAAGTTACGTAAAAATATTAAATATGATTTAGTATATTCTTTAGAATATTACAAAAATACATAAGTAATTAGAATTTCGATTAAATATCATATTATATTTTATCGATTAAAAGCTGATAATTTTGAGATTCACAGCAATTACCTTTTGATTGAACTTTCTCACCACTTGTAAGGATTATACACTACTACCAACTGTAGCATGTTGAATTAATTTAGTATAAGTTTGTGTAGACTATAGTAATTTTAGATTTTAAATAAATTATTATCAATTCTAAAATTTGGCTTTCTTGATTAACTTTTTATTTTGTACAAAAATTACTTATTTTTAATATATATTTATGTAAATAAATGGTTAGTAATTTTATATGAAATTATAAAATAATATTACTTAGTCTTTTATAGAAAAAAAAACAGAATATGACTGAACTAGTTTAGAACTTTACTTTATGGATTCATCAATTTTAAGTGTCAATGCTTTTTCTTTTAGTTTGACAAGAGTCAACATCTCTTGAATGCTAGTGCACCCATGTTGTTCGAAGAATCGAATTGCATCATTAAGTCCATTGATTGCTTCTCTGGCAGTTAGAATTTTATTCTCTTCACACATATTTTCTGCATCTATAACAATAACAATCATTTTTTCAGATTTAAACTATTAAAAATATAAGTTAAAAAAAAATTTTGAATTTTCTTACCATCTACTAAGTCTTCATTGCTTTCTTTAACAACAATTTCAATTATATTGTTTTCATAGGAGATTCTAGAAGTTTCAGGATTGTCTGAAATCCATTTGGCAGTGTCTTCTCCGCTAACATTTTTTAATTCATTTATTCTTCTTAAACATTCAAAAATTACTACATGACTTACTTCTTGTTCTTCTGTTTGATTTTTATTATTTTCTTCTCTATCAGTCAATAACTTTTGCCAACATTTTACTATTGTCTGTGGCTTTACCTCATCCCAGGCATTACTAACCCAGTAAATAAATTGTCTTAAATTAATTTTTTGCAAGTGTTCACTCAAGCTTAATCCATCATCTTGAGCACTAATGATAGATTTTAAGAACTTGTGTTCATAGTTGTATTTTACACACTGTAAAGTTTCATTATCCATTGGTCCAATAACTGAACTGAGATTGTGAAGTATTAAATGTATTTGCAGCTCACTAGTTGGTCTATTTTGAAAAGCATCAGCTGGTACATTTTCAGCAATAAGTATTGCTTTTAATGGTAAATTTTTGGATTTCAAAAATTCTGTTACTCTAGGAGTAAATTCAACATCAAACCATTCATTCAAAACATCGCTATCTATCCATAAGCTTGTCTGATGTGAATAAAAAATAGGTAAACATTGTTGAAGATTAATCAAGGTTGTTGATTTTACAGATTTTCCAAGAATCACAAGTGGTAATTTCAGACTTCCATCAGAATTGCAACAAGTCATTATGGTAATACGATCTCCAACAAATCTACGATTTGGCAGTGATTTGTAATTTAAAATAGTCTTATCACATTTAAATATTTGACAGCGTAATAGAGATTGTTCTTCCACAGTATTAGAAAGAGTCATAGTAAGTTGATTAAGAGCACTATCTTCTGGAGATTTATGTTCTTCAAAAAGTATATCGGGTAAACTATATTTTTTTTTCCAATGCGTAAACCAATCATTACTTGCTGTAAAATTGTCTTTGCCTCCAAGAAGTTTATTTAGTTCCAAAGCTTTTTCTAAATGAGCATAAGAAATAATTTTGAATTAAAAAGATATTTGATCAGTATCAATTATATTTTATTTGTTGATAATATATATTAACAAAGAAAATTATGAACCTCTTATCATAAGTCCTGAAATCTGCATGTCTTCTTGCTTGCAATGGCTATACCAGGCAATTAAAGCTTCTCCAACGTAAGGATTATCATCCACTCGTAGTTTTTTGCGACTAGCAGTTTCTTCATGTAATGCATCTCGAATTTTTTGTTCATCATGAACCCATCGCCTAAGTGTACTTTCACCAATACCATGTTCTTTACGTACCTCTGCTTTTGGTCGACCAGCTTTAACATCATTCAATACCTGCACTTTTTCTTGGAGGGAAAAATTTTTTATTCTTCTTTTGGCTGTTGAATAAAAATCATATTGACCAATGATCTGAGTTAGATTTTTTTTTAATATTTGAAAAATTTACCAGTAGTGTCAACTGCATTTTCTATTTGTGGAAATGGAAAATCTCCTTTGAAGAAAAATTGTTGTAAACCAACTGTATCATTGTTATCTATAAATAATTTTCCAATGATAATCAGTGTAAAATCAGTGAGTTAATACAATTAATACCTGAATTGTTTGCATAGAGAGTGACTTGTTCATATTTTTCTGCTTTTGGAATATTTGTACCAGAAAATGCAGACATAGTGTATTATATTACATGTAAACGTTTTTAAGGAATCCAAAAGATTAATTTTTATGTTATACAATTATAAGAACATCAGTCAAACGATTTACAATAAATTTTATTTAACAAATAAATCTTCGGCAAAAAATGAAATGTATTCACATGCTCTTATTTGACACATAGAATATGATTGTTATAGATGCGCTTTTGTTGCGTTCGGTGTCACTACCGAGTAACCTAAAAATAATAATAGAAAAGCTCGGGCGTTTCAACTTTCTCCACGATTGAATGTTACCATTTTCAATAAAAAATGTCGTTTTTAATAAAATCCGAGTATAATATTCGAAAATCTTTAATAATGTATTCATATATTATAGTAGTTCAATGGGTTTGAAGGCCTCAAGCACAAGCCGAAATCTCAATATTTACACGCAAGCATTTTCAAGTGCTAACTTGAGTTTTTTACCGAAATGCAATGAATGATTAATACAAATGTAAATTAAATAAATAAAACAACTAAAGAAAATTCACTGCGAAACACTCAAAATTTTGCTATGTTCTAAGGCTAACAAGTAAACAAACAATACGAGACAAGTGGGTGACGAGAGGGTGATCCGCGAATCGCGTTGTTGTGCTACTGCAGTCTGCATTCTGCATTATTATATATATAACATATAGCCGGTACGACATCAAGATGCGGATAACTTGCTTATCGACGATTATTTGTGGTGTTTTTTCCACATATTAATTTATATCATTTTATCGTATTGGAAATATCGAATATTTAGTAAAAAATTTCGCCGATAGCCATTTGGTATTCTATTTGCGCGTTCAAAGTAATGTCGTTAGAGTAAAAAAAATCAAAACCTCATTGTTTGTTGCAATTTATTTTTGATTGAATATATCTAATTAAATATTACATTATTTACTGCATGTTTTTTATTGTTTCATTGCTTTGAAGTAAATAGTGAGATCTGCAGCTTGTAATTCTTCAATGTTCATCTCAGGGTCACCACCACTGATCTCCCCAGATTTAATTAACTATGTCCATATAAGAGTGACACCTAGCGATACTAGACAGCACACAAACGGTATATTAGTAAAGTATTCACTGTGCTCCTCAGTGCTCTGCACATCACCTTTTACGAAGAGAAACTAAGGAACAAGCAGGTTATGTGTTTGTAAACCTTAGAAGTATACACACTTTCTTGAGTGAGCCAACTGTTCGGACGAGTCGAGAAGCTATACTTCAACTGGTTATAGCTTTTCCAGAGATTCTACCTCTCACTGATCTTGGCAACTCAACGATGCAACCTTGTAACGAGTTGCATTCCAGTGCTAGGTACGGATTATTTTTATTATTCATTTTTTTCTTGCTCTATTTACAACGATTGATCGATTACTTTTAGAGAAAAAGTGAAAATTACTGATTACTGTCCATCAAATGATTGTTATCCTATTAGTTTATGAAGGTATCAAGTATCAGTACAAGGAATGTCAGAGGACATTTGGGCAAACTTTTTTCTTAAACAGCATATGAATACTTTTGCAAGTCAAAAGAATTTTGTGCAAGAAAGTAATTTCAATGTGCACATGAATACTGCTCATGAAGGTGTGAAGGCTCATAAGTGCGAGGTATGTCAGAAGACATACGGACGAAGCAGTAATTTAAAGGAGCACATGAACACTGTTCATGGAGGCATTAAAGCTCACAAATGTGAGGTATGTCAAAAAACTTTTGGCCAGGTGGGACATCTGCATGTGCATATGAACACCGTGCATGAGGGAATCAGAGCTCACAAATGTGAAATATGTCAAAAAACATTTGGACAGGGAGGTCATCTCAATGTGCACATGAATACTGTTCATGAGGGCATCAAGCCTCATAAATGTGAAATATGTCAAAAAACATTCGGCCAGGTGGGTCATCTTAATGTGCATATGAACACAGTTCACAAAGGGATAAAAGCTCATAAGTGTGAGGTGTGCCAAAAGACATTTGGTCAAGTTGGTCATCTCAATGTTCATATGAACACCTTCCATTGAAATTCACAAGCTCAAAAATGTTTTATTTATTCTAAAACTTTAAATAAAAAAAGCTTTTGGCAGGTACAAGATTTTTAAGAGTCATTAGATTAAAAACTGATAATATAAAAACTTAAATCAAACCTGAATTTACCAATCCCTCTGTACTAAATTTAAAAATGTCTTTATGACCAGACATGTTAAGTGAATTAATACTCTGAAAGATAATTAAAATGATATAAGCAGTATCATAATGGGTAAAAAGATTTCTAGTATTATATTCTTTTGGAATTATCAAAGACAAAATAGCATGCAAATCAGTAAAATATGTAAAATTGAAAAAAATTTGTTCGACGATGTATAATTTTTTATAAATAATAAATATGAATAAGTATTTAAATTTCAGAGTTGCAATGTAATCTACTTAATTTATATTCAAGTTTTAAGTGTCTCTTAATGCGTAATTATTAATTTTTATGACCCATTGCTAGAAACTAAAGTGAATTGCACTTTATCAAATTTTATTAAACTTTTTATAAAAATCGTCGATTTTATACATATCATTAAAAAATCATTTTGCCACAACTTATAATAAAATATAATCAAATGGTTCAACTGGCAGCATAAAAATAAACACACAATTGACAATGTATAAATTATGAATTTTTCAGAAGTCTTTAGCTTCTTCCTCACTTATATCAGTAGATTAGAACTCAATTCAAGTCAATCAAAAATTATTTGATTTTTTTATTATATACATTTATTGCACTAATGTGGCTGACTCTTATTAACTTTTGATTGTGTGTTCTAATCTTACATGTTTAGAAAATTCTCTTTTACTATTGAATTCAGTTTTGCACTTGATGCATCTGTAAGTCATGCTGGAATTGCAAAGCTTGCATTTTGCTCTATATGTTGTGACGAGATCATTTCTGACATCTTTACAAGCTGTACATATTATTTCTGCATCAATATTCGATTCATTTGAATCTAAACAAATTTAATTTTTAAGTTTTATATTTTTTCATGGTTGATTGAAATACTCAGGTACTTACCTTCTTTTGTCACTTCATCCAATAAATGATTGTTATTCGTTATATGATCTTTCATGTCTAGCTTACTGTGACATTTGAATGTGCAAAATGGGCACTTATAAATATTCAAGTTACTGATGCATATTTTTTCGTGCTCAATCATTTGGGTGTAAAATTGGCCACACTTAAGGCACTTTTTCTTACCATCAACTGAGTTGCTCGATAAATTCTGTAGAGATCTTCGAGATCTTATTGATTCGTTTGCTTCGACTTGCAAATGTACGGGTTCTGAACGTCTCGTGAGGCGGTGCATTGCGCGAATGTGATGATTAATTCCAGTAAGTACCATCGATTTGAATTGGCACTTGGTACATGAATAGGTAACTGAAAATACAATTTAGTTAACATGAGTTCAATTTATGCATCATATTTTACCTTTATTTTTTCCTGAGGAAATTTTGACAAAAGTGGCTTGTTTCGTCGAGTCCAGATTTTGATCGTTTATTGATTCATTTTGTTCCGCTCTAAGTTTTTCACTTATTACATCGTTTTTCTGAGTTTTCTTAAGAGAAGACCTTAGCTTTTTCGTTGTTGCCGTAACCGCACCTTGTTTTGCTTCTGGAATAGGAGAAGCTGCAGCCGCGGTAGCTTTCTGAGTTTTTCGTGGCGGAACTGCCGTCGATTTCGAAATCATTGGTTTGGAAATCTTCCTCTTTTTTTGGGCCGCCCGACGCGACGACGATGCGAAATTCTCGATCGATGATGTATTGATCGCAGAAGCAGTCTCACTTGGGTCCACGTCGTCGTTAAGACCCTGGTCATTTGGCTCGTTCAGCTCAACTACAGTTCCTTGGCGCATCGATTCGTCAATAGATTCATTTAAGCTCCTTGTACGCTTGGAGCTCTTGGGTATAATTAGTTCGGATGCTAGAGAAAAAAAAATTCAATTGCAGCGAAAATAAAGAAATGGGCAAGGATAAAAAGGCAAAGACGACGCACGAGTGGGACTGTTGATCGGTCGATTCGTCGAATCGTTGTCGCTGCTCGGCGAAAACGATCGTGTCTCGTCGCACTCCGAGTGGTGCGTCGCGTTGATGTGATTGAGCGTCTCCTCGACCGTCTCGAAGGTTTTCTTGCAGATGAGACACTTGAAGGCCATCCTGGAGTTGCAGTTCTGGCAGGTGATGAGGGTCTCGCGCATGACCTTGCACGAGTTGTTGCAGTGCTTGCAGTGGTGAACGCAGAGCCGCTTGATGCCCATCGCGTCCAAGGGCTCCGGTCGAGCGATCATCGGCATCTCGATGTGGTGAAAATCCATGGCGTGCCTCGAGAGCCCGTAAAGGCTCACGAACACCATGGCGTCGCAGAGGATGCACTTGCAGAACAGGGCCGTGCCGCACTGCTCGCAAAACTCCTCGGGTCCGCCGAGGTCGTAGAACGTGCTGCAGGTGATGCAGCACTTTTTCAGCAGCTGCTGCAGCACCGACGATCTCAGCTTGATCTCTTGTCGTTTGGGCGAAATCGGCGAAATTTTCAGCATGTCCGGCATCTTTTGAATCGGAGCCGGCTCTGTGGCCGGGCGCACAAGCCGTTGTTCGAGCGGATCTCTTGTCGATCTCAGCTTGATCTCTTGTCGCTTGGGCGAAATCGGCGAAATTTTCAGCATGTCCGGCATCTTTTGAATCGGAGCCGGCTCTGTGGCCGGGCGCACAAGCCGTTGTTCGAGCGGATCGCTGCTGCTATACTTACTCGTCGATGGCTGGACCGGTGTGCCGACCGGGCTCGGAATCTTCGATCTCGCGAAATTTCGATTCGTTGTTTCGTTACGCAGGGACTGTCTCGTCCTTGCTTTAATGGATGGTGTCGAGATGCCGTTAAACGTATTCGCGCTTGTTTCAACATCGCTTGCGGGAACCACACAGGAGTCGCACTTCGTTTCGTCCCCTAAACAGTTCATTTATCATTCGCTCGATCGAGCTGCAAAATTCAAAATAGGCTTTGAAGCATCGCTAGGTCAACAACGTACCGTCTATGCAAAGATTTTGCATGTATTTGCATGCCCTGGGCACATTTCCGGTGGAGGATAAGTCGTCTTCGTCGTCCTCGACTAATTAAAATGATATTTTGATTAAAAAGGGATTGCTATGAATTGAAAAAAGGAAAAAAAAAATTCATCACAACTGACTTCTGAGGGAAAAGTTCGCGCTGTCATTGATTATGTTGAGAGTAGGCATCGCTGGCACGTCGAATTCATTGATCGCTGCAAAAAAACGTGATTTGCTTTCAATTTACGAGATTCAATAGGCTCAACAATTTTAGTCACGTTACCCTCAAAGTTCGAAAATTCTACGTCGTCGACGTGTACTAGCATCTCGCCGGGCGTCAAATTCGTGGTCGCCATTGTCCCACCCGTTTCGTAGCCTATAAAAATCATAATTTACCAATGTAATTGTCAGCACTCTTTATTATCGTATAAACACAGCCTGCGTTAACGCGCAGCCTACATCAAACACGTACTCTCACTACTCTCTTCTATGATTTCTTCCTTTAACTCTTGTTTCACGACTAGAAACATAAATAAATTTCCTTTGTAATCTAAAAATCACTTAACTTACAAAATTAATTCGCTTATACCTTTGGCCCTCATTTTTATTTTCATGCTAGATTCTTAAAAAATATTTAAACGCGTATTAATACGCGAATTTTTTATGTATTTATAAAGAACTATTAATTGAAAATATTCACGACGAATTTTACTAATGACGCATGAACACAAACCGAACGTTGACTAAATAGAATTATTGTTCGAGCAAACGTATACCCAAATTCCAGAGTCGAATGTAAATAATAACAACTACAGTTCATATTCCCGCTCGACAATGGGTAAAATTTAAAATGACCATTTCACACTTATCTCAGGGATTATAATTTATTATTTGATTCGTGTATACATAAACATATATTTTTGCAAAAACTAAGAGGCTTGCAAGACTACTACAAGCTAGCCATACTTTTAAAAAAGAAAGTATGTGCTTAGGCCAGTAATTTGACTAATTAATATTATTATGCTTTTCGTTCAAATGTTTTTTTAGGCGTGCCTTATTAACGGCAATAAAGTCGCACTCGGAGCAGCAGTTTTGAGATATGTCTCGATTGCACGAGCAGTGCCGAAGATGAAATATCATCGCTGCATAGCGTTTAATTTGTTTCTGGCATCCGCTGCACTGTAGCATAGTTTCGTTTTGGCAATTTTTGCAAATTTCGCTTGCAGAATCTCCAGTATCTTTACATTTATCGCAAAAACGTCGATACAGATCTTCTTCCGCGACTCTTAATTTATTCGTAGCTCTGGCTGCCGAACGGCAGTCGTTCTTCGTCAAACGTTGACATCTTTTATAGGAACTTTTCTTCCGCTTACTTTTATTGCAGTTTTTTTCATGATTGATTATCGAAATGAAACATTTATAAGTTTTTTTGCATTTCAAACATCGAAAGCAATATCTTGTTCCACAACACGGGCAGACTTTATTCGATTTTGTTTTCGTTGTAACATCGGACGTGATTTTGCAATTTGAACAGTAACGCAAAAAACTCGATGAATTTTTTTTAATAATTTTACGCGTCGACGAATTATTTTCATCAATCAATTTTTTGTGTGAGTCATATTTGACATTGATATTTTTATGCTTTTTTATATGTCTCACGGCAATTCTCCGAATTTTCGTAACAAAAGAGCAATAATCACAGTAATACGATTTTTTCCTAATGCATATTTTGTTGGGACTAGTTGGACATTTGAACTTCAAATGATACAGTAATGTGTCATATCTCGAAAATTCTCCTTCACACTTCACACATATGAAAATGTAATTATTACTACAAATTTCGCAGACTCTTTTATTCTTGAAATTACTATCTATAACTTTGTTGCATGCTTTACAATAACGTTTGTACAAATCTACAAAACTAGCATAAGAATTCAACAAAGCTGGGTGTACACAAGAATTATTAACTCTCTCAATTCTGTTTTTAATTCTCTCAGTTCTATTTAAATGCCTCTTCATATGTAATCTGTAACTGCACTGATATTTTGTTTTAAAAGAACATAAATCACAAGATAATGATGTACTTGCTCCACAATATTTCTCATGCATCTTCAAACTGTTGAGTGTTTTTGCTATTTTCCCACATTTTTTGCATTCATTCAACTTGACTTTAGGCTCACATTCAATTTTTAAGTGATGAGCTATACTCCTCAGATTTTTATATTGGTTTTTACATTTAGTACAATAAAAGTCTAAGCGTACATCACATTTCTCACAATTTTTATACTTTATATTTTCTTCATATGTTGTAACATTTTTGCACACATCGCAAAATAATTTGGCTATGTTTGAAAACACTGAAATAGTATAAAAATATCATACATAGATTAACTTATTTTAATGAATGAACAGTGTTGACACTTACAAATCATTTTTTGGTCGTTTTCCACAATGATATTGTAATCGTTGTTAATGTTAATTTTTTCATGTTTCATCAAGTGAGTTCTCAAAGATCCTATGAATTTTGTCCTGTATGGGCAATGTTCACATGATAAATTTGGTTGCTTGCCACAATATTTTTTGTGGACTCTTAACCACTGTTCTTTTTTATATGTTTTGCCACATGATGAGCATCTCAATCTATGACAATTGACATGTTTTTGTAATGAATTTTCTATTTTTGTAGTAAAATCACATAGTTTGCATTTGTATACAATATTTCGCTTACAAACTTTTTGTTCAATATGATATCTCAAACTATCAAAAAAATCATATTCTTTGCAACAATGTGAACAAATGAAGGTTACATTTTTATCACAAATTTTGCATTTTATAGTATGTTTTGAAAGATCTTCTTCCACTCTGTTGCAATTTTTGCAAAGAAACAAAACTTTCAAAGTGTTTTTATCCTTTATAAATTTGTTGACTTCTAGATGCCATTGAGGTTTCGAATTAATTGATGATTCTCCTGAAAGATTGAAAATAATTACAATATAATATTTCCACAATGAAAGTTTAAATAGTTTCAATAAGTATGGGTTTCGGAAAAGTGTATTAGTTTTTCATTAATTTCCGGTGCGATCTATAACTGTAGGTTTTCGTTCAACAAAGCTCGTCTGCGTGATTTATATGCAATTTTTTTTTGCCAAAGAACTTGGCAATTTTGATAAACTTAGTTTTCAGAATTTAAAATTTCAAAATAATATACCTTCTTGTACGCTGATTAGTTGATGTACCTCAAATAAATCGATATAACTTGAATTATTTAATATGTCATCTGGAATGTTATTGTTAACACAGGGTAATACATAAGGTTTTTCTTCTATTATATCTAATGAAAAATCGAAAATTTCTTCTTTTATTTCCAGAACTTGCATTTTCAAGAATTTTGTACTTCGATTTAAACTACCTGTTACAATTACGTTTTTAAAAAGTTTGTCTATCTATATATTATGTCTGAACCTCCATATGTATAATCAGTATTACACTTTTTTATGACCTAAAGTTTGAGTATACTTTGAAATAATTAAGTGAAATTTAAAAAAAAACATGATCAAAGTTAGAATTATCAAAGCCGCCACAATGATATTTGAGAAGTTGAAGATGTCATTTGGGTAGGTTGATATGACGATATCAGAATATGATGGGAATACAACAGGTTAGATTTTAAGGGTGATTTCATACGGTTTTTTTAGTCTACAAAAAATTGTTGAAGACAATCTGGGTTCCAGAGGTAGAATGATTTCTTTGACAGTAAACATGTCCTGGATGGAATGATTTCTGTCTAAAATGTTTTAAAAAATTTAAATTAAAAAATCCAAGCTGTAGTGACACTTGATCATTTTTGCAAGCTTACCCGCGATAATTTGTGTTAATTTAGTATTTTTGAAAATAAATTTTTGGGAAGATTGCAAAGATAAAATTTTATTGAAATGTTTTATTAAATTGTTGGTACTTTTTACTTACTAAATATCAAAAACACTGGTAAATTTCATTACATGTAAATAATTAATATCAATATAAATTATTGTATTTAAAATAATTCAATATTTCTTTGTTTAAAATATACAATAATAATCTACCACATAATTTACATAATTCAAAGGGTAAAAAATATGTACAGTTTTTAAAATTTTGACACCAACAAGCAGATCAGATAAGATCGTCAATTATTTTTTATAAGTTTTTTTTTCACAAAAAAGGTACCTTAGTTTTGTGTGTAATCTCATGAACCAAAACCAATATAAACAAAATTTTGGTTTTGACAAGCACAAATTATAACAATACCTGCCTTGATCATGAAATGTATAATTACACAAACTAAGGCAAAAAAACTTTCCAAAGCAGGCCGATCTTAGTCATACAACAAGAAAACTTGAAATTATTGACTGATGACTGAAATCTACCTCAGGCAGTGTTTTACCTTTATTCATGAAATTATACATTTTACTATGTTATGCAGTGTTTTTTTTGTGTGCATTATTAAATTATGTAATATCTAATTCGAGAAATACTCATTGTATGAACAAATTCAAGACTTTTACACGAAATTAACCAGAAAATTGGGAGTACCTTTACTTGTAAAAAGTTCTTAAACATTTTAAAAATCGGCGTTCCAGATTTCTCTTCATCTCCTTATCCATCTTTCTTGAATATTAGAAGTTTACGATGATAAAATATTAATTAATAATAATAATAAGATAAAGTAAAATTGGTCATTAAACTTCTTCATCCACGGGTTCATCTGAAAAATCAAAACATCATTTTTGTATCACTTTTGCATTATATTACAATATTAAATACAAGGAGAATAATTTGTATAAAACCTTTAATTTTTATTTTGGAATCAATTAAATTTTTAGAACTCTGCTGGCATATTAACTGATGATCTTCAAAATTTTTGTTGATTGCAAAAGATTTATTACAACCTGGACAATGTTGAACAGGTGAGTTCATGTGCTCTTTCACGTGATCTCGTAAAGTCACAAGAGAAGAGCTTTCTAAATTACAAACTTTACATGTAAACTGCAAACTAGATTTGCAAAGATGACATTTGGTACGACCCTGCATCAAAAATCGCTGTTTTTCACACCTCAGGCAAGTAGCCTTTACATAACTTTTCATGCCTGAAATAAATTTTTTTTTTAATGTAAAAATTAATTTTTCTAAAACAAAGATAAAATAAAAAATCGAGAACACTCTCTTCACATAAATCATAAATAGGATTTTAATACGTACTTTGAAGAGCACTTCGTTTTCGCTTAGTTTTGACCGAAAATCGTGTTCTTGCTGGGTTATTTTTTCTAAAATTACTACCACTTGAATGTGCTGTAATATGTCTGGTTATTGTTTTTTTGTATTTACTCTTGAAAGGACACTGGTCGCAAGAAAATGTAGGCTGAATACTGCAATATTTCATATGTTTTTTCATAAGATCAAGTGTTTTAAACGGTTTAGTACAATCAGGACATTTATGATAGTCTGCCGGATCGATATAAGTATGTCTAAACAAGACATGATGACGCAAAACATCTGAATTCTTGGTACTGTAATCACATTCAGTACATTGATAAATCTGAACCATATTACAATATGTTTTTATGTGGTAAACCATTTGACTATATTTTTTGGTTTTTTTGTTACAATTATTGCACATGAGCACCATTTCAGTCTTGCATTGTTTACAATTTTTATCATCTTTAAAAGCAGAATTATTGAAAGCAGTATCACATTTTTCGCAATATCTTTTGAAATGAATTCGTGGACCTGAAAGGAGTAGAATCAATTCAAAATATTTGTATATTACTATATTAATCTTTTTTACGAAGGTTGAAAAAGAAATTTCTTTCATACTTTCTGCATTTGGGTTTCTTGTCCGCATAACTGTTCCTCTCTCATGACTTTTTCTATGTTTCTCCAAAGCTAACGGGACTTTGGTTTCAAAATCACAAATATCGCAGAATAAGCTAGGTTTTAGCTCCAAATAGTGCTTACAACTGCTTGTAACGTGGTAAACCATAGAACTTTGGTTGTTCGATTGTTTATCACATTTTAAACATTGTAAGATATACTGCGTTTTACACACTTCACAATACTTTTCGTTTTTAAATGCATTGTTAGGAGTGAATGTGTTACATTGTGGACAGTAGCGATTAAATTTGTTCCATGATTTAAAGTCTGTAAAAGAGCACATAATATGTAGAATTATTTAATATTATATTTTAAATACTTTTCAATTAATTTACCATCTTCAGTATTGCCTTCTGATTGGTCGACGTTCATTTGCTTATTCATATGCGTTAATATATGAGATCTCAAATTTTCTTTTTTATTTGTTTGATAAAAGCAGTCATTGCAGTTAAAAGTAAAATTAGTGCCACAGTATTTGACATGTCTACTGTACCGTCCATGTTTTGCTATAGCTTCACCGCATTTCGGACAGACATTCATCGTTTGAGTTTTTTCGCAGGTATTTCTTGCATGATAAACCATATTTCGATAAGTCGGAAATCTTTTATCGCATTTGGCACATTGCAAAATATATTCAGTTTTACATTTTTCACAAAATTTCTCATTTTTGAATGGGCTATTTTCGACTGTTTCATTACAAGTACTACAGTAACGAAGGAACAATTGTAAAAGAGCTGTTGGAAAGAATTGCATGTTAATGGCGATTGAACAACAATAAAAAATAAATAAATGTTAACAATACATACATGTATTTGCTCTACCATCATTGAAACTTTCATCCATTGACACACTTTTTTGCATATGACATTGGCTGTGATTTTTGAAACTTTGTCGAAATTTAGTTTTGAATGGACATTGCTCACATTGGTAATGAGCGGCTTTTCCACAATACGTCATATGTTTTCCTAAAGTTACTGGGTTCCTGAATTTTTTACCACATTTTGAGCAATCTTTGGGAGAATTACTACTAAAACAGTAATTCTTCACATGATAAGCCATTTTAGCGTATTTGTCAGTTTTTTCTTCGCACTTTGAACATTGCCATATGTAATGAGATTGACATTTTGTACACCACATTACATTTTTGAAAGGAGAATTTTCAACAGATTCATTACAAGATGGACAATAACGTTTGCAAAACATCAGAACACCTGAAAAATTATTTTCATTTTAAATTTGAAAAAATTAATAAAATAAAAAGGTTAAATTATTTACTTACCACTGCTTTTTTCAGATACATTTTTTCGAATTTTAATTTTTCGTTCATCTATTTTTGTATGACTGTGCATATGACGAAGTAAACACTTTTCATACTTAGTTTTATAAGGGCATAATGTGCATGTTATATTTGCTGCAACGGCACACCATTCATAGTGTCTTTTTAATGTTGCATAGTTTTTCAAGATTTTTCCACAATTCAAGCATTGATCTACCACCACTTCAGGAACACCACATTCTTCTTTTAAATGACAAACAATATCATCAAGCGACTCACACTCTGCTGTACATTTTAGACAATGCAACTTTAATTTTGTACAACATTTTTTACATTGTTTTTTGAATTTATTGTTTTCATCTTTAGTATCTTCACAACTTTGACAAATAGCATAAAATAACAATGATAAACCTGAAAAAAAATATTTTAATTTAACATTAAAGTAAGAATTTTTAAATTTGCTCAAATATTAATTGTGATTCAATTACTTACTAAATTCATTTGATTCTGAAGGAGGTGGTAAGTCCAAAACTAGTAATAAAAATGTTTAATTTAATGATTTAATAAACATTTATATGAAATAAATATTCAAACTTTGTGGTATGTACCTGCTTTATTTTTAACCCTTTTTTCTCTTCTTACTTTAATCTGCTCTACATGCCGCAAAATGTGATTTCTGAAAGCCCTTTTAAATGGTGTTTTAAAAGTACAATGTTCACAAGATAAAGTTTCAACTATGTTACAAGTTTTTTTATGTTCATCAAATACTGAACCATTTTCGAAACTTTCCTTACATACAGTGCAGTTGACTCTGTGGGTTTTTAAATGCTTGATCAGATGACCTTCAATAGGAGTAGTATATGTACATGATGAACACTTGAATGATTCTTGCGGATTGCATGATGTTCGTACGTGGTAGACTATACTTTCATATTTTGTGTATAGTTTTTCACATTTTTTGCATTGGTAAGATAACCATGCTTTGCATTTTCTGCAGAAAGATTTATTACGATTAACAGGATCTTCCCTTGTCTCTTGACATTTGGAACAAAAAAGAATAATAGACGAAGCCATCACTTGATAAAAAAGTTCTGAAAAAGCAACATATCTATTTTAGATCAACTAGTGAGGTATTAAAATTTTCAAATGATTTTTCAGTTCTTACGTCTTTTTTGTTTAATCTCTTCTTTCATGCTAGAGTCAAGATCTTCCTGAATATTATCAGCAAGTTCTAGATTTAATGATGAATTTTCATCCTCTGGAAAAGTTTTTATGGATACATTAAAAAATTAAAATTATTTAATTATCACTGATAAATTAATTGACTCACTTGTATCATTTAAGCTTTCATCATATTGTTTTTGAGTTTCATCACATCTTTCTTGTATTTCAAAAGGTTCTGTATCCTCTAAACTCAATACTTCAATATCATTGTCAACGAAATGGTTTTTAATTTCATTTGAAATTGATCTTGAGAAATCTTTAGATATTTTCTTTTTTGAAATAGGTTTTTCATTTTGAGTTTTTATTTGCTCATGTGAAATATTAGCTGTATTTACATTTGACTGAATTCCTTTAATATCATAAACAAAATTTATAAATGACGAGGAAAAAATAAGAAATACCAACCAACCTTTCTAACAACTTACCTCTTTTATAAGCAATCTTCAACGTAGGCATGTTAACAATTTTCTTATCTAAAGTACCTGGATATCAAATTACAAGAAGTTATTAAAATTAAATTAACCTGAAGTGTATAAAAAAATATAATTTTTTAACAAAGTTTTTGCAATTGCCACTGAATATTGTTCTGAAAAAGCAATAGAGCTTTGAACTAAGAAATTCAGCAGAAATATAAAAAATAAATTAGATATTTAATATTTTAAATCATAAAATATTATGTACATAACATACAATTTATAATTTTAAATTTAAATGTTTCAAATACAATACCTATTTCTGTTTGGTTTTTAGAAGTAGGACTTTCATAATTTGTGCAATTGGATACAGAGACTCGATCTAAAACAATTCTTGCATTTTTTAATTTGCTATTATTGTCTGTTATTACTTTTTTTTTCTCTATATCTTCATTCAAGTCTACATTTATTTCATTCTCTATAGAGACAACATCTATTATTTCTTCATTGGTAGTTAATTTGTCTATTGTAAGTAAGGACAGATCATTTATTACACTTATTATATCATTTATTACAAGTTTATTTGCAATATATACAATATAGATTCTTACCCTCCGCTGTTAATTTTATAATTTGTTTTGAACTTTGAATTGAATTTTCTTCATTACAATCAATTATTTTCGGATTTTTAAACTTTGTTGATCTTTTAGCTTTATAAAATAACAATAATAATTTGAAAAAATGAATAAAATGAAGAAAAAAAGTAAATATTAAAGTAAATACCTGTATTTTTTCTTCTGCTTATAACTGGTAATTCTTTCTTTTGGTTTTCATGTATCAATTCAACAATTTTATCCAAAAGATTTTTATCATTTTTCACTTTGATGAATACTTCATTTTCGTTGCCACTAGCTAGTAAACAAAATATTATTGTTAAAAACAAATTATTCATGTTAAAAAATGAATCCTGTATAAGTTATTATTGATACCGTAAAAGAATGATCCAACATGTCTAATCGATAATTCTTGATTAAAAGTTTGCAGTTGTTGTTGTTCACCAGAACATTCTTCTTGTTGCGAGATGGTATAATTATTAAAGTTGTAATTGTCTGCTGCAAACAATAGCATCAATGAAACAACAAAAGATTTTTTCAGAAATGCTAAAATCAAAAATCAACATACTTGCTTGTTCAGGAATATCTAATTCCTCTTTGATAAATATCTTATGCATGTTTCAATATTTTAGATTGTATTAAAAATTAAGAATTTCAGCTCTTCAGCTAGATAGTCGGAAATCTGATAAAACAAAAAATGATTTTCAAGATAGAATAATCATAACAGTATTTTTTGATCAAACACCACAAAAAGGTCGGAAGTTCGTCACATTACGATTCGAATTTCATTTGTTCAACCCGGCAAGCACTACCCGGTTCTTGCAGAAAAACTATTACTGCTTATAACCTGTGATTGTTCAATTGTAAACGCTATGCGTAGCAAGTCTTGTGGCGATAGTAACTTGATGAAGATCAATCACATAATTAAAACTTCTTGGACTACGTCTACGTGTGGATGCAACGGTTCATCTCACTGCCCACTACAGTACATACTTAGTACTCATGCAGCGAGTGGCAGTTCTTATGTGGCGTGATAACTGTTGCTCAGGCGCAACAACACGTAGATACACTTATACTTCCTTGATCATTTGTTTTTCAACATTAGTACTACGCAGCTCACTAATTTAAAAACATCCAAAAATATGATAACAACGATAATTTGACTCATCGCTTCATGATACGCAGTCCTTTTCAGCTCTCTATCGATGCCTCCCCCACTCTCCCTGATTGGTCATTAGAGTTAGAAGCAATGAATATCATATATACCATACTATAGTTTGTCAGAATTTACTTTTCGGTCTCAGTGTTTGCAACGTAATATTTCATTTTTTCTTTTAATAGTTATTTCAAGAAACTTTCGTTATTAATTTAAAATTATATGAAAGTTATAAAGATAGTATTTATAAAGAAGAAAGAACAATTTATCGATCATTTATTAAATTCACAAAATCCTCAGGTAACAAAATTCTGATTCAAACAATTGAATAAAAATCATACAATTAAATCCACATCATTTATTTATTTAATATATATAAATAATTTGAACCTTGCACAAGTCAGTACATTACTCTCTAGCTAATTAAAGTCATATTTAAAATTGCACGACTCTTAAACATTTTTCATTAGAAATACTTTATTTAAATCATTTAATTTAATAAAGATGGCAATTGCAGAGAAAAACACATAAACTTGGTCTTAAAATGTCTCATTTTTTGCTTTAACTTGGCATACCTTACTTTTCATACTCCAAACATGAAATTAAATTTTTCGTTTGGAATATAGAAAAGGTTTATCACATTTAATTGCCAAAAAGTTAAACTGATTTTCCTGACATACTTTTTAGTATATTTATATAATATCAGGTAACAGACTTTTAATTATATAGACTGTATCAAAGTAATAAATCTATTTGTGAATATAAAAAGTATTTAAATATAGTTAATAACAATAATTAATCAGTTCATAAACAGTTTTAAGTTTATAATACTGCAATTTACATAAATCATACCTGTATTAATAATCAACACTCGTATTTTTTGCGATTTATGTACATAAGATATACAAATTTTGGATTATTTACAACATTTTAAATTCTTCGTTAAAAATTAAAATTGGTCGTATATTATCTATCGACTTTAATAAATACCAGTAAAGCTGGCCTTACTGGGGTATCATCAGGTATATACTGTACTTTTCCAATAATGTCGTCGAATCGACTCCATTTTTGCTCAACATCTCTATAAACTACAGCAGTATAATGCTTTTGTTTTACGTCCATATCAACAAAACCTAATAATTTAAGGCATTGAATATCATTCTTTGGGATATCTAATTCAGTGGCAAGTTTCTTTATTTGTACTTTCCTCTTGTGTGTATTGATAGGAATATCTAGCATAACTATATTACCTGAAAAAGTTTATTTGAGTTAAGTCAAATTGTTCGAAAATAATGAGTAATAAGAAGACATATAAACATGATTTACCAATATTAAGTATTGTTTCTTCAATTCCACTGCAACCCTTTCTTGTACACATGGTGTGCTGACAAATATTAACAAAATCATCAATAACGTATTTACCTTGAGGAGCCATCAAATTGGATACTTCAATTGGATATACAGTGAATTTTTTTATTCTAGGTGGACAACCAAATTGACATTTTGAAATCTCTGTAAAGCTAGGAACACATTCAAATAATTTTTTAGTCATAGACCCAATGTTACATAAACAATCCAATAGCTTTTCATTTTCAGCTTCAGGGTTATCCTGCATTTCAAAATGCTTTTTCAAAATTTGTGCTCTCATATTATACATGTAGCTATTAACTCCTTTTTTCATAATATATTGAATAACTTTAAATACATCTGTCTTTTCAGCAAGGCTATCGACCTAGAACAACCAAATAATTAGTCATTTGCAATTTTTAATAATAAATATTTAAGTTTTTCAACTCACTTGCACAAGGATGGGCTCATAATCGTAAGATGCTGTTAGTAATATTTGCAATAAACTATCAAAAGCACATGTGTTTGAAACAAATGCAGTTTCCTCGTCAATTTTAACAGAGCTTAAGGTAGTAGAATTTCCATTTTTTACTACAGGAATTTTCACAATCGATGAAGCAAGACTCGTTATTTCATCTGCTTGGTTGAGATTTTGGATGATTTGATTGGCAGCTCGTGCTTTTCCTCGAGTTAATCTTTCTTCTACCACAGGATAATCACTTGATGTTTTTTTCTTTTTTTTGGAACATAATGAATCAATTCCAGTACCATTATTATGATCAATGGATTTTTTAGAACTAAGAAGTTCTGTGGGTATGTCTGTTATCAAAAAAGTGAAATAAAATAAAATGTTAGATATTTATCATTTGAAATTGAACTAAGAGATTTATCAAAAATACCGCTTATCCCTGAATTGTGGTTTGCACAAATTTTTTTGTGAGGTATGACTCCTTCGTGTCCATCAATTTCATCATTTTCTCCACTAATCGGCTTACGCTTGAGTTGAGGTGGATCAGGTGGTTCAATTTCATAAACTAAAATAAGTTCAGTTCATATAAAATTTCAAATCTATTTTATTAGTATAATTTAATAATATTAAAGTATATAAATTATACGAAATTATTTTCAAAATACCTTCAGGAAACTCTTCTTCATCGGTTAGTTCTTGATGTGGTGAACTAACTATATCATCAGCACCAAGTTTTGATTGGAAAATTTCAAACTCATCAACGTTATGATTGTTTTCAACTAAAGAAGAAAACATTGTGAAAATGAAAATGCCAGGAGTCAATTATCATTAATGGTCAAAAATACAGACGTGAACTATGATGAATTATTTCTCTTTGATGATTGATTGCTATTGAACATATATTTTTTGTTTTGACTGGACTGAAGCTAACGATATCGACGTCAGATGAAATATTTCTTATTCTAATTTTTTCTCCTATGTTGTAAAAAATGGTTTTGCAATCTGAAAAAGAAAAAAACAATTAATTCAATATTTATTGAAATACTTGTTTTAATAGATCTCGATAATTTTACACCCTCACCATCGCTGCTGTCAGAAGTGTCTGACTTTAGTGGATCACGCTCTTCGAGATTAATCTGTGAAACCCCACCTGGTATAATATCATCACTAGGATCAATATGAATGATATCTATAACAATTGTTTCTGAAATATAATTTCAAAAAAATTTGAAATTCAGAATTCAAGTTTATAAGGTAAAAAGTACACATTCATACCACTGTGAGATGTATCTGATTTCTGAGAATCTGTTGAAACTTCTACACAATTTTCAGCTTCACAATTTAATTGCAAGGGATCAATTTTATTCCCTAGAATAAAAATAGTGGTTTAAATTTTTCGAAAGTGTTATTTTTATAGGTGTGCTATTATGACAGGTACTAATTTTGATAAGAAGGTTAACAAAAATTATTTGATGCTCATTTTTGATTATTTATACAAATAAATTTACAAGTTTGTTAATAAGTATAAATTATTTCCGGAATTTTGTTACATAAAGGCAACACAAAAAATTACTCTACATCATGCAGTTATTTTTGAAATTGAGTTATTTTTAAATAGATTATACCTGTTTCTGCCATGGTGTCCATCATTTGGTAGATGATAAATATTTTCTTCTTCCATAAATGACATACTCGAATCTCCTGGTACAAACGATAAAAATATTCATAAATAGAAATAAAAATTGATAGAGTGAAAAATCAATGAATTTTCCTTTTATACATATAACTCGACCTAAATACCGCTCATGCAACATCAAAATTCACGTTATTAGTTCGCTATTGCAACAATGAAAAAAAACTTGCAGACCTAAATATTTTCTGGATTAATCTACATAATTTGTATAAAAGTTTGTATGTATATCAATCTTAAATGTAGTTGTGTACCGCTTTAGTCTTCACAAATCAGAATTATAAAGTTGTATTTAGCTGCCTGTGCATGTATGGACACAAGTTTGTCTGTGAACTTTTATTTACACATTGCTAAAGAGTCCCGCCAAACTATCAATTCAACGGATACATGTTTTTTAATTTATTGAAAGCCATATGAATGCCCGGAAGTAAATGCCAAAATTATGCAAGACTAACTTATATGCGAAAAATAACTGTAGATGTATGACCGATCATATTGCAAAAAAGTATAATTGCTAACCTCACACGCGCTTGAAGTATTCAGATCCTTCGCCTAGTGATGATACCGCTGTTACAACTGTACTGAGACCTTTTACTCGAATCAAACATCCGAATGCATTTTCGAGACGAAGGTGAAATACTCATTATCGGTTTGCTCGACGAAATTTTTATCGTACACACACGAAGTATACTGATGCACACTGATACACACTGATACACAAAGTCTAATTTAGCGCGAACAAAAAATTTCTCTGAACCAACGTGATATTGCTCCGTGACGATATTTGACCATAGCATTGATGAAAAGAGAGAAAGACTACACTATATTTGCTGCAGGCTTATCTTCTATCGGAAGTACCAACTACCAACAAAGCTTACATACTTTAGCGCTGCACTGCGGCGTAATGTTGTACAATATGAGCGTTAGTTTAATGCTGTATGTATCATGTATATGATCAGAAATTCAGTTTGCAAATGAAAAGTTAATGCAAATACTTTACTGTTTGTAATTGTTTACATTGTAAATATTCGAAAATGTTATTATAGAGAATGAATGTATTATCACATAAATTCACTGTACAGTGAATATGATTATGTGTAAAATATATTACGTTATTATATATAAACCTCTACTCTATATTGCAGTCCGTCAGATCATGGATGCCATGTTGCATACGAAGAGTCATAAGAGTAGTGATTTTTGCCATTGTATATACCTATCTACAACCCGTGGCTCCATAAATTACTCTTGACAAACAATATAGCGGATGACTGATTAACTACTACTTATATCTAGGAGTTTTATCGGTCTTTTTATTTTATTTTCATTTACAGCATTTTTGTATCATACACAATTATAAATTTAATCATTCAATATTTTCTTCATGACTATTATTAGCAAAACCTTGAGAATGAAAACTTCATTAAAACTATTTTTCGACCATCAAATTATTTTATGGATAGCATCAAGATTTTTCTATAAACTTATAAACTATCCAAGAGTATAAACATACTTTTAAATTATAGCCAATTTTCGTTTGGTAGCGTTCACCTATGAAGATGTAGTAAAATTCACCAATAAAGTGATGTAACATTTTATCAAAATATTATTTTCTGATTTTTAAAAAATGATATTTTTATTAACTTTAGACTCTCTGAAAGACGTAAATATATTGGCCCTGGAGCAGAACAAATATTTTTCAGTAAGAAACAAGACCCTGGGTGTTTAGCAAATTTATAAACAGCGACCCCGAAAACCCTAGGTTACACATTTTCAGTTCGTTTTAGAAACATGAAAAAATTGGCTCAGGCCCGAAGGGTGCGAGTATAGGATATTTGTGAACCTCTAAAATGAATTTTGTAACCATAATCTTAGACTCGTAAATAACGACCCAAGAAATCCTCGACACACTAATTCATCAAATTTTTCGGTTATCATAAAAAGTATAATACTGTGAAAAGTTTTCTCTACTGTATCCAATGCAGAAATATCGACTAGACCTTTTGTTATGTTCTACCACCTATGAAATCATAATTTAATACCCAATACTTTCTTGCATAAATTAAAAAATATTTTACTTTTTTCAAAAACGATGGAAAAGTTGCATGTAATATCGAATTTTATCAGAATTCATTTAGAGAAAATTCCGCGATTGGAACTTTAATCGTCGAAGAATCGAGCAGAAGGTGATGTATTAGTGGCGTTGTGTTCAGTGTATCGCTCGTAATGTACTATAAAATAATAATAATGTCCACAAGTTTCATAAAGTCTCATTACGGCGTATTTACAGTAAAAACGCATGGGCGTAGTGGCAAGAATTATTCGACTCTTGGCGCAAACCCGAACAAATTCTCGACGAATTTACTCAAATTTTTTAATTTCAACGTACACATTAACCGCACATATTCGCGGACAACGTAATCGTTTTGATGCAAGGTAAATATGCCATCGAGAGCGGCTCAACAACTTAGTTGAAAAGATTAAGGCGATGCCGCAGCCAGGATTTTTTACTGATCGAGTCCTAAAAATGCATGCTTGCATAACAATATCACCTAAAGCGATGTTCAAAAGACGATTACTGTAAATAACTGCACCAGATTTCATTTTATTTCATTAAGTAGTTTTACCGGAAATAGGAACAAAATTTTATATTTAATCAAAACAGAATTAAAAATTTCAATACACGAAAAAAATAGACATGTGAGAAAAAACCGCTGCTACTACATTGGCAAAGAGCTTCCCCATTGAAGAATTATCGCTCCTACTTTTATTTATAAATTCTTATTATAATTATCAATCTTTTATTTTAGAGAAAAAAACGTTTTCATTTATACAATGTAACTCTTCCATTGATAAGGTTTTTGAGATTAAATTTCGCGTTTTTTCTATTTGTATAGTATAGACTTTTTGGTGGTGTTTCTAAAATCACTACTCATATAGTTCAACTACTTACAAAACTTCAACTTTGTGAAAATTAAAAAAAAATTAAAGAAATGAAAAAATAACATTTTTATTTTTATAACGATTTAATTAATCGATGGATCTTGACTTTTTTGGTCCTGAATTGAAGCTTAACTTCTCGTCTTTCGATATCGATAACATTGCATGAATCGAAATTAAACTTTTTCGGGCCTCACCCTCAACGAAATCGACAAAAAATGTAGTTTATTTCCATAAAATTCACCGTCCCATTATTGAGAAAACTCGTTTTACATACGTACACCCGCACAGATATACAGACACATTACATACAGACCTCAGCCCCAAATTCGATCTAGTTTATGAGACAAAACAATTGGCCAAAGTCAATTTTAGATGCATCACAACGCTTCCTGTATGAGGAAGCAAACATAATAACACGCGTTGGATACCGTCTGACGACCAAAACGAGACGACATTGCCTAATAGAGCATACGTCCCTTGGAAAATTCTTGGAATCCTGTAGGATTCCGCGAAACTCCAATAGGACTTCTATAGGACTCCTGAAGGAATTTCGCGGATCATACATGAAATTTTTTATGTACATACAAGACATTAATTTAAATTAACCCCCCCCCCCCCCCNCCCCCCCCCCCCCCCCCCAAATGAAAATTCATTCCACACAAGTAATGAATCGTGTTTGATCCCAGCAATTGCGACTGCTACGATTATTATCACACTTCATAGTAAAAATACCATGTTTTTCAAAGTAAAATTTTAACTCATAAATGCACAAAATATGTATAAAATATACTGCATTAAATAATAATTTTCAACACACATTTGTAACATAAAATGTATTTAATGTGATGCAGCCATCACAATTGTGATTAACAATCAGGTAACGCGAATATAATGTTAATTGATTGAGGATTCAATAATCATTTTAATATACAAATTGAAATAAATTGAAATATTACACAATAAAAAACAATTGATTTACAGACATGAATTGAAACAACTTAACTTCGATAAAACTTTGATTTACAAAAACTCTTTATATGTTTAGGAAGATAATTAATATTAAAATGACTTTTGCACGCTTTACACGGAACTCTTGGCTCATCATGAGCTACTTTTTCATGTCTTTTCATTGATGATTCGTCATTAGTCTTGAATGTACATTGGTTACATGAAAAAGCGTTTTTTTCGCACAAGTCTTCATGTGACCCGCCATTGATTTGTACGTTTCAAATTCTCTATCACACGTTGGGCAAGATTCATAGTAATCTTCGATTTTCAGCTCTTCCAAAAGTATGTGCTCGTGAGCGTTTTCGTATGATTCGAATTCTTTACGACAGTATTTGCAGAGAAACACAATTTCCGTATCACAATTTTTACATGGGCTGAAATTTCGCATAGAATTAGGTCGAATCAAATTACATTTAGGACATGACACAACAAGTTTATCCTTGATTACTGAAAATAATAATTATATGAATATGGTTAAAAATATAGTTACAAAATATAAAATATTGATAAGAAAGGAATAACATACTGTTTCGTATCTCTTCCATTGTCAATTCACTCTCCTCAACCACACCATTTATTCTGTCCAAAGATTTTTCCGCTATCAATTGGTCCCAGCGGCAAACATGATTTTGCAAAGGTTTATTATTTGGGTCGCTGTATCCACATAAGTTACAAATTTTTATACTCCGCGAACATGACTCAAATAAGTGTGATAAATATTCGGAGTGGTTTTTTAAAATTTTTTCGCATATGTTACATTGGAAGTGGAATTGTTTATTTTTACATTCTATGCATATTTTAATAAACGGAGCATTAGCAGCTTGACATTCTGAGCAATATTTGACAATTACTTTTATACCTACGATACATAGATTCCCAGTAAGAAAAAATAAGATCGTATATTTTACTAATATATAGTTTAATCTTACCTGTTTTTACTTCAGTTGGATCTACATTGGGATTTTTTGAATTTTTTGATAACTCTAATTCATTACTTCCGTTACAGTCAGATGTAATGATATTATTTATTTTATCATCTAGATCTAAATCTTTTTTACATTGCAATGGCTGAAGTAGATTTTCCAGGAGGTGTCTGCCACTTGTAACACATTTTTCAGTTATGACTTTTTCTGATACATTATTTGTCATTTTTAAATATTTGTCAACATTAAAAATTTCCGAATTTATGAACACTTTATCATGTACATCGTTGTTTGAAGATTCTTTTTTGATCGTAATATTTTTTTTAGATTGATTTTCATTTTCACTTTCAAAATGATCAATTACTGGTAAAATTATTTCTTCAATTGCAGTCAAATTGCTTGAAGAAACCTTATCATCGGTATTATGGGAATCAATGGTGTTGTATGAAAAAATTTCCGGTGGACTTTCTGATTTTTTAGGATTCTTTTTTACATTTTCTCTTTTACTATTTTTAGTGTTGTTTCCATCATCTGTTGATGTGCCTGAGCAAAAAAACAGTTGAAATGTAATTTTTGTATAAAAAAATTTTTAAATGTAATGCATTTTACTAAATCATTATAAAACTTTTATCTTGTAAATTAACCACGATGAAAAATGTATTGCGCAAAATAACATACATTTTCGAGAAGATACCTTTTTTGATCTGGTACTTTCTCACAAAGTACTTCAAGAATCAGATAAGTATATGATTTTTCTGCAAAACTTCCGGGTACAGGATGCAGGGCTTCAGTTGTGTGCAGTATTTTTCATCACTGCGTGCGAAAAGTGCTACTTTCTTGCTAACGATCTAAAAATCTACTTTTCGCACGTTGTGATAAAGAACGGTAACGCGAAGCGAGGTTAGCAATGCGAAAGACAGTACAATAAAATTGCGTATGATACTCGTGTCAAAAAGTGTTACTTATGCCACTTACATCGCAAATTAGTACTCTAATACATTATGACACGTGTTAGTAATTATGGATACAAATTCCATCGGTAGCACCTTTGGGCAGAGCGCAGTTTAGGGCCTGAACGCAGAGAGGGTCCTGATGGCTGGGTCGAAAAATATCAGAATGTGTACCTATGCCAACGAAAAGCGTGCTATAAATTTTTATATTTTAAAGTTTTTAAATTCCCCCGATTTTTCTATGGCGAATTTAAATTATAGCACTTATTAAATAGGTCTAATAGAAAAAAGGATTATTGAATTTCTATTCAAATTTAAAATAGTGATACAGCCCCATTCACTCCCGTTAAATTGTCGTTCTAGTTTTGCTATATTGCATAAAAATGATCTACTCAAGATTTTTTTAACATTTTATAATACTACTAGCACCCATCAGCGCTGTTCGCGCGCACCTAACCTATCCGTACTCTCCCTCGTTATCAGGAATTTAAGAGCTTGCCGTCAATCCCTCGCACACTATCTAAACAAATTCAATGACCAACCAAAGCACATTTATTTCGATGACATAATCAAACCACTTTTTTAAGCCTCACGAGCAGCTTTGTGACATATCACACAGGTGAATGCACAAGCCAGCAGCTTGTTCTACTTCATCTATCTTGTGCAGTCGCCTGTGTCACATTTCACAACGCTGCTCACAAGTCACAATTCACTGCGGTTGGCTTAGGTTAAAAATCAAAAACGCACAATATCGCCACCATATTATATCCACTGATCCATATTTTTTAAGAAAGGAACTTTATTTGCTCACATTAGAAGCTCGTACTAAAGATTCAACATTGTACATTACTTACTGGGAGTTTCTTTCATTCGTTTAACGAGTTCGTCGCACCGTTGAAGTTTGATCACAAGAGGCCTATTCATATTCAAAATCGGTTTCGAAATGCCTAAACAGTTTTCTTCGTGATGCTGAAGTTCACATAAACTTCTGAAAGAACTTGCTGAACACTTTTTACAGTTTTCATTGTTATAAACATGTAAACCTATGACAATATGTTGCCGCAGCCTTGAGTATTTGGAAAATTCCTGATTGCACAAGGCACATTGATAAACTAATTTCGCACGACACATTTTGCAGATGAAACAGTTTATTCGAGCTTTAGCATTTCGATAACATTTAGAGCATTTAGCTTTCAAATATTCTGATGAACCTGTAAATAGCGATAAATTTTGCATTTAAAACGGGCAAATACAAGTTTTAATAATATTTTGACCAATATTTGTAATGTTCACTTTAAATTATAACGAATTTTAAATATTAATTCAAACAAATTCCCGAGAATCACGATAGATCTTCATAACACATTTGAATATTGTTAAAATTCTACTTTTATTCAGATATTTAACTGTCGGTAAAAATTGTTATCATAATTGTTAGTTTTAAATTCATAACGTCCTTTGTTGACTTAGTTGAGAAAAGTCATGCACACGAACAGTACTCGCTACAATACTTATTTTTTACTCTGTTGGAAAATCTTTTCTTTTTATTGAAATAATATACTCCTGCCAGTAGCATAATGTATCATAATCCAAAATTTGAAGCTTGCAGAAAATAGTTAGTGAAAAAGTTTTATGCGAAAAAAAGTCATAAGATTTGACTGCTGACTTGGATTACCATTTAATTTAAGTCCAACTATGAAGCTAGCTTATTAAACTCAGTGATATTTTCGGAAGCTGTAATTGAAAATCTAGCTGTCAATTAAACTGAAATATCCACCCGGATTTACTCAGATCCAGATGGACTTTAACTGATATGTGTTTATTTTCATTTGGAACTCTGGTATCTTTCGTAATATGTAGTACTAGATATTTTTTATTTTGAAGACAATAATGTTTAAACCTTCTTAAATGATAAAATAATCAGATAGCAAACCCTTGTTTCTGAACAGTCTTTCATGTGCGCTATAACTTTTGTGAAAAATTATTGGCTACAATGTTTATCATGTGAATTTTTTATCAATTCAAATAGTAAGTAAATTATTAGATCATTAATCATTACCAAGGAAAGTACTTGAGGGCGTATTGTTTGGTAACATTAAGTTCGATTCGTGTTATATTTTTGGCTTGGTAAAATTGTGATGTATATTTTAATTACGTAGTACTTAAAATAGTAGATAATTTTTTAATTACTTACAAGGCAATTTACGTCGTTTTACTTTTCTTCTTGTATTGAACAAACGATACTGTTTTCTCTGTACCAAAGTTTTTACCACTACCATTCTATCACTTTTTGAATCATTTTTGTAATCTGTATTCATATCTTCCACAGGTATTCCAAGTATATGATCAGTGATATGCTTTTTAAAATCTTCTTCATTGTGTGTCTTGTAAGGACACAATGAACATGTATTTGGTTGGTTACACTTTCCTCTGTGAAGTATGAAATGTCTAACCCTTTCATATTTTTTATCACATTTCAAACATTTAAAATATCTTTTAACTGAAAAAAAGCTATTTTTAGAAATTTGCATTAAAAAAAAAAAAAAAAAATAGTCATAATATACTTTTTTTGACTGCTTCAGTAGTGCCAGTTGAAGATTGAGCGGCAGCTCTTGATGATCGTCTGTTTGAAATTTTCTCTTCTAATTATGTAATAATCAAAATTTATCATCATTCAAAGGCCATTAATAAAACTTATTAATTAAAACTGTACCTGAATTTTCGACATAAGTTGGAAAAAATCTCGTTTTGGCAGATGATTTTTTAGTTGAGTTATTTATAATTCTTTTATTTTTTCTGTGAGATAAATGCAAGTTTCTTCTTTTAAATTTCTTACGCCTCTCATTGAATGCATGCGATCTGAGAGGTTTGATAGTCTTTGGTACTAATAATGGTAATTTAGTCTCGCTCTCTGAGATAATAAAGCAAAAATTTAATAATAAATAAATTTAATGGTCACATATTGTAGGCTTACCAAGTTCTTCCTTTTCTGTAAAATTAGTTTCAATTATTGGTGTGGGAGAACATTCCTCAGATGTTGCATTACAGTTTACAGATTCTACAGGTATATCATCAATATCCATTTCAACATCAGAACCAGGTGCACTAACTGGTCCTTCTAACGAAGAGTCAAATGAAGTAAGATCATTCTCAATCACTGGCGCTGTTTGAATCAACAACTCCATTTCTCTGCGTGTAATAAAAGGACCATCGATTTCATTTACAAGATCATTCGGCAATGGTCTTTGTAAAATTTTATCTTGTGTTATTGTAGGTTCTTTTGAAAGTTTTAGGTCTTCTTGTAGTTTGTTAGCCATGTTCAAATAAAACCAATCATCTGTAAACAAATAAATGCAGAGTTTTAAAGAATATTCTTAATATATCTAAGAAAATATGTGAAAATTAAAAAAATATTTTTTATTGTTTGATGGATATGTAATATATAAATATTTGTACATATAAATTGAGTAAGCAGTCAGTTGTACAGAATGATATTTCGATTTTAAGAATTCAAAAACTTAATAAATATATATATTTCTTTCCCTTTATTTTTACTTTTAAGTAATCAAATAAAATTTCATGAAATTACCTGATTGAACAATTGGCGTTCCTTTGCTTTTTTCTGCTGCAGCACTTGAGTCAGTAATTTCCACATCTGGACAGTCACTCAAACTATTATCTTTGGCTTTATTCATGTTAATATTGTTTTCCAAAGTAAGTGACGTCGAAATTTCTGTCAATTTTTTTTTTTTCTTACGGGTTGTATGAATTTTTGTCAAAGATGATTCATCTGGGTAAAAATATTAGTAATTACAATCTTATAGATTGTGAGGCAACATTGAAAAGTAGTTCATGAAAACAGCAAAACATTTGATTCATAACTTGGTTCTCATGAATAATTATATTATTATTTAACATGAATACGTATTTAAAATAATTGATTATAATACTGAAAAATATTAGTTCCTACCTGAATTTTTGGAAACAAGCCTATTCTTCAAATAAGGATCTAAGTGCTTTCGGAATTCAGGGTTTTCTGTAATTTTATCAATTAATAATAATTAAATCATAAATTAATGAAATTTCTCATTCAATAATAAAATTATCAACACACCTAATAATGATGTAATAGGGATTTTAGTGCCATTAATAGCTGCAAAAGTATGTATTATGAATTAAAAATGCATGTTATTAAATTACAATTATAAAAATATTCAAGTGGATATAACAAAATTCACCTAAATATGCATCATTAGATTCTACATTATTTGTTTTCAATCCTGATGATTTGGTTGCTTTGAGTTTCTGACGCTTTCTTTTTTTTGAGGGAACTTTTTTAATTATGTTCTCTTGAATTATTTCTATGTCTAAAAATGATTTAATAAATTAGTTAATGTTCCAACTTTTTAGTTCAAATTTTCTTAACTATCTCACCAGAATCATAATCGGGGGTTGGAAGAGGAATTTCACTTGATGATGATACTGAATAATCATCTAAAAGTTAAATTTATTCATAATAATCTGTGTGAGTTACTTTACAATAATTGTCAATTTTCTAAGACGCCTTAATATAAAAAAAATATTACCTGAAACTTTGTTATTTTGAACAGGTGGAAACATTGTGTTTTTTTTTAAATTAACTATTTAGTTTTCTGTAAATAAAAGTATTGGCAGCCTCCTAAGTGAATTCAATTGTCTTATCAACACATTTTCTATCACTATGTTTAAAATTATTAGTAATTTTGAGAAAAAGTTAACTAACATCAAAATAAACAGTGCGCAGTTTTTATAATCGAAGTTTACCCAGAGACTTGTAAATTGAATATTTTATTTGACTTGCGTGAATCCTTTCTTAAAATACAGTAAATTTCTGATTGTCTATAACGGCGTTGATAAAAATATCCACATTTTAAAAATTGCACACATGAAATACAGAACAAAACATCGTTGAATAAAATTGACGTATCATCTAACCTATAATGAACAAGTAAAGTTATGTACAATTCACAAAAATAAAAAAAAAGTATTTATAAGTAATCTTTTGATGTGAAATGTTCATTTTCAAATTAATCATTCGTACATTCTCTATAATACATTTTCATGTAGGCATGTTAATGTGAAAAGTTCCATAAACCACTTAGATCACTAATATCACAACACTCTTCTTCTTCTTCTTTATATGGCCTTGGAGTGAGTGAGATTCACTACCGAACTGCCACTGTTCAGGCTTTTATACATAACATCCGACGGTTCTTAGTGGATGCACAACACTCGAATTTGTCAAAAATCTGTAAGTAGACATTACAATTCTTGTTTTGTAACCAATGACCAAAAGGAGGTGATTATAGGTTAAGGACAACTTGTTGGTAGTGACATTCTTCTTTTTTTTTTGGTTCTTGTATTTTTGAAAGAACTTTTAGAAAATTTGGCATGAATTATGGAGAGACTTTTTAGGCTTTTTTAAAGTAAAATTTTTTAAATCGTAAATCTAAGTTCAAATGTAAAAAAGTTAAATTCTTTTTAATCGAATTACTAAATTTAGGCAATCGACATCGTTTTGAATATCTGGGTTTTTAATTTTATTTAGCAAAATTCTTTATTATATTTATTTTTTTTATCGTAATTTTTAACATGTTCATTTGACAAATGCATTAAGTTGCTTTTTTATTGTAGTAACCTCTGCAAACATATGGCTCTGGCAGTTTCAATATTTTTCCCGCGTCTTTATATGAATAACACAGCCCAACTGACTTACTCCTAGCAGCCCAGGCCCTGGCACTCCGTTTTCTGTCGGAGTTTTACTAACCTGGCACTGTAAATGTTGTGTTTACGTTTGTCAGTTATACTATTTGTTCGAAGTATGTGCGGTTTACCAGCTACGTAGTTTTTTAAAATTGAAGGATATTCAAAATAATTAATATACGTTAATAAACTCGAAATTAATAATTCCGTCTAAATAATATGTGTGAAGTAGACGTAAAGTTTTTCCTATTTTGTTAGTTGTCAAAATTGTTTCTTAGAATGGTAAGAAATTATCAATGATACCCACTAAAAAACATTAGAACTGTGAATTTATTATTACTATATTATTCATTATATTATTTTAGTAGTAAAATGAAGAAAATCAAGCTGAAGTGAAATTCCTAATAAAACTAGCGCGACGTTCAAATGATGTCTAGTTAAAATCAACTTTTTTGTTTACTTGTGTGATCAGCATCAGCCGAAATTAAAATTATGGAGGAAAGCGTGCTATCAGATGCTTGCTCGCAATTTCTTCAAAAAATAAAAGAAAAAGGGAAAAAACATCCAGAATTTCGTGAAAACGTTGCTACAGTACAAGAAGCTGCATTATCCAAGGGTCTAGAAGACAGGGTTTTGAAAAAGGCAATTAGAACTTTAATAAACTCAGATTTAAAGGCTAATGATAGCATTGCTCTGATCAAATGTTTGATTCCTAGAGATAAAATAAGCGATGAAGAAGTCAAAGCTTTAATTATATGGTTTTTATCTATACCTTCTTCGGTAACTACTCTAAATACACTTGTTCAATGGTTTATTGGTTGTTGGGAGTATCAATTAATCAATAGAGACGCTATGTACATTTTTTATGACTCTCTTTTTTATGTAATGCTTAAACAAGAAAGTTTAGAGTCTCGTCTAGCACAGCTTATATATTTAATGACTAAACCAGAAGATGTTACACGTAGGCAAGTGACAAGGTTACTAAGTTTATCAAAATACCATAGAAAACCCAAAAAACACATAATAGCTCTTCTTTCGTTATTTAAATCTTATAAACCTGAATATGTACCAGAAAAAATTGAGACCATAAATATACAAAGTACTTGGCGGCCGATTCCTGAAGTTTTAAGCTCAGGTTTTGCAGAAGCAAGAGATCGCATTATCACCCAAAAAGTTAAGGATGGCGAAGATTTTGGATGTGATTGGAGTAGATTTAATATTCCCAAAGCTAAAAAGAATCAAGAGCCTCTACTACCATCTGTTGGATATTTTAATATTGGTTCTAGTATTTTAAAAAATAAGAATGAAAAATTAATTTTTGATGTATCAAGTATGTCACAGATTGGAAAATATCATTCACTTTTAAAACTTCCATGTAATGCAACTTCTATGTTGACCAATTCCATTGGATACCATCTTTTAATATACACTGATTTGGAATACCAACAAAGGTTCATGCATAATTTATATTATACGTTATGGAAATCATTTATATTTGAAAATGGTAGATATTCTTGCGAAGAGATGGATAGTTTGTTAAATATGACATTAGATTTTTTTAATTACATGCAAAATGGAATTACAATTGTTGACTACTTTATCAATGAATATTTATGCTGTTACATTGATAATCATCAAATTCAAATTTTTAATTTAATGCAATGGAGTTCAGCTTCATCACCAGAACTTGAAGATTATGTTTTAAAGCATTTAAAATTAGTGTTTTACAGCTCTTCAGTGGATATTAAATGTAAGATCATAAGAACCGTTAAAAGACTTCTTTTGAATCTTTCTATTGTTCATGATGCTTCTTTTGAAAATACACCATTTCCCTTTTTGAGGCAAAGTAATACTAATCAACTAAAAGATAAAATAAAGGTTCTGGATAGTTTTTCTAAAAGTTTGATTATTTCTGGTTTGAATATACATTGCTTTGATTCTGCATTTGTTTCGGAGTCATTATCATTTTATGAACAGTATGGTGTAATACGAAATTTGAAACAAACCTATGTTGCCTTAGCTCCTCCTGCAGTTGTATATGGTAGTTTTGTAAATAGAAGTTGTGCTATTTTATCTAGAATATGTGCCTTATTATTAGAATATAGAAAATATTTCAAGGAACACAAAGATGCTAGAAACAGTATAAAATGGTTAATTATTTATGCTGAAGACTTAGTGAGCGCATTATGGTATGATAATTGTTTCAACAACCGAAATGCAGTAAATAGATATTTTTTACAGGAATTATCAGAAAAAGCTGTTAAAAGTACCCCTACATGTGATATCAATTGTTTGTTAAATATCTGTCATCACTATGCGGTACTACCTTATTTATTTACATTAAGCACAAGTGGTTTACAAATCAGAACCAAAAAAGATGCAAGCAGTGTTGCAGCACATTATTATATTCATATTCATCAATTAATATTTGCCTTACTAGGAAATTGAGTATTTTCGCACGATTCCAACAACTATGAGCTCACATGATAATTAACTATATTAAATTAACTTGAAATTAATAGAAAACATCCGTTAATTTTGAATATTTGTGCATAATAAATACAGTCATTAAACATATACACTTTTTATGTATAGCATTGCTTATTATTTTATATTTTCCAATTGTAATAAAAATTGTACATTTTTATATTTCATTAGTTGATCATTTTTCTATATATTTTGATAGTGTGACAAACGAAATTGCTTAAATTATAAGAGCGTATATCTTCAAATAACCTTTGGAACAAAGTATCAAATAATTGTTATACCATGTACATTTTTAATAAATAAAATTTTATTTTTATTGTAAAAATAATTTTTTTTGCCCCTTATTGATCGATGCCATGAAAATTGAAGAAGAAAAATTCCCAAAGCATAAGCTCAACTAAAATTAAAGAGGCTTTTACAATGAATATTCAAAGTATTTGTTACGGACAGTATAATGACGGCAATATGTTCGCTCAATGCCTTAATTCGTGAGTCTGGAGTCATGACGATGCTTGATATCCGTATATTATGTATAATACTTTTACAGTGCACAGATCTTTATATAGACTCGGATGTAAATATAAACGCTGCTTGTTTCGGCTTTTAATAAATTTATCGAAAATTTTCATTTGCGACATATGAGTATGCAATAAAGGTCAATTCCATATAATTAGAAAATTAATAAGTTAATTAAGTTATAAATACTTGAAAAAAAATTAAAAATTTTATGATGGTGATGAATAAACTATTATATGCAAAGAAACAAAATGTTTATTTTAGTAATCCAACCAACATTAGACATTTCTTTAGGTGGCTGACTCTAGTTTTCAATAGGTACTGATAATTAGAATTGCAAATTTTTGGTTATTATTATTGTTTAATATTATTATAGTGTTGCATTATTCATAGTATTGATCAAGGAAGAGTTGAGAAGTTAGGACCTGATAGAGTTTGTGCAGAATGGCTACTCAGAAATGGTGCATCTGTCAGATGGAAAGGTAGTGATGAGTTTTTAAGAGATTACAATTTATTACCAAAAGAGGATGTTAAGCAATATATAAGTGCAGTGGATGCTACAAGTTCTTCTATCCATCATTGTGGATTTAACCATTTTAGTAAATAATGTTATTCATACCATACTATTGCTTGACACTTGGTAATAATATTTAAATTTTAGATGGTTGTAAGTATATTGAAGAAATAAAATTGATAGATTGTATGTCTATAGAAAATGATGCAATGCTATCATTAGCGATTCTCAAAAATTCATTAAAATTGTTAGAAGTTGTGAATTGTAAAAATATAACAGATGAAGGACTACATCATCTAAGTAATTTGAAGTATGTATCTTAGAAATTTTGTTTGTACTTCAATGCTTTCTCCAAAATTATAAAGTAAACGCTTTCTTTTTATTCTAGGAACTTGACAAATTTGAAGCTAGGTGGTTTTCCCTACGTTAAAAATAAAGACGATGTCTTGAATCAATTAATATTATCTTTGCCACAATGTAAAATAATGTACACTTGAAATTTTATTAATGTATAAAAGTTAATTATTATAAAACATGTAGATGATGAAGTTTGTATAAAATCCACATCATTATGAACTTATACTATTTTTGGAGTTGTATGCGTAAAACAAAATGAAACTTGAGCAACTGGTTTCAAAACTGTGCTTACATAAAAAATATTATAAAATCAAAAATGACTGAAAAAATTAAATTATAAACTCTCTTGCAGAAAAAATGAATACTGCTGAATGACAATTGTTACTAGAATAGGAACAGTGTCACAAAAAAAATATATAAATTGTTTAGGTAGATTTTAATTAATACCTGCAAGAAACTTCTCACTGAAATAAATTGCATTGTATTTTCAAAAATTTCACATTTAATCCAATAATTCTTTGAGTATAAGTACTAAGCAATTGTTATTTTTTTATTGTTTCAAGGACAGTTGATGTAAAAACCTAACGCGAAATTTTACTAATGAAAGAGAAAAGTTCTACAAATAAAAATAATAAGACGTAAAATATATTTCATAAAATATTACCGATATCGTTTATGGAAACTTTTCAAAAGGGCCTTCTATAGTTACAGGATTCGAATCATAAAATTGTAATTTCGCGCGCTTTATGTGGGTAATATATTGCAAATCTTCGCGCAAATTTAGCGTTTTGCGCGCCCAATTTCCCGCCAGAACAGAAACATTCAATAGTCGATCATTGGTTTAGCAACAATAGAACCGAGAAACTGTCGTTGCTTTCAATAACGGCTACTATAGTATTCTGGTATTTTGATAGTTTATATAAGTCGACAACTAATAATTAAAGTCTATCATAATGCCGTCAAATGATAAATGCGTTTTAAGATTTGTTAAGATGACCGATAAAGCCTTTACACCAACTAAGGGCTCGGATAAATCCGCAGGTTATGATTTGAAAAGGTACGTACTACGTCTTGTTTTTGTAACTTCAAACATTTTTTTATTCACTAATTTACTTTTAAAATTACATTTTTTTTCATCAGTGCCTATGATCATATTGTGCCGGCTAGAGGTAAAGCTCTTATCAAGACAGATTTATTATTTGCCGTGCCAGAAGGTACTTATGGTCGTGTAGCACCTAGGTCCGGTCTGGCCTTGAAAAATTTCATCGATGTCGGTGCTGGTGTCGTCGACTCTGATTATAGGTACTTACATATATTGTTTAACTTTTTCAATTCATCAGTCGTAAAATATTATTTCCACTGAATCAATTAAATCATTACAGAGGTGAAGTTGGAGTGGTTTTGTTCAATCACAGCGACACAGATTTTATTGTTAAGCCCGGCGATCGTGTCGCTCAGTTCATATGTGAAAAAATTGCTTATCCAGAACTTGAGGAATGTGAATCCCTTGATAAAACAATTAGAGGCGCAGGAGGATTCGGTTCAACCGGAATGAACTAAAACTCTATTTATTATTTATGATATATTTTAACATTAATTTTTTATAAAATAAACTTGTTTTTGATGTTTTTTACAAATATCGTTTATTTTATTGTTATCATTAAATAAGACTTTTAACAATTACATTATAACATCTTAGAGCCTAGGTATTCTAGATTTTAGAAGAGGGTACTAAACCAGTGTAAACTGATGGTTCTAGCAATAATTTTTGCACCTTCTTAAAATCTGGGTGCATAGCATCCCCTAAGAGTTTAAATATAACATTCTCAGATGTAGCTATGTGACACCCAATTTGTTTCATTCGCTGTAAAAAAGTTTTTTTGAGTTTCAATTTTTTTTTTTAAACTTGTTGAAATCTGACAATGCTCTTATGTTACCTCCAATGCAAGTAATCTATCTTCTTGAGTTCGAGAAGAACAGCAATCTGCGACTGTATGTACTTCAAAACCATGATTTCTTAAATCAATTGCAGTATTCTCCACGCATACATGACATTCAATTCCAACTAAAATAATGGATTCTGGTGGTTTGGAATTGCACATTGTTGATACAACTTGCTTAACCTAAATTTAATACAGTGTATTAATTAATGGTAAATTAATTGATGTTATTTGAACAAAATATTGTACCTCAGGAGTATACATGCTGAATTGAGTTTTAGCAAAAGGACCTTGTGCAGCTGATATATCTAATGATTGCACAGTATGGCCTAAACCCTTTGGATGTTGTTCAGTAACCAACATTGGAACATTTAGTATTTTGCAAGCTTGAATCTAAAAATTAATAAATTTTCTTCAAAAATTAAAAAGAAAAAGGATTTAAAAAAATTGAATAATTATTATTACCAACTTAGATGAATTTTTTGTTATCTTATCAAATTCAAATATGATTTTAGAAAACTTCTCTTGCATATCACATATAAAAAGGGCAGTTTTGCCTTGCTTCAAAATTGCTTTCGCTGCATTGACAGCCATTTTTTTTCAAAATTCGACAACCGAGAAGTCAAAAATCAAAGTAATTTAAAATAAGTTATGAATTATTTTTTACTCTGGGAGACGTCAAATGCAACTGTGAACAGTGTGTTCGGTACACAAACAAAAATTTTGCGCATCAGCTGATTGTGAAACGTAGAGGCGGTACGAAGATTTAAAATCTTCCTCGATAACAACCGTTTATTGAATGCTTATTAAATGCGAACTTTTTCGTTTATCATATTCTTGTTATTGGAATTATATCAATCCATTTATTAAAATTAAAACTCTTGTTACGAAATTAAGAGCTTGTAGCTTATCTAAAATAACACTGCAGCGAATTTAAAACAAATTATTATTTATACCTCATTTGTACCGAGTAAAATTTTTCGTATAAAAAGTTGTTGAAATTTAAACTATGAATTTATTTTATTTCATTATTAGACCAAGCGTCTTTCTCTTTAAGCAGTTTTCGATCTTGCTGGATGTAGTTTTGTAGTTCCAAACTATTGAGAACTATTTGATTTTTTGACTAATTTATTATTACGAGCAGATATTGCCCATTGGAAAAAGCCCCAATATAGTCATTTAAATAATTGAAGCTACTTCAATTACTCTGTATTGATTATAGCTGAACTCGTTTGAACTTGTTTCAAATTCAAGACTTCAAAGTAGCGATATTTAATTATGAAAAACTCCTAAAATGTGAAATGGGTTGACTATTTTTACGAGTAAAAAGATTCTTTCTTTGATAAGGCTCTGGATTAATTCTCTACAATATAGATAAATAGATATTTTCCTGAGAAACTTCTGACGATCGAAAGTAGCTTCGGAATTTCTTAATTTACGTGTGTTCAGTTTATTTTTCGTTTATTAATTTCTCGACTTTGATAATTGTCTATTAGCAAACTTACTCAATTATAGCAACCTCAAAAATGTTTGTTAATTATGTCTTATCAAAAAAAATAATTTGAAATAAAAATTATCTTCTCGGAAACGGTTTGAGTTGGGCCAATGGAGACTTTTTTAAGAGATCAAAAATGTTCATAACAAATTTCACTGGTAATATGTTTGTCAATCGATTCCACCGAAGTTATATCCATTAATAAAAATCAAAAACCCCGTCTAGCAAATTTATTTTTAAAAATGTTGTTAGAATCTGAAAAACTTATGACGACACAAATTTCCCGTTTTTTATATTTAATTTTTTGTTTTCAAATTTGAATGATAAATATCAATTAACAAATACCCAGCTGCCAACTTGACATCTTAGAAGCATACAAACTGAAATTCAGAGGATATCATTTTGCATAATGAGAAACAAAAATTTGCTGGTAGAATAATTTTAGCTGGGTACTTTGAGCATTTTTAGACCAAGTGTGCCATAATGCAAAATAGCTAACATCGATTTATCCTCTTAATTTACAAAGTGATTTGGATCTTAAAAAGATTAAATATTAATATATCGCCCTTTTTAACAATATAAACAATTTCCGTATATTGCTATCGTACTATGCAATCTACTACTATTTGAGTCTGTATTGATAAAAAAAATAATTAATATCATTAAGATTCAAAGCACTCTGACTGGAAGCAAATTTTTTATTTCTATGTTCAAAATTAAAAATATTTCCATTATTTTAAAAGATGTAAACAACTTTGAAAGTAGCAAAAATTACAGTTTTTTGAGCGTTAAAAGATTCTTAATTTCTTTAATATGACCAGGACGAAAACATTTTTAGAGTAATAATATTCTCTAAATTGGTCAAGGAATGAAAACTTTCATAAAATTTCTCTTCAAAGAAATATTTTTTCACGAATTTTAATAAATTTTTCTTTGATATTTATAATCGGAGGGTGAAAATACATCTAAAAAACCTGGGCGGAGCCTTGTCGCTGTATCGGCTACAAAAACCCTTCCAGGCCTTCACTCAGGTCTCGGGGTATCCTGGCAAAAAGTAGCTATTTTATTACTCCTATCTGCAAGCGCTCAGTTAGAAGCGCTCTGTGCTCCGTCTAACGCAAACTGAAAGTTACGTATATTTAGCGATTTAAAAAGCCAGGTTATGTAAATTCTACTGTACGTTTACTAAATATCGAATGTATAGAAATGACAACAGTTTAAAAAACAATTACGAGTGAATGAAATTTGACCTAATGAAAAAACCTATGTTGTAAAAGATGTTTACAATGTCTTATACCGGTGCATTTTCAACATGTACTACAAGTTTTCAAATGGAAACTCAAAATGCCTGTAATGAAATAAGAAACCAAGGTAACAATCAAGCCAATTTTATTATTATTTTAATTACTTGGTGATGAATCGTACATATTTTATGGTAGACAAGTAGACTTATTGAGTTTGTATGAAAGAGTGTTATGAATATAGTCAAATAATTACAAACTCAAATGATATTTATAAACTACAATATTTTGATCAAAAATATTTACGATTTCTAATATGTTTTTAGCAATACCACTCAATAGCGAGGCGGCTTGTAATGGTGAGTTATTTAATATCTTTAAAATAAATGTAAGAAATTTTTGACATGTTATTTTTTTTATTTGTAATAGAAACAATTTGGGAGATTCCTATTCAACAAACAGAAAAAAGTGGTATTGTACATAATAATATTACATTTATGGGAATTCAAAGAATTTTTATTGATTTTTTTTTTTATAGATACTTTAAAATCGAGGAAACAAAAAGTGCCAAAAAAATTATCTTCGAAAGACAGAAAAATTTTAAGAAATAGAGGTCAAGCATATGTAACAGTATCAGGGAAATTAGTCCAAGAAAGATCTGTAAAAAAGTTAACAAGCTGCAGAAGAAAATGCAGTGAACTTATCACTTATGATGATCAAAGAATAATATTTGACAAGTATTATGATCAAGCTACCTATGAAAAAAGGTTCATGTTTATTAAATCTCATATTGAAGTGGCTCCTAGAAAACAAGAAAGAATTAATGTGAAATATTACTTACCGCTAGCAAATAATAAGACAGAGGTGTGCAAAAAATGTTTTACAGATACACTAGGAGAAACTTTTGGATTTGTTAAAACTGTTATAAGAAAATCTTTCAATGAATTAGAAGAAACAAAAAAAGATTTAGAAAAAAAATTAGAAGAGCTCCAAAAACAGACTGATGAAGTAAAGGCCAAATTGGAAGAATTACAAGGGCCATCCAAAAAAACAAAACCAATATCTCAAAAATCCAATGGTGGGTAATGCGTTTTTTTACTTCTCCAATATTAAATAAAAAGAATGATGAAGCCAAAGTAAAAAGTCAGTTTTGTAATGTTGTTTCCAAGACATTTTACAAAAAAATCTAGTAATTGAAAATAAAATTTCCCTGGCTGCTTACATTCTTTTTACAACATTGAATATATTTTTTATATATTTTTTAATTTATCATAATTTTATTATGTTTTGTGCTTTCAGAAAGTAGTTCAATGAATTCATCAAAAAAATTGACTGATAGAGAAAGACAAGTTTTAAGAAACAGTGGCCAAGCATACATAACTAATTCAGGAAAATTAGTTGAAAAGAAAATTATTACTCGTTTGACCCAGTGTCGAAGAAAATGTCGGGAACGGGTACCACTTCAGCTTCAAAAGAAATTATTCAACCATTTTTATAGTTTAGATTCCTATAAAGATAAGGTCCTTTATCTTAAATCCTGTTTGACTGTCACTGCCAAAAAAAGAGATAGATCGCTCAGCGGTAAAAGTAAACGGGTTTGCACCGTCTTATATGATTTAATAGATGGAGATAGGCGAATAAACGTGTGTAAGCAATGTTTCATGAACACTTTAGATTTATCGATTAAATTTATCCGTAATATTATTAATAAGTGTTGGAAAAGCCGAGACGAAATATTCGTCGTTGACGGTAGAGGTAAAACCTCGTCAGTAAACAAAATCCCGTCCGAAAAGATAAAAGAACTCGAAGAGTACATAAACAAATTTTACATTATATCAATGCAGTGTCCAAAGTGTCAAAACTATGAAAAGTATTTGAATAAAAATCTCACAGTTGAAGAGATGTTTGCTCAATACAAAGAAGATATTTCGGTGCCATTGAGTTTATACAGATTTCGCACAGTCTTGAAAGATTCTGGGCGATATTGGAAAAATTCGAACAAAAATGTGTGCCTCAAGTGTAAAAAGTCAGAAAAATGTAACTTAGCCGATCAAGCGAGAAATGAATCACAATGCATTGCAGATAAACGAGTCAGACGCTCTCCGCCAAATAAGTGTCCAACAGATAAAATGAAAGAGCTCGAAGAGCATGTTAAAAACATTCCTTTTGTTTTCAAACAGTGTAATCAGTGTCAACAAATGAAAAAATACGTAAATTCTGGTGTGACAGTTACAGCATTGTATCGTAGCTACGAAGAACAGACGTCCAACCCATTGAGTTTGAAAATGTTTCGCATGATTTTTAAAGATTCTGGTTTACATCTAATGAATCCTTTGGTCGAAAAATGCAAAGAGTGTTTGGACTCATCGAACTCAGTGAAAGCAATTGACCATATTGACAAACGAGGCAAACATACCCCACCGAACAAGAGTCCACTGGAAAAAATTCAAGAAATCGAAAATCACATAAAAACTTATACGGTTTTCGTCAGTCAGTGCCAACAGTGTCGAAACTACGAAAAACATTTATTACCCGATTTAACCGTTGCGAAGATGTACAAAAAATATGAAGAAACTGCAGCCAATCCGTTAAGTATTGGAGTATATCGCAAAATTTTCAAAGAATCTGGCTTGAATCTCAAAAGCTCGAAATCGAGCGACTTGTGTACCCAATGCCAAGAAGCGGCGAGTAAAATAAAATGCAGTATTGATAGAATAATAAAAGCTTCAACTTGGCCGATTCAAAACTAACGCGGCGAAAAATTCGAATGAAGTTCAGGATCATTTCGGCAATGATGGACAACAAGTTCTTTATCGGCATAAATATTTTCAAGGAATTGGGCTTTTATAAGAGGAGAAAATGTTTCATGCACCGTGTTTAATATAACAAATTATTCTTCCTGAAAGCCTTATTTATCGAATAAATTAGTTTAATAACCATAAAAAAAAATGATTTCATTCAAGACGTAATTTAACAGTCGGAATAAACAATTTCGCGTTGATATTCAGTTGTCGACGAGTCAGCATGTGTATACGAGTTGAAGTTATAGATTTAGCGCGCTTCTGGTGCACGCAGCACACACGCGCGCGATGTACATGTAGCACATGAAAATCAATAAACACTAAAATAATACCGCCCGGCAATGTTGGAAAAAGGGGAGCTTGAAGGCGTATCCCTAGGTGGCGCCCAATAAGGGTGCGAATTTGCCGGGTGCACGCATACTACGAGAGAGTATACAGAGATAGTTTTGACGCCGCAACTGCAAGTGCATCAGTTTGGCAGTGTGCAGGACTCGACAGGAACGAACAATTTTTAACGAGTACAGTCGGACACGATACGTTGAAAAAGTTGAAAAGTTTCAAGAGAGCTGGACTGTGGCGGCTGCAATCATGGTCGATCTTAGCGGTGGTACTGAAGGGCCAATCGAGCACGGCTTCAGCAATGGAGTGTTTGTCATACCCGCTGTAATTGTCATCAGTCTGTGCGGTGAGTGCAGTCGTTTTTATTTTTATTTTTCTGAAATTATCGAGTGACACGTTGTCGTACATTTTCCACATCAGGTCGTTCCGACGAAGAAAAACGATTACGAACATTTTGGCGAATTAAATTAATCGATTCTTCTGAAATATAGAGAACTCGTAAAAGTATACTTTGCGATTGTTTCTGGGTGAATTACGGATCATAGGAGTTGCGTTGAAAAAATTACATTCATTATTGTGAATAAAAATCCTGCAAATAGTTGACTCGCGGCTCGAGCTGCTCGAGCATCGAACCCTTGTGTCTCGCGCGCTTGCGTCCGTGCAACTTGCAAGTGGCAGAGCTAGCCGCGGTACTTTTGAATTTGCTCAACTTTTCAAAGTCAATGACACTTGGCCTTGCGTTTACGCCAAGAGAACTACGATCGGATCGCTCCTATATATATGCGTACTACCTACCTACGGATGCACAGCCTTCCTCGATGAAGAAGAACACAAGGCGTGAAGACGCTGGGCGGTGGGGCAATGCCGCGCACACACACACACACACACACACACACGCGCGCGCGTCGCACACGTATGTGGTATACACGGCAAAATATGTGCGCCGCCGAGTCAGGAGTGTGCGGAGCCGGTCTGCCAAACGCGACACACGTACACACATCGTATACACACATGCGAAAAGAGAGCGAGCCACGTAGTATAATATCACACATGTATAGGCAGCCTATGTACGTCTGACTCGGCAGTCGGCGAGCCGCGTGTACTTGGGCTTAACGTGTGAGTGTTATAGCGGCGGCTTGTATACCGTTCTCCTATACTCTTGCGCTACATTTACGCTTGCTTATACACGAGTCCAGACACAGTCATATGTGTAAGTAGCCGCTGAACGCTCGCCGTATGCTGGTCTGCTACTCGTTTTTCCCAACGAGTCAATTGGTTTTCTCAACAGAGTCGAAATTTTGAGTCAGTATCACAGGTAAACTACTTGCCCTTAACGATTCTTACCAAAACTCTGGCGTGTGTGATTATCGAGTGAGATTCTTTGAGGCAATGAAGGGCCCCGTTGATCGCCCACCAACTATTACTCTTTTTATTTACCTTCGAGGCACTTATCAGCTTTGAAATATCATTTCACACATTGGTGAAAATCAAATTTCAAAGCACTACTAGAAATAACGAGTGAAACTCCGAATTATGAAAGCTACTCCGATATTGTTATGCTTTCATATGCTTCAAATAATTCAAACTATTGTGACTTTTAGTCAGATTTTTTCGACGCTAAACGTCACAAATGTTTTTCTTTGCTCGCTACCACTGACTATAAACGATCTTTAAAAAATGTAACGTGCACGACACGTCGCCGCGCTGTACAATTTCAAAATTTTTATAGGTGTTCTGTTTATTTTTATATCTCTGACTGTACAGTTTGAACTTAATTTCTCGTCGGCATCGATAATCGCACACGATTCACAGACCTCCGCTCACAATATATAATTAAAAAAAAATTATCAATCGCAGAAAAACATGCTGCAGTTACTTTTGCTCGGTCTGCGAAGTATGTTCGTCTCAGCGAACGACGCCGAGGACGTCACGGTCGAGGACGCCCCGAATGCCGATTTTCCGGGTATGCCCGGTGGCAAGATGCCCACCGCCGACGAGCTTTTAAAAATGCTCGACTCCATGACTGGACTGTCGGACGAGGATAAAGAAAACCTCCGCAGAGATCTGCTGAAGCAAGCAGCTGGTGCTCTGCCATCTGGCTCTCAAGCCGAATATCCTCAAGACGAGGGATTCGCCAGTCGCGTCGTTACTTCGCTCTTTGCCTCGCAATTCCTCGTTTTGATGGTTCTGCTCTCGATCATCGCCTTGATATTTGGTAACGATTCATCTTTGCCTCTTTACCCAGAGATATCTGATAAATATCTTTTTTTACAAGTATAACTGCGATAGGCGACTTTGGAATATGCGTTATCGGCTCTTGATTTTTAACCAGTACAAAAAACAAATCCGTTGAGTTACGACGACATATGCACGCTCGATTTCAACAAAATTTACCATTTTTTCTTTTTTTTTTTTTTTTTTTTTTTTTTTTTTTTCGTGAAAACGTTGTAAAATTTCATTAATAATTTTTTCACGCATCGTAGAGTAGTAAGCGAATTATAAAACTGTGTCATTGTGGATGAAAAGAATTGCGCAACGCATCGCAGCTGTGCTTATCTGCGACAGTTCTTTCGAATAAAATTTTATTTTTAATGCCCAAGTAATATATTGTAAAAATAATGGATTTGATAAACGGCGAAAAAGTAGACGCATTGTCAAAAATAGCCGATTTCGCTGACAAATTTAAAAATCTAAACGATACGGCTAAACGTGATTTTGTCAAATCCGTCATGGGCTCTATTAAAGATAGAATGATTGAATATTCCGATAAAAGCCCGTGGCTCGCTTGGATCGTTCATCATCAAAACTCCCTGTTTTTTATTTCGTCTCTTCTTATTCTTTGCCTGATTTTTGGTATTGTCAACGTGTCACTTGATGAATTATGTTGTTAAAAATTATCTAATTTATATTTTTTAATCTTATCATTTTTCAGTTTTCTTCGGCTACAAGTTGTACAAAAGCTTGTCCGAACGCGAGAAGAAGCGTGAAGAAAAGAAGAAAAACAAGCAATTGAAAAAGAAAAAGTGAGACCAAGATTCAATTTTTTTATCCAAAAGACTTCTGTGTGTGACAGTACCGATGCATTTTAAAACAACGTGTGCAATGGTGATTAGTGTACAGTAACGTCATCCTTTACATTTAATTTTTATGATATTTTGTTATAAAAATAAATTATATTTATAAAAAAGTATCCTGTCTAATAATTACCTTGTGAATATCAAATACTCGTGAAAATAAAATACAATTTCAAATTAGGAAATGGGCACAAAAAACGTTAAATTCATATAATGCACTAAAAATACAGTGTACTATCAAACATTTATAGTAATTTTTTATTTGTAACATTTTCAGTATTATAAGATAATTAAAATTTACTGTTAATTATACAATAGTATTACATTGTACATAAAAAATATTTACTCCAATCATTAAAACTTGACTATTCCAATAATAACTAAAATTTTCGAACATGCAATTATTTAATGCATTTCATTGAAAATATTTTAAATTTCAAATAACATTAAACAAAACCAATAAATTATTTATTATTGCAATATTTATTTTATTGGCACTCAATATTGTTATATTCTACTTTGATTAAAATTAAATAGCAGTATTACTAAATCACTAAACTATAATAAGAACAAACTAAAATTCGACGCTATTTCATCCAAAATTGTGTTACGATTGTAAAAGACATTAATTAATTTAATTTTTCATTCAAAAATCTGTACATCTTTCTGCGAGTTGTAGGAATTATTATGTCTGGTGGATGTAAATATAAATTGAAAATCACGTCAAATTCGTAAAGGTAAAAGATATTTTTATGCGAATCGCATTTTAAAATGTATCTAACTAATGTAAATTGTACATTGTTAATATAGTCATGTCGGCGATACCCGTGAGCACATAATATTCTCACTTGAATAATTACATCGTCACTGCTATAGATTTATTTCAACAAAACTTATTGAAATTATGTTAAACTAAAGTAAAATTTAAAACAAACGATAATAATTTAGCGTCGAGATGTAATATAAAGTGATTTGAAAAGTCACTCGAAAAATATCGAGTCCCAACGCACATACAATAAAAAGTAATAAAACTAAAAAAAAGTTATAACTAAAAAACGAAAATCAGTGAATGTAACTATCACATCAACTTACAATTATCTTTAATTCAAAGCGGATATTGTTTGAACTGATGAAAATTGAAAAAGAAAATTGTTTTACGAAGAGCTTGATAAGTAAAGAATTTTAAATCAACAAACAAAAGTGGGATATCTCTCTTGCATATAATATACTAGCTAACAAAAAAATAGCAACTGTCAATGAATATTTAATCGCTGTTGGAGCAACACTGGCTTAGGGATTGCACTCGTGTGAATCATGCTTCAATCTTTGATCCCGAATTACTGGGTTTCAATACAATCTTGTAGCGCCCTTCTGGTTCATCTGAAAAAAGTAAGCACGTTAATAAACAATATTGTTGGTGAAAAGAAAGCTTTAAAAATATTTCGGATAAGACAACACTCACGTCTAATTTCGACGAAGAATTTACTATCGTCCTTCATGGATGCGATGTTAACATCTTGGATGAGTATTTCGTCGTCGCAATGCTTATACATGAGTTTGTCAAGCATATTGCGAGGTAAATCAAAGATGTCCAAAAGCTTTTTTGTGAAATTGGCGACGTTAATTTTGCTCAGCATGATCGTGTGGTACACGTTAACGTGCTCGTACGCGAAGTGGAGGGTCTTGGCCGGCGAATGCAAGGCGTTGTAGATGCGTATGCCATCGACGATATTGGAGATTCTTATGAGATCGTCGCGTCTCATCCTGTAGAGATCGCTGGCGGTGCAACAAGCGAAAGTCGCCTCGTGAGCTTCGAAGTTGTTCTGTCGCAGCCAAGTGCGCACCTGCTCGGAGTTGCCCTCGTAGGGCAAAAAATCGTCGTGGCTATTGTTGTCGCTGTTATTGTTGATTTTGACGTTGTGTTCCGGCCTGCAGGCTTGATTTAAGAGGCACTTGTCGTCGCATTGCGGGGGCGATGGTACGCTGAGGTTGTTTTGCTGCTGGGCTGCTGCCTGTGTCAAGTCTCTGGCATTTTCGCTGACCGCCTGATTAGCGATCACTGGCACGAGGCTGGATGAGTGCGGCGACGAATTGCAACTGTAGGCACCGCCGTTGCAGTTGTTCTCCTGGAGGCTCTGAGGTGATCTGTAAAATCAGTGCAAAATTCCTTTAATTAATCGTCGTCGGTTTATGTTTAAAAACGTGTACAAGTTGGTGCAGCATGAGACGTGATAAGGTAAACGAATGGTTATTTGCGTTTTGCGCGATGCCTACGCGAGAAAGGCTTATCTCGGTGATCCTTATGCTCGACTAACCAGACAAAACTAGATAATGTGTCAATCCGGATTGTTGTCGGTAAAATTCCGGTTGTTTGCGCGTACAATACAATTCCGATGCACATACATGCAAGCTAAATTAACGACGAGAGTAAGTTGTAATCTTACAGTTCACGGTCCCATATGCGAGGGTGGGGTATATCGGCCTGAAAAGCCACCGTGTCGAGTCGCTTGATACGGTGCTGGCGTCTCTGTTGCAGTTTTCTGAGTCTTATCGACACACTGACCGGCCGATTTGTAAAATCCACGAAGCAGAGCGAGTGCGAGTAACGCGCGGTCAATTCCAAGCTCGATTGCGGATGACAGAGAGTCACTTCGTGCTCGAATATATAGTCCATGATGCGGTCGTGCGACAAGATCGGCTGCTTCCTTAGCCACCAGCGACTTACGAACTTCCAACCCGGCGAGAACTGTCTTTTGGTCATTCTGACTGGTTTATTCTCCTGCTGCTTCGTCATTTGAAATTCGTTAAATAATTCACAACCTTTTTGTATCTCGTGCAACGCTCCTAAGACTAGTCTGGGTTGCGCGAGCTTATCTCTTCGTCGAGTCTTGATCCTACTCAGTTTTGTCGGCAGCAGGTGTCGACGAAACGGTTTCTCGTAAAAATAATTATTTCAGTCTTTTTGTGTGCATAGGTCACTTATAGGAACTATAAGACCATCACTTAATTGTGAAAATTGGCAAATGCAACGAGTCGATGTACATGGCCGAATCTCTCGAGTGATAAGCTGATAAGACGAACTGGTATCTCCAGCTACAACTGGTCGAGCGCGTCCCAGGATCTTTCGCAGTCGTCATCCAACTGAATCAGGTCAGGTTGAACGAAAAAAAAAAAATCCAAACAAACAAAATTTCTGCTGGCGCTGTCTGTCTGGCTCTGTCTGTGTGTGTCTCTCTCTCTCTTGCTTACTTTTGATTCTGTATATTTTCAATAAGTTTCTACTTTTTACGCAGTCTTGGAGTTGAAACCGGATAAAGCCTCCCCGAGAACTAGATATGTCCGGCGATGTCACTTTTGCGGAGGCTCGCTAAAAAAACGCTTCTCCGTCAAAACTCCTTTCTTTTTATAGCCATTATTTCGCGATAGTAGATCTCTCGGCAGTCATGAATGTTCCACAATCGTCTTATCTCATGTCCCAAAGTGTCTAAACAATGAAAGTCAGATCTCTCACGTGCGGCTCTACCTTTAACGCGTAAACACTGCAGAATCACAAAAGTTACATTACTTTTCTTCGGCTCGCTTTGTCAAGTCCGTGCTTGGACGATCGGCCCGTGGCTAGGGGCTTGTCTCGTTATTTAAAATCGCGCAGCTGCCCGGTGGCTTGGCCACTCGTCATCTGCTGTGCTGCAGGTGATCCTTTCTCGGTAACAGTAGCACGATCTCGCAGCACTTGCCGTGTCTCGCAATTCCCATTCTACGAGGATTCTTGGCCAGCTTATCGGTCAGTTTGTCGTCATGGACAGCGGCGGTGGCGGCGAACGCTGAAAATCCTCGTCTCATTCCAGTGATGGTTGACACCCTTGTCGAAAGCCTGTATCGTATATCGATCTTACGCGGTCGAGAGCTGTAACGTAGGCGCGCGCTTTTGTGTCTCGTATATTATGCGCGTCGCTGTAGCGTCTTCGTTTTTGCACGAGCAGCAATTCTCGCCGGCTCAGCCACGCAAGGCTTCTCTGATCGGGCTCGGGCTGCGAGTCCTTATTGACGATTTCGTATTTTTCCGGGAGTTTTCATGACTCGTTTGTTTCGGACACACTTTGGACGAGGACGCACAAGCACAGTGGCGACGAAAGGCGCTTTATTTTTTCCTTGTTTTATCAATAAACGATGCACGCTCGGACTCGGTGTATGCTCAACGATATATCATGTCGCGCGGGTAACTGTTTCTCCTCCAAGACTATCTACCAGTTGCAACGAGAGATTGCGCAATCTCGCAAAAGTCGGCGACGATTTAAAGAAAAATCATGCGCTATAAGGAGCACTGGCTAATATCGAGAGATGCACTTTGAAAAGAAAAAAAAATAATAGCAGCAGTAGCAGGAGAATCGCGTGAATGACGAATCCGCAAAGACGATTACAAATGTCGCGCTCCGTATTGCTGAGCGATCGTCGTTGTTTTAATACTGAAAAAGCTTCGAGCGCTGCATCGCGCGCAGTCCGAGCCGACTTCGTATGTGTCAAGCTGCCCCTTCTCTGGCGTCGCGAGCCTCGCTCGGTCTGCGCGCGTATCGAGCTAAGGCCGGTTCGAGCCAGTTCGGTACATTATAGCCACCGAGCCAACGCGCCGAGCCTGAGCAAAATTTTTACTCCCACTTGCTGCTGCCGTGCGCGGTTTCATTTCATAGTTTTGCTCTCGGTGAGTGCGCGACGTCGACGCTCGTCGTGACTCTCCCTCCCCCCCCCCCTCTCTGCTCTCTTCTCTGCGGCTAATTTGCACGCGCATGGCGCCGAGTTCGTGAGCTTAGCCATACCGATCTATTTACTTTTTCTCTCGACGATTGGTTTTTAAACGAAAAATCCTTTGGAGAGCATTCGTTTATGCGCGATGAATTTACGAGCCTGAGTGACGGAACATGGAGAGTCGAGCAAAAAAATGATTAAGCGCAGGAGGGGAGATGAGACGATTCATCTCGTCGTCGATACTTTATGGAACACCCCTTTCGAGTCTCGTGATCGTAAATTGATCGGCCAATGGAAATGTACCCACAAAAAATATCATTAACACTTGTTTCGTTCGGTCTATTTTTAGCCTCATTCAATCTGAATGCAGCTATTGAAGTCGAATTATAATAACGAACGCAGAGTTGGACGATTGTCAAAGCTCGACTGCTCGACGGTCATGTTCAAGAGAAACAATTTCAACTCATTTGTTTATTCGCCTTTGCTTCGGGCAACTTCCTTCTTTTCGTTATTCTTGTTGTTATAATTATTCTTCGTATTATTTTCATCGTCATTTCTCATTCTTTCGCAAGTCACCATCTATCGCATAACATTATCAGGAAAACTTCAATTTGTAGAAACAAGAGACCAGACAGATTAAGTTCTCATTCGAAAATCTTATTTGGGAAGCTTATCGTTCGCTCGGGGAAAGTCCCCAAAAATTTGTGAAACTCGCATACGTATTATAAGCTTTAAATTACCAAACATTCGTAATGATAAAGAGCCCGTGGACTTAATTCATCTTTATTTTGATTAGATATTAAGCTCGACAAGGAAGAAAGAATGATCAAATTTTCAGCAAGTTCCTTTAAAAATAAGACGTAAGCCGAGCAGTATGTAATTACAAATATATCACTGCATGTGCATCATTGAGCGAGTTGACGCGCAGTTATTCATTTGGATCTTAGTACTAAGTGGCATGAACATCTACAAAGTTTCTAAATGATTCAATTGGAAATCGGCCTTGGTTGTCGCAATTGATCGCTCTTTCTCTCCCTCTCCCTCTCTCTCTCTCTTTCTCTTGTGTGTGTATGTGAGTGTATGTGTGTAAACACATACGCGCGAGCACACTATGAAAAATGATTTCTTATATGTGCAGTGGTATACGATTTCTAATGACTTGAAATGTGATGAGTTATTTTCCAAATCATGTGCAGCGTCGATCATTGCACCAAATGAAAGCATCGATGCAACGCGTAGCTAAATTTGCAGCTTTTGTCAGGCGCATTCGTTCCGACTAATAAATGCGCTCGTGCGTCGTACCGGTTTCAGGTAGTTTTCTATTGTATTGTAGTAAACCAGACTTGCAAACTAGTTTCAAGCGCAACCGACATCCATTTTTGCGTGTTAATGACCACCAACGAAAACATTTGTAAGCAATTAAAATCTAATTAATATGTTTCGAAAAAAATCTTACTGAAAAAGTTCGGCATTTTTGCGTTGGAGAGTAAATACTGCTTGCGAAATGTATTGTAAGTGTGGCGAATAAAAAATTCATGGATAAACAATTGAGACGACTTCTGAATGAAACTCGCTTGAACCAGAACTCAACAGTTGAGAGTCTTTGTACTTATATCGTTTGGTTATTTCCGGCTTAATTAAAAATCGTACGATAAGCAAAAAATATTTGCCGGATTATTCTTTATTCGATTCTGATAAGGTTATCGCAATAAATTTAAAATGCATCTGAGGGGTAAAAATAGTTTATCTCAATTCAACTCACCCAGCTTCGTTCGAAGAGTAAGGACTTTCTACGTTCTGAACTGTGTTGCTTGATGTCATGAGAGAATCCGATGCCGACTGAAACAGAGAAATTTGTGTTTTTAAAACCTTACGATGATGTAATTTTGCGATATAACTAGATTTGTAAAGCTAGTAAATTGATTTCCAAATTGAAGTTGACGATATATATTTTTATTTGCATAAGCATTTAAAAAAAGACGAAGTCACTTATTTGAACATACGGCGCAAAAAGTACAATGGCATACACGTTACCCACACGTCGCATTTTTACGAAACGTATATTTAATCAGCTGAGCATACTTTTGCTTCGAACCCGAAAATTTGATTGTATGAAAAATCGTAAAGGTATTCAAGTTTGGGAATCGAGCAAGTGAACATGAACGAGTATTACCTCGATGAGTACGGTATGCTCGTAGCTAGGCTGGTACTTTTGTTGCTCGTGTGGGGGTCTACGACGTATCTTCTCGCGGTCTTGTTTATGTTTTCGATCGGCCCCTTTAAGCTTGAACACTTTGATTTGGCACGAGGCTGCATGAATTCTCTGCCCTTGAAGCGAAGTTTCCACTTGGATCCTGAAGGGTACACCCTTTTCCCCACCGTGTTTTTTCGGCGTAAACTCCGTGCTTATGCAGTTAATCTAGAAGAAGTTGCAAAAAATTCGTTTAAAGCCAATGAAGTGGAGATTAGACGTAGAAATGATTGTCGAGAACAATAGTCGTACCTTGATGTAACAGACGGCCTCTTTAGTTGGGTCCCAGGTGAAGTCGACACCGTTCAAAATCGACGTAGATTGCGCCACATCGGACAAGCCGAAGCATTGGGGCACGTCGACCTCGAGGAGGCGCTCGTTGACGTGGGTGCGCTGCCACTCGAGGATGTGCTCGCGTTCGGTGTATTGCAAGCGGCGCTCGTGGAAGCACATGCGAATGGTCGACTGCACACAACGCAAGAAGAAATTGGTCAATTTATCACGAATCGTCGCGGGGAGAGCTCTGTTTTATCGGGAGCGCGCGGGATACTCACCCTCAATAGTTTGCCTCGCCAATTCGAGAGATCGCCCATGATTTTGAGCTTGATCTCGTAGGCTTGTCCTTGGTTGAGGTAGGTAATGGTCTCCTCGTTGATCTTGGTCGCGATGCTCGTGGGGGCGTTGAGGGCGTAATGGAAGCTGCAAAGAAACAAGTCATATAGAGTCGATCGCTCGGTCGGTAATCGGACGAGGAAATAACAGCGGAGCCGGTGGGCAATTACCGATTCTCCCCGTCGTTGGTGCATTCGTTGGCCGGATGGGGCGACGATACGTGACCGTTGCCGTTGCTGGGATACTCTTCGCCGGCGCCACTGGGGGGGTAAATCAGAGCATTGTGCATGTGACTACGGGTTATGTTATTGACGGCGCCGGACTCGTGCAACACGTTGGCGACGTTCTCGCCTCGGGCATGGGGTACATGCATCTGCCGATGAGCGCCATTAGTCAAGCTGTAACAGTTCAACGCATGTAACGCATCGACGTTTTGCAACTCCGGCATGCTAAAACATGTTTCATAGTGATAATTGCAGTCAAGATTAATTGTTTTCAAGTCAAGAGCTTACTATAAATTGTAGTAGATGGGAGGCGGTGAGCCGATTCTTGGATCGAAGCTTCGCATGATATTTTATGCAAACGTTCCACTTTATGATTTTTATTATTTTATAAGTATGTATGTAAGTGTGTGAAAAGTCGATGTGTGCGAGTGCGATACGTTCTGAGCTCGCGGGTATCGCCAACTTTCTTGCGAAAATCTTGCCTACGTGGTGAGCACGCGAGTAATTTTTTCACGAAATAAATTATAACGAATTTAAAATAAAGAAATTTTAATGATTTTGGTAATACTGCACTAAACATATGAACACAAAACGGCCGGGAGCGTAGGATATTTTCATCGATAACATGGAAGCCAGAGAATATTTCAACAGTTCATGAATTTAAAGAAACGATTCATGGCCTCGTAGAACTTGAAGATCTTCATTTTGTCGAATAAATTAATCACAAATGGTCGATAAAGGATCCAGCGCGTCGCGTGAACTACGATTGCAACGGCTGCCTGCTGGGCAGCAGCGAGAGGAAAAAAATAGAAAGGGAAACCCGCGTAAGCACTAAAGGCTCGCAACTGTCTCGGCACCGAACTGCTGCGCGGCTGCTCGCAGTCGAGCAAGTTTTTCGATACTAATGTGTCTGATGTGATAAGGCCCGACACTAGCTGCGTCTTTCCGTACGTACGAGAATATTATATTATTTGACCCCGCGCGCGCGCGCGCGCGTGTAGCGAGATAAAGCACCCGACAGACAAGACTTAATATACATATTAAGAAGAGCGTTTAAGTGTGTTTAACATAATACACACATATGTAAATAAGACGAGCGAGTGTCGATTTGCGTGCAGTGCTCCGCCGCGCAGTGTGCCCCCGGCGAGCTCTTCGTACGCGTGGTGTATCTCCGAGAGGCGATGCGCACCAGCGACGCCGACTTATACATTAATTCACATGCTATATAGCTCGCTGCGCAACGATAATACTCGAGAGAGAGAAAGAGAGAGAGTGAGCTTCTGTGCCGTCACGATCGCGCTCGATAGCTGTATCAGGCCTGTATATTAGGCCTGTACGAAATCCGACGACTCGACTAAAATGTATTCGGGATCGACTCACTTGTTGCTATTGCTCTTATTGCAGCTGTTCTGCTGATTTTCCGGGGATGGAGCTTCTTGCTTGAAGACCATGAGCGCATCGGTCGGCAGATTCATCAAAGCTTCGCTGCGAACACAAGAGGCAAAAAGAAACGTTAATTCAAAGGTTTCTTGAGCGAGCTTTCAGAGGCCAGCCTCTAATATCGATCTCTATATGCAGGACGTCTCCTCGCGCGACTACTACCTAGATTTTATTTGCAGCATATTCGAGTACATTACGATCGTAACCTCGTGACGAAACGACGACAACCAAGTCCAAAGGTACGCATTATACGAATCGACTCGTCGCCGTCGACTGAGTCTCGGCACATGCGAGCGAGCCCGAAGAAGGGGCTCGCAAGCCCGTGTAAAAGTGCCTTTATGCCCGATCGTATTGTGTCCGTGTGTACGTGTGTCGCCGCGCGTGTAAGAGTGCCAAGTGTTATTAGGGCTTATTAAAGTAGTTGTCGTGGTCAATCGTACGCGCTCGCCATACGTGTACTAGGCTCGAATCAATTCGATATTTACACGCTCGACGCGCAACCCGGACTTTCATTGTTTTTACATCGCTTTACGCGTGAAAAAAGAGGAGAACGAGACTTCCATACGAGCTGGAAACGAAAATGTCTGCCTCGTATAGGGCCAACCTAAACCAAACTCCACGAAAATTATTTCGTATTTCATGTTTGTACGGGTGCGTTGAACTGTGTCGCTCGAGAAATGATACCCAGCTAACGGACAACAATACGCGTGCTTTTTGAAAATGATTGTGCGAAGAATGAAATGACGTTGCTTTCTCGCTTTGACGCCTCGAGCGTTTTACAATGCATCGAAGCGAAGGAAAAAAGACGCGTAATTGGCCATACCTAACTGGTTCGAGCCGGCTGATAGAGCTTCAATTTCGTACATCATAAGACAGGAGAGGAACTTGGTAATAATTCAATCACGCGCATTCAACACCTCGATTAAAAAACAGTGTCATCGGTACATTTTTTTTTTTTTTTCATTTTAATTCTCTCCGCTAATTCGCTTTAGTCAGACCGCCGCTCAACGCGCAAATTATTCTTCGCTCGTTTAAATCTTTTTGTCGCGTGCAATTATCGATCGATATATATACCGACTTTGCAGCCTTTAGTCGAGAAGCAGGTGTCTGTGACTATGCGCGCGTCAGAACTTTCCGAGTCATTTCGCGATCGTCAGTTACAGTGTCGAGTTTCTTCAGTTACTTGCAATCCATTATCGTCGACGCACTCGCCAGACAATCAGCCTTGTAAGTTTGACAACGAATGCCCGATCGAGTAAGCTTTTTCTAAATTATTTTATTCGCGTTACTTTAGGGGGATTTTTACTTACCGACGATGTCTTAAGTAATGGTGCATTTTATATTCGATTCTATAATGCAGTTTTGAAAATTTTACGAGCAATTTGTACGAAATTAACAATCTGAGATCGTGATTCTTTAATTCACACTGTCAAAATTTCACTTTTTTCTTACACTCAAAAACATGATTTAGGCACGAGATATGTATTGCGCGTGACAAGTAGTACAAGTCAATGATTCACTCGGCACATGATCAAACTCAATCACAGTAGTTAGTAATAAAATTATCAATAGTAAAAGTACACTGAATGGCAATATGTCTTGTTTCCGTACGCTCTTGTTGCGATTTTATTCTGTCTCATAGCTTTGACAAGTTCGACGTACACCGTAATAATGTATTGCATGTAATATCAATAATAATCGGAATTTTATATAAAGATCAACTTTCTAGTTACAACCAGAATTAACCGGATTTTTCTCTCGTTTGACACTCTGTACAAACATGATTCGGTATATTTTTTATACTAAAAAAAAAAATTAAAAAAAAAGAACAGAACAAAGCTCGAGGGCGGAGGACGCGTATTCCTTAGAGTGTACTCAAGCGCGCTTGCAATTTTATCACTCATTGCAAGGCGCAGATGATATGCCTACATAGGATATTATACATGCACTTTTTCCCCTTCTTCTGATCTGTATATATACAAGCCTGAGAATGTGTAAGCGCCTATCCGTTCATTGTAATGATTGTGGGAGATAATGTGATGTTTACCTCTATCGTTATTCCAAAATTTTTTGAGCGCTGCTAACAATTGATGTATCAGCTAATGTATGAAATTGGATATTTACTTTCAAAAGGTTTTTTTTTTCAATTTTTAATCAGATAAGAGTTAATCATGAACTATGGAAAAAAATTTAAACATATTCCAATATGTACACATTGAATCATCTGAGACAATTGCTAGTCATATTGATTAGGAATTTATAACCGACCGTCGGTAGTTTTTCAGGCGATTGTTGATAATGTCGATTTCTTTTTCACCGCAGTCGGTACAGTAGACATCGAAAATTTATTGACAAATTCATAATCCGAAACTAAACCGATACTGACATTATAAAGAGTGTAAATTTATGATTTACCTCATAGAGTATGTGTTCGTCACATCTTGGACGGCAAAAGCTGACGTGATATCAGCAAGATGCTCAAGCCCGAGTTCCTCTTGCCAATTTTGTGAGCCATCGCTTCCAGAATGCCCTGAAAATATGTTATAATTAGCTTTTTTACGCTTAAAAAATGTTTTATACCGAAATCAAAAATCTTATTATTAAAATATCAAATAGAAGTTTCATCGAAACATCACCGTTTTATCAGCGACTCTAGTGCTGACGTAGGTGCATATTTACTTTTGCCTTGTTACGAAATTCGCTAATCCCGCCAACTATTTCTATATAACGAAAATTTCATACGAACGTACACCCCAGTTACTAATACTTAATATATAGAAACACTGAGATCTAATTGTCATCAGTTTTATAAATTTTTTTATAAATTGATCATAGTTTCTTCCATAATTTGGATAAGAAAGGTATTAAAATCAAATAAATGCTGAAACACAGTATTATGATTATTGTGGTCTAACCAGGTTCCAAAGTGACAGCAGGTCATTAATCTAATTTAACCACGAAAAACAGTAATCATACGTATTCAAAAGAAATGTTCAATTTGTATGTACGAAGCTTTCAGATTTTTTAAGAATATAAATAATGATAATCATTTTTCAATTACTTAATGTTCAAGATCATATGGAATCATTTTATACCATATCCTTTTTTAAAAATAGATAATTAATAAAAAAAGCTTTCTTTAGGAGAGAGCATAATTTCATATACTTCTAATAAATTTATTCGTTGAACAGAACAAAAATTATTTACAATTTGAATCTATCAAGAAAACCTTTTAATTTAATTATTAATATATAATTAAAATTTTAATTATATTTTTTCCGCTTCAATCTGAAATGTGCAATTTTGACGTTAATTTTATGCTTTTGGTAGAATATGTTCTCAATTTGTGCAAACGCGGTTTTTAAGTGAAATTTTGTGTCCTTTGACCCCTCGTTGTTTTGGAAAATCATCACTTATTGTACAATATTTCATTAATCAGATAAAATAATGGCAACATTTATAGCAAGGCTGTTTCAAAGATGTATTTTAGAGTATACAAATACAGGCAAATGTTGCAAGCGCTCGTACAGTCTGCTCGCTTTCGTTAAATAACCATGGGAGAGAGACGAGAGATATAGCCCAGACCAGGAAATTAATGATTGACCCATTGAAGCATACATACGCGCTCATATACACGCACACGCGTTTAGTAACAACAATAGACGCTGCTCTCACTTTGCAACTTGTAAAATTAATTACGTACTTCGTCTACGACGAGTGCGTCTGTCAATCTGTATTGAATGCTTGTGAAAATTTGAAAGCATTTTAATTCATAAAATGAATGATTTTTCGGTTATTAATTTGACGATCGACATATTGCAAAACTTTTTTTAAAAAAATCAGTAGCCTTGATCCAAATCGTTCACGATATTCTTACACGTAAGTTCAGGGTATATGACAATCGTTAATATAGTATAAATCAAATGAGGTTTTCATTAAAGCCGCTTAAAATATAGCAGAATGCTACGTTGTCAACGTTTACAAGTTTATCTCTTAAGTAAATAATAGGTGAGCAGTCGGGTATGTTATCATATTAGGAAAATTTTCACCTTTTTGTCGATTCTATAATAACATAGAATTACCACACGTTTTATTGTCATAATCAGCATTAAAATTTGTGAATTATTTTAATGGTGTGCAATCATGTTGAAAATATGTGATGATTATAGTTTCAGTGTAAAAGCATGAACCATGCTCACCATTTTTACGAGTGATTTTTCTCTCGATTGGATTCTGATTATTGAACGGAACATCCTCCACGCGTCTTTTACGCGACGATTGATTTTGTTGTTGTTGTTGATGTTGTTGATGTTGTTGTTGCTGCTGCTGCTGTTGTTGTGGTTGTTGTTGTTGTTGTTGCTGTTGTTGTTGTTGTTGTTGTTGTTGCTGAAGTTGAGTCGACACCGACTGCAAATTCGTGAGGGTTTGCCTGTATGCAGGCGATTGGCTGTTGCTGCTGCTTGAACTAACCGGAGAATCAGGTAGACATCCGAACTGAATCTGATCCGGTGGAGAGTTCTGAGAGGATAATTGTTTCTCCTCTTGCCAAATGATTTCTGATCCACCTTGGTAATTTAAAATTGTCTGTTGAAGAGAAAATGGACATGAATTTTGAGTGTGAGACTAATATTTTAAGAAGAGGTAATTAGGGTATCGTAATTTTAAAATAAATATTCCAAATTTCTTAAAAACCACGTCTCTAAATTATAAGATATATTTTTCTCGAAAGATAAAAAAATAGATCAAACGATGCTGAATGGTGTGCCAAATTTCAGGATATCTTATCAGAATGTTGAATAAGTTTACTACAAAAATAATAAAATTACGACCTATCCATTTTGAGATTTTATCAATGTCATCTTGATTATTCATATTACAATGGAATTTTCAAATTTTCTCCATAAATATGTCAAAAATATATTGCTAAGTTTTTCGAGAAAATATATGTCGCTTTAGTTTTTGTACTGACAGTGACAATATAGTAAAGTGTCATCTCTCAATCTGTCGCGCCATGAATCATGAAATTGGCCTAATTGCAATGCTGACGTTACAGTGCGGAAAAAACAGTCTGTTGTATTCTAAATTGACATAAGTAACTAATGAAAAAGTTCTTATTCTTGAACAACCGGTAACTTTTATTTAAACATATAGATCGAAAAAAATAATAAATTAACAACGAATATAGCGGAAGATTGTGAGACTAAGTGTTATTCCCTCCAAAACTTCTGTATGCATGTGCGGTATAACAGACGAATTGCGCTAAAGCTGAACTGTTTATCATCTACATCATGGAAAGGATTATTTTATTACGAAACAAACAGACCCTAAGGAATTATTTCAAATGAATAAAAGCATATACATAAAAACGGTTACTTAGATGTTTGAGTCACTAATATAATAAGTTACTTCAAAACTAAGCCATTTTTTTAAATGTTTTTGGAAACACAAAGTTATTTAATGTTACACAAGTGATGCAATTGCCTAGCTTGCATAAATTTCAAATGTGCTTTTATCTCAAGCATATCTCAATGATATAATAAGCTACATTCCCCAAAACTAAATTTGATACATTTACAATTAAAGTAGATAAGAAAGATGTTAGAAAATATCAAAATGGACAGGTGCAATGATAAGATAGTAATGATATAAAAAATACTGTGTATCATTGGTGCATATTTAATGACGATAGTTTCATTCAAAATTTAGGTTTAGCAAAGACACCCTGCCATCATCTGCAGTTTTTCTCCAAATTTTACCATACATGTGTTGTTTCGCGATTAAAATCATGTATCAATTGTAACATTGGAAGGGAATATTAGTTAGATTAAATAATTGGCAGGATAGAAGTAAAAATTGCGTTGGATTTCAACATTTATTCAGAAATCTCAGTGAAAAATCAATTTTAACTCATGATCGAGTGGAAGAATCTGAATAGTTTAAATGAATATCACTAGCGATGTATATACAGTCAATTGAAGTTACTCGCAAGTTAGAATGAAAATTTATTGAATGTTACAATTCGCTTTTTAGTCATTCTATTCGAGCTTAGCTTACATGTTTGTTATAAAAAAATGTTGAAGTAATATACTTTTAAATGTAAATAGTAATGATCAAATATCTTTAATATCGAATATTTGGTTAATATATAATGATAAGTAAGTGATTAGTCGGTTAAGATTAAAAGTATATAAAAATGAAATAGTTTTCTGATGGCTTGTAAAAGATTACCATAAGAAACTGAAATAGACCGAAAAAGTGGGTGGCACGATATGAAGATTATAATTTTACGGCGTGTAAGACAATTTGAATTCATCATTTAAAATAATACTATTGTGCTAAGGTAGAATTTTAATACTTACTGAGTGTCCAACAATTGCGTCACAATCATTCGACTTGTTCGGCGACATTTGCTGATAATTCGCGGAATAGGAATTAGAGAGCCATGCAGACTCTATATCCGGATCCATTGTAAGCTGTGACAGCTCCATATGATAACGTCGAAGTATAATTTACTCCAAATAATTTCAATCCTAATTTACAATTCTATTTTTTCTTCCCTTTTTAATAAATTTGGCAATTGGAAGAAAATGTGAAGAAAAAAGAAAGCACAAAGTTCCCAATTGAATTTGTTCTAATTTCCTTTTGAATTCAAAATAATCAATTATATGTCCTTGATCTAGTTAATAAAAATTTCAAGGGAAGCGAAATGCGTCCTGAGTACCTAATAAAATACCTCTTGTTTATTTTCGTAGTGTCTTGGGATGCTACGAAAAAGGCGCTGTATTTCTCGGAGAAGCGATCGCCGCCGATACGAATGACAGTCGGTATCCTGAGATACGTTTGAAAAATTTATTCATTCGTACATACCAAGCAGGCATAACCAGAGAGTCGTTTTTGGCTACTTTCGTTTCCAAGACCTCATGATGAAAACGTCTTTTGGTTTACCACTTTAGGTAACTGTTTATTAGACGCTGCTCGTCAACACAATAACGTAAACACAGCGTAAGACGTCCTTGCGAATTAATTTGTCTTTTCTACGATCGAGAAAAAAGGGTTTGCGACTCTGAAGAATGGCCCTCGTAGGTGACGCGATCGGGGTTTCCATTAATTTTAGAACATCACGAAGAAGCTGTTATACAACTTTTTGATGCCGGTCGTCTCACGTTGTCGGTGTGTTTCGAGGAGAGCGCAACCACGCGATTTCAGCGCCAAAAATCGGGAAAAGACGACGAAGGCGTCCTCGAACACCATTGCAACGCCCTGACTGCAGCGCATTTTTTCCCCTTGAAAGTGAGCAGCGATGATGGTCGCGATGATGATCGGCAAGCCCCGCTGGGCAGACTGTACAAGATTCGTGCCCCCGTGGATAGGGCCGGTGGATGCTTTCCCGACTGGCAGAGGTAGAATTCGATCGAGACCGCCAACTGGTCCCAATGAACGAGCCTTTTCCCAGTTCGTTGACACCGATTCCAAACAATCTCCCTCGTCGATCTCAGTCGAAATTGACGCAGGCGCTGAAGCTCGATCGAATTCGAGACAGAGAGAGAGAGAGAGAGATTACCGGAGCGAGAGAGGCCGTAGAGAGGCGAGAGCGAGAGAGTAGTAAAGTGGCGACGCTGCCACGTGCGAATGGCAGCTGTGCGGTGGACTCACGAGGGATCTGAAGACACCTCGATGAAATCCGAGAGGGAGATCGAGCTCCCGCTTCTCGAGAGAGAACTAATATATGCTCAGCTAAGGACTACACGGCTCACACACTGATTAGTGTCTTGCAGTTTTCAGGCATCAGCCCAGAACTCCCCGTCACCACATTTTAACGATCCTGCGTTTCATGGTAAGCAGATGGGTGGGAAAACGCGATGAGCAACGGAGAAAGCGTTAAGGCGGAGCAGTAGGCGCGCGCGCGCACACGCACACGGCACACGCACACTCGTATATGCACTGCCGGGACCACCGGGATGAGCTCGGAGCGCACCGAGGATTCGCAAGGAAACGACACTGACTAGCCCCACAACACCACCACCACCACCACCACCACACAACTTTTGCACTGAGAATAGGCGGCCACCGATCGGGGAGTTGCTCGGAATCGCAACGAACAACACGTGGAAAGTCAACGTCTTTCGAAAAGCAGCAACCAGTAGAGATGGGCCATTCAAATGATAGGAGCGAGGCAAGCTCAGCTCGAACGGCGGGCCTCGGTTAACGTATAAGCTGATCTGCGATGATCAGCGGTGCACGAGCAGAGAGAGAGAGCCCCGGAAAAAAGGCCACTAGCGACGCTACGACAGTACTGTTGAGAGTAGGCCACTGCCGAACGAGAAGAAGCGGCGGCAACGGATCGTTTGCACGTGTACAAAGTAAGTATATAGCTGCTCTCCTGTGTCTTAAGTCTGACTGTTGGCGCTCGTGGACGTTTTACTATACTACGCGCTCGCTTAAAACAGAGAGCGAGAGATAGAGAGAGATAGAGTACGTAATGTAATGTACGTATATATAACGAGCATATACGTCTGTATACGAGAAAGAGAAACCCGATAGAGATTAGATAGATAGAGAAACAGGCGAGTCGCGCCGAGTTGGAGGAGCGAGCGAGCGAGCGAGAAAAACTCGAGTGACGATTTTACGAAAATGACTAAACGACCAATGAAGCGAGGGAGAGAGAGAGGAAAACCTAATCTATCGGCTCGTCTCCTGATCAAGTTCAAGAGCGACGGGAGCTTGCTATATATTGAATATATAAAATATATGTATGTATCTATCTGCTCGGGGATCTGTAACTCCGATCGCGGCGACGTGGGCAGCACTGATGCTGCTGTGTCTGGCCAAGATGACAAGGCGAGCGCGCGGGATCGCGAGCAATCAAAAGTGCGGGGAAGGGAGCGCGCGCGAGGCTTTATTAGCTGCAAGTCCGAGCCGAGCGAGCTTCTTGGGCCTCGCACAAACGCACAAATGCGCGCAGACCTGACCAATCAGTGCTACGAGCTCCGACCAGAGTCGCTTTCAATTGAAATCACTTGACTCGCTTCTCGCTTCTCGTTTCGTAGAGAGAGAGAGAGAGAGAAAGAGAGCAATGACGACAATGCCGAGGCCGCAACGCACGCCGATCTTTGCTTCGAAGCTCCTGCAGCAGCGGCTGCGGCAGCGGCACCTAACCCCGATCACAGCGCGACGAAAACACGCACACGAGATCTCGCTATGGAAGAAAAGTAAGCGAGAGAGAAATGAAACGCCTCGAGTCGTAATCAGCCGAATGTTCCGCTGTGTGTATCGGAGCCGAAGAGGAAAAGACCATGTATAGCGCGGAGCTCTTATCTACCGCGCACAGCTCGACTACGCGCTGTTGTCACGTCGAATTCCTAGGGCTCCTTGGCTTCTCGAGTCGATGCAACAACCGCTGATGCGTCTTTGCGCCGCTGCTGCTGCCTATCGAGATTGCCCAATCGCACAGCTTGGCCCAGCACCTGCAACAGTTGGAAAAGCACACGTTTTACTATCGTCCTTCTCCGATCCGTTATTAGCCCTTTTGTTTTTTTTCTTTCTTTGCCGCCTTACATCATCGACGCATTCGTATGTAGGAGCGTTTGTTTGCGCTCGCGGGGGCTTTATCGCGCATTACGCTTTTGCCAATGTTAAATAACCAATTCATCCGATTGCCTGTCTCTCGATTCCGAGCGACACCTCCTGACGGGGCCTCGCTCGCTTTACGTGAAATTCATCGCTTGAATTTTTATAAGCGACGATGGCTTTAAAAAATGCCGCAGCTTACGAGCTTGGATACTCTATTACGAGTCATTTGGCTCGGCTCATAGCCCAATCTTATCAAAATTCTCTTTACTTTTGTTTGAACAGACAAACTAGAATATACACGCGAGGCGTACAACTTTATAAAGATACGTGAAATTAATTTTTTTTATTACTTTTGTCGAACGCTTATAAAAGCTCTTCGGTCGTCGTCGGTCGGTCGGTCTTTTGCGCGTCGCGCCGCAGCAGAGAGCAGTTCTCGGACGCGCGCGAGAGAGGGAAAACTAGCCTTTGGAATCGGCGCGCGGGATGTAATATCGGGTATGATTGGTGTCAATAGGAAAGGTCGATGAGCGAGCGCTTTGAAACGCGACTGCCGAGAGGCATTATATACGCGCAACAACATGCATGTACATACACGCAGAAAATAATTTTTACAATTCGTTCGCGCCACGCGATGGATCATTTTATCGCCGCATTAAAGGTCTCGAAGTGCGAAAAATAATTAAAAACAAATTAGCCCACTTGCGTTGTTGAATTATTCTTTGTTATTTTTGTATTAAATGAAGCACGATTATAATGAAAAGTTTCTTTGTTTTTTGGTCGATTACGTGCGAATTACTCGCGATGGTGTTGCAACATTAACGAAGCGAGATACTTGGATCGACTTGTTAATGAATGGTTTTTCTTATCAATCAATATTATCGTGTGAGTGACGTAGACTTTAATTTCTCTTCGCAAGTTTGGTGTTTAAAACGTCATTTTATTTACAGATCTACATTAGTACAAAAGATGGAAAAATAATAAAGTCAATAAAACTAGCAGTGAATCGTGCGACACTGCTCGAGACTCCTGGCGCACTCGTCCTCGAGAACGGAGCTCCAGACTTGATAGCGATGATTGAGTCCGGGCACGGAGTGCAGGGCCGCTTTGCTGCCTAAAATACCGGTCGCCGAGTTCGCGGCGCCGTAAAATATCCGCGACACCCTGGAGTGCAGCAGCGCCATGGAGCAGAGAGGACAGGGCTCTCGCAGCAGCACGGCCCAGTAGCCGGTGCACAAGTACGGCCTCGTCTTATCGCTCGGACTCGGCCTCTTCTCTTTCTTCTGACTCGTTTTCGCCGGATTCAGAGAGCAACTCGCAGGAATGTCTAACTTGGCTAGGCTATGAGGATAACGCAGCGCTTGGCCGTCGTCCGGGTGCTTCCTTTTGCAAGTTCCCTCGCGCCTCTCGTCTCTCGAGCGATCGCTCGTCGTCAGCGACCAAGCACCGCCACCCTGGCTCTTCGCCACCAGATCCACCGCCAGCATCGAGGCGTGCCACATGGGGTGCTTGTCCATGCTGGACGCGGCGATAGCCAATATCCTTCCGCTCTCTGGATCGATTATGAGGGCACTTCCGTTGCATTCCGCGGATCCCACCGCCGCTTCTTTGGCAGCGGCGATCGCCAGCCTCATGCACGCTTCGATCGAGGCGAGCTGCTCTCGCTCGAAAATAGATCCACGAATTAGCTCTTCCAAATCGATGTCCGGATGAAAGTTGACGGGCCAGTGCTCCAGTGCTTGAGCGGCTTGTGATTTTGTCCTGGGTGCGACGGAGGCGTTGTTCACGATTTCCAGATCGTCTTCGATCGAGTCGACGTCGAAATCTTTTTCGGCCAGGAACGTCTTCAACTTGTGCGAATCTCCTTGGAACTTGTCGATCGGCGCTAGGTAGATTCGTAAACCGGAGCAACGCTTCAAATGCTGAGGGATCGGCAGGCACTTGGCTAGGCTCTGAATAGCTCGGGAAATGAGCTTCTTGTCTTTGAGAACGGCGACGAAGGATTTTTCAAGAATCACATCGCCGGTTATCTCTTTTGATAGAATCGGTTGTGGTTTCCATGTGAATTCATGCTTCTTCGATTCGACTAGATCTCTGGTCATTTTTGCCGCTGGAGGCTCGGGATCCATCTTCGACTGCTGTTTGACGGGGAAAACAATGGAGAATTTGAGACTCGGTGCAGTTGTGACTCTGAGGAAAACATTTTTAATTCTAATTCCTGGCAAAAGTTTCGTTAAAAAAAGAAGGAAAGATATACATCGCGACGATAGCGACAATTGAGAAGTGCATCCGTAAAGCACGTGGCATTGCATCATGGATCGAGAAATCGAGTCTAATTGCAACAAATGGATTATTCGACGTGAACGTTTTGCTTTTATATAAGGAGTTACGTAAAGGATTATTGTTTAATTTATCCTAACGCTATCTAAATTATGCCGGCCAATGAGTGTCAACGTGCCCATAAACTTGGTGAATCCGCTTGTTTTTCGCTATCTACTCATGAGAACTGCCATCGTCCGTTCGAATCTGTATAGACGAGCAAAGAAGACGAAGAAAAAGAAGAAGGGTCGGCTTTTAAATTGCTGTCAACTTGGGCCACGGTCGAATCGTTTGATAGGCGACGGCAATTGTTCGGCTGCTTTTGAGCGCGCGTCCGACCAACATCAACGCGATCGTCATAGCCGAGCGTGTAACATTTCGATCGCGCTCTCTAACTCTTCGTATCGTTTTTTCTTTTCTTTTTTCTCCCTTCTTCTGCTTTTTGCGGTTTATTTCGTAAATTTTGATTTCGTCACAGGAACCGTTGCAGAAACTCGGCGGATTTGATGAATATGCGTACGCTCGGGCAATAGCAGCATCGAATCGATCCTACAGTTATAATATATTCGGCACGTCATTTCTCGAGGCGCACAATAGGGAGGAGTCTCGAAATCATGAGTAGCGCGCGCGACGACCTTGAGCGCAAAATCTGCCAAGGCGCAATTTCACAGGTGTTGGAAAGCCCGTAACTCTACTTTTACATAGCGTAAGTATAATGAGTTTTTCCTCGCAGTCTGAGGTATGCAGTCGTAATCTCTTATCGAATGCGTCGCGCGATGCTGCTGCCTATATCGCCCCGCGCACCTATACCAAGACCGACGACGAGCCTCTCTTTTCTCGCTTGGCCTATACCTATACGTACTATTATGATCCCGCGACGATTTATTTTTCTATCTGACCCCTCGCTTTATCGGACAGTATCGATTTTTCATACCATCCTGGAGTATATAATATGCCCTGTATCGAACTGTCTCGTTATCCGTCGAGTCGTCGACTCGTGCCTGCGCAGCTCGAATAAATCTTTTTTGCTTTTCATTCCTCGTGCCGCCCCGTGTGACTTAATCTAAAAGCGCGACAACGAGCATTTTGAAATGCCTTCGCGCACACCTTATCTGAAACTTGCGCGAATTATTCAACGATTCACTTACACTTTATTTAATCAATCGTAAACTAATAAATGATCAGTTGGAATTGCATGTTATGCTTTTTACCGCTACTTTACTGCGTCTATAAGTATATGCGAAAGTTCGAACGTACACTAATTTATGAATTATTTACTTCGGTACTACGTTGGAATTTCTACTTTTTTTTCTCCTCGTTAATCGAAAGGACGATCAAATCGGCTAAAAACTGGTTCTCGCACCGTATATTTGACGTCAGTCGCGGTTTTCGAATGCATCTCGATATTCTGTATTTTGGATTTTTGTTTTACTTTTACGCATGCATGGATGACACACGTCTGCGTAACAAAATCCTGACCATTTATTTGCGGATTGATCTGTTTAGAATACGCGTTTAGCCGGTTGAAAAAAAAAATCAAAATGAGAAAATAATTGTGTAATCGCGCGCAATAAAACTCGTTTTCAATAATGCAGCCGGTTGTAACTCATCGACAATTATATTTGCACATGCTCGTACGCGAGCGTGCTTAAACTTTTAATTAGACATTTAATTGCCGAAATTGCGAATCATTTTTTGAAAATTTACAACCCTATGGGTGGTGATTATAAGAGCGATTGAAAAAAAAAAAAAAAGAAAAACATATTATTGGCATATTTACAGTGGACATTGGGTGAAGTAGAATACAAACAGCTATATAGCAAGTAGATTATTACCTTGTTCAGTAAGACTATCTTGCAAGCTGGCATGTATATCTACTTGATTATTTTCAGATAATGAAAAATTTATCATTCAACCAAAGTGTTTGTAGTTAGTTATTTTATACATTTGTTAGAAAATAAAAGTTTAATAGCAAAAAAAATTAATTCACAAATCTTTTTTACAGCCTTCCAAATAAATGTTTCAATTTGAAGCCGAGTAAATTTCATAATAGTTCACAGATTCAATGAATACAAAATGGGATTTTCCATTGATATTAAAAACAATCAACAGTCATTCTAAATCATTGATCAATAAAATAAGTCAAGATTCTCAACTCTTTTCAATGTAATAGAATGCACAGCAGATAAATATAGCAACACAAACCTGAAAATCTATGTGCAACTATTTCTTGTTTTCCAAGTTTAGTGAAGCAATAAATTCCATTCAAAAGTTACATTTTCATTCTCATAACTAGCACAGTATTGTAAACATTAATGCCTGGTCTAAAAATTCCACCCAAATCAATAGTAGTTGATCGTAAAGCAAGAAGATGAATAATAAAGGAAAGAAAAGGCAGATGTTTTAACTTTAGTTAGTTGAATAATTAAGTACACTGAGCTAGTTGAAGAACTGTAATATAATAATAATATTCTCACCAAAAATGCATAGCCTTTTTTGAGAAACTTTGCAGAAGTAATTTTATCATAAAACTATTTTACTCTCATTAGCACAGTATTTACATTATTCACTCACCAAATGATACAATTAATCCTCTTCTTTTAACAGAATTGTCATACGGTTAACGAAGCTAACATAAAAATTCCACTTGTTTGCCCCACAGATAGCAGAATAAAACGAAGAAGTCTGATGACGTTTCTGCAAGTACAATATAATAACTATTTACTTGAACATATATTCATACTTGTGCGACAGATTAGGAAAATATCATGTAACGATGAAATTTGCACACGAGCATGTAAGCGGAAGCAGTACACACCTACGTGAAATAACTACGACGACGTTGATATGGACGGGTTTTTTTTCGGTGTCGATGAGCAGAGCAGCAGTTCACATAAGCCAGAGCGCACGTACGGCGAGAACAAATGTTACAATGTATCTGTTAGAAAGAAAGAGTGGGAAATGTATGTGTTCAACGGGGAGAGGAAGAGATTATTATTGCTCGTTATTTGTGTGTATTCAGCACTGTACTGCACTAATGATGCTGCTGCAAAACTGATGATGATGATGATGACGATGACGATGATCACAGATCGAGGCTGCTTGTCTGTTTCGGAGTCTCAGCTAGATTATGTGCATCGCTGAGACATCTGGCGAGGATCAACGCAATCACGCAGTTGTTGATCGCGCTCGATTGGGAATTTTGTGTGCGGGTACACTAGCAATTGTGCGATGTATCGACCAATTTCATTTATCTACTTTTTCCATTGACTTAAGTAATAAACTCAATGAGCTTGAACAATAGCAACAGGTGCTGATGTGTTCAACAAGTTGCTAAGGGCAATTGTAAAAAAGATTATAATCAGTAATTTGTAGTAACCGTAATTTTTTTATACAGAATAAAAATTATATGAAATAAAATTGAGTGAGTTGCTCGATTAATAAGCCGCTAGACTGACCACGTGATAATTTCGATAATTTTGAAACGAGACATTTCGTTGACTATTTATAAAATGCCTGCGGTATATTACTTACTCCGAACTGACTAGGTGCGTGATGAGCAGCGTCTTTGAGAACGCATAAAGGTATTACAGATAAGTCTACAAAATCGACCGTTCAGGCTGCGTGCAGACGACAACCAGAGACAAGTCATTCGTTCTGCTTGGTTTGTAGGCTCTGTGTAGTGTGTAGTGAGCAGTCTATTTTGTGGGGCGCAAGTTGCAACGTGCGTTGTATCGTAACCTCGTAAGTTGATCGTACACTCTATGCGTTAATGGGAATTTAAATAGCCGTGTATTTTTACTCGTTAAAAAATATCATCGTTATTCGCTCTATTAAAGAAGAAAAATTATAATTTTCAGTGATCATGGCGGACCAATTCTGTGCCGGCGACAGCATGATGGATCTACCGGCTGAAGCCATGCAAGTGGTTAAAGCTCATATTCTTTGCTGCGAATGCGCTACTCCGATCGAGCCAAATCCTACTAACACGTGCGTTGGATGTTTACGCTCGAGGATCGACCTCAGCGAGGATATTCCGAAAACGGCGACACTTAATTTTTGTCGCAATTGCGAGCGTTATCTCGTGCCACCGGGTGAGTGGGTCAAAGCGGCTTTGGAGTCTCGAGAGCTTTTGGAACTTTGCTTGAAAAGGTTGAAAAATTTGCAGAAAGTCAAACTTGTAGACGCTAGCTTTCTCTGGACGGAACCTCATTCAAAGAGGATCAAGGTACAACTTACTGTTCATGGTACCATTCTCAATGCAGTCCTTGAGCAGGTATTCGTTGTAGAATATGTTGTTGCCAATCTAATGTGTGAAGACTGCCACAGACAGGAAGCAAAAGACTTTTGGAACGCATCCGCTCAAGTTAGACAAAAATCTATCAATAGAAAAACCTTTTATTATCTAGAGCAGTTGATTCTGAAGCATAAAGCCCATGAAAATGCTGTTTCTATCAAACCTAATGCTGATGGCTTGGATTTCTTTTTTATGAAAGAATCATCGGCAAGAAAATTAACTGATTTTATCATTTCGGTTTTGCCATGCAAATATCAGCACTCAAAGAAATTGATTTCTCACGATTGTCATAGCAACGTTTATAATTACAAGTTTACATTCAGCATAGAATTGGTACCACTGTCAAAGGATAGTGTAATTTGTTTACCAAAACATTTGACACATCAGCTAGGAGGAATAACTTCTATTTGTTTAATATACAGAGTTTCTTGTAGTATTCATTTAATAGATGTGGCTTCAGGACAGGTTGCTGATGTAAGTGCCAATGTATACTGGAGATATCCATTCAATAGTATATGCAACCCTAAACAATTAAAGGAATATTATGTTATTAATATCGAGCCAATCAGTGAAAAAGAGAAAAAAAAGTTTCCAGGCCAAGGACACGTATCCAACAAATATGTTATTGCTGATGCTTGGGTTGTCAAAGATTTATCAGATGTGAATCCTATTCATACAAGAACACATTTAGGTGGAATACTTAAACCTGGAGATTCAGTCCTTGGCTATGCACTTGGTGAAATGAATGTTAATGATCCTAACTTTGAGAAACTTAATCAAGATTTGGTACCAAATGTCATTCTCGTCAGAAAATTCTATGGTACCAATAAGTCCGCAAGACGCAGAGCTAGGATGTGGAAATTAAAACATATTGCAGAGGATGTAGATATCGGGACAGAAAACGATGATTATAATGATTTCTTAGAAGAGCTTGAGGAAGATACCGAAATGAGAAACAATATAAACATTTACAGAGACAATAATAAACCAATTCCAGTTGATACAAGTTGCATTGATGCAGAAGACATGCCTCAGATAACTCTGGAAGAAATGCTTGATGATTTAGTCATTGAAGATACTGAAATGACAAGTGTTTAAGTGTATAGTATACAATTAGTTATGAATCATACCTAATTTCTAATTTTCAATTTCAACATGATTTCATGTTTAGTAAAAGTGGTAGATAAAAAATAGTTAAAAATACTTATTGGTTCTCTGTAAATTAATCTTGATTTTACAATTTGCAAACGATTAATTGAAAAATACATATTTTTATCTAGTATTAAACAACAAAGTTAAATATTTTTTATTTCTTATCTCTAATACCAATTTAATTTATGAAATTTAGCTTTAATTTTATTCCAATTTAAAATAAATATGCTAATTGCTCAAGGTAAGCTTCTGAATAATTAGGAAACATGTATACAACTTACACAAATCTATTTTATTCGTGTCCACAAATGATTACATTCTTTTCCAATTTGCATACCATAGTTACAAGTCTAGTTTAATTCATTATGATAATCATACTGCAATTTCATTCACACCAAAATTTTACAAAATAGTCATACAAATATAAAACATTATTGTGTATATAAATAATCGATATTTTTTGTGATTATTAATTCATTACATTATATAAGTAAATATTTATAAAATCATCATTCTTGTATTATGCATTGTAGAATTGATATTTCAAAGCTACTATAATTATTGAACAGTGCTTAATTCTAACTATATCACAAGTTTATTTTTTAAAACAGCCTTTTCAATTGAGATTTTTCACCTTAAATAATAATTTGTCAAAAATAAACTATATGAGCATTACATACTAGAGTCACAGTCTTTAGTGTTTGTTTTAAAATGCATTATCTGTAATATGTTTCAATTCAATGAAGTTAATTCATTATTAGCTATTGGTCACTGCTATTAAATCTTTCAAATCTTCATTACTAAAAAATCTCAAAATGTACTCACTGCATTGGTCAGGTAAAGTTTTACCAGTAAGAGAAATTAATGCAACTTTAGCAGGTTCTATTAGTGCTCTTCTTTTTTTACCTCGTTTAAATTGTAACTTTATTAAATACCCATAATGAGGAAAATCTATTTCAAATCTACTACATCGTACAAGACGTACTACATTTCTATTTTTGACATAATTAACTAACTCATTTGAACCCATATGAATAAAATTATATAGTGTACAATAACTATTCAACTTGTAGTTTTTTAATATTTTCAATTCTTCTTTACACTGGTTCAAAAGCATTGGTAATTTTTCATTATTATTAGCTGAAAATTCTTTATCTTGTAACTGAGTACAGTAAGACTGTAAGTCTTCTCTCACAAAAAGTTCAGCAAGTTTCAATTTTTTTATATGAGTTTGTAAAACAGAAAATATTTCACAACCTGTTGCTGTGTTAGAACCTTGTACTTCAACTAGAAAATGCAATACTGTTTCATATATTGCTCCTGATGCATTAATACAAGCCCCATGTTTTAAAATTTCCATAACAGATTTTCCATTTGCCTGACATGCTGCAAATAATGGAGTTAATCCAAATCTATCCCCTGCTTCAATTTCAGCATCATTCTCCATGAGAATATTGATTATTTTGGAATACTCAATAGGATCATCATTATACTTTTGACAGGCTATGTGCAATGGGGTAAAATTTAAAAAAGATTCTCTACTATTTACATTAGCACCATGTTTCAATAACAATTTTATCATTTTATAATGATGATGTCCATTGATGACAGCTAAATGCAATGCTGATGTTTTAGCATAACATGAATTTCTAGGTACTCCATTATAGAAACCGTTACTTTTTGTTTTAATATTAACATCAACTCCTTTTCGAAGCAATGATTCAACCATTTCATAGTCAGATTCAGCTTTTAAAAAACTTGCTGCTAATACATGCAATATTGTGTATCCGTCTGGATTGACAGCTTTGAGATCAACATCATATTCCAAAAAAATCTTCATAATTTCTTTTCTTCTAATAATATTTTCCTGATCAATTAATTCAGTGATGTGATTACAAATGTATTGTTTGGTGTAATGTTGAATCACCTTGCTGACTTTTTCATGTTTATTGGATTTGAAGATATGTAACAATAATGGAACTCCTGAAACTTGTACATTAACATTGCTATTATACTGTAGTAAAAGTTTAACAATTTCTATGTGATTTTTTCTGTTTTCTGACCAAGCATCAATAAATTTGCTTTGTCCAACCAAGACATTATTAGGAAACTGCCAACTAGGCTCTTCATTTGATTCAAAAGAATTTATTTCTTCAACTATTATTTCATAAGTTTTATTGTAACTTATGTCACATGCAGCATACAATGGAGTATAGCCTGTTTCTTTTCCATTCAAGTCAACATCAGCCCCATTTTCCAATAATACTTTCACTATATCAAGTCTATTATACTTGACAGCACAATGTAAAGGAGTACATTTTTTTAAATCTTTCGATGTGCTCGATGTTCGCTGGTTAATTTTTACACCTCTTTTAATAAAGCTTTTTACTACATTTAGATTGTTACGTGTACAAGCTATATGAAAATGAGATAAACCATCTGGACAAGTTGAATTAACACTGGTGTCATTATGAGCTTCCAAAAGTAAATCTATTATTTTATCGCTTATATCTCGGTACCAAAACTTTTCTTTTTTGACCCAAGCTAAATGTAATGGTGTTTTATTCCACCTGTCAATAACGTTAATATCTGCTTTGTGTTTTAGCAATATTTCTATAACATCAACACTGTTAAATTCCACTGCACAGTGTAAAGGAGTATAACCAGGTAATAAAGGAGATGTCCAACTGATGGGTTTGTTAATATCCACTCCCAATTCAATAAATTTTTCCACTGTTTCACTATTGTTAATTGAACAAGCAATATGAAAATGTGACAGTTGATCAAGAGTTTCACAATTTTCTTGTTTTGAATTTTGAAACATCATGTTGATCATCACTCCACTAGAATAATGATGGACATCTTCTGAAGCATATATATTAAAGGAAACATGAATAGGAGTATAGCCTTCATCATCTCTAACATTAGCATCTGCACCATGCTTGAGTAACTCTTCAATAACTTCAGGACAATGAAAGTCAGCTGCCAAATGTAAAGGAGTATAACAAGGTAAAATGTCTGACCAATCTGGAATAGCTAGATTTATATCAACTCCATTTTCAATGAATTTTCTTACAACTTTAGGGTTGTCTCTTGTGCAAGCTATATGGAAGTGAGAAATTCCTTTCCTGTCCGTACTATTTTGAAGAGCAATGCTATCTGACATGAGTATCACATCAATCATCTGCTGACAAGTATACTTTTGACACCTATTTTCCATGAAATTTGAGAAGCACCAATGCAGGGCTGTTGAACCATTGTAATTTTTCTGGTTAGGACTGTAACCAAATCTGATAAGAAGATCAAGTAACGCAATGTGCGAGTGTCTCACAGCATAATGCAGCTTCAGTTTTCTTTTCATCCAATTTCTTTCTGATTTTGGAAATTTTACTGCAATACCTCGTGCCTCGAAATGACCCACCGCCACCTCGTCGTTTGTCAAACACGCTATATAATAAGCAACCAAATGATTGCTATCTGTAAACGAGAGCATGTCGTACTGATCAAAATACTTCAAAAGTAAAAGCTTTACAATTGGGTAGAACTTGAGTTTCATTGCAAGAACAAGCGAAGAATCACCGTATTTGTTTTTGCAATTAATTCTAGCCCCTTTTTCGAGTAGATCTGTGACCAAACCGTAGTCATTGAAGCGGACGGCATAGTGTAAGGGAGTATCCACGAGGTTGTCACATATCGGCCCATTGACCGAAAAGTTGTGCTTGAGGAGCTCTTTCGTGATTTTCTTCCGCCCCATGATGATGGAATTGACGAGCAGAAGATAATCTGTTGTTTGAGCTCCAGAATTTCTTAATTTGGTCGGACTTAAGGGTCCGAACTTACGGAGCACCTTTTGGACGAGTTTCAAAGAATTTTTTCGTATACCATAAGAGATCGTTTCAAAAACATCTTTATGCAAAGTCATCTTATTCTTTTTCACTTGAAAAATGAGCTCGTATGTGTATACCCAAAGGTATATGCTGCTTCCTGGTTTATATCAGTCTTTTTAATTAATCTAAAAATCGAGCCACTGTAATAAAAAAAGAAAAACGCTTTAAGCACGAGATCCATGGATGGTACGAAGAAAAATAAACACCGATTACGACGATACGAGTACCTAGGAAATGATATTTCCACGTCGACGAAACACTCATAACGTAAATAAAAAATCGAATCGAAAACAAACGGAGCAGAGTTTTTGTCTGCAATCTCAGAATAACCTCGGACGCTTTTTTAAAATCGATTTTTCAACTTCGTGGAAAAAGTCTTGTCAAGTATAAAAACGAGGTTCCAATGAAATCTTGTTTCGAGATTACCCCGTGAAAATCTTCATCGTGAGCTGAGGGGCCCATGCGGAGGGAGATGCCGAGACACTTTTTCACGCGTAAGTCCCGAACTGCTTAAAAGTGCTACACGATCCGAAGTAAAATGGTCGCGATGATCGTCCTTCTCCAATCCTTGACTTTTAACTTTACACATTAGCCACATGGTGTCTGTATGGGCATTTTCTTATACCCCACGCACATTTTGTTTACATACACAGCGCAGCTCGAAGAAGTATGTCTGTGTACATGTATGTAAGTCGCTACAGTCAGACAGACAGCTACCTACACGTAATATGTAAGCTTATACAGGGTTAACACGAGGACTAACTCGCGATAGTTTTCGCGACAAAGTTTGCACTTTAGCCGCTTGGGGCAGTCTATATCCCAGCATACAAAATATTACAAATTTATTTTTTCTTTAATAAACGTTTTATCGTCAAATCAATAAATTGTTTTGACTTTTTGATAATATTCAAATTATCAATGTGATTTTATATCTAAAACTTTATTTTTATTGAAGAAACTCCATTTTCAAACATCAAAATCAAGTAGCTCTAATTTTTCGATTTTGACAATGTATTGTATATTTTGCTTGTGTGTTTCAATAGAATTTTAATATATTTATTTCTCTAGAAATGTATGGCTTTAATTAAAGACTTACCTATTAGAAAAGACCTATGCCTATCTAGTGCCATACAAATTAATTTTCCCTTACATTGAATTAAAACCTAGCAGCAAGAACATTCCAAATTACCGATTTAAATGGCTCGCTCTCGTTCTGCTATCGAATTGTGTCGAACCTATACTACTTACAATTGTTTTAAAGTGCTTTTTACTTAAATGTCAATCTTTGTTTGGTTTTGATTATTATTTGCCAAATCCCCACTATAAACACGATTGTGATTCAGTGTTTGCGATTTATGAGTAGCAACTGACACGTGCGCGACTCTTATTCGCGATTTTACGGCGTCTGCTTCTTCTTCTTCTTCTTCTTCTTTTTTTGGCCTTGGAATACGGCGTCTGCTTTAAAGCTCAGCTCAGCTGGCTCATAAGTCATAGTGTCTAGTGGACGCAGCACTCGTTGCTGAGTTTTGCTACGTCGGCCGCTGATACACGTCTGTTGTTTTCACTCCGACTGGATAAATATCGAATTAACATCATGATCTCTTTAAAGACTTTTACTTTAGCGAATTTTTTACTGGTATTATACATTTCCAGTAGCAATGGTTAGTAGCTAAAAGTAATATTTCTAAAGATACTAGCGTTTAATAACCTTTGGCCATGATGCTAGAATGTTTTCACATCAATTTATCGTAAAATTATAGAAGAAAATTTACATTAATGAGCTAATAATATTACATTATGCGTCTTATGATAACATTTTATTTTTATTTTTCAAGCCAAGGGAGTAGAACATGTCACTTGTGGCTCAGTTTTAAAGCTGATGAACACAGATTTCCGAGTACGCTTGCATTCCCATGACATTAAATATGGTTCAGGAAGTGGACAGCAATCTGTTACTGGAGTTGAATTTAAAGAAGATGGAAATTCATATTGGTTGGTCAAAGCTCCTACAGGAAAACACTGTACAAGAGGGTATGCATTTTAAAATTTTTATTTTAATTTGTTGAATTTCATTTAAAATTTTATAAGAATAATAATCAATGATAATGATTTTTTTTTATGTAGAGAACCAATTAAGTGCGGAGACACTGTAAGATTGGAGCACGTTGCAACAAAGAAAAATCTTCACTCGCATCATGTCAGTTCACCTCTTAGTGGGAAGCAGGAAGTTTCAGCTTATGGAAAAGAAGGAGATGGTGACACTGGTGATCATTGGATGGTAGTTTGTCCAGGAGACAATTGGGAACGAGATGATCCTGTCATGTTTAAACATATTGATACTGATGCGTGAGTATAAAGCTTTTAAACTCATTCTTATTTATGAAAATTAGTTGTACTTAAAGAATAATTGTCATGGTATCTATTATAAATGTAAATTCTTAATTATTTCATATTTTTTTTAAATTATACAGTTTTTAAATAGAATTTTGTGATTATTCAGATACTTGGCAGTCACTGGTAGAACTTATGGTACACCAATATCAGGACAAAGTGAAGTGGTCGGTGAATATTCCAGCACTGGTTATGTTCATTGGCAGGCTATGGAAGGTCTATTTATTCATCCCAACAATCTTAAAAGTGCACACTATGAGCACACTGAACTATAATGTGTTTTTTATCTTCATTCCTGTGATGGTGCAATTCATATCATCCAAGTGTGATTTTGTGTGGATTGAATGTTATGTAAATATGTATGTGCTGTAGCAAAGAACATAAAAATTAATTATGATAATTTTATTTATATAATTTAATTGAAATATTGAATAAACACAAAGATTTAGTTATGAAAATCAATGGTATTATTTTGATGCTGAAATCGATTTTTTAAGTAACTATCTCTGCAAGTGATTTCTTTAAGAATGTAATGATAACAACTTTTTAATAGAAGTATACATTTATTTTGAGATAAAATGTATTAATCATTTACATCTACTAAAATAAATTATAACATTCTTATAAAATATCCATGAAATTTTTGAAGAGTATCACAAAATAAATTCTTTGTGATTTCCACTATCTTATATAAATCTTTCATTAACAAATACACATACATCAAACATATTTTAATTCATACTTCTCATCAATATTCCTAGAATACACAAGTCCATTCAAAGGGAAAATTAAATTTAAAAATCCATAACTTCCAAATAATTCATAAATATCTTGAGACTTTTCTCTATTTGGATAGTATCTTTGTTTGCCTGTAAAACAACAATAAAATTTCCAAAATCCATATATCATTGTAAATATAGCAATGGATATGGAAACATTGAACAAAGTTACTAAAAACACATGCACATTCTCATTATTGACTAGTAAAAATTTGGCAAGAGTTACGGGAAAAAAGAAGTTAAGCGCAAAATAATACACGTTCAATTTGCTTATATCCGACTGCATGAAATATTCATACAAATAAGGTCCCACGACAAATACTGAATAAATGCAGCCACATGCTGCATACCAGCAAGTCAATATAAAATTGCCCATGTTTTGTCTTAATATACAACATCCTAGAAAGTAACAATGATGATCTCTGAAATAGAAACATTTTTTACAAAATGGACAGTGGTGTGCTGGTCTGCGAGTGTAATGTTTGCAACGTCCACAGTACCAATAGAGCCTCGAGCCGTTGTCTGTACCATCACGACAATTGTCGACAGGATGTGTAATAATTACTTTTCGGCAAATACGATGAACTAAGTACCAATTTAGGTAAAATTGAATCGAGATGAAAATAAAGAGCGGTGGAATGGTACTTTCTAAATACATCGTGACGAAACCAAGAATCAAACTGAAAACAATTGTTATCAGCGGACATGTTAAATATGCCAAATAAGAGAGTTTCTTCAGCTTCAATCGCATCGTTGATCATGATCCTGACACTACAAAAAATTTCTTGAAAATATTTGCTTTTGAACTATGATATTTTGGCACGTTGATATGATGAGAATCAAACAGTAAACTACTGTGTGTACAAATTACAAACTCTCGTCCCTTCTGCCATGTTGATTCGCCATGATTATGCTATCACAATTAGGGTTGTGTATCGGCGGCAAAATCAAAATTTTTTATTGGTCATAGTAATGAATAAGTTTAAAAAATTAAAACTTTTAATTATTTAAGGAGAAACCACGTTCAGTAATTTATAATAAAATAATATTAGAATTAAATGAATAACAACTGTTAATTTCCAATGATTTAAATAAAACAATTGATTGTGTCCATAAGTAATAAAAGACGTTCCACAGTTTTATCATTAACAAGATAAATTTTTTTTCATTTACTGACATTGAATGGATAACTAATAAATGAATGTAAATTTTTCAAATTTGCGCTATGCATATATTCTCTGTACAAGTTTCATCTGATACATAATTCAATGAGTAATATGACATAAGTAGTTAGCACTTGAAGCTACTTTAGATCTTTTTTTCTTTTGCTTGAAATACTTCTATCAACAATTGTTCATTATGATAACAAGAAATTATAGAACAAAAAATAATGTTGATGAAGTTTTTAATTTTTTCTTTTCTTATTCTACTCGTACTTAATAGAATTATACTTTACTATGATATTGTGTACCATTAAAATTCAATCATATACACTATTGTGTTCTCCGCATTATTATATAACTCCTATACTAATGGAAATAAAGAGAAAGTATTATCATTTACAACGAATCAAAGTAAAATTTTTCTCTTCTCACCATTATAAAATTTTGCATCATTATAAATGATATTAACGTTAATAGGATCTTGTAACATTTTTTGCTTTAAAAATTACACTCAACCATTTTGAGAAATTATTTTGTCATACTTAACACGTCAATTGAGTTTAAGTTCACTTCTACGTAATAAATTATAAAAATGTTACAATGAAAAATTTTTTTCGTAGTTATGTAATTTGATGTCTCCATTAATTATTATAATATTTGGCGACCGTTCAAACATTGGTGGTAAATGGATTTTTGGTACTGACGACATTATTCGAGGTATAATAGCGACGCGCAACCCATCGACGTACCATTGAAGATGTTACAAATCCTCTAATAACCCATAGAGGATTAAACGTACCTAGTTTTTTCCAAACCAGAAAATTGTTTTTAAGCATACATAAAAAGCTGAAATAACATAAATCAACTTCATTCGTTGCTGTTGCTGTTGGATTTCTGATTCAATTGCCATGACACGTCGATTAAGTTTTCCTATTTGACGTTTTAAATGCTGAACTTCATCGCCCGGTGGTAGTGTTGTATCCAAAACTCCATATGGAGTTTGTTCTCTAAAATTATACACAATTCATAAATACAATATAAAATAATAAATCATTGGACAGCAAAAAAATTGTTTACCTAATACTTCTTACTAGAGCTGGTGTTTCATGAATGTATTGTTCTTGTGGTTTAATAGGAGTCATAACATCACCATTGGAAATAGCTCTGTTATCTTCATCAACGGTTGGAAAATTATGAGTGTCTAATGTCAGCACTCGAGGAGGAGTCTATAATTTATTTAATTTCCAGTTTTAGTTTATTTAAAATGAAATCAAATTAAAAAAGTATACATGAGACTCACAATGCACCGAGCATAGGCAGGTTCAGACTTGGGTAAGACAGCATTTTCAATAGCAATTTCTCTGGGAGGTGCTTTTGTTCCTATATGCTGTTCTTGACCTATGTAACAAAAAATATATAAGTATATTATGCACCTGAGTACAGATGAATTTTCTTTGGTACTTACCTACGACAAGAATTCTATCTGGCACATTCATTTCTAGTTTTTCAGTGAAAGCACCAGTCCATGTATTACCATTGGGCATATCATCTCCCATATAATCACCTGCTACCCTGATACTCTTAGGTACCCGCATTTTCTGGTTAATGTCTAATGTGAAATTAGAGTCATAAAAGCTGTCAGCCTCTCCATTGAAACGTGTAGGGCTATGAGTATTTGCCATGGTCGTAATATATCTTCTGTAACAAAATAATGGTTGAAATACTTTAAATAAAATTGGATAAAATGATTCTGTAATTTTGAATAGTAAAGATGAATATTTGTATTTTTTGTCCAATATAGACGAAAGATTAACGATTGATTAAAGATCAGCTCGAAAAATAAAAAATTTTTTAAGGCAGCAACGCAAAACATGATAGAAATTTCGTAGCTATTTATAATAAAAAAAGTAAAAGACTAGTTCAACTATAATTAGTTCGTTGAAATTCACTAGTAGTGAATTGACTATTGACGACGATCAATATTACCAGATTTTTTAATGTGTAAATTATGAAAAGTTATGATCAACAAAGGAATCCGATACATTACAATCGCAAAGTGTCTGTCTCAATCTTCTGGACAGGCTACTTATCTATACACGTAACGACAAAACTTTGCTGAGCACGAACAAACATAATAAAAACGCATATTAGTGTTGGTCATTTAATTTAATGAAATGTATAGTAGACAAGAATATGGAGCCTTCACCATCGTAAACATTTAATATGTTATTATTTATTAAATTACCTTTCGTGATTAATATCGAATTTTAACGCTACGATGTTATATTTTCTGACTTTTTAACAAGCTTGCCCTACCATACACACAGGCACATAAAGACTAAGTATGTATATAGACATTTATTATACATATATACATTATGTATATATACATACTTCAATTCTCGAGTCTCGACCCGAAAAGTCCGCCCGCGATTCATCTGAACATAGCTCTTAGTGAATTTAATTTTGCAAAATATCTGTCATCGATGTTGACGACATTCTTTCGTCGATTGATTATTTATTTTTATTTATTTACATTGCCCAAGAGCCAAATAAAGTTAATGAGCCATGACCCTCAATTTGAATGTTTAATAATTTTTAATAGTAAATAGTTACAAGCAATTGGAAATAATCAGATACGTATTCTGCACTGTGCACATGATGTGCGAAGTTAGCGTTGATTATGTACAAAGTTTTATTGCACATAGACCTCAAGTCTTTCGACAAACTGTCTGCTCCCGCCAAAAGCGCATCAAGTGCGGGATAACTTAGCATTTTACTGCAAGTTGCAACCACTCAAAACTCTTTGAAACTAATGAGAACGTTTATTGCATTGCTGTTTTTAATTAAATAGTTATATACAATTTTACTCTATAAAAGAATTCATCATGGATGATTGTAAGTGGGATATTGTTTAAAAATTTCATTTAAAAGAGGCGCTTTTGATTTGTTTACACCTTGTGTTGTGATGATTTTAAAGAAAGTTCAATGAATATTAATTTATGAAGATATTTTTGTTGTACATCCCATTTATTATTAATTTTGTGGATATTAGCCTTGCATGATGGAGAATTTATTTCTTTAACTTTATTTTTCTTTTTATTTTAGCATTAGCTACTCAAAGAAACAAAAGACAAAAAGTTGATAAATCAGGTCGTTTAGCTGCTTTAGATAGATTCAAAAAGCTGAAAGGTAAAAAACATACATATGAAGTGGAAGAACTTCAAAATGTTTATGATGAAGTTGATGAAGATGAGTATGGGCAAAAAGTCTTAGATAGACAGTATGATGATTGGATTGTCGATGATGGTTTGTTTATGTTTGTTTATAATAATTTTTATTTATAAAAAACCTATACGAATAAAAATGTATATGTTTATTCAATGTATCTATTTCCACTGATAGGAGGTGGTTCTGGCTATGTTGAAGATGGACGTGAAATTTTTGATGATGACCTGGATGATGAAAGTGTTAAAAGGGCTTCTAAACTTGCGAAAGAAGAAAAGAAAGGTCCACGAAAACGTAAACGTGAAGAAGATACCAAAGGAGATGGAAAAATTACAAGTTTATTTTCAAATATGTCTAAAAAGAAAGCTGAAGAAAAAATAAATAATGATGATCTTCTGGGTGAAATTATGGCTGAATTAAATAGTGAGAAAGAGACTCACAAACAAATTCGACCTTTAAATAAATTCAAGTCTACTCCTAAAATGACACCAAAGTAAGTTGAAGTTAAAAATTTTTTTATAAATGTGTACTTATTACAAATTTACTTTCATTTTCAGAACTAAAGATAGTGATGATTTAGTAATGGCACAATTAATGAAAGAAGTAAGTAAGAAACCAAAAATAGTAACAACTGTTTTAGATGAAATTGAAAGTGAAAGTATATATGATCGACCTGATCATACTATTATTCCTAAAACATTGACCTCAAAAACAGAAGTTAAAATCAAAGAACCTAGTAAAGAAATATCAACCCTATCAAAAAAGTCTCAAAAACCAGATCAGAAATATTCCAATTCTAATGAAGTACCAAAATCATTGGAAATGGAAACTGAAACTTTTAATTTAGATGATTTTGTTGAAGATGACTTTTCATTAGCGGATGTTAGTACACACAAAGAAGCTACAAATGGAACAGGTACAATCCAAAAGCTTGATAAAAAAGCAACAGAAGAAAATTTGGATCAATATATTGGTGATGTAAGTGCAATTCCATAAAAATATATATCATTTACAAAATATTAGTTAGGTAATTTATTTTACTACTTCACAGATTTCTGATATTGATTTTGCAAATTCGGATATGGATACAAGCTGTAATCAAGATACTTCGTCTTCTGTGATAAATGTACAGTCCACCTTGGATCGTTCTGAAATGTGGAAAGAAAAAGATGCTGATAAGCGCAATGATGATGTTTTTGCCAAAGCTTGGCAAGAAGACTTTCTACAACCTACTGATGACAGTACATTTATTAAATCTTCCAAAACTGATGAAAAGATACAATTCCCTACAGTTAAAAATTCCGCTGGAGATCAAGTTTTTAGATTTTTTTGGTGGGATGCTTTTGAAGATCCATACAAACAACCAGGTGTCGTTTATCTCTTGGGAAAAGTTTTTGTTGATTCATTAAACGATTACGTTTCTTGTTGTGTTGGTGTTAAAAACATACCAAGAAGAATTTTCCTTCTTCCTCGTGAGTATGTAAAAAAAGAAGGAACAAAACAAGATGATGAATCGTCACGTGAAGAGAACAATTTGACCAACGTTTATACCGAATTCAATGAATACGCCCGTAAACTTGGCATAAAAGATTTTCGAAGTCGCGAAACAACGAAAAATTATGCTTTTGAGCGTGAAGGCATACCGACCACGTCTGAATATTTAGAAGTTCGTTATCCAGCTACGGACCCAGCTTGTGATCCTGATTATTCTGGACCAGCTATTGAAGCTATTTTTGGCACTTCTGTCAATCCAATGGAATTATTTTTAATTGAAAGAAATATAAAAGGTCCATGTTGGTTGGATATCAAAGGAGCTGTACCCGTTGACAATCCTTTTGCTTGGACTAAAGTTCAGGTATAAATTTGACTATTTTTATCCTCTTTTCAAATTTTGGTTCAGTGCTTAGCAAGAATACTTGATTTTTTCAGGTATTTAGCACAAAAATGGAATTTGTTACTGTTACAACTGATTCAACTCCTCAAATGTTGCCCCCTATTTCGATGGCAACAATAAATGTTCAAGTTTCATTAGATCCAAAACAACAGAAAAATGAAATTGTTATTATTGGAGTTTTACTCCACAACAAATTTCAATTGGACAAAGCCCCACCCAAACCACCATTTAATGAACATTATTGCTGTAAGTTGATATTTTTATTGATTTGCCCATCAAAGAGTTTTTACTAATATTAGCCTTATGCAGTGGTTACCCATCCAAAAACTACGACATGGCCAATTAAGGGTAAGGATCGTTTGGCCAAAATCACCAAGACCAAAGTGATACGTTGCGACACAGAACTTGAATTGCTCGAAAAGTTCCTCGAAATATTTCAGCGAGCAGATCCCGATATCGTCGTAGGATATGATTGTGGCTTTCAGTTCGATGTATTAATGAGTAAAATATTTGCTCTGAAAGTGAAAAACTGGAGTTGCGTCGGAAAACTCAGGCGCTTAGTTCCACCGTACTTTAAGGTTCGTTATTATCTATTATTACTTTTACACCCTTGCATCATTGTTGAATTCTTTTCTAGGGTAAAATGAATTTGAGTCAAATTTTTTGTGGAAGGCCAATCTGCGACATCACTACGTCTGCCAAAGAATTGAATTTGAAAGTTCGCAGCTATGATCTTGTATCACTTTGCGTTTCGGTACTTCATAAAAAAGATTATGAGTGCAAAGAAATTAAACCAGAAGACTGTCCTAAATTTTATGCGACTGCTGAAAAGCTCGAAGCTCTTGTTCAGTCTAGTATGATGCAGGCATCGTATATTATCAGCATCGTTGTTGAACTGAATATTTTACCTCTTTACTTGCAAATAACAAAATTGGCCGGTAACACTCTGTCGCGTACTCTGTCAGCTGGTCGTGCCGAACGTAACGAATTTCTCTTGCTTCACGCGTTCCATCAAAGAGGATACATTACTCCTGATAAAAGGGTATCAAATAAAAAGAAAGAAGGTGAACAAGCACAAGGAAAGAAAAAACCACAGTATATGGGAGGTCTGGTGTTAGATCCAAAAAAAGGATTTTATGATAAATTAATTTTACTGATGGATTTTAATTCATTATACCCGAGCATCATTCAAGAATTCAATCTATGTTTTACTACAGTTCCTGGTGCTGCTTACTCGGAAGTTGACGTGAGTCTTTATCTTTTTTCATCAGAAAATGTTTAATTTATGTAATAAATTGAAATAATTAATTTTTACAGGATTTAGAATTACCAGAATCTTCAGTAGAAGACGGCGTTGTACCTACAGAAATTCGGAAACTCGTCGAGAGCCGCATTGAAGTGAAAAAATTAATGAAAGCTTCAAACACATCACCCGAATTAAAAGTACAATATAATATTCGTCAACTAGCTTTAAAGCTCACTGCCAATTCTATGTATGGTTGCCTCGGTGCCACGCATTGCCGTTTCTACGCTAAAGGTTTAGCTGCTCTTGTCACGATGAAAGGTCGAGAAATTTTGCAGAACACCAAAAGTTTGGTTGAAAAAGCCAATTACGAAGTTATCTACGGAGACACTGATTCCATTATGATTAATACAAATATCTTAGAGTTCGATCAGGTCTTTAATATTGGAAAAGAGATAAAAAAAGAGGTCAACAAGACTTATAGAAAAGTCGAATTGGATATTGATGGAGTTTTCAGATACCTATTACTATTGCAAAAGAAAAAATATGCTGCTCTTACTATGAGTAAAACACCCAATGGTCAATTGCAGTTTGTTAAAGAGATTAAAGGTCTTGACATCGTCAGAAGAGATTGGTGTGGACTTGCTTGCGATATCGGAAAGTAAGTGAATTAATTTAAAAAAGCTGAAAACTGCTGCCTTAATTTACTACGACCTATTTATTTTTATTTTCAGTCAAATTTTAGACCAGTTATTAAGCGATCAAGCTTCCGAATCACGTCTAGATAAAATCTTCGATATACTTCAACAATGCTCTAAAAATTTACGCGAAGGACAGTTACCTCTTTCATTGCTAGTTATTACCAAGCAATTATCAAAGAATCCTAACGAATATCCAAATGACAAAAAATTATCGCACGTACTTGTTGCGTTGCGACTTAACGAAAGCGGTGGTCGTAAATGGAAAGCTGGCGATACAGTGCCTTATATCATTTGTGAAGTGAGTTTTAATAATGTTGAAGAGATTCCAAATCGTGGGTAAAAATAAAACGACTATTTTCGAACTCATTTTTTGATGTGTCAAATGTATTTGAAAAATGTTATTTTTACTCAAATTTTGAAAACACTTTAAGTTATTGAAGTTTTTTTTATTGAAATACTAATTTTAATTTTTTTCAGGACGGTACAGATAGAACGCCTTTGGAGCGGGCTTATCACATTGAAGAGTTCAAAAAGAGTGACAGTCTCAAAGTGGACATTAACTATTACCTTTTGAATCAAATTCATCCAGTAGTTTTGAGAATATGCGAGCCGATCGAAGGCATCGATGACGTTTTATTGGCACAGAATTTGGGCGTCGGGGACCAGTACAAACCACGAAAAACCTACAACCCTACAAACCAAGAAGATGGTGAAGTGCCGTTGTGCGTACAGGACAATCGTTATGAGAAATGCACGCCGTTTTCGTTTACGTGCCGAAACGAGAAATGCAAGACTGTTAATTCAATTAATACCACGATTACCGAATTCGCAGGAGTTCCTAAGCCATCACTAGCGATGTGTTCTAATCCCGACTGCGATATGCCACCTTGGAAGTATAGCTACTCAATACAGAATAAATTACAGATGGATATTAGAAGATTGGTCACAGATTACTATTATGGCGAGGTTGAGTGTGAAAATCCCATTTGTTCCAAAGTCATGCGAAGAGTTACCTTAGATACTTTGCGCACTCTACCCAAATGCTACGTATGTCTCGATGGCAATGTTCATAGACTCAACAGAGAAACAGACTTGTACAATCAATTGAGTTTCTATCTTCACTTGTTCACATTGAATCAAACACATTACAAAAATCTGAAGCCGGCGCCTACGCGAGAAATGATAGCGGTTTATGATACAATTAAAGAGTTCGTAGAGAAACAAATTCAGTGCAATGCTTATTCAGTTATAGATTTGACAAAAATGTTTTGGCCAAATATTCGAGAAAGTGAGATCGATGCGCTTAGCGAACTCGATGATAAAATAACTAAGTCCACCGTCATGGTTGAGGATCTCATACATGAAGATGAAGATGTCGATGAGGTTTGTAATTTTTTCCTCACAGATCATTATATCAATATGTATTGAATTATCATTAATTTTTCTTCTTGTACATTTTAGAATGAAGAGGAGTGAGACATTGATGTTAAGTTTTATATTTTTCTACTGTATTACATTTAAAGAATTTGTAAAAAGATGTCTTTCATCAGAACAATATCATTTTATAATAAAATACAAAATCTAATTTACAATTAATTTTTAAAAAAAATCATTTTCCTCTCATACAATCAATTTCAAACATCTAATAACATTTATTCAATAATTTCACAAAAAAAAACTTTGAAAATATGGTCTCACAACGTCATTTAACATTATGAAAACGTATTTTATCCCTTATCATACAATTACAAATTATAAATATTAGAATCTACAAAAATTTTACGTTGTATGTGAAACAATCATAGATAAATAATTTGAATTTTCAAATAAATTTTTATAAAATTTACTGTTGTACTTTGAGCTTGTATTGCAATACTCTGTGTAAGAAATTTTTGTATCTCGTAATGCATAAACACTATTAATTTTAATGTCAAGGAAGATTATAAACATCTTCACAATTCAAAAAATTTTGCACTGTTTGAGAACTGCACTAAACTATTATGTATGAAGTAAACTATTATTATCTATGATTGATAGTATTATTAGCTTCAGATACGCTGTATAAGTTGGAATAAGTCTGCATAAATGTAGCCAATGGAGGTCCTCCATAATTTTGAGATGCTATTGGTCTTTGTTGATATGTATCATGCATTATGGTTGGTAAAATTTCATTAGGTTCAGCATACGTTTGAGCAGTTGTAGCTGAATTAGATGAATCAGTCTGTAGAACAATTGATTGAGCCATAGTGACATGAGGTACTGCCTGAATTACCTACATGAAAGTTTGTTTATTGAGAAAATTCTCTGAATTTCTGTCATTTGAATTACTTACTTGAACTATTATTGGACATGGTTGAGAAGTTACACTTTCATTAATTTCCATTGATTGTGAACTTTGTAAATTCTCTTGAGTTGTTTTGTTTTTTAGTTTCTTTTTAGAACCTGAGGTGTCAATTCCATGACGTCGTTTCATGTGTTTATTATAGTTAGGCCAGTTGGTGAAATGATGCTGACATTCTTGACAACTATAAGGTCGTTCACCAGTATGTTGTCGACGATGAGTCTGAGCAATATAAGTTGAGTTATTTTTTATTTTAAAAAATAAAATAATGATACCTACAGTCAATATGCCTTTGAATCTAAAAGATTTTCCACAAAATTCGCAAGAAAACGGCATTTCTCCAGTATGAATTCTTTCGTGTTCACGTAGAGTTCCTTTTTCTCGAAATGTTTTACCGCATACATTGCATTCATGAGGTTTAGCACCAGTATGAACAGTTATGTGCTTTTTCAATAACAGCGAAGTCTTGAATCTTAAAATAAATCCTTCATATTTTAACAACTATTTATAATTGATGACAAAACAATGATAAAAATCTTACGATTTTGGACATTCAGAGCAGCTGAATGGTTTTTCAGCGGAATGTGTTAAAAAATGTGCCTCCAGATTACCTTTTTGTATAAAACTTTTCCCACATTGGTCACAAGTAAAATTTCTGATACCAGCATGAATTCGTTTGTGTGTTATTAAATTTGGTTTTGTAGAGAATCTAAGAAATATAGTTTTTTATATACAATTATCTAAAAACGTAATTTTTTGACAATAGTAAAAAATATATCCAACTTTTTATCGCACTGATCACAAGGATATTTATTTTTTTTATCCTCTGGTAAATGGCACCTTGAATGAGTATAAAGCGCACTTTGTTGCTTGAAAGATTTTCCACATGTTGAGCAAATGAAAGGTCTCTCATTACTGTGGATTGCTTTGTGAGTTTCTAATACTTTTTTATGAACAAACATTCTATCGCATTCATCACAGCTAAAAAATGAAATAAAATATATTAATAATATGGAATTCAATATATACTTATTTTGAAAATTTTAACATTACCTGTATTGAGGTAAATTTTTGTGTTTTTTAACATGTGCTAGAAAACCATAATATTTATTGTAAATTTTACAGCACAGCACACACATGAACTTAGAATCTTGATTGTGAATATTTTTATGATGTTCATTGAGGGTTTCTAAGCTAGGTAGTTTTTCATTACAGTCTGTACACAGCCAAGGATATCTAAATTGTTTCTCTCTTTTTTTTGTACCTGACTTTTGGAGTAAATTTGAAGGTTTTTTTTCAGTGCTAATCAACATCTCCATATCAGAGTCAGTTCCTAAAAAACAACATGGATATGAATAATATACTAAATTTAAAAATTTCAAGCATTTTTTAATTAACTTACCAGTCATATAATTATCAGGTCTTTTTCTATTTTTTTTATCTTCTTTTATGCAATTAGTTTTGTTTTCATTGTTTTTTCTTTTTACTTTTCTTGCAATTTTTTGATTTTTTACATCTTGGTCTCCAATATTTTCATTATTTTCAATATCTGTATTGTTCAAAGAATAGTTACTCATATTATCATTGTGATTATCACGACTATCATCACTTGAACAATCTTTGAACTCGGGTAAAAAAATTGAAGAGGTATGATTATTTGAATCCGTAAAACTTGTATTTTTTTTCAGTGATTTTTCAGATTCTAAAAATACTTTCTTGAGAAGTAATTGAGCATCATTACTTTTGATGTAAAAATCATTAGATTGATTCAATATTTTTAAACAGTTGTAACAAATAGCTTGTGGCAAAGAATCTGCAGTTGAAATCTGTAAAAAGATATATTGAATAGTTATTATTCAATAATTCAGATAATGAACAGTTTAAATATTGACCTAAGTAAGAAATAAGCGTTAAATAGATGAGAAACTTTCAAATGCTGTAGAATATGCAACTAAGAAATATTAGATATTTTCTTGTTTATTAAAAGTATTTGACAGTAACTTTCAATTTGTCGAAATACGTCGAAAGTACTTTTACATTTGCGTCAAGCACGTTAGTGAAAAAATTATCGCAAGTATAACTGAACACATCTTTGATAATATAATTTGAATATTTGTAAGATAACAAGCTGTTAAACGAAGCAAAGAATGTAAGTAACAAAAAATACAAGCTGTATCATCACTAAAAACAATCCTTGGAAAAAAGCGGTGTAAATGAACTTGGAAAATATTTCTTACAGAGGCGAACAAATGAAACGGTAATAAAAGTTGTTCTAATAAGCAGGCAAATTAGAAAAAAGTCAAGTGCAGCCTCTTGCCTGTATGCGAAGGCACTTTTCGATTTTGCTCTGCACGTCGTGCTGGCGACCCTCCGTTTCGAAGATGCCGACGAGTCTGTCGGCAATTCTGGCGCACAACCTGCAGTGCTGATTGATAATGAGGTCCGCTTTCGAGGGCGCCTGTGTCATCCCGTGGGCATTATCGCCGTTTGCCGTCATTGTTTTCTTTCTTTCTTTAGCCGGCTCTCCTACCGAGCCAGTTTCTATAAATTACAGCGGTGATTCCTCGCTTTTACCGCAGCATCCGTCGCGAACGCAGTGCAGACTGCAGACCCTATTATATGTTGTTTTCAGTCAAGGAAGGCCATGTTATGATTATAAAGTCGACGGCTCTGAGCGAGCAGCGAATAGCGAGTTCGAACTCCAGACTCCAAAGCCGTCACTCGTGCGAAGCAATCGTCGGAGCTGCAGAATCGAGATGCGTGCTTTGTATCACGAGTGGCGTGCCTACAAGGTGCAGATAGCCTACGCGGCTATTTGTTTTTGTTTTGACAGTCTTGCAGCGGGGCGCCAACTCGGAGGCATTAGGGTGAGTTTGAAGTTGCTGTAAAAAGTATATCGGCGAGGAAATGAACGTTTTGAAATGAGCTGGTGTTATCGAATCTACATAATATCATGGAAATTGGAAGCGACAAAATAAATTAGAGACCGATGTGGAGCAATGGCGATTAAACGGCCGTTGATCGTTCCAAAATTCAAAAACAAACTCTTATGTTATAATATAACGACGGAAGTTGGTAAATCTCCTTGGATTGGATATTATAATGGAGAAAGCCGCTTTTTTTAAACGAACGCATCGTTCGGTCGTCGTTGAGACGTATAAATTTCTACTGGCTGGCGCACGCCACGCTTCATATTATATTTTGCAACGTTGTAAATACCGACGTGCATCGTAATTACGATCTTACGCTGGCGTACTTAAAAAATGATTGATAGTTGGTGCGTTGTGGTATCGCTTGCAGCCCCGGAAAGCACTCAAATTCAGAAATATAAAGAGCGAGCTTTTACCGGTGCGCGCGACAACGACATTTTGGTGCAGCACAAGAGCGATGATCAATTTTTTACGATCTATGGTGATTTTTTCTACTACACAATTATTTATCATCGCATCTCTCGCTCGACCGAGAGAGAGAGACTTAAAGAGAGTGATGGTGAGAAATTTCATTGCCCGGCGGAAGCAGCTAAGTACTTGCCGAGTTAAGGCGCTAACGCACACACGCTCGTATGCAGCTATTGTTTTCGATATAAAACGTTGATGGCATTTGCGGCAATGAAAATTGGTTCAAGGGTCTAAAAGAGACACATTGCGCATTTTGTAAGTAAATATATACGTACCGAGCATCTCCGCGCGATCTCTCAATTGTGCCGGCAATTAAAAAACTGCAACTCGCGTCGTTCTTTGTATTTTATTTCATCTATCCCTCGATCGTCTTGCCGTTTTGTTTTTCAAAGAAATAAAAGTACATTCGAGCGCGACTCTTTGCTGCCCGCGATATTTATAAATTATCATTTAAATTATCGAAAAAATTTTATGCGTCGATTTTGAGATATAACTTATGTAACGCACTTTTTATACACGGCTGATCTATGCCATCCCGAACATACATTATACTTGTTAATCTAAATACGATTTCACGAAAATACATAACTTTTTTGTAGCTTTCTTTTTTCATCTCTTTTTCTATGTGCCTATGTTGAATATTCGATCAAAAAAATAAGTTGTAAAAAATGACGAGAGAGAAACAAATTTATGCTCGAATCGAGGCGAGGAGAAATTAGCGAAGGTCTGACGCCACGCCTTTCTTCGGTCTGCACGTCTCGACAGGTGAAAAATATGAATAACGCAGCATCGCGATAACCTTGGACTTTTTATCTTCTCTTCCCTAATGCGATGCTTCGTTGCTCCTGCGATGCAAAAGCCAAAGGAATGTTTCGCGGAAGCCAAGTCTGCCAACGAGAGAGCATTAATAGATGCGCGCGAATCGGCATAAATCACGACGCGAGGAGCTGTATGGCTCGAGCGACTTTTGTCACTATATTTTCCGTAATTTCGAGCGCATCGCGGACGAGCCCCGAGCGCAGCTACGTAGCACATAAATAACGCGAATATCGAGTTGCAGCTCGCGCATACTATATTACGCTAGCCGCGCGTAGACAATGGTGAAAGTTCAAAAAGAATAAACTTTTTCATTGATGCATTAATCTTTTGGCTTTGATTTTCTCTCTCTCTGTTTCGTGCTCTCGACAGCAGCATATCGCGTTGGCGTACGTGTCGTGCACACAAGCTTTGCCGCGGATAAGTAGCTCAACGCGACTATGGCTAAATTGCACCAGCGGCTCCGGGCGCCTAAACTATACTCGTTGGATAATTAAATCTATTCTTTCGTGCACTTCGTTATAGACCTTGTGTTTGTTGTTGTCGTATTTTTTTCTTGTTTTTTTTTTTTTTTTTTTGCTGGAAGAAAGTTAGTACGCGTGCATATTTGTAATCGGGTGAAAAACAAACCTTTTACCATAAACATAAACATTAATCATTTATTTTCTCCTTTTCAGACGGCCAAGTGTATCTCGAAGGCCGGCCTCCTTTTAAACGGAGCTCTTTCTTTTCGGTACATCACGACTCATGAGCTCCTGATACACATGCCCAATTTTCACCCACGTTTTTTCGTGATGTTCGATCCCCTCGAGCCGATAAGCCGCAAATACAGCTAACAAAGCTTGGCCCTAATAATACTGCACGGGTCTCTGTCAGTTTTTGAATTCGCAATTTATTCGCGAAATTTGTGATTCTATACACACGCGACGATCGATGATGATAGTGCTTTAACGAGGTTGCGCAAAAAAAAACTTTCACTCCATTATATAGATGACATTTCAGTGAGCGCAATCGATTCCGTTTGACATTTTTAGGAATCGATTTTATAAGAGCGCGTGCAATTTTTTTCGCCTGCTGTCCGATCGATGCCCGACTCCCATTTCAAAATTCGACACGGTGATTTTGCGACTTGCCAGATCGACATCGGCATGCAGCAAAAAAAAACATCATTTAGTATGCGCAGCATCGGATTCCAAAATGCCAATATTTGATGCATTATATAGTGACCTTGGCCCATTGATAAGAATCGACTCCAACACTGAGGATGACAAGAAACTCTCTCTAAATTAGTTATGCAACGTTTGTAAAAAAAACCCAGAATATGAATAGAGCGAGATGACTTCACGCTGAGCAACTAATGAAAGGTAATAAAAAAATAACAAAGTTTAGCAGAAGGAGTCGAATAGACTTTACAAGAAACTGGTTTTTTTTATCTTTTTAAACTTCACTCTGGAATCCACGTATTATGAATGTTGACAAGTAATGTTTTGTCTATTCATTTGCTACTACATTAAATTTACTCGTCGAAATCATTTGAAATGATTAAAACTAATTTCAAGGCAGATCGAGGAGGTTTAAATGGAATTGCCCAATTTGATGGCAAATCAATCTATTACAAATGTAACAAAGATGTTTACAGCGGCGTTATAATTGCGAAACAGGGGGAATTTCTAGAGCGTCGTTAGAATTTTGAATCAAATGGTAAATTTGTTACTTTCACATAGGTGAATGAACCGGCTTGACAGTTCGACTGTCAAACGCGCTAAACGCAGATTAAGTCGAGCTTACGGCGCGCAGACCGGTACGCTACGATTATCGATCGCCGATGATCCGATCGAGCGACGATTGATTGGCTTGCACAATTCGAGGGACGCAGATCGGTTGGGAGACGAGCGCGTCTATTATGATGTTTATTATTACGAGAGATGAATCGACGAGTAGGGTGGCGGGAACTTTCGGAGGAGAGGAGTTGGAGCGGCGTCCACCGCTCCTATATATAACAGAACCGCCAACAGGTGCACGACGTAGTTCAACGGCGAACGTTACGAATCCAACAACAGCTCAGAAAGTATAGGTATCTCCGGCTCTTCCTTCAGGTAGGCATTGTTTAAGTTCGACGAGTTGGCCATCGAGTGCGCGATCGTTTCGTTCTGTGACTTGTATATCAACAAAAAAGTGAAAAGCAAATGAAGCAGTGAATGAGATATTTTTCGTAACTCTGCATCGGTCTGTCGAGTCGATGCATGCGTGTGCTTGAAACGTTGCGCGACGCGCACCTTGACACGATCGTACTGATTTCTAACGGAACCGTATAAACATCTACATTCAACGCGCGTCGTCGTGAGCGCGCCCCGCTTTCTATACGCGCGTATAGTGCGCGCCTTATTTTCGAGCTTCCTCGATGGGCTAATGCGTTTTTTCCGATTGTTGCAGTTGCCCAAGATGCATTTCCTGATTTTGGCAGCTATCGTTGCTGTGGCAGCAGCCCAACAGCCAAGCGGTCGTGTTCTCGAGCCACCAGTACCCGCTGCCTGCGCACAAAGTGAGTATACTTATTTATTTATTTATTTTTTTTCATAATACTTTGCGCGCCCACCGCAATATATCATTATCAATTTTCGAGTCTCTCGAGTTCCCGATGTTCTCGCCTCGTACGAAAGCACATCGCGCAATACTTTGAGCGCTGTTACAATCTAATTGCCATTTTCACCGACATCGTCGTTATAGTTTCAAGAGAGCGACAAAACGTCGTTCGAGCGAGAAATAAAATTACTATAATAATAAGGCCCGGTATCGTTGCGACTCTTCAAGTACCGTTTAAAACTACTGTATCGTGTTGTTTTCTTTGAATTTTCACGCGCCATTGAAGCAACTCAACCCGTTGTTTCGAAGCCGCAATCACATTTCGGCACGATAAACGCTTATAAATTAAAATATTTATAATTGAGCCGTATACCATTGTTATAGTCCATGACGCGCAACGAGGCTTCGCTTTTAATAATTTGCTATGCATGAAAGCGTTTAGAGAGCAGATTTAAATGCCACTATAAATTTAAATGGACGCTCAACTGAGACTGAGTAAGCCGTCACTCGATATTTATGCGCGGTTACCAAAAAAGTTCCATCAATGAGATCAATTCATGAATATCGTTATTTACTTCCCAATCGAATACTTTTTATTTTTTTCCCCAAGAAAAATTTCCCTAAAAAACAAGACAACGAGCCTAGTCCTCCGGTATCGAAATATGTAGGATTTTAGGAACGTTTCGCAATAAATAAATTTGTCGGCTATAAATTTACATAAGAATTTGTAAATTGTTTACCCAATGAAAGTTTTCAGAATTTATTATTATTTGAAAGTTTTTAAGAATAATGCGGTTTATGTTTTCGATGATACGGTAAAAGATCATGAAATAAAATGTTGTCTAAATAGTAAAGACAGTATACATAAACCATATTATTATTTGAAGTTATTCAATTACGGTCGTCATTGATATTTAAAAGGTATGAAAAATATTTTCTTTCTCTTGATCCCTTTTATGAAAAAAATGATATAATTTTTTTAAATTCAAAAAAATATTTGACGTAGAAAAGCATCGCTCATTCGTTCACGCGATATATCACGAGCCAAGCCCGTAATAGGACTCACACCCATCGAGGCGTCCCTCGCGCAAAAGTACTCATTGATAGACGGCGGATCGTCGCGGCCGCAGTTGCAGATATTCAAAAGATAAAATCGCGAAAGGGCATTGTTTCGACACCTACGCACATGCGGCGCATAATTGCTGTACAGCCGCTTCGATAGACTCGCATATATTTCTGCGATCGCTGCTGCTCTGTAGCCCCGTGAGTCTCGTTGGCGAGGCGTGTGCCTGTCTACATAAATAATTCATAAATGGACTTTTTCAACTGTAAATCTCTTTATGTAGAAAAATGGGCTCTCTCTCTCTCTCTCTCGTTCGCATCGATGATACACGCGTTGCGTAATTCAGTAGTAGCGCGGCGCGAATTTTTCATTACCATATAACTGCATCTGCGCGTACTCGCAGAGATGCAATTGCACGCGGCCAAGGAAACAATAGATCGAGCGCACGTAGAAATAGGATAAGTACAAGCTTTTGTTCGGCCGCGCATCGCGCACAGGTGAAAAATGTCTTTGCTCGGTCCACCACCCGATAATAGCGACGCGTGTGCGAGCCGCGAAGAGAAAAAAAAGTCAGGCTCTCGCAGCTCTCGACTTTGAAAAGAGAAAACGTCAACGCGTGTAAATATGATATTGGACAAAACGGCGCAAATATACGCACTGGCGACCGGTGCATTAACTCGGCCGCGTGAAATGCGAATACATCAGAAGAGTCTCGGCAGACGCGCACGAGCTCCTTATGTTATCGATTTCCCCTTTTGTGTCTCTTGTGCGCGCGGCACCTGTTTTGACTCGCGCACACGTAAGTACACGGCGAAAGTAGAGATTTTCGACGCTCCGCGAGCCGAAGCCGATGAACCGAGGACGAAGTGTGTCAAACGCATTCCTCCTTTTCTTCTCCTCGGGTGTACATGCGCACAGAGACAAAGAGAAAGAAAAAGAGACGAGAAGATTCACGAGAGAAAGTAAAACACATATCGGTGAAAATAATACCCGATACCCGAGACCGCGGATAAATTATCCCGGCTGCACTTTCGATTTTTGCGTTCCCTTACGAAACGTGTGCCCTCGAGCTGGAATTAAATCGTTCTTTGCACTTTTTGCAGGGACCATCCACGAGCGCTTCAATGGCAAAGGATACTACTACTCTTGGGCCGATCCACGCACCGCCGGACAGGAGTTCGACTGGTTGAGCGCCAGAAACTTCTGCAGACAGCGTTGCATGGACCTCGTCTCTTTGGAAACCTCCGTCGAGAACGAATTCATCAAGAGCCGCATCGTGCAAAGTAGGCGCACCTTCCGATTCTCCTTGCAGCTTTATCACACGAGCTTTTTGCATCTTACTTATTTTTTTCTTCTTCTTTTTTCGCATCCCCTTAACAGACAAGCAAAAGTACATCTGGACCTCTGGACGTCTCTGTGACTTCAAGGGTTGCGACAGGCCCGACCTTCAGCCACTCCACATCAACGGATGGTTCTGGACCGCCGAGCTGCAAAAGCTCGCCCCGACCACCGAGCGCACCCAGAACGACTGGTCCGAGAACGGCGGCATCGGCAAACCCCAGCCCGACAACCGTGAAGCCCTCCAAGGCGGAGCTCCCGAGAACTGCTTGGCCGTACTCAACCAGTTCTACAACGACGGCGTCAACTGGCACGACGTCGCCTGCCACCACAAGAAACCCTGGGTGTGCGAGGAAAACGACGCTCTTCTTAAATACGTCCGCTTCACCAACCCCAACATTCGCGTTTAAATTCGGCATACCGCATGTGTGCTTCTTTTAACGACACTCGATCAAGTATTATAGGATTTGTTTTTTTTTTTTGTTTTTTTTCTCTGTTGGAAATGTAAACATTTGGTTCATCGGCTCATTTTACCAAGTCTCGTTGTTATATGGCGATAAAAAAATCGAGTCAAATCAAATAATTAATTGTTGAAAAAACTATTGGTGAAACAGTACAAGAGTAAATCTGTCAATTTGGTCTATGATGTACCATAAGAGTGTTACAAAATCTTGTCAACAATTTTAGCTTTTTCAAGGTGTATTTTTATTGTGAATTGTTCAAACTATCATCAATATTTCTTGCGAGTGAATCATGACTGATTAATTTATATGGTAAAAATTCATTTCGTATGATATTAGATTTTAGTAACAATTCAAGTATGGTTAAATATTGTATGAGTTGAATGTATGTTATGGTTCAATTAAAAAGAGCCAAACCTTTGTAATCTGATGTAAATGGTCTAATTGTTAAAACCTTTTGTTGTGTAAACAAAGTTTTATTAAACAAAATTGATAAAAATATGTACAATAAGCTTATTTAAATCATTTTTTCCCCTCTACCATGATTATGTGATAACCATGCTTGGTTTTTACTGGAGGATCTGTGTATATTGGATTGCTAATAGTAGATGTAGACAGTGCAAAAGCAGCATCTTGAAATGGCCCCACCATTGAACCTCTTGTCATCCATCCAAGATCACCCTGCAAAAAATTATTTATTATATAGTTTAAATTCAAATTTTCAAAAAAAAAAAAAAAAATCTATTTACTCCTGATCTAGCTTTATCTTCACTGTATGCAGCAGCAACTTCATTAAACTTTTGTCCTGCTTTTAGTTTTTCCAATGCTTCGAGAATTTTTGACTGTTTTTCACACAAAATATGTCGAACCTAAAGAATTATATTTATATGTAATTTCTCATAACAAGTATTTTATACATTATACATTATTAAAATAAGATGTTTACTTTTACGGAGGTTAATCCTTTCTTTTCTCCTTTTCCGCCTTTATCGTCATCGCCACCACCTTTCGATTTTCCTCCTTTGGCTGCACCACTAGCTTTTTTCGGTGGCATTGTACCGATTTAAAAAAAAAGCAACAATGAAAACAGAATAATTTATCCAACCTACGCCGGTTAGACCATTACACACAAGAGTGTCAAGGTTGACTGATGAGCAGCGTTGTTAGAACGAGCCGCAAACATGGCTGCCTCACTGTTTTATCGACTCGACTTCGTTGACTTTCTACGTGTAGCCAACTTTGAGAATCACGAACATGTGCAGGTGTATATACACGCTCTTTTGGAAACAAAAGTTTAGAAATAAAGAAAACTCTTTGAATTCGTTTCAACAGCTAATTTATTTTTTTTTCATAGATNGTCACCTTTAGCGCGTATTGCCGCTGTGGTGTTGCTGGCGAGTTGCAGACTGCCATTGTGCCGTGTGATGTTTTTCAACATGCTCTCGTCGCCGCATACGTGAGAAGTACTCCCGCTGTCTAGGCACCACTTCGCACTAGTTGTAGTGCTGGTGAAAAAGCATAAGCCGGAGGTTTCGTTTTTCGATTCTTCTTGGCTTCTTTTCTTTTTATAGCAGTCCGCTTCTTTGTGACCCTTTTTCTTACAAAATCCACATTTGTAAGAAGGTTTCTGCTTATGCGACGTTGCGTTGTTCGATGCGGGTCTCGAGGTGGAGCCACCTTTTGCGCGACTGTAATCTTGCTTAGTTTTAGCAATCATTGCCGAACTATTATGATTATCGTTTACACTATGCCGAGACTTGTGCTCTTCCAGGATTTTTATTTTTAAAATTTCGAGATCTGGCAGCTTATCGCGCGATTCGATTGCGCATCTGAAGTTCTCGAAGCTCGACGGAAGGCTTTGGAGAAGCATAATTGCTAGCAAATCGTCATCCAGAGTAGCGCCTGTCGACTTCAGTTTGTCAGATGCATCAAAGAAACCTTTCAGGTGGTCGATCATACTGTCGCTGTCCGCCATCTTGTGCTGAGTCAACTGTTTGTACAGCGAGACTTTACGCGCGGGCGTTTTTGATGCGTACGTCGATTCCAACTTTGTCCATACCTCATGCGATGTGTTGCAATTCTTGATCTCCTTTAGCTCGGAGGGCGAGATGCTGAGGATCAAGTCTGATCTGGCTTTACGGTCCTTCACCAGCCATGCCTTATAAGCCGCCTCGGCTGCGGTCCGTGCAGCGGCGTCGGCCCCTCCGATTGCAGGTGCTGGTGTAGCGCCCGAGACGAAGTCCCAGCCGTCGTTTTTGATTAATAAGGCTTCGACCTGGATCCTCCATGTGTCGTAATTGTCGCGAGAGAGTAGCTCGAAGCGCGGAGTGTGCGTTACGTATTGATTTTCGGACATCTTTGATCAATACTACGCGTGGTTAACCTCACTTCCGACACTGAAACTTTTGCACTATTGAAAACGGTATGTCTCTTTTATCTCGGTTATGTTTTTGCAATGTCTGGGCCCATAACCTGTGAGAATTAAGAGTGAGACTAACACTTGTTAATTATAACTTTTATTAATTAAACACAATTGACGTACAAAGTATATGAGCTCTCGAGTGGGCGCGAGAAGAGCGAGTGAGCGGTTCAGCGTTGTTAGAACGAGCCGCAAACATGGCTGCCTCACTGTTTTATCGACTCGACTTCGTTGACTTTCTACGTGTAGCCAACTTTGAGAATCACGAACATGTGCAGGTGTATATACACGCTCTTTTGGAAACAAAAGTTTAGAAATAAAGAAAACTCTTTGAATTCGTTTCAACAGCTAATTTATTTTTTTTTCATAGATTAATATATAAGCATCATTTTCAATGATTGTTTTTAACTGTTCAAAATCCGTCGCTTGCGCTTTGAATTTTACTTTTTGTTTATACTTATCCCAAATAAAATGAAAACGAAACATTGTTTCTTGTTTAATGATAAAATTGTTGCATCCTTTATTATTCATTTCAGTTTGATAATTACAAATCCAAGTAGATCATAAGCAACGAAATAGTCGCGTGTACATGTACAAGTTATAGTGTATGCTTTACAAAGTATATTTGAAATTGCCCGCACTCATAAGTTGGCTACACCGAAAAAGTCAACGAAGTCGAGTCGATAAAACAGTGAGGCAGCCATGTTTGCGGCTCGTTCTAACAACGCTGCTGATGAGACTGTACTGCTACACTAGGTTATGTTATTGAAATGCAGCGGACAACTCTTTTAAATGAGCCACAACTCGACGCGCCAAAAAGTTAATCAAATTCAAAAGACGTTTTTTTAAGATGAAACGAAAAAAAATTTATTAATTATTCTCTGTAAGCATTAAAAGATATTACGAAACATGTATAAGATATATTGCATAAAAAATAAATTTTAATTTGCTGAAAAATGAAGCATGACATTTCCTTGGACGCATTGAATCTAACTGCTGCTTTTCTTCGCCCTTTTCCTTAAATTGTATAAAAACTGAAAAAGGTAAAAAATACGTGATATACTTGATTTGTGAAGGAAACTTGAATAACTCTTGAAAAAAAACTTACATTCACAGCTGCATTCGGTTCCTTTATCGAGCGTTTGAGAGATTTCCTAAAAAATTGAATTAATTTTTTAACTATTGATACTTTGAACAATTGAGAAGCGAACATAAGTCGACCTACTTTTTAACTAATTTTTTGGAGCCCTCTGGTTCAGGTAGCGCAGAAGTATCTGGAATAGCTGCATTTTTCGGCGATGCTATAATATTGGGAACGGTAGCTATGACGAGATTCTCTCTATTGACATAATTATCATCATTATTATTACTAATTAGTGACTCTTCATGGTATAATCTTGACGGGGACGCAAAATAATTTGGTTTTTGTGGTTTTATTTCCACAACTTTGACTTGTTCAGATTGAGCCTTCTGCAGCAAATCTTTCAAGTTTTTAATCTGTTCAAAAAATGTTCATAGAGAATTTCGTAATTGAAGCTAATATTAGTTGCAATTTATCACAAATCACCTCATTTTTTAACGATTCAATTTCTTCATCTTTATCTTTTATGAGAGCTTCTCTAAGCTCGGCATCTATTTCCAACGAATCGATAGTTTCTTTCTGATTCTTTATTTCTATTTTTTTCGAAATACAATTTTCATGAATAAATCGCATGCTCAATTTATTTTATAGTGTACTTACCTCTTTGAAATTTGGAAATCATACAACTCATTTGCTGTTCTTTTCCGATTGCTTTTATAACGAACGATAAAAAGTTATTTTCTAAAATGTTTAAGGACATAGTTTTATTTTCATCGGTACTAATTTAAAACGTAAAAGAAATTCAAGTACATACCCTTTTTAATCGCTCGTCTAGCTGGACACGAATTATTAATGTCCTTGATCATATTTTTAACATCTGGGGATTTCGTAGTATTTATAATCGACATTTTACTTATTATTTTTCAGATAAATGTTGTATTCAATGAATTGATCTAGTTTTACTTTTTTTAAGTAAATTACGTACGTTATTCTACCTACGAAACGTGTATATCTGATAATTATGGATCGCTTTTGAGCTGTTTGGCGTATGTAAACATGAAAATCAAAATAATGATAATAGTCTTTCGTAATGACACGAGAGAACTTTCATTTACCTATTGTTGTGAGGAAATTTGAGACCTCATAAGTTTTCCATTCGATCGCGAGTGGGCATCAGTGAACTAAATTCGTAATCGTACACTAAAATATACAAAAGCAAGTATATTTTTTTCAAATTAACAATTTTAATGCAAATTAAGATAAATAGTGATTGAAGTGAAGGAAAAATGAAAGTATCGAAGTGATCCTATTTGATCATCACGTGAAGCGTATTTGATGAAAACACCTGTCTATAGTAAAATTGACTTATTGAAGCCGCTTGTTTGACGCGAAGAAACTCCATTGTTTACGTTTTCTGTGTAACTTAATAATAGTATTCGTGCCTAATAATAGAATGATTGAAAAAATGAAAAGAAACGCATGCGTTTAATCGGAATTTTGAATGTCAGCGCACGCGGCCAACTCGCGAAAATTGCGTTTCAGCGAGAATTTCACGATAAATGGCTGTAGACTGTTGGCGTTACCGAACGCGCATATGATTGCAAGCAAAATCTTAACCTAAAATCTAACGCTCACTGCCCATAAACCATAGTGCAAGTGCAACAATACAATCCCTGTTATAGATATAAGTCAACATATATTATAATATATAAAAATACTCGCTGTCATCAGTGTGTCGGTGTTTCGTGCACCTCAATGCAATAACGTGAGTCATATACATATATTTCAATTCGTGCCAAATTTTGGCTTTTATCGCGAATAATAAAAATTGTAAAAAACATCAAGTATAAATGTGTAAGAGTGAGCGGCATTCGGTCTTGGCTCCTGAATGTCGCTGCGTCCCCTTTTTTCGCTAATATCGCGAGAGGGCATTAAAATCCAATGGCTTGTGTGTATTCGCAACGTGTGTCTAACTCGCTTTGGCGATAACCATAAAGCCTTACAGCGTTTTACGCGAATTTTTTCTAAAAAAATAACTAAAAAAATAATGTATTTAAGACTTGAAAACGGATTATTATTATTGACTTGTTGAACTCAGATTTCTTGTGTACTCTAAAGCACAGTTCGTATGAGAGTTGCTCCGATTTAGAATTACGTTCCATTCGTCCCTGCTACGAATATACACAAGGTAAAAAAGTTATTAAGACAGATCGTTCATACGTATACATGTTTCATACACATGTATATATTATCTGTCTATACACATATATTGTAAAGTTCTGTGCAGTGTTTTGTGCGTGCGTATAGCTTCTTAAGCCGTAACCTCACCGAAAAGAGAAAATTTACCGAGACATTATCCAATTTTTCATTTAATAAAATAAATTTTAACAGATAATTTGAGTACGAGAGTTACCCGTTAAAAAATTTTGCACACGATTGACTTAAATAAAACCAAACCTTATTATTTCTATTCATCTATCATTCATTCAAATCTATATATTAAATATCGAATCGTAATAATACATAATAAAACATTCTTTCAATAGATAACATTTAATTGTTAAATCTTATTTTTTATTACGAATATTAACAGTGAACATTAAGCTTGAACCAGAAAACAAAGTGAGTGCGAGCAAAGTAGACAGTCCGCCCGCAGCGGTCGGCAGCAAAAGAATGACGGATACAGCATCGTCGCCTGGTAGTGCCAAGAGACCCAACTTTTCTCTGGCTCTTGCTGCTAATCCAAATGGCGTTAACAAGGGAAGCACAGGCATGGGTGGTAAACCTGGAACGGCCAAAAAGTTGGTCATCAAAAACTTTAAAGGTAAAAAATTAATTATAACTTGTCAATTTGTCAATTTTTTGATTGAAAATTAATCTTTACAATCTGTTACTCGCAGAAAACCCTAAACTTCCTGAAAATTATCAAGAAGAAACATGGGAAAAACTACGTGAAGCAGTCGTAGCTATACAGAACAGTACAAGCATAAAGTATTCTCTGGAAGAACTTTATAAGGCTGTAGAAAATATGTGTAGTCATAAAATGGCACCTGTTCTTTATGGCAATTTAAGCAATCTTATTGAAAGGCATGTTAAAGGCACCATAGACATATTTTTGGTTGAATCAATGGACAGACATCTTTTTCTTAAGCGAATGAATGATTGTTGGTTGTCTCATTGCAGACAGATGATTATGATCAGGAGCATATTTCTTTATCTAGATCGTACTCATGTTTTACAAAACCCTAGTTTATCTTCAATATGGTAAGAGAAGCTGCATTTAATTCTTTTTTTTTTAAAATTATTTTTCTACAAATAAATAAAATTCTTTATTCCAGGGATATGGGTTTATGGGTATTCAGAATGCACATTCTTTTGAACAATTTGGTCCAAACTCGTACAGTTGAAGGAGTTCTCATGTTGATTGAAAAAGAACGGCAAGGTGATACAGTTGACAGAAGTCTTCTCAAGTCATTACTTCGCATGCTCTCAGATTTACAAATATATCAAGAAGCTTTTGAAAGTAAGTTTCTCTTAGCTACTGAGAGATTGTATGCAGCTGAAGGTCAGAGATTAATGCAGGAACATGATGTGCCTGAATATTTAGCCCATGTTGATAAAAGATTGCAAGAAGAGAACGAAAGACTGCTTCATTATCTGGATATCTCTACTAAGTAAGTTTAAAATTATACCTAGATTTTTTATAAACACATTTTTATTGTAATGAATACTACATATACATTTCCAGATGGTCTTTAATTCATACTGTTGAGAAACAGCTATTATCAGAACACATTAGTAGTATTTTGCAAAAAGGTCTCAGTGGGCTATTAGATGAAAACAGAATAAGTGACTTATCCTTACTTTATAATTTGTACAGTCGCATTAAAAATGGCTTGGTTGAACTTTGTTTAAATTTCAACTGTTATATTAAGGTATAGTATAAAGTAAAGAAATCGTTTTTATTTTTATTTAATTTATTAATAATTTTTATTACTATTATATCAATAGAAAAGAGGCAAAACAATTGTGATAGATCCTGAGAAAGACAAAACCATGGTACAAGAGCTATTAGATTTCAAAGATAAAATGGATAATATAGTTAATACATGTTTTCACAAAAATGAAAAGTTTGCTAACAGTTTAAAAGAAGCTTTTGAAGCCTTCATAAATCAGAGAGCGAATAAACCAGCAGAACTCATAGCTAAATTCGTTGATTGTAAACTACGAGCTGGGAATAAAGAAGCTACTGAAGAAGAACTTGAACGTTTACTAGATAAAATTATGGTTCTATTCAGATTTATTCACGGTAAAGATGTATTTGAAGCATTCTATAAAAAAGATTTGGCCAAACGTTTGCTCGTTGGTAAATCTGCGTCAGTTGATGCCGAAAAGTCGATGCTATCCAAATTGAAACAAGAATGCGGGGGTGGCTTTACCAGTAAATTAGAGGGCATGTTTAAAGACATGGAACTAAGCAAAGATATAAATATTGCGTTTAAGCAATATTCTGGTAATCTTCAAACTGAGCTGATTGCTAGCAATTTAGATCTTACTGTATCAATATTGACAATGGGCTATTGGCCAACATATCCAGTAATGGAAGTCACATTGCCAGCTGAAATGGTGCAGTATCAAGATATTTTCAATAAGTTTTACTTAGGAAAACACAGTGGAAGAAAATTACAGTGGCAACCGACTCTAGGACATTGTGTACTCAAAGCTTGGTTTAATCAGGGCAACAAGGAATTGCAAGTGTCATTGTTCCAAGCTTTAGTACTTATATTATTCAATGACTCTGACAATTTGTCTTTTGAAGAGGTCAAAGCTGCAACGAACATAGAAGATGGTGAATTAAGGCGGACACTGCAATCTTTGGCTTGTGGCAAAGCTCGCGTGCTCACGAAAAATCCCAAAGGTCGTGATGTTGCAGATAACGATCGATTTTTGTTCAATGCAGATTTTACTAATAAACTATTTAGAATTAAGATTAATCAAATTCAGATGAAAGAAACGGTTGGTATATAGTTACATCAATATTCATGAAAACTGTATTTTGTGTTTAACAATTTTGGTACATTTCAGAATGAAGAGCAAAAGGCGACGGAAGAACGCGTCTATCAAGATAGACAGTACCAGATCGATGCAGCTATTGTTCGTATTATGAAAATGAGAAAAATTTTATCTCATAATCTCCTCATAAGCGAGTTGTATAATCAACTGAAATTCCCTGTGAAGGTATTTAACCTTTTAACTTTTGATATATTATTACTACGCGATTTTTTTAACTTTAACATATGGCTAATTCATTACTGTTTCATTATTAGCCTGCTGACCTAAAAAAGAGGATAGAATCGCTGATTGACAGGGACTACATGGAACGTGATCGAGACAATGCAAATCAATACAATTACGTAGCGTAATTTTTCAATCGGTATGATACTATTGAGGCAAATACTATTTTTAATAGTTCAGACTTCATCTCTTTACAAAATGAAGAAAAAACAGAGACAAAAATAATCGTGTGTGTAAAGATTATCATTTTGTACGACTAGAATCAAATTAATTTCAGCGATGTTTAGGTGCGATGAATTCTTGACAAAATATTATATTATATCTTTTAAATTTGTGCCAGAATGACTAATTTTCTGAAGAAGAAACGTATCCTCAAATATCCCTTACTGAAAAGTAGTTTAGGTACCAATTTCTCAAGAATACCCATGCAAATCTCATTTTCACGCAATCTAACGTATCATAATATTGAAGTTTACTTATTGCGTTGATAAGTTTTATAACAAATGCTAAGTTTGTTGTTTTAATAACGAATTTTAAAACGAAACGGTACGTTTCTGTTTGATTCGAAGCTTGATTTTACTGTGCTGAGTAGTTGAAATGAATTGATGCAAATTTACTCTTGAACTTTTCTGTTTTGAGTCATTAGCGGAATTTTATTTTAAGATTAAAAAAAGAATCATATAATATTTTCTTGGACTTAAAATAATCTGATTTTCTCGCGATTTCAAGAAATAATTTAAAATAAAGGTGTTTCAGAGAATTTAACTGAGTTATCAAAGAAAGCATTCATTTTAATTTATTAGTTCATTTTTTCAGCTCTAAGAGTAACTTTTTTATTGTAAATTATTTTTTAGTTTTCCATAAATTAAAATTGATATAATCATGGCTAAAACCTATGGTTCTTTAAAGTATGAAATGAAATTGTATATTTATGTAATGAAATTTTGATCTGAAATTTTTTATTTTGTTTAATTTTTTGAAAAATGTTGCACTGTAAAAAATGACAAATAAGATGAAACAAATCTTGTATAAAGCAATAAACTTCTATGTTCCTTTATCAAAGTGATGATTAGAAAAATATTTAAAAAATTGAACAAAAAACCAAACAAACTAAGCATAAATTAACTAGGTCACTTTTTCAAATTACAAACGATTTATGTCAAGATTCGCTTCGAATTGCTATCCACTTATGTTATCAATCAATCAGCAAAACGATTTCTACAGTTTTTCACGGTAGAGAATATAATGTACGGGCTGGTCGTTGCAAATCATAAACATTCGCGAAAATATAGGCATCACAGGCTTTTCATTGCTCAGTTAATGAAGATTATCAAATAATTATTACAACTCTGAAAACTGCCATTTTATAAAAGAGTTTACTTTTGTAATTTTGCATCAAACCAGCCAAATTTTGTCATAAAAAACAAACATAATACTATAATAAAAATTATACGTCAGGTCATGATTGTTCATTCGCTGAAAAGCGAATTGAATACAGCGCGATGAATAAACAAACATTAAAAGTACGAAAACGATACGCTAAACCACAAGAAATTTATTTTTATGAAAATGTGAAATGTTCATCAAGATGTTTGTTAGAAGTTGTAAATAGTAAAATAAAACAGGTACTTGTAATAAAAATATATAAAATACATCATTTTATTCAGTTTGTCGCTTTTTATTCTAAAAATTATTGGTGTTCCCAAATATTGTTATTTATACACAATTCAAGTCACAAAGTAAAATTTTTAGAAATGTTTTTGCCAACAATGACAATTTCAACATAACAATTTTTCGGCATAACATTCGTACAATTTTTTAGGGTAGAACTGTATAAACATATTATCTATAAATTCTATTTTTAATACTGTTTATTTTATCGGCTCTCTTGTCAATATCACTGATAACGGACTTTGTAAAATTAATCGGACTAGCTTCTTGATTAAGGTAATCTGCAACGAGTTTCGAGGGTGGTTTGCCACCTCCGTGCGCCAGACATTCGCGTCGGTATTTTTCACCGGCTGAACGACTTAAAGGGTCTCGCTCAAAGTGTGTTTGCCAAATCCATGATGCGATTGCCCGTGAAGATAAATATGAATAGTACTTAGCTCCGTAGCCTACTAGATGCGAGAAACGTAACTGCCAAGCCTGTAAAAAAATTTTAATGTACATTGACTGAAAGTACCATGGGAGAAAAAAGTTCTTACTGTTTTAGGAACATATGGCAAACAATAATACTGGTTTTGAATTTTTTCTATTATTTCCGTTGTTGTTGTATCTTTAATTTCGCCACTATGGTAGACTTGATCGAGCATACTATAAAAGACTTGACTTTGCATCTCTGATGATGGGAAAAGATTTTTAGCAGCACAAATCTTATGTAACATGTCTTCCGGCATAGACTCGCCGGTTTCGTAATGTTTAGCGTACATAGATACAATCTGAAAAGCAAACTCATTAGTAAATTGTTTTGTAAAAAAGTCAATGGTAAAAAATTACCCGAGGGTCGCTGCAAAAATATTCCATCAGTATACTTGGAACTTCAGCAAAATCCGTACTGCAACGAGTACCCGTAACGTGTTGATATTTCGTACGACCAAGCATCGAATGTAGAGCATGACCCATTTCATGAAATAAATTTTCAGCCAATGATGGATTTAGCAAACTTGGCATTGATAATTTCGGCGACGGCAGGGTCAACATTACTACGACTATCGGTAATTGATAGGTACCGTCGGGTAGTTCCCGACCACCTCTAATTGTGAAATGACAATCCTGACCGGATTTGTTTTTACGGTCGAAAAAGTCGCAATAAATATGGCCCAGAAGACCTTCATTTTCATCAATGACAGCAAGTTTGTGTACATCGGGTGCCCAGACTTCACCAGAAGCACATTGTTTGTACTCGAGTTTCACTCCAAAGAGCGCTTGAGTTAATAAATTTAGACCTTCCATGCATGCACCCAAAGAGAAATATGGGGCCAGTTCTTCATTACTGGTTCCAAGCCAAGATTTACGAGCTAAACCACTGAGATAAGCTGTATCCCAGGGTCCTATAGGTTGAGGAACTTGTAGGTCTTTATTTTTGATTTTCTGTAATTCCACTAGATCATTCTGAGCTCTCTCTTGCAATTCAGCATTCATTAAATTAAGAAAGTCATAAACTGCTTCAGTTGTTTGCATAGTACTCCCCCTTACAGCTCTGTAATTGATAATATTTGAATTTAAATTCAAACTTATTAGATTAAAATAATATAATTTTTGAACTATACCTATGAGCATATGTAGGAAAACCACATATTTGGGCTAAATAATGCCTGGAGTTAAGCATTTCATGCAATAATTTTTCTTGTTTTTCATCAGGATAAAGAAATATTTTGTATGCAGCTTCGCGAACTCTAGCATCTGGTGATTCTGTATTTATACCACTTACTATAACATGTTTGCCATCCCTGCCAAATCTGAATAATAAAATATAATGTAATACAATTAACAATTATTTCTTTTAGAAGATAATTATAGGTCAATTCTTTTGCTTACTTTCCAGCAAGATCTTGAGGTAATAAATCAATATTGATACGTCTTGGTTCAGCAGCACCAGCTGTAAATCGCTGTCCATACTAAAAATAAGAATAATTGTTTATATGCATGAATTATACAATTAAGGCCAAATTTAATGCAGCATGTCATACGTATAGAATATGTTCATTCAATTCTACAACTTTTCTCCTTTCCTGTTCTGGAAGATGAATACCACATTGTTCAAAATCAAAAAGAAACAAATTGGAAACATGATCATCAATTTCACTAGTCTTTATAATATCTCCATGCTTTGTGACATTCGATAGAGCATCGTACAATTTACGATTAGTATTTAACCTGAAAAAATATCCAATAAATAAAATGATGAATGAACAAGCAATATTCAAAAAATGTTGATTTAAATATTACTTTTCAACGATATTACTCATTGCAATACAGGCATTTTCAGCTGCTTGGGAAAATTTTTGATCTGGGTGACCAATTCTCACAAATTCAGCCATGTCGGCAACTTGACACAAAGTATCTGACAGCTCGTCAAATATTTGAGCCATTTTTCTTGAGCGTTTTCCATTGTTATTGGTGGCTTCTTCAACCAACTGATCTGCCTTTGCAATAGCTTTATCTTCAAGCTCTTTAAAGCCATTTGCATTGTTAAGTTCTGGTATCTCAAACAAACCCTAAAAATCACAAGTTAGAGAGTCAAATTAGCTATGCAAAGAACACTTTAAAAAACTTTAGTAAATGGATGATTATTATCAAAAGTGTGAGGAAAATAACTCACAGTTTCCTTCCTACCGAAGCTCAAATCAAATTTCAACGACGACCGAGCATTAAATGCAGTAGCAAAGGGAGACCAAGTTGTAACACCTCTTTTAAACATCAACAATTTCAATACCATTTTATACGGTCAATTAGTTTTTGATAAAATATTAATAATATTCAAAATGTTGTAAAATTGTGAGGAAGTTTTATTTCTTATTGATCTCAAAAAGCAGTAGTATTGCACGTCACACGATTCGCACGTGGAATCTATCACAATGTGTAATAACACCAATAAAGAGCCAAAGAGTGCGCTGTTAGCAGTTGAACTCGCCGGGTGCACTGGAAAGTATCCTGCCATCAGCAAATTTTTGCAATTCAGTAAAAAGTGATAATACTCAATTTTCTATTGTAAAATAAAAAGGGTGTCGGTAATTTTACTTGGAAGATAGCTCCTTTTTTTTAAGGTAAAATGTAGAAAAGCATTTCTTGCACCAGATACAGTACTATCATCGCTGCCGCCGTTATCATTATTGTCGAGAAAATAAAGAGTGACGAATAAATAACGAATTTGCATAAACTCGCGAACATTTCGAAGCCGTTTTTAGAAAAGTTTCAAGCCAAAATTAGTTAGTGATCTTTGTTTGTTTAAGATTTTTTACTTTTGTTTACTTTTGTTTACAAGCCATAGCAAAACTGTACGGCTTTCACATATGGCGCTTGTTGTACTTAACCTTGTTAACAGCACAAAAAAACTACCGTGTTTTGCAAAATCATTCTCGCTACTGCGTCCTAAATTATTGCGGTATTTAGTTTCCGTTGTGTATATAGTGTGAATTTTAATGTTTATTATATTTTAACGTATAATTTAACTTTTAGCGAACCGATCAAAAGGACATCGCTCACTTTAGTGGAATCAAACTTAAAAAAGTAAGACACATTGTATATTGATTTTTTTGATTTTGATATTTATTTTTATTAATCGTTTTTTGTTTTGTTTAGACACCAAAAATTTGAAAAAATGAAGCCCCCAGTAGCAGCTGAAAGACCTCATAAGTATGAAATTCATGGAACAGTATTAGAAGATGAATATTTTTGGATGAGAGATTCTAAATGGCCTGAAGTTGAAGACAAAGATGTTTTGGAATATGTCAAAGAAGAAAATGCATATACAGAAGAATTCTTTGCCCCCCATAAATCATTAAAAAATGATATTTTTGAAGAGCTCAAAGGACGAATAAAGCTAGATGATCAAACACCTTATGTAAAAAAAGGAGATTATTATTATTACAGTAGAACAGAGAGTGATAAGGAATATTCCATCCACTGCCGAAAACATAAATCTACTGATGCTCCTGAAGAGATAATCCTTGATATCAATGTTCTTGCAAAAGACAAAAAATTTACAGATGTTGATGTTGTTAAAGTTTCTCCTGACCATAATTTATTAGCCTACAGTGTTGATTTTGCTGGACTAGAACGCTATAATATTAAAGTCCTTAATTTACAAACTAAAGAATATCTAGTAGATGAAATAATCAATGTATCTGGTAACATAATATGGCATGAAAAGCTAAATGGCTTTTTCTATTCCCCTTTAAATGAACATTTACGCACTGATACATTAAAGTTCCATACATTGGGAGAGAAACAAGAAAATGATAAGACTTTATTTCACATTGATGATGTTTTGTACCAATTAAGAGTCCACAAATCATCTAGTAAGGAGTATGTTTTCATCAATGTATCTGGACACAATACCAATGAAATTCATGTCATTAAAATGAGTGATACTACTTTTAAAACAGAATTAATAAGGCCGAAGAAAGAAGATATTTTTTATGACGTAGAGCATAATGATGATCTTTTTTATATTAAAACTAATGATCAAGCCAAGAACTTCAGAATTGTCACAGTTGGCACTGATAAATTTCACAACGATCAATGGGAAAATAACTATGTTCCAGAAATTTCAAACCAATACCTGTGTGATTTTGGAATGACGAAAAATTATCTGATCCTCACCTACCGTGTGAAGGGCCTACCAATCGTCGTAGTCAAAAGTCTAGATACCGAAAAACAGAAAGATATTCAATTTAGCGATGGGTCTTACACTGCATCAGCAAAATCGACCAATTTTGAGGAGAATGATATCAGAATTAATTATTCGTCCCTTGCGCGGCCAAACACAACATACACTTATGACTACCCTAGTGGCCAGCTAAACATTATCAAAGTTCAAGAGATACCGAGCGGGCACGATCCCAAAGAATACACAGTTGAACGGATATACGCCAGCACTGACGGTGTAGAAGTTCCCATTACTGTACTTTACAAAACTTCACTCTTTGAGGGCCCAAAGAATCCACTTTGCATGTACGGCTACGGTTCCTACGGGCACGCCTATCCGGTAAATTTCAAAAATCAAGCAATATCGTTGGTAAATCGCGGCTTTGTCTACGCGATCGCCCACATCCGTGGCGGTGACGATCTCGGTCACGACTGGTACGAAGAGGCAAAGTTCTTAAAGAAAAAGCGTACTTTCGAGGACTTTATCGCCTGTGCCGAGACTCTGTGCGCCAAGGGCTACACGACCAAGGGCAACATCGTGTGCGGGGGCGGAAGCGCCGGGGGATTGTTGATCGGTGCTGTCATTAACAGCAAACCGGAACTTTTCAAAGCTGCGCTTCTCCATGTGCCCTTCGTAGACGTGCTCAACACTATGCTGGACGAGACGCTGCCCTTAACACCCGGTGAATTTAAGGAGTGGGGAAATCCGAAGGAGTTGGATTACTTCAATTACATCAAGTCTTACTCGCCGTATGACAATATCAAGGCTCAGAAGTACCCACACATCTTTACCACTGCTGGTCTGTCGGATCCTCGAGTCGGCTACTGGGAGGCTGCCAAGTGGGTCGCCAGGTTGAGAAAAATCAAGACCGACGACAACGTATTAATCATGAAGACGAACATGGATTCCGGACACATGGGCTCCTCTGGAAGGTACGATTACTTAAAGGAGATTGCCGATGACATCGTTTTCATACTCAAGGTTTTCAACATGATTCCTCAAGTCTAAGGGTATTAAAAAAAATGAAAAGTATTTAAATATTTTTAATTTTGTGAATTGTTTTACTTGTCTTGCAATGAATTTGTCTTAGGAATAAAAAAGATTATCCGTTTTCAATTATGCAAGCCTAATAATTTGTATTCACACAAGACATTATTTATATATAAATAAATTATTTCTATTATTATTTATATATCAATAAATTTTAATCAATAAAAGTGAATTTGATTTCAACTCCTTGATGTTTGAAATTCTTTGAAAATTCTTCCGATGCAGGTGGCGCTTTAATATTTAAAAAGAGAAAGAGAGAGAAAGAGACCGACAGCACAAGTAGCAATATGAACTTTCGCGCGGCCAAATGCGTGTTTCCAATGAGCCTTGGCACATTGCACGTAGCAAGTTACTGCTGCCGGCCGACTGCATCTCACTTATGCGCTCGCAGTAGTAAGTAGTATAGCTTCGGGAAACGATATTTTATATATGCAGTGTATCAGTGTACCAGTTAAAAAACGCGACTTTGTTCAGCATGGCAAGGGAGCGGGAGCGAGTATAGCGTCAGCTGTTTAATGTTTTGAAATATAATGTGCGACCAGTCGAGAAGAAAAAAAGCAACCAAACTTGCATAGAATGATTGCAGTTATTATCGTACGGCATTATCGAGTTTTTTTGCGCGTACACCACCGCCTCTCATTGAATGCACTTACCGAATAACATCTGCAGCATATATGTGTATATTGCGAGTTGCTCCGACGGATGTTTCACTGTGTTTTCTTGATTTTACGCACTTTCAAAATGAGCATACTCAAACGTCGCATAAAGGAATTCGAGGATGCCCTCGGCGCCAAGGAAATAGATCCCGTTCTCGTGCGAAAATTGTGTTTCAATGGTATTCCTGACGTCGGTAGTCTTCGGCCCCTGTGCTGGAAATTACTGCTGAATTACATACCCTATTCCAGAGACAGGTGGCAAGAAACACTGGCGCGAAAGCGAGAGCTTTACAAAAATTTTATTGACGACCTCATCGTCATCCCCGGTGAATCAAATATCGAGAAGGCCGGTCTAGTTGTTGATGTGAAGATCGATGATCATCCTCTGAATCTCGATCCTGACAGTAAGTGGCAGACGTTTTTCAAGGACAATGAGGTGCTTTTGCAGATTGACAAAGATGTCAGACGACTCTGCCCTGACATATCCTTTTTCCAGCAAGCAACTGATTATCCTTGTGAAGCCATTGTTCACAGTAATGGACAAAAACGACTCCACCAAAGGGTACACCATACTGTGCTCAAGAGTGCCAGTGTCGAGCGAAGAGGCTTGGGTCCCACAACGATATGTGTCCCAGCAAAAAAAGCAGCTGAAGATTATGCTCCGATCGAAGGTGGAGAAGCCCACTGGGAAGTACTTGAAAGAATATTATTTTTATATGCTAAACTCAATTCTGGTCAGGGGTACGTTCAAGGAATGAATGAGATTATTGGCCCTATATACTATGCCTTTGCCTGTGATCCAGATCAAAAGTGGAGAGAGCATGCAGAGGCTGATACTTTCTTCTGCTTTACTAATCTCATGGCTGAAATCAGGGACTTCTTTATCAAGACTTTGGACGAAGCTGAATGTGGCATCAACACTATGATGAACAGACTGATGCAAGAAGTTAAAACTAACTCCTATGATATCTGGTTAAGATTGTTTCAACAAGAGCTCTGTCCACAATATTACAGTTTTAGATGGCTCACGCTAATGTTATCACAAGAATTTCCACTGCCTGATGTTATGAGGATATGGGATTCATTATTCTCAGATAATAATAGATTTGACTTTTTGATACATGTTTGTTCTGCTATGATACTACTGTGCCGAGACCAGATACTCAGTGGTGATTTTGCTGCTAATGTTAAATTATTGCAAAATTTCCCCTCAACAGATGTTCAAATTGTTCTGTCTAAAGCTGCTGAATTATCTGAAAGATCTTCGTTGAAAGACAGTTTTTTAAAATAAATTTCATATTTTGATATGAAAGCATTTTTGTACATTGTGATGAAATTGGGTAACACACGAGATCTTTATGTGGTACTATTGAAGTATCTGCCCGAATGATCAAAAGAGTCTTACTACTATGCAAATAGATTTTAATAAACAATTATTACTATGTAAATTTAAAATGAATAATAAAACATTTAAAATGCTGAGCAATAATTTTAATATCAAATATTTATTATTTCATTTGAAATTTAGTTGCATTTTAAATATCAACAATCTTAGTACATAGGTATTCACAAAACTTAAACATTTATATTGTTTCCTGATGTAAAATGACATTTATTTTTTAAAGAAAGTTTTTATCATTTTTAGTATATTATATAAATATATTTATATATTGTATATGTAATAAATTTTATATGAAAATCACTTATGTCTTTCAACTATTACTCAAAATTTACCATCCTATCCTTTGAGGATGCTCTTCATCACTCCAAGAAAATGATTTAAATGAAAACAATGCAAATTGAGCAAGAATTACAAACATAGTAGTTAGTGTTTCACAAACAATTTGCCAATTTTTAATATTACTTTGTTTTAGTCTAAATATTATATATGGTACAATAAAATATCTTGGCTCCAATAACAATTGAGGTATTAATACAAATGAAGTACACAATAAGTAGGCTACAAGTGATAGCAGTCTCATACTACTTAGTGTTTTTACAATACTATAAATAAAAAGTGCATAGAATGGAACTGGTATAAATTTATAAGCTGGATCACGGTTCATAAAATTTTTCCAAATATAAAAAGAATAATGTCTGTTATCTGCTAGAATATATGGATGCACCAGAGTATTAAATTGTACTATCAAAGTTATTGAACCCAGAAGAATACTGGATAACAAGATATTCTTGTACAAAAATTGTACAAAGTTTCTAAAATGTGGCAGAATGTACGGCCATGCAAATATAAAAACAAATACTGAAAAATAAAGTAGTTGAGCTAGATGTATGGTTGGTTGATGAGCACTTTTATCGCCAACAACTATCCCACCATTGTAAATCACAAATATAAAAAAAACTAATAATACAATGACATGAGGTAAAATCAATTTACAAAGAGGACCAACAAAATCACCAAATGCTGAAAGTCCAATTCTAGCTTTTGCGCTTAAAATAGCATAAATAGTCTTAATAATTCTGCTTATATTTAAAGAGCGTGTTAACTCAGGTCTTTTGGTATATTCCTCTACAAATGTTAAACTGTTTTCAATAGCTAAATATGCAAGCCATACCACATTGGTCTGTCTGGCTATTATAGCAAATGCACCCATTAAAGCAGTCATTTTATAATTTTTTTTAACGTGGCTCAATAACATTGCTAGTACCATAGTCGTTGAAAGTACATCTGTGTAATAGAAACAAAAATAAAAGAAAAGTGGTGGGAAAAATGCTATATTCCATGCTGACAGGTACACATTGAGATATTTTACTTGTGGATCTCTATTTATCCTTTCTTGGCATATTGTAGATACTAAAGTCAGACACAATCCTAAATTGCCTAATGTCAAAATGACATTAACAAACCTCATAAAAATTGTTGTGCAAAGTTCAAGAGGCCCCAAATAAAGTGCTGTAACTATATATAGTCCAGGAAAAGTTGTAATTTTTGAATCCCATTCTGTAATGTTTCCTGCGCAATACTTCATTGTCTGGGGTACATGAAATTTTTCATCTATGTAGTAGCCTTTTTGAATTTTGTTAATGTAAACAAACAGAATGGGTATGAGGAATATGAAAGCAGCCGATGCATATCGCAACATATTGGCTGCCCAGTCAATAAACCTCATTCCGTGAAGTGGTTTACTTCGTTGTCTTGAATTTTGTGCTTGCTGCTTCATTTTATCGTCTACTCTAAACTATTTTGTTTCTTGTATACATTCATCGAAGCTGCATGTCTAAGGCATCACACGACACATACTGTTAAGTGAGAGTTAAAAGGAATGTTTATCCTCGTTCGACCGATAACATTTTTCAACTTTGCTGAACAGTCAATTGCAAAGTTCGAAATCTAAACCAGCTGCAAAACTCATGCAAGTCGTGCGAAAGCATCGCCCGACTCTTTGCTCATAAAGTTTTTGTTGTCGAATCACTCGCTTCATAAACAAGAGCACTCGAAATTCGTACAGATACTCCGATACGGCCTTTCATATAAAACGAAAGTTAAAAAGTTGAAGCGAAACTCCGATCAATAAAAAATAAAGGACTAAATAGTCGCGCGATACAGTTTACCGGCTAAATCCTTGGACGGTAGGACGCCACTGCTTTTATTACACTTTAACGGCTAACCAACCATTATTCCTCTGAGCAGACGAATCATGACAAGACGCGCAAAAACAGATAACACGTGGTAGAGCGGATAATTGTCAATTGTAAGAAGAAAAAGAATAGTCAATTGTCGCTAAAAGCAGCTATATCGACGAGAATGTGCCGCTTTTGCGCTTGGTAATTTTCTATGTTAATTTGTTTTAATTCAATACTTAATATAAATTTAAAATTAAAAATTTCATTAGTAACATTGCAAAAAATGAGCTGAGCAAAAAATGTTCTTACAAGAAAAACGATCAAGAGCACGAAGTCCCTTGGAGTACAAAGTACATTTGTGTAGATTATCAACCATCAAATTTTATTCAACCGAAAAATTACGCAGGATTACCAGTCATTGTAAATGGAAAACATTTGTCGAGTGAAGAGGATCAAATATTTTGCCCCATGTTTTGGAGTCTCGTTCCGTCTTCTTTCAATGTAAAACATTTATAAAAGTTATTTTTAAAATTTTCCAAATGTTGAATCGTAATTTTCTCAGGAGGATTTACAAAAATGGGATTGCAAAACACATAATGCAAGAATTGAAAATTTAAAACAAAGCAAGATTTATTCCGCTGCTCTAGGCGAGGGAAAACGTTGCGTTGTAGTTATGGAAGGATTTTACGAATATCATAAACCTTCTCCTGATCGCCCAGCTGATGTTTATTTTCTCCAATCGCAAAAAAATGATCAGCTGCTTAAAGCGGCTGGATTATTTACTCTCGTTAAAAACACAAATGTAAGTGTGTTTTTTGATGAATTTCTATAAATTAATTTAAAACCTTATAATATACACAACTTACATAATTGATCATTTTTAGGGTAATATAATTCCTACTTGTACAGTGATAACGGCGGAATCAGAGTGTAATGCTCAACAAGTACATCACAGAATTCCAGTGTTACTTCAAGATAACTTGGATATTGAGGTAAAGCTATTCTTTTGTTTACCATCTACTTTTTTAAATATAATTCTGCAAAAATGAATTTTTAAAGGCATGGCTTGACTACAACAAAGTTTCATCATCAGATGCAGTTGATAAAATAAAATCAAAGGAGCAACCTGATTTAAAATTTTATAAAACAGATAAAGTTGGTTCAAGAGAACCAAAAAGTGCTAAGTGAGATTTCATTTATGATCATTTTATATAATGAATGTAGATTAAATCATTTTTTTCTTTTTTCAACAGAAAATCATTGGCTTCCAAAAGTATCATGTCTAACTGGTTAAATGTTGGAAAGGGAGTCAAACGTAAAGCAGATTCGTAATTTTTCAACTCACTTTAGAGTCTAAAATTAATACATTTTTTTCTAAAGAACTTGTATCTACATTTTCCAATAAAAGAACTATAACATATAATATTTAAAAAATTTTATTTTTTATGTTTTCAAAAAGAAAAATACAAACTGACTTCCTTAAAAAGGATATTACAGAAAAAATAATAATTATAATCAAACAAGAACTGATGAGTGAAAAAGAACAAATTAAACAAAAAAAGACAAATTATTCTTTTTTGACAGCTTGTTTAGCTTGATGGGCTTGAAGTACAGCAACAGCCTCTTCAACCTTGGCCTTAAGAGACTCTCCATGCTCCAACATGTGCAAAAGCTCAGAGTTATCAATTTCAAGCAACATTCCCGTGATTTTACCAGTTAGGTTCGGGTACATGCATTGAATCAGTGGGAATAAACGTTCTCCTAACATTTGCTTCTGTTCTTGAGGCTGAGCAGCTGCAAGCATGGATGCAGTGAGTGGCTCCTGACCTTGAATGTGAACAGCTTGTTGATTTTGAGCTGGAGCTGGTGGCATAGCAAGCTGTTGCGGTCCTTGGCGCATGACAGAGGTGTACTTGTAGTTAGAGGGTCGGGTTTGAGGTGATGCAACACCTTGTCCTGACATAGCGCGATTTTGCATAGGATTAGCTGCGTTAGGAACAGCATTAGGTTGATTTGCTGAAAATGAAAAATAATGTTAAGTTTCTTTTCTATGTTTCACCGATGGAATGCTTTTGTTCATTTTCAATTCATTAAATTACCTGTGATTGGGCGAGCAGCAAGAGGAGTGCGCATAACACCAGGCTGTACAGCAGTTGGTGCTCTAGGAGCAGCTCTGTACTGAGTTTGCATGGGGAACCCAGAGCTACCAGTTTGGGTATTGGGTCTAACTTGCTGAGCTGGCCATCTTGGTGTATTACGCAGCTGAGTCATTTGAGCTGGTCCATAGAAACGTTGGGGTTGAGGGAGGGTTGGAACATAGTAATTTTGACCGCCGCCAGCCGGGAATACTTGACCAATGTGTTGCATGCGAAGATTAGCAACACGTTGGATGTATTGCGAGGCAAGGTGAGCCTTTCTTTCTTCCTTTCGTTGAGCTAAAGCAACATACAGAGGCTTCGATCCAACAATTCTACCATTCATTTCAGTTACAGCTTTGGTAGCTTCCTGAGGTTGGGAGAAACAGACAAATCCAAATCCTTTGCTGCGCCCATCTTCCGTCATAACCTTAGAGAAAAAAATTGAATAATAAATTTATAATTCGAAATTGGCATATAAGTAAGTTTGATCATATGATAGAATATGCATTTACCTTCACTGAGGTGATCGTTCCAAATAGAGCAAACTCTTTCTTAAGCCTCTCATCGTCAATAGTGTCATCCAAGTTCTTGACGTAAAGGTTGACACCTTGGTAACGATTCATGCGTTCCATCTTAATTTGCTCAAACTTACGCTTGAGCTCCTGTTGACGTTCAGCTTTCTTTTGAGCACGGCCAACATACATTAGCTTATTTTCAGCAATTTCTTTTCCATTAAGATCTGCAACAGCGCGATCAGCAGCTGCTGGATCTTGGAAAGCAACAAACCCAAAACCACGAGACTTTCCATCATCTTTGCTCATAACTTTATGGCTAGTAATGGTACCATACTGCTCAAACATCTCCTTCAATTTTTCGTCGGTCATGTCCTCACCGAAGTTCTTGACATAAACATTAGTGAAGAGCTTGGCCTTCTCCCCGAGTTCCTTTTCGCGTTCCTTGCGCGAAACAAACTTGCCAACGTATACCTTCTTTCCATTGAGCAGCATACCATTGACCTTGTCGATGGACTTGTTGGCAGCTTCTTCGGTTTCGAAATGAACGAATCCGTACCCTTTGGAAGAACCTTTCTCATCCTGAGCAACTTTGCAACTAAGAATGTTGCCAAAAGCTGAGAAAGTATCATACATGGCCTTGTTATCAATGTTTTTGTCCAAGTTCTTGATGAAAACATTTCCAACGCCTGAGCGGCGAAGAGATGGATCGCGCTGAGACCACATAATTCTAATGGGTCTGCCTTTGATCATGTCGAAGTTCATGGTATCCAAAGCTCTTTCGGCTGTAGAAGAAAAAAAAATCTGTATCAATAATCATTATCTTTTTGTGAAGAAAGTTCTCTTTTTTTGTCCAAAAAGGACCATATGTCTTTCCGGCGCATTCTCGAATGTGTACACGTGACAACCTTGAAACTCATTAAAAACAATATGGCGCAACAATAACGAGTGTAGTAAGCTTGTTTTTCAAGACAGCTGCTGTGGAACGTGCCCCTTTGCTTGTGAAAGTTGCGACAAAAAAATGAGCATACGCAAACGTCATAATAACGTTAAAATGAGTAAGTGAGGGAAAATGCACTCGCTCGCAAAACACCACGCACAGGCAAGCGATGGGCATACCTACGCGCGTGTACGTGCAAGTGAAAGGAAAGTTGGTCGGTGAAATTCGATCAAGAATATTTGATAATACATTTCATAATTCAACATTTGTATTCGGGATGAAAATACGATTTTATTCTGATCACAGTATTATCGTACGTAATGAAACTGAATTCGGTATTTAGGTAATGAGTGTTTATTAATGATCGAGGAAAATTTCAATAAATACTATTAGCGACTTTCATAACCGCGTAGACCTGTATAAAATTCGAAGCATAAGTTTTAAATGTAACGAAGTATTTTATTTTCGAGAAAAAAATTCAGCGTTCTATAACAATTGGGGAATGTTAAGAAAAAACCCGCGCGATAATTCCAATTCCGACGCAATAAAATTTCGTCATCGTAAGTCAATTAGAAACTTTCTCAAGAGGTGATTGTCTATTCATATATGAAATCGTGAAGAAAGTCATCCGTATCTGAAGATTCAGAGAATCGATACATATGGAAGATATGTGCAGCGTGGCGAGCCATTAGAGAATACATGTTTCCAGGAATTATTACAGCGTGCCGAAGCGATGGGAAAGGCGGGGGGAGGGGGGACAAAACGAAAAAATTCATGTAGCGCAGCTTGTATCTTTTCAATATGGTTGGCGCTGTGTCGCGTTGCAGCGTGGGTTATGCCTGCAGAGGAACACATGGCGATGATTTACTTTCCGAACATATATCTTTCATTTGTTCACTGCGAGTGATGACGAGGCAGAAAACAACGACACGACACCGTTAAGCCAGGCAGGCATATTGGAAAGTTCGAGATAATTAAATCTGCCACATGCGCCCATTTTGATGCTTTTTCCTATTAGATCCAAGTTTCCGAGTTTTAAAAGCTATGTTAGAAGACCAGGGAGCAATCTTAGATTCCAGAATAATTGACACGTCATCTCTCGTGTAACATACGCGCCGAGAAAGTCCCGAAAGATACGTACACGTGTGCGCATGCACGCACATGCGATAAACATGGCACGGCGTGGATATTGGAAGAGAATTGCATGAAAAAGATGAGAAAAAAAAATGACTTATGCTCACCATCAGCCGGTTGTTGAAAATTCACGTAGGCATATCCGAGCGATCTCCTGGTGATGTTGTCGCGACAGACGCGGATGGAGAGAACCGGGCCAGCAGTTGAGAACTTCTCGAAGAGAATAGCCTCGGTGATGTCCGTGTGTAGATCACCTACGTAGAGGGAAGCCATTGGGTAGTTTGGTGCTCCTGGATTCATCTTGAGTTTCTTATTTTCTTCTTTTACGGTTTTTTTTCTTATAAACAAGTTGAGTTCCTGATTATAATTTTCTTTTTATGATTTTTTTTTGCCTCTGTTCTTTTCCTTTTACGATTTTTTTTTATATTTTATACTTTATGCTTTTATAATTTTTTTAGCATCACCGTAAGGGTGATAAAAATTTAAGAAATTTTTTTATGTTTTTTTAGTTGCGCCCGTGCACGTCGTTTTAATATTCGACCGATGTTACTTGCACGGCTGACATAGTGCGTTTACCTAATACGTCGAGAGCTAACTAAAAGAGACTGAGAAGAGGCGAACGGCATATAGCTCGTCTCTGCAGTCTGCGGCTTGCCAGCTGATTCAGCGCTGCCAACTTGAAAACGAGCGGCACATTCAAAAATATTATAGCATCTCGCTTACTTTTCGAATAAGTTAATTTTGGTACGGTTTTTCTCCAAATAAAATAATTTAAACTTTTGTAAATATGTCCTGTGGATTAGTTTAATTTTTTCACATACATAGATTACTGTGTATCTACACATTATTTATAAAAATCTTGTATTATTTATTTTTAACATACTATTATTGATCAAACACCACTTCGTTTTTTATCCTCACATATGGTAGTATATTTTTAATCAAATTTATTTACCAAAAATCATACGAGAAACATCGATCATGGTTAATAAGTACATTTGCTAAGTCCCACCGTCGTAGTCATAACAAGTAAATATAACGCATAGAAATTTTATAATTAAATAAAATTTTTATAGCAAAAGTGCATGATATTTTATGATTTGTATCGCTATGATAATTACAGCTAAAAGTTTTGCATGTAATAATGCTGATGCATTTTTATTATCATATGAAAAAAAAAAAAAAAAAATTAAACTAAAATACATGAAATTTTTACAAATATTTCAATTAGAAATATTTTCGTGTACTGGGAGTTGAGACAAAATAATTATTGTTCACTTGTTCAAGTTGGCAATATCACATCAATTACCAAAGCTTAGTCATATACAGGCAAACATAGTAAGAGGACAGAGGAGAGGCGAAACGGAAGACAAACCCATTTTCAAGAGAACGAATGTCTGTCTCATTACCGTATCACCAAGGCCTAACTCGTCTTAATGAAACTAGTGACACCTATATATATTTTTTAATTTCCATTTAATTTATATCTACAGTTTTTAAATTTTTATTTTATTACTTGATCATCTTTTGATTGCAGTTATGCGCCCCGAATTCGTGTAGATTCAAAAGGCGTTCGCGTATTACTTATCACTAATATAGAACAAAAAATGTATAATTCGAACGGAAGTAAACTACTCGCTTCGAGTCACTAGCTTATGACGCGTTTAGTCTCGTGACGCCCATGTACGCATACACCTTGTTTCACCTGAAATACAATATTCGTCGATTGGAATTAAGCGGTAAGCCTGCAGCTTGTCCATCCCGTGTAGCCACCAGATGGCCCTAGTTAATGCGAATGTAATGGAAATTACGGCTGAGCATGCGCATCGTTTCAAACACAAAGACAATGTTAAGAAAATCAGTAATAGAAAAATAATTCATGTAATTCATTGGATTTTCCTTTATTATCGCAACAATATCAATCGACATTTTAAAAAGAAAATTGCGCTTTATTGCTAGAGTGGAACATGGCCCATTATTGCGTTTACTCAATAATGCGCAATTGCTAGCACTCATTTAATTTTAAACTTAAATTTTAGAGTAAATTGCGCAATATCGTTTTAGATCTTTGAAAAATTGTATATATTGGTACTGCAATGACGATGTTATACGAACAATAAATATTTCGTGACGACTGTACACTGTTTTATTCAGTTGTTATACTCGTATACTTGGAACAGTCTGTACAGCGCCAATACGCTACACGCAGCTCGGTGCCAAGAGTTGGTAATTGCAGAGAACACTAACACACAGTCGAAGTTAGCTGACTACGTTTTAGGTTTCGAGCCTTAGCATCGTCTGCAGGAATTCGTTGTCCTCGCGATCAGGATGTTTCGACTTCGTCAACAATTCATGGCTATTCGCCGTTACAGCGACCAAGCCAATAAAATCATTGGTAAGGTTTACATTTAGCACATTACAAGAGCTTTTTAATCAGCAGCTTCTCCTTACATAACTCTAACATATAAACACTTTTCATTCATAGGCCCAACATGGAAGGAATTTTGGTACAACAAGGCAGGATTCAATCAGCTTGGTAAGTTAATTTCATTTATGTTCATGAAAAGAACTCAAATTTATTTATATTCATATTTTCATTACGCATAACCTCTTTATGGCTATTTGTTTATATAGGTCTTATGAGGGATGATTGTTTGCATGAGACACCCGCTGTCAAAGAGGCTCTCCGTCGTTTGGACCCTGACATCCTGGATGAACGTAATTTCAGAATTGTGCGGGCTGGATATCTTACCCTGCAGAAAGATGTTTTGCCAAAAGAACAGTGGACAAAACTAAAAGATGTAAGTTGTAGCAATCTTTCTCAAAAATCATTTTCAAATATTCTACTGTCATGCTTTGAACTATTGCCAAATTTTCACATTTAATTCTTACTGTTCAATGAGTATAAGGCTGTTATATTTCTAATACAATTGCTTATCGCGAATCGCAATTATGGTACAACTAACTGTTGTAAAATTAATTGTTAAGATTAACAATGTCAGCTTTTACAAAATATTTTTAATGCAAGGAAAAACTATTAATTTAATTACTAATATTTTTCAAGTATAGATGTAATTAAAATCTGTTGCAATTTTTCTTTTCATTCAGTGAGAAAAAAGGTTATAATAATCTTTCAAAGCTTTTAATCTAAAGTTGACTAAAATTATAGAGTAGAGAAACATTTACTTTTGTAATTTGTAAATTATCTAGTTTACAAATTTATACATGTAATTTATTTTCTAAAATGTAATTGCAATTCATTATAATGGTTATTAACTAATGTAATTCTTTTCTTTGATATGCTTTTAGGATCATTTGTATCTCACTCCTATTGTTGAAGAAGTTGAACGCGAATGGGCAGAAAAAGCAGAATGGGAAAAGAATTAATGTTGTCAAGTGGTTGTCTTAGACAAATACAAGAAAATCCATAAACAACTATTAGCCAATCTTTATTCATAATTAATAAAAACAAAAAACATATTGTAAATATTTGTTAATTATCTATTACAAAAGAATCAAAGATGATTTAAATAAATATGAAATGAAAATGCAATAAAGGTCTATCAGAAAGTTATTTATGTAATTGAAAAATAGCAAGGGCAAAAGAATAGTCTATAATTTTATTTCCATATATTTGCTAGCATTGAAATTGAGCACAAGGAAGTGGTAAGAGGGAAATATAAGTTGATAAAATTTGAAGCAGTCAGGGAGTTTGGCGCACTGCACGATAATACGATGCAAAGCTCCGTTCGCGCAAAATCGCAAATAAAATCAATAGACAGGGGAGAGAACGAGGAGGAGAAGGCGAGAGAGGCGCCGGGGAGGGAGGTCTCACAGTGCAGCGAGTGTTCGGGAGTCGTCAGTCGGGTGGCGCGTTCATCCCTTGCGCAGAGCTTTGTCGGAATCGGCGTAGGCAGGCAGGCAGTCGGGCGAGCTTTTGCGAACGCCACGCGAGACCTCAGTGGAAGGGATTTTGCCGAGACTGTACGAGTGTGCAAAAGTCGCCGCGGTATATATCGTTGACGAGTCGTGCGTTCGTAACGTAGCCGAGTCAGCGAAGAAAGGACGGATTCGAGGAAAGACTCGCTTTTGCTCGGAACATGATCGAGCTTATCGAGTGCTGAATCGTGCCGTTGAATTGGATCGGGAAAGTCCGCGAGTACTGGCCCGGAGCACTTGCGGATCATTAACGAACATATATAGCTCTGCAGTAAGCCGAGCTTTTTTCCTCCCTGGGACGAGTGACAAGTGGCTAAGAGCGTCAAGGACACATATACATTCTCTCTCTCTCAACTAGTTTCGAGCCCAGTGTGATCATGACAGTTGTAACGGTGAGTGCTGGATTTTTCTTGGTAACGAGATCGAATCGGGAGTCGGGGTGAAAAGGCGGGCTACATATTGGCAGGCCGCATGCGGCCAGTATAAGTCGGAGTAGTGGTAGAGAATCGATGCGAATCGCGCGAGCCGACGAGCCGCCGACGAACGTGCGCCAGCGTAGAGGCGCTCGTTGTAAGTGGCCGCGCGGTGCTATTTCTTTTCATTTTTTTTTCTTCCCAAATGAGCAGGAGAGCCGCGACGGTGGCTATTTTTGACCTCGATTTCGGATTTTTTGATAAGTTTCATGGGTGTATGTGTGTATGTGTGTGCGCGCACGAACAGTTGCGAAAAGCTGCCTCGGTGGCGGCGACGGCGGCTCTTTTCGGGCTACAGCGGCGGCCGCAAACTATGTGTGCGATTCCAGAGATGGCTATATATTGCACAATTCGTGGGACTATTCGCTCACACACACACAGACATGTATAGGATAGGATGATTTGATGTATGCGCGACCAAGCGGGGCAGATACGTAGGTCAGTTTCGTCATAATTGCGACTTTGAGGCAAAAATGCGCCAATTCCCATCGCGCCGTGCTTAGCTGCTGCTACTGCTGCTGCGGATACTCGAGAGTTGGCTGCGCGCGCGATTCACGTGGTACTCGCTCGGCGACAAACATCTCTCGCTCTATATAAAAAAAAAAAAGAACTATATGTGCCGGAATCTCGATCGAGTTTTTTTTTGGGGCGCACACGCTCCGGCTCGATAATAGCTTTTTCCAGATCAAGCTTAGTTTTCTCGCTCGCGCGCCGCTGGACACGAGCCGAGAAATTGTGACAAATCCAATTTCGAGCTAACTCGCGATCGATTTGGCCGCGTCGCGCTCGCGGAGAGCTTTAATTGTCTAGATTTTGCATCGCACTCGTGAAGAGAGATTACAAGGCAGGCGTGTATAGAGTAAGTAGTGTGCGTCGCTCGGTGTGTCAATATGTCTGTGCGCGCATACATACATGAAATATCAGCTGCATCGACCGCCCAGTGCCTCTAATGCACGTACGTATATCAAGACTGTTTTTCTACATATATAGAGCTCTGTGTCTGTGCTGTGTGTGCGTGTGTATATGGATACAGTAGTAGCAGCAGCTACTTACATCATCGTGCAGGGATTGATTGAGCTGGGAAATTTGGGTGTTATACGGAGCGCGACCAGATCGGCGCCGCCGGAAATCGTTTCAATTATTTTCTCTCTCTCTCTGGTCCAGGCGCGCGCGATCCTGGGCTATACATAAACGTCCGATTCCAAGGTCCCCGCGCTTGTATACATCGCGGAAACTTACTTTCGCATTCGATTGATTTCTCGACTGTATCCTCGCGGCCGCCGCCATCCTCGCCGAGCACGTGCAGCGACTTGTGCAGTTTATTAAAGCACGCGTACGAGCCGTGCATCACTGTGTACAGCGCCGTAGCGCCTTTATCGATTCCGCGCGTAGTAGCACTTCTCGAATACGCGATGCATTCGACGCCATAGGGTAGCTCGGCTTTTTATCTCGCTGCGCCCGCCGGAACATATGCTTCGCGCCTGCGACGAAATGCATCGGCGCAGCTTTCCGGCATTTTTCCTGATTCTTTCTCGATTATTTTGCCACCTGGCCGGCAAGGACGTACCTTTATCGTTTCTTCTGCAAAAGTATATACCGTTCCTTGAGTTCGATGCGAAAAATTGCATTGCTATACGTTAGAAAAAAGTACATGTACGGGCGAAAGTAGCTCCGGCGGCTCTTCGTAATGCACGCGATTCGCTCGTGTGTGCTTACAAGCAGGCGCATGTAGCCTTGAGACGTGATTATCATCGAAAATAGTTGAGCGAATATCAAGTCATATCTGGTTGGTCATTTTAATTTTTCTCATTGCGCGTTCGATCTCGATGGATGTGAAGGAAAAAAAATAGAGAGAGAAAAAGAAGGAAAAAAGAAGAGTTGATGAAAGCACGGCACGTCTCCGTATAAATTGGACCGCAGCCGCGAGTCGCGCGAGAAACATTTCCACTCTAGGTGACATTCGATTATATTCGCGACGTACGTATAAATAATTCTAAATTGCTTCTCAATTGTAGCAATTAGGTGTCATGCGCGATGGCCGTGCGTAACGCACATCGCGAGTCTCGACTACTTCTGTCGAGCTGACGAAAATGAAAAAATAATTATAATCAATCGAGCGCAGTATACGACGTTCGCCGCGTCGGGACAACAATACGTACGCGTGATTTGGGATTCGCAGCCCCCGGACGACGACGACGACGACGAGCACGTGCAGAAAAAAGTAGAGGGGGTGCAGCGATGCGTTGTACTTGGCATGTCGCAGCTGCAACGCAGTCACACATAACTTTACTTCATCCTTCTCATCCGCGCGAGCATTGCAAAACGAAATGGGCCGAGCAATTTTGCGGCCATCCACGCGCGCTCTCTTCTCGCGGACGCGTAGCCGCAAGATTCGATAAACGTGGAATGCGCAGACCGCTGCAGGTGCTTTCGCAGCGCGATCGTACAAAATTGCCAAGCGCGTGCGACTTTACTATAGTTGATTATTTCGCGGCAGTTGGCCAGGCCAGTTACTGAAACAAAGTTACTCGAAAATAAAAACATGGAACTCTGGTCGAGGCGAGCTAAATGGCATATAAGAGCAAAGGCGCCCGCGGGCCACGCTCGGCTCTCGAGTCCCCGCGATATAATCCTCGAGCGTGTTCAACGGCCGGCTTTCGGCGATAAGCGTGTCGCGGGGCGCCCACTACATATAGGTACACAACAGTGCAGCGGCTTGGATAGAGCAGAGCTGCTCGACGTCGATCGATCAAGGTGAAGAAGAAGAGCAGAGCGGGGCTCCGCTAGCTGCTGGCGCTACTACTACTGCCGCGAGTATAATATAACTCGTATCTGCAGCTGTATCAATTGCATCCGCGCACAGCGTGCCGAGCTATATAGGTACTTGATACGGAGTCACGTGTAAGCTCGCGGCCTCTATACCTATATATAGCATATAAACTACATTATACTCGCGAGGCTTTGTCCAGTCGCAGCGCCAACGAATGAGGCAATGGCGTATAAATAAAAATAATTTCGAGGGTCGGTGCGTTATGGCTCGAATAATTACGCGCGCGCGCTCTCGACGACAATAATCAACGACATAATGCGCGCGGCTCTCGCCTTACGGCTAATTCTCGTCTCGGCTTTGCTTTAACAGATCGCCGAGACGTCTCTCTAATAAAAACTGTTGCAATTAAAATTACCTTCGCTGGTACTTGCGCGCCAAGCTATAATACGTTGGCCTTTGTTGCTTCGTTTGCAGATGCGGAAGGCACGTGGGCGCTCGTCTACTTCGACACCAGTCACCGCCTCGTTAGCCGGAGAGTCAGCCGCGGCAGCAGCAGTAGTAAGGATAACAACACCAACGGCAACATCTTCAACGACAACGACAACAACAAAAACGAGCATCGAGTCGTCGATCGCAGTCTTTGCTACTGCTGCTGCTGCTGCCTCCGCTGCTGCTGCTCTCCACGAGGATGATGTTGCCTGTGCAGCCCTACTCCACGGGCCAGACAGTACGCGCCTCTTCTTTACGCACGACGACGATGACTCGACCGATGACGATGTTGCTGCCGCTGCTGCTGTCGCCGACTTTGCCGCTGCTGTTGCTGACCGCTCCGGCTCCTTCCTCCTCGGCCAATAACTACCGTGGCACGGTATGCTGCGCTGACAAAGTGTCCAATTGTCAAATATACATCGATTGATATATACTGTTGCTTATATTAATCACGATACTCTGCACACCCAAGACGCGGACAGCCGCAAAAAATATCCTGTCTGGCAGCGAGAGCAAACTTATTGTTATCCTCTCTGTAATATACACATTAACATATATTTTATTATACATAATCTATTACATATATTATACATATATGTGTGCGTGTGTGTAAAAATACGATCGACGGATTCTCACCAAATTAGTTGTCAAACGTGTACACTTTTAGCCCGAAAACGTATTGTGTTGATGCAAACGAGTATATCGGATAGCCAAGTGTTTCTGCGGCAGTGCTGACTTGCATCGACGGCCTTTTTACATTTCTTTACGTTGTTATTATCCAGATTTCTCATCGACTGAGAAATCGCACTTTTTTATTTTCTCTCTCTCACCCCCTTTGCGGAGAAAAGAAATCAAAGCCGAAGCTGCCGGGGATAAAGGATCGGCCGGTATAGAGAAAAAAGAACTCGAAGCGGAAAAACAAAAACGGCAAGAGAATGATGCTGGACACGATAGCGTACGACCCGCGGCTGATCTGGCTCGTGGTGGTCGGCTTCATCGTGGCGTTCGTGCTGGCCTTCGGTATCGGCGCCAACGACGTGGCCAACAGCTTCGGGACGAGCGTCGGCGCCGGCGTCCTCACCATCTTCCAGGCCTGCGTCCTCGCGACCATATTCGAGGTGCTCGGGGCCGTGCTCATCGGCTACAAGGTGTCCGACACGGTGCGCAAGGGCATCCTCGACACGTCGCTCTACATGGGCCACGAGCGCGAGTTCATGTTCGGCGCCCTCTCCAGCCTCATCGGCTCGGCCGTTTGGCTCCTCGTGGCCACGGCCTTCAAGCTGCCCATCTCGGGCACTCACTCGATCGTCGGCGCGACCGTCGGCTTCTCCCTCGTCTGCAAGGGCACCGCGGGGGTAAGTCATCCAACTTTTCAAAGTCAGAAATACGCGATAATTATCTGATTATGATTATTTACAGGTCAATTGGAAGGCTCTGTTGAACATAGCCGCCTCGTGGTTCGCTAGTCCACTGCTCAGTGGCTTCGTATCGACGACCCTCTTCTGGCTCATCAGAAAGTCCATACTGCGCTCTACCAAGCCGCTCGAGAAGGGCCTCCAGATGCTGCCTTTAGCCTACAGCATCACCCTCGGAGTCAACGTCATGTCCATACTTCACGATGGACCCAAACGTGAGCTCGATCAGGCCCGAGTGCCAGCTCGAAACCTATAACTTTTGGGCTTTTGCAGTTTTGCACATGGACAACATACCGTGGTGGGCAGCCCTGAGCGGAGCCGCTGGTCTCGGGCTCGCCTTGGCCATCGTCGTCTACCTGTTCGTAGTGCCCTGGCAGAGGAAGAAGATCATCATGCAGCACAGCAGTGCCAACAACAGCCGCTTGCCCGAGCTCGACACTCCGGACGGCAACAAGGAGACGACCGCCCTGTCGGTCATATCGCAGCGCGGCGAGGTGACCCAGCAGCAGCAGCAACAGCAGCAGCCGTCGCAGCTCCTCGAGGAGCCGCCGAGGGGCCAGCTGCGCGTCAACAACAGCGCCAGTCCGCTGCTCATGTCGGCAGCAGGAGGCGACCTCGAGGCCGGCCGCGCCCTCGACGAGGAGGCCATCATGGACTCGGAGCACCCCGACGTCTCGAAGCTCTTCGCCTTTCTGCAAGTCATGACCGCTGGCTTCGGCAGCTTCGCCCACGGCGGCAACGACGTCAGCAACGCCATCGGCCCGCTCATAAGCCTCTGGGTCATCTACGCCGAGGGCTCGGCCAAGCAAGAAGCCGAGACGCCCCTGGCTATTCTCCTCTACGGCGGTTTGGGAATCTCCGCTGGCCTCTGGATCTGGGGCCGTAAAGTCATCGAGACTCTCGGCTCGGATCTCGCCAAAATCACACCGACCACAGGTTTCACGATCGAGGTATGCATCATCGTCATCATCATCATCTCTTTTCTTCGTGACTCGCGACTCGTCTGGACTATTGATCATCTGCTTTTTCACCCTCGCAGGTTGGAGCCGCGGTCACCGTCTTGCTGGCGAGCAAATGTGGCCTGCCGGTCTCAACGACCCACTGCAAGGTGGGCTCGGTCGTCTGTGTCGGTTGGGCATCCCGGGGCGGCAAAAGTGTCAGTTGGAGCCTCTTTCGCAACATAGCGTTCGCCTGGCTCATCACTGTGCCGGTCGCTGGTCTTCTTTCGGCTGGCTGCATGTTTTTCTTTCAACAAATATTTGACATCTGAACAGATATACTTTTTTATCATTTTAAGTTAACAAGCAAAGCACAATATAAAGACGGAACAACTTTTTCTTTCTTTTTTTTTTTATTGTTCGGTCTAGCATATCTTTACCTCTTAATGATTTTGCGTTGTATAATGTTTATTTTCACAAGACGAATGAAGCTTTACGCGTGCGTAGCAATTTTTCAAAGTTTAAAAAAAGATTTATTTTCCAGACACCAGTCAAATAAAAAGGTTTTCAAATAGTAACCAAATTATTGAAAATCTTCATGATTCGTGTTTTATTAGTGTACGTACTAGAAATAAATTACAAATTGATAGGACATCGCCTTCTCTGTTTTATTAAAAAAAAATCAATCAATTATACAAAACACATTTTAAAAATTTCGAGAGCCAATAAATTGAAAAAGACACGGTGAACTTGTCAATATTCCTACGTCCAAAATAAAAGAATAAGCAATTATTGAGTTCAATGTCGAAATTATTACGCGAATGGAACTAATACTTTTTCTATTATAATAATAAAAGCGTCGACTCGAACGTCAAGTGGATAATCACATCGTGAATAGGTGCATTGGATTATCGAAGATTCTGAGCATTTCAATATTAGCTTTTTTACCAGCAGAAATCGATTATAATTTTTACAGTGCGCTACTCTATGCTTGTACGATGTATGTTTTATATTATCTGTTAAGCAACTTTCTATATATAAATTATGTATAAATGAGGTACGGAAAAAAAATATTTTCTACATTTAGATCGTTTACTATTTCATTTAGTTTCGCGTTTTATCGAAGGGAAAATGCAAAGATTCTATGCAGCAGCGTAATTTCTATAAAAATAAATACGTTGCCGAGTAAGGCGTGTAAGGTATAAGGTGGAGATCATAGATTGCCGAGGTATAAGAGAAAATTTGATCAATTTGAAACTAAGTTTTCCACTTCATACAGTATTATGTACAAGGTTTCAACGTAAATGAAAAATTCGTAGAGGAGTTGACATGTTTATACTTTTTAAGACACTTTTTATAAAATAAACTATTTCTTCACTATCTTTAATACATAAATTAAATACATTATGATGTTTTTAGTTATTAACATATTTTTTACATGTATTATTTGTATTTAAGATGTACAACAAAAAAAAAAAACGATTAAGAGCCGAAAAGTAATTGAGCGCGTTTGAAATTCTTTATCGTATATTATTGATTAATTTTATACTTTTTATGTCAAAAATTACTGATTTACAATTAATTACCATGTAACTCGATTGTAGAAAAAGTTACGATTATTTAGATTATTATTTTATAACGCTAATGTATTGTTGTATTATCCTTAACGATTAACAAAAATGTTTTTAAAAACGATAACTCTGTTGTACTAATAGTTATTTGATGAGGAAAAAAGTAGATGTGAGCTTTCAAATAGATATTCAAGATGAAAAATTTTTAGAAAAAGAAACTTAAATGTGTCGCAAAATTATTTGAAAAATTCTAATTCAGCTCTAATATTATAATAATAAAACGAAAAAGAGTAAAAATATTAAAAAAAAACGTGTACGTTTTAAAAATCGAGCTTATCGATTAATACAACATAGTTGAAACATTCAAAGAAGCTGCAGAAAGAGTAAAATTAACCGACTATAACTTATAGTTCATAGTAATTTCATCGTAAATAAAGAGAAACCCTCGTAATCCTTTCCATGTAAATATAAAAAGCAACATAACAATAATTATATTTTTTTAACGCGCTCAAAAATCAATGAAAGTAAACTTGAAACTTGTGAGGTAGCATCCGATAAGATAGACACGATGAATTCGTTATGGGTGATAACTGTGTGAAGAATATCTAAATCGAGGCAATTGATGGGTGATAAGGAAAACATAAAAAAACTCGTTATTGTGATGAAACGTAAACGACGATAAATACGTTGTATGTTACACTTGTTACATATAATCTTATATTATACGATGCATATTAGACGATAATTAGTGCATTTTGTTTTCTCATTGCATAAGATGATTTATAGTACGGCCAGTACGTATTATTGTAAAATGCAATTTATGAAACCAAACATATATAGATGTACAATCTCGCGCACATATACACACAAACACACAGACGCATATTAAAAGGACATTCAATTATTATACACGTGAGATGACATTATTTTTTTAAATAAAAATGCTTTCATTTGACATTATTTAATTGTATCATTGTCTTACGTTCCATATAATAATTCAATTTATTGCCTATACTTTGATGAACAATTCAGACGAGATCAAACCCGCCAAAAGGAATAATTTGAGGCAAAGTTCAAGGTCGTCGTGATCGAAAGTCGCTGACTGCTTATGTGAAGTGTGTTGAAGCTTTGTATCTACAGCGATTGAATTATTCATAAATTCATGATAAATATTTCAGTTTTTTTTTCACGATACACGCTTTTGCTCCACTGATTTATAAGTAAATGTATATCTGTATAAATTCATAGATATATACATAGAGAGGGAGCGAGAAGAAGGCAACTGCGTCGTTCGTGCAACTTAAACGCGCGTGGAAGGTCGAGATTCTCGAAAACTTTCAGCGGATTTGCCGCCAACACTCGAGCTTGAAATTTATTTAAATGGAAAATGAATAATTCAGAATGGCCAATAGTTGCCATTGATATACCCATTTCTAAGAATATAAAGATGAAAAAAAGGAAGAAAAAAAAATCGACTCTGCAAACATTAATAAGCGATAGATCAAAAGGCGGATTTATATCCTTCGGACGTGCGGCGCAACACTTATTTACGATGCATCGCAGGTGTGTGTTCTAGATACGGTTGTTATAGAGATCGGCTACGGTTTTAAAACTATGCGGCGTGAACTGAGAAGCCGAATTACGAGCACAACACGCGTGACGGCTACCGCGTCGAGCATCGATCATGCCGCAACCCAGACAGAGTCCGACTCTGCTCGACACCCGATAAACTATTTCTCCATGCAACTTTGACAGACGTTATTTTGGTGTTTTTCGTCCGCTTAAATTATGTGAGAGTTTGTTTATACGTATACGTATTGTTTGCATTTAATAGCCGAGGATATTTTACGTACGCTCGCGCGAGATCGTCATGGAGTCGTCGCCGGATTTTATGCCTCTGCTGCCCGGTTACACGTTCACGGCCTTCGATCCATCGGTAAGTCCATCGGCAACGACGATCGATATTCTCTGCTCGAGCGAACTTTATAACGTGCCGCCAGCTCCGAATTCGTCCGAACATAACCCCTTGACGCGGAGAGCAGGTGTGCGCGCCGTTGTCTTTTGCATGCAGCCGCTCTTCGTTGTCGAGTAGTGCTGCGCAGGATACTTTTATTGCATTTTCTGCTCGCAGGATCATCGACGCAAGCCCCGATTCAAGGTCTTGAACGGATTCAACGTCGTTTGCGACAATTACGATCCCGGATGCAAAATCGACGACTCGGCTGTTTACATCGAGTGAGACGCTATACATATTCTAATTGCACAGCGGTTACTTGGTCGATCGATTTTTCACGAGTCAATTTGCAGGCACGATCCGGCTCTGACCTACGGCCGTCCGAAAACCGTGAATCTGCACGAGCGTCGGCGTTTCGTTCCCAACTACATACTCTACGATCGGAAATGTTTGCGTTTCGAGGCCTACTTTCGCCAGAGAATATACGGCTCTCAGCTGGAGCAGCATCGCGTCCGACACGTGAGGTTGGTGTACTTTCTCGAAGACGACGAGATGCTCGTGTTCGAGCCGAGAATAAGCAACGTCGGCTTCGACCAGGGTAAACTCGTCAAAAGGGGCCGGATTCCCAAACCCAATACCGATCGGGATTATCACTGGAAAGACTTGAACGTGGCCATGGATATCGGTAAGTTTGATCGGTATTTGGGAAGGTACTTGCTATTGACCTATTGCCATTTCACTGCAACTCGATTGGTTTTTTCGAGCAGAAATCTATGGCGTAGTTTATCGCATTTACGACTGCGACACGTTTACGCGGGAATTCCTGACCAGTCAAGGGATCGACGTGGCCGATCCGGAAGAGGCTCCGATCGATCATTACTTGAAGGAGCGACAAATCCAGCAAGCCCTCTACAATCAACCGACGCATCCGTCGGGTAAGAATCATTCGTTGGCCGAGGACCGAAAGTACAAATTTCTGCAGTACGACGGAATGGTGCTGACTTTCGATGCCCGATGGCAAGACGATTTGTACAAGCTGCGGTACTTTTTGGCCGATGACACGATCACCGTCACAGCCGTCGAGAGGACTCAAAGAGGCCTCAATTTGCTGCTCAAGAGGACCAAAGTGCCGAAAAATTGGACCGACATACCGAGCAGCCATCCGAGCTCCTACTTGGAGGTAACCGAGCAGGAGGTTCGACGCTACTACTCGCCGAGCGATCTCATAGTAAGTAGGCATGGATCGAGCCACTGTTTTACCGGATGCAAATCAGCTACATAAGGCCAATTAAATTTGCCGCGCAGGTGGGCGAGACGGTGTACATCTTCAATCGGCGTTTCTTGCTCTTGGACTGCGATCCATTCACGCGTCGCTACTACAAAGAGATGCTGCAAATCGATCAGCCCGAGCGAATCGAGGCGAATCGGGAGAGCGACGAGTCTTTACGAGCGGGCGGCGATTGCTCGCGCGGCGGCGCCTCCAGACGAAAGAAGCACCAAGAACAGATTCGTCAGCTGCATCATTTTCCGAAGAAGCTGCGCTACCGTCTGGCCATGGACGCGGTTCATCCGGAGGACGAGGATCGCGAGTTCGTCCTGGAGTACAACCTGGCCGACGGCTGTATGCGCATCACCGAGATCGACAAGAAAAACTCCGGCAGGCGGGCCGGCTGCTTTTTGGGATGGAACAGGGTGCCGAAGCCCGACGCCACCGATGATCCCGAGTCGTCGTGCTACACGCCCGACGACTTTTGCATCGGATCCAGGTTGAATATTTTCGGCCACTTCTTTGTCGTCACCGGCACCGAGCTCTTCGTCTGGAATTACATGCTCGTCAACAAGGACAAGTTCAGCCAAGAGGTCATGGATAGCGTGAGGAACTGGGCCGAAAGTCAAGGCTTACTCCCCAAACTTGATAAGGATCACAAAAGCGACCAAAATGACAATAAGGAAGTGAAGCTTCAAGACTGCAGTTGCGAGTAATCCAACTTTGTTTACAGTACCAAAACATATGTACTCGTTTAGTTTTAAAAATAAACTTCAGCAGCCTTCAGTTTCTAAGATATTCATCAAAATTTTCTTAATTAATTACTACTTTCACATAACGTGTATTGTGTGTACATTTGCCATCTATTAAAGAACTGAATTTAAAAATATACTTCATTCAAATAATTATAATTAAAATATTTTTAAACATAATCGTAATGGCGCAATTAATATACATCAACGTTTCCGATCGCGTAGTAGTCTAGTTGCCTACGTAAGGTCACAATGCCGATATACAAATGAATGGGTGTTCAAAATGATAAAACTAATATGGCAATAGCCGGTCGAGGGTTGGGCATATGCAGCGCTCGATCTACATTATACTCGAGCAAAAGCAACGTCGAGCGACTTATAAGGCGGCTGCGATTTCGCGCGCGGTTGTTATAGAGATGGGCCGCGGGACAGCCGGCTAACGGACGCGAGGCGAACCCAACCGACATTCTGGCGACTCGTCGCGCCTCTCGCACTCGGGCAAAGTTTCCATTGTTTGCGTTGGCTCAGTCGAGCGCTGACACCGAGCCGGTACTGCGACGGTAGCGTATATATCGATATACATAACATAATATATACAGCAAAACGCGCGACCAGGACTTCCGAACGTATACCCTCAGTTTTTAATTGCCTTCCCTCAAACGTGCCTCAACGATCTCAACACTTGAGATCAACTTTTCAAATTACTTGTCGAAAGTACTTGCCACGATGATGGACTCGGCAACGGAACGCGATGATACATCGCCGAACAGCGATAACTATGGCGCGGACCCTTTTGTAAGTACTAACAGAAAACAAATAAAAAATTCGCAATTTTTTTTCGCTTTTTAGGTTATGAAAATGTTTTTTTCGTTACTGTTTATTTTTCTTTTCTCGCAAAGTTGCTAATTAACATAACCGCCAATGTGATCGTTGAAATCGTATTTGCCAAATTCATTTCACTGACTTATACGTGCAATACCAACGTCCAACGCTCAATTTGTTCACGATATAATTTTTTTATTTAGGATCACAGACGTAAATCGCAGTTCAAAGTATCGAATGGATTTTGCCATCTTGTCTCTGACAATCCGAACCCCCAGTCTGACGCATTTTGGAATCACGCCCCGCAGTAAGTACTTGGAACATTTTTTATCGATTTAACAGATAATAAAAAAAAATCGTATTCCATATAGTTCTAGGCAGCAAGCGAATTTAGCTTCTTCCGAAAACGAGTCGAAAATTGAAGAACAAGACGAAGCTGTCGCTGACACGATGGAGACCCTTCGCAACTATTTAACTTTTGAAGCTTATCCGAGAAATCAGAAAACAAAATTAGTTAAAATTATATATTACATCGAGGACGATTCAATGATGGTTTGCGATGAAGCTGATTCTGGAAATATTATCGTCAAAAAACAGCGAGTGTTGATGCCATCCGGAGACGGTTTTTACAAATTAGCCGATTTCAACGTATCCAGGAATATTGGTAAGTTCCTTGTTGCATTTTTATTTATTTGTTTATTTGTTTATTTGTTTTTTCGAAATAAAAAATTGCATAATACTCTAACCTGAAATCGTGACGCAGCCGGTTCTTTTTGACTCTATTGCAATAAAATATTGTATGCAACTTGAGTGATTCTTTTTCAACAAAAAATCGTCCGGTGGTTTGTACTGTGACCTCGCGATTTGCGGTAAAAGCACGTCCACACCCCGTGTACAATGTACTAATATTGCTTCTTATATTTGACTTTTAGAAATAAACCAGACAGTCTATCACATCTACAGCTGTGACGATTTTACTCGCGAATACCTCACGAATCACGGGGTCAACGTGAATGTTGCCGAAGAGCAAATCATTGAAGATGAAATTGGACATAGGCATAAGGAGAAAAATTCTTCTTTGATGACCGACCACCAGCAAAGAATTCACGATTATGAAGACAAAACCCTTACCTTCGATGCCAAGTGGGAAGATAAATTGTACAAAATTCGATATTTCTTGAATAATCATACTGTATCGATAGCCGCCGTCGGCAAGGGGGAACGAGGGTTACTGCTTCACAAGTCGAGAGTACCGAGGAAGGAAGTTGACAAACCCAATGCGTATTTTCAAAGTTCGGCCGGGGGAGATCGAAGTTATCTATGTCCTACTGATTTCAAGGTGAGTACAAATAAAATATCATTAAATTTTTGTATTGCTTTGATCTTATAATATTCTCCATTTGCAGGTGGGAGAGACAGTTGAAATTTTCAGTCGTCAGTTTTATATATTTGATTGCGACCAGTTTACTCAACGTTTTTACAAAGATATGAACAATGTTGACCAACCACAAAGAATCGATCAAGAAGATTATGCTGATTCACCCGGTCAACGCGATGGCGAGGATACCGTCAAATTGACTCACTGTGATGAAAAAGCTTTGGATAGTCAACTATACCATTTTCCAAAAGTACTTCGCTACTCTTTAGTTATGGACCACAATAATCCCGAGGGCCGCGATCGTGATTTCGTGCTTGAATACAATACGGCCGATGGTTGTATGCGAATCAACGAAGTTGATAAGAAAAATTCTGGAAGAAGAGGTGGTTGTTTCTTGGGATGGAACAAAGTTCCTAAACCTGATGATAAAGAACATTTTTACGGGACGGAAGATTTCCTGATTGGGGAGAGATTGAATGTTTTTGGTCATCATTTTATCATAGCCGGCACGGAAATGTTCGTTTGGAATTATATGCGTTTCAACAAGGAGGCCTTCAGCGATAAAGTAAGAGAAAACATAAAAGCCTGGGCCGTAAACGAAGGCTTGATCGACGAGCTAGTCGATGAAAAGATTTATGATACGAATGAATGATGAAGGCAAATTGTTACGAGTTCTTACAAGTTTTTTCTTCAAATTAGACGCAAGTTGATGGTAAACTAGAAGTAAGAAAACCATACATTTAAAAATTTACTTTAATAACTGCCATTGCAGTTGTTCATTTTATGCACCAAGTATAGAAAATAAATAATGTGAAAAAATCGACCATGCAAAGAATTATTTCGTTACTTTCAAATATTTTAACAAAAAAAAAAGCAAAAATAAAAACAAAACATCCCTTTAAGAAACATAAATATTTTATCGATAATTATTGAGGATTTTTAAAAATTAATGTTTTTGAATAATCTTATAAAGACTACCAAATTAGATATAAGAATTATTTCCTTTATTTTATGCAATTCTTCAACGGCAGAACGTTAGACAATGCTGTGGTTCGCCTTTATAAGTTAGTCTCTCCTCTCGTGCATACTCTTTTTATCACACTCTTAAACATTTTCCTCCACTCATTTTTTTACAATGTTAGTGATGGGATATTGCGTGCTGAAAATTCATTACAAGTTAATAGGGATAAAATAAACAATCGTTTGTTCTTACACTTTTTCTAAATTAGACAATTATATAATAAAGGTAGAGACAGTTATAAAAAAAACTAAACAGTTCAAAACCTTAGCACAATTTTTGTTTCACATCGATCTTTGAAAGAATCTCCACAAAACTCTTAGGAACAGTGTACAGTTAACTTCAATCTATAATCAACTTTTTCGATTTGTCTTTGTCCAAAAAATGAGCTAAATTAGTTGAATTAATTCATAAATATTCAAGTTTCCTTACTGCAATGTTATTGAATTCTAAAATTATTATCAAAACACGTAAGTTGCCATTCCGTTGAATTCGGAACATGAGGAAGAGAGAGGTTGAGACTTACAAGTTTTTGTATAAAAAGATATTCATTGCCATAAAGCTATTCTTAGCTTTTTTATTTCAATCTTTTGTTTTCATTCCTTTTTTAATGGAAAGTCACTTAAAAATGTCTTACAGTACCTCCAAGAACTATTCTTCGCAGTTCAGAAAAATGATAACATTAATTCTTTAACAATAAAAGTTAATTTGTTATGCGCATTTTATTGACTCGCGATTGAGTCTCATTATCGTTATTATTTTTTTTTTTTATTTAAATCAAGTGTACCGAGCTTTTTGAGTCGTTTTCTTGAGAAATCTCTTTTCCATTATTCTGAATCATATAACACGTAACAGCGCGTTTATTTCTTATGATTCTTACATCACTCTCAGTATATTTTTAGGTATATCGTTCAATCTGTAATACCTACGCTTGCATTTTATTTATTTGCCGGCACCATTTATATTGTAAAGTTTGTATACAATCTTTTCTTATTCATACCTTCATTTTTAATTAAATTCGATAAACATCAATGTATTCCTTTTATGTATATAGCGATATTAATAATTTGTGACCGACGCATTGTCTTTCCTCTATAATCGCACGTTGCTTTCGCATATATAGAATTTTTTCAAACAGTATCAACAAAAGTACATTCATTAAGCATTATACAAGAGTTAATTGTCCACATAGTGCCATCGTTTTGTGAAAGTTGACTTACAATTAAATTTCTGCCCTTATATCTTTCTTCCGACGCACTGATCAGTTAGTTAGTGTTCACAGTTAATTTTGACCAGTCATTTGTTAACATTTTATTGTTCCATCAATATGCTTCATACTGTTCTCTGTTGTTGTATGATTAAGTTCAAATTGTTCAATCTTTTAAAATAAACACCATGCGGACTCAAATTCAAAGCATACATATGACAACGCACCACCGCACTGATAAAATTCTCTTAATAATTGGTCGACGGTACTCTTCGGCAACTATAACAATGCTGCTCCTGGTCCATCTGGAAATTAAGTTGAAAATAAATGTAAGTTTGCTTGCTAGGCTTAACAGGGCGTTGATTATGATTGTTGTCATTAACAACGATCCAGCAACGGTCGACGATGTCGGAATGAACTTTTCTCCGATCTGGGCGACAAGCCGTTTAAGTCCGTAAGTCATCAGAGAAAGTAAAAAGGTAGTAAAGCTTGATTTTATAAATCGAATACTAATGTCTTCTGTGATCCAATTTTCAGTAACTCGCTGCTACTGACGAGGGCCTCCTCTTCCTCTTCCACGATGCTCTCGTTCCTATTGTACAAACCACTTTAATTTATCAAAATTCTTTGCGTTATATACATAAATGTTAGAATAATTAAATTAACTTACTCTGCGCTGATGATGAGAGTGCTGAGACGGAGGTCCATGATCGCGTTCTCGATCTCGGTCTCGTGCATGATCACGACCGTGTTCCCGGGGATGTTCTCGCATGTGATCCCGGGGGTGTTCTCGCATATGATCCCGGACATGTTCTCGACCATGATCACGGCCATGGTCGCGTGGTCCGAGATCACGACCCTGATCATGACCATGATAATCGCGAGGGTGTGGCATATTTTCATCCCTAGGATGATGAGAGAGTCCTCTGTGATTACCACCACTGCCACGTTCCCGACCATCACCACCCCGTTCTCTAAGGCCCTCACCACCGCGCTCTCTGTGATTAGGTGGTGGTGGGTGATGATGCGGACCCATGTTCGTCGGTGATACCTTGCGTTGATCTTCCTCGGCTTGTCGCTTCTCGTAATGTCCAAAATCGTCAAAAATGCTAGTCGAGTGCCGATAATTATGTATTATCCGCAAAACTTGTATTCCCTTGGCGTGAGGCACTTCTTGCGCATCACGCGAATTGGTTACCGGTTTGTTCTCGTTATTTTCAAGCTTTATATGCCTCAGTTGCATGTTTGGTACGTCCTTCACGTAGATCCAACGCACACGGAATTGGCCTTTCCATTTATCTTGCGACCAGACCGAACTGTTACTGTTATAATCTACTGATGAAACCATTTGAGCCATGCCACAAAAATGCCCCGATCCATTGACCGAAAAAAATAGGTACAGTGGTGAACCTTCCCTATTCGCGTCTCGATAAGCCATGTCTAAGCGCTTATTGCCATGCTCGGTACTACACCAAATTTCGTACTTGATTGATCTGTGAATGTCGTCTTCTGAATAAGATTTGATTACAAAAAATCGTGCTCCCGGCGCGGTTTGATCAAAGTCTGTAGGATTGTAATCATTCTTAACTTTCAACTCATCCAGTACTGGATGAGACAAATTTTGCGCAGAAACTGGTGGTTGCAGTTGTATTTGCTGTTGCTGTTGTTGTTGTTGTTGTTGTTGCTGTTGCTGTTGTTGAGGTGGGGGTCCACGTTGAGATTGCTGAGGAATATGTTGGTTCTTTTGCACATGATGCTGATTCTAGTAATTAATGTATAATTGTTAAATTAAGTTAAACAAGTGGTACATAAAAGTAAAAATTAAATTATTACATTATGATTAGCAGATGGGTATTGATGTTGCATATTTGATAGCTGAGAAGGAGGTGATGGAGGACCTTGAGGCTGTCTGTTCCAGCAGGTTGCCACAGGTGGTCCTGAATTTGAGCCTCTTTGCTGATGCTGCTGTTGAGGAGGTTGTCTTTGTACAGGTTGTGGAGATGGCAAGGGTGGTTGTACTGTTGGAGGTGAAGGTGGTGGGGGAGCTTTTGGAGGAGGCATGGAAGCTTTCCCTTCTCCCCAAGTTCCAATGTCCATATTGTGCTTGCCTGGAATAATTGGGGGTGGGGCTATACCAGTTTTTTTCTTCTGTGTTTGAGTAGATGACGCAGGTTGTACAGGTTTTGCTGGTTGACTTGCAACGCTGGCCCATGTAATCTTACGAGGTTCTTTAGGTTCCATTTTGGGAGGACCACCTGATTGTGATCCTTGTTGCAAACCCTGGGATTGTGACTGATCTTGCCTTTGTAGCTAATTAAAAAGATAAAATTTATTATTGATGTATTCATTCAAGTGAATATTAAATTAATTTTTCACAATGGAATACCGTCATACCTTATTGCCAATTGACAATCCTTGCACACCTTGCTCAATAGTTTTATCTCCAATATTGGAGCCATAATTATCACTACTACGTTGCGGATAATAATCTTCGTATTGAGTTTTCCTGGGAGCACCCCAGGCACTGAAGTCACCATTGCCATGAAAATAATTAAAAGGCTGACTGAAGTTGCCAAAGCTACCTCCAGCATTTGAAAAAACTCCTTCTACACCGTAACCATCATGACTCATTTGACCACTATAACCAGGCAAAAAAGTTACAGGATCTGCACCATTTGACCAAGTGCCATCTCCTGCTCCAAATGTTTGATATTGAAATGAGCCCCCAGCATAGTAAGGACTATAGTGATCATTGCCTCCACTGCCAATTGGGTAGTTGGAATGGTGTTGATTTCTGTTTCCTCCTCTCCATGATTCAAAACCAATATCTTCTCCTGTCGAATGATCGCCAGGTTGGTGTTCCTTTGGTCCATTGCTTACTAAAAGGAAAATTCATGTATAGTAAATAATATTGTAAAACATGAAATTTTACTGCACATTTTTCTGAAGACTTGAAGCATAAAATTATGTAAACAAACTACATATTGAATTTAATCGATTTCTATAACATTTATTGAATTATTTTGAAATCTATCAACAATTTTTTGTGCAATTAGATGAGGTTACAGTAATTAGCAGTAAAATGTATGATAAAATATAAATTTAAAAATGGACAGTGTACAGAAGCATTACTATTAGTTGAATCCACTTAACTCTTATTCATTGTATTTCAATGTAAGACAAATCAATACTTAAATCAATAGTCACAATTCAATTTTATTTGTATCAGTTTAAAGAATGCTGGTAAACAAAATACTTGTGCCTAAAAAATATATATCACTAACGCTTAGTTAGTCATTTGTATACACTAGTTGAAAAAGAAAAATAATATATCAGAATGATGGAAAAAGATGAGAATATAGCAGATGCAGATTTGATGAGCTTTATGAAGTATACACGAACGTGTGTACAATATCAAATATAATGCCGAGAATTCAAAGCAGTTGGTGCATTCGATCGTAAAAAGCGTCTGAAACTTGTAACGATAAAAGCCGAAAAAAATCGTCTCACCTTGACTGTTGGCTTGCCCTTTCATCCGCTGCATTCCGTATCATGGAAGATAGAGAATGCTTTGATCACATGCAAACGACAAAGAGTCAGATATTAAAACTGTCGCGTTATGTTTCAGCAAGGAGTTCTCTACTTGCTTCGTTTAGAGATATTTTGTTCCTCGTCTTGTGTGTACTTCTCGAGTGCTATTTTTTATATGCTACATAGAGTTTCGCCGTATATCTGTATCGCGCACTGCACGCTATAAGACACAGTACATAGACACCAACACACGCGATAAAGTATGCACGCACGTATATGTGCTTTGACTACATGTATGCACTGCCAGTTTTTATTCTATACGGTCGTGTATTTGGACGTGTTAATATAAGCGCGTACGCATATATTGTACGCGTCTAGCTCATGCAGTACATCAACCGGCACGAAAAAGCGAGAGGCGAAGTTTATTACGATTGTTCGGCGTGAAGTAATGATCACAAAGTGTCTCCGCGACTGTGCGATTTCCAAGCGAGCTCATAACATAACCCTTGTATTGCAATCGAAGCCCAGGGCCCTGCAGCAGCAATTTTTTTTTCCTGTACAAAAGAGAAAAACCTCGGACTCGATGCTGAATTATCGCTAACTGCCACACATATGTATATAACGCTGCACCAGCCGCCAGAGCAGTGGAGTCTATAAACAATACATGTACGGGCGCGCACAACAACAGAGTCACAAGACGAAGATCCTCTTGGCACTGGCTGACTGCTGCGCTGCGTTTCGCGGCGGCGGTGGCGGCGTTTACAGGCAGGATGACGACGATATTCTCGCTTCGCGACTTATATCAGCCAGCCGCTGAGCAATGAGCATGCACACAGAAGGTGCACATACAAAGACAGACACACACACACACACACGTAATATAGAGCCACCAACATAACGGCGTCAGCACCAGGCATTCAGTACACTAGTGCCTTTATACGCGCATACATGATATGTGTTATATATATGAACAAGGGGGAGAGAAGAATAAAATATGCTATCTTTATACGTATAGGGTAAAACTGACAGTAATCGAACACCAGTTAGTTTTCTGACATTATGATTTATTTAAAATAAAATAAATAATATCTATGGTAAGTGTTTATGAAAACTAATTTTCGAACTGTAATATTTGTTAGAACGTATAAAATACAGTTTTACCGGATAAAGTGTCCGGTAACTAGACGAAAGTTAATACATTTCTAAGCCCTAATAAACTATTGGTCATTTAGAAAACTGCAAAAGCTTAATATTACACGCATACCACAATTCGGTTTTTTTTCAATAATCGAGCTCTGAAAGTATCTTATGATTAACAATTGAAGTATCTATCGACCTTATAAAACATTTAAAATCGATATATGGTAATCACGGTACAAAGCATCAATGTTTGAAAACTGACATATTATTCAGCGACGAGAGACTTGTTAGGCTTGAAAGTCGGTTCGTCTTATATTTATTTACACTTGGTAGACAGATCCAGTAATCATTTAGCATATTATGTATCTCTATGTGATCGCGATAAAAAGTGAAAATACAATATCAATTGGCACAGTAGGTGCGAGATGGCGCCAGCGATCGAGGCTGTTTTTTACATCGCTGGACTGCACTTTAAAATTAAATAAATTACAAACTTAAGTTTACAACGCCAGCTTTTAAAACTAACGGCAACGATATAAAGATAACTGATAATCTATTACATCACAGCCTGGGGACAGATTTTTTTGCAGTGGAATTAACAATTAGAAATGATATTGTACGCTTTAATTACGAGAATAAATCGACGAGCTTCTTTTTAAAGAAAATCGGGTCGTAATCGTCGACGAGCTCAATGTTGTTCGAGCCCTCTGGGTCGTTTTTCACGAAATTCACTAGGCCCTTGCTCGGTCCACAATTGATGGCTAGCATGCGACCTTGGCTGCTGGTCTTGACGATGTCTTTCGGCCAGACTGCCACTGCCAGAGTCACCGAGTCTGTCGGAGGCCACTTGTCAGACCTTGCCCACTTATCCAGCGCTAACTTCTCGGCTTTGTTCAAAAACTCTACCACCGTAGAATTAATTCGGCCGAATTCTTCTCTTCGCCATTTCTGCAATCGATTTCAAATTCATTTTAATTTGTAGGGTTGTTCAAAAATGATAAGTTACAAATTGTCAAGTGCTAATTACCACGCTGATGATGTGCTTCCTTATGGCCATTCCAGGAAGAATGCTAATTTTCGTTTGCCTCGTGTTGTTGAAGAATATGGCATCGCTCAAAGGGTCCAATCCGAAATTAAAATCGGCTTGAAGCGGCCTCCCGTTACGATCTGCGCTTCCGGTGACGCGCGAACCCATCGAGTAAAATTGCTTGACTCGCTTCGCGAAGTTCGGGTCCAGCAAAGTTGCCTGCGCTGCATTTGTCAGTGGACCGATCGTCAGAATACTGATTTCGCCTGAAATGACAAAGATCGCTCAGTCTTTCGCTCATCGGATACGGTATGTAGCGCTTTTCAGCGAATTTTCGCAAGTATAAATGTACCTGGATATTTCTTCGTCAGCTCGATCATGGCTAAAGCAGCTGGCATCGTCTCGTCGATCGTTTGGGTCAGGTTCTTGTCGAATTGAAAATCACCGAAGCCATCTTCACCAAAGTACGTGGTAGCGTTGAATTTGTCCATTAGCGGCCTTTGCGCCCCCCTGTAAACTGGTATCTTGGCGCCGATTTTGCCATTCACGTGGTTCGTTTGACGAGCATCTTTATTCAAATCTACGAATACTTACATCAGTCCTCTCTGCTTCGCCTAGTATTTTCAAAACGTTTTTCTCTACATTTTCGACGTAGGTGTTGCCGTATGTACAAGTGATGGCCAATACTTCGACCTGTTTGTGAGCTTTTAGGGCCATCATAATTGCGACAGCGTCGTCACCACCAGCATCTGTGTCGATGATCAGCTTTATTTTTCTTTTCTCCAAATAACCCATCGTTTTCAAGGTGATTACACTGCGATTAAAAATGAACATGCCAACACCATTTTCCGTGTAAAAATGTATCAGTATTATACTCAATATTAACTTATGTACCATAGTAACAGTAATATCAAACAGCTAACACAGATAGCAATAATCAACTTTTTGGGTTTGATCTTTGTAAAATAGTTAATGCTCAACATTTTGTGATCGCTTTCAAGGTTCAAGCACAACTGACGGAATCGGAGGGACTTGATAATATTTGTCGTCGAGGAAAAATAATTTAGGTATTTTAATTTTACAATCTTTGTCAGTGCATGAAATCTTATCAGAATCTCTTTTTCAAGTGTTAGATCTTAAGAGATTCATTCCAATTTAACGCAGATTACATTGTTTACTGATTTCTATCAAAATACTTTAATCTGCTGTATTAGTGCAGGCTGATAATGACCTGGTTAGACGGTCGGGTTAGTCAAAATTTAGAATGTATTTTTTATCGATGCTTCGATTAAATTGATAAAAAATATAGTTCTGAGAAGAGTCATTTTTATTGTAAAGAAAAACAATATTTCTATGATTCAAAATTCCGAAGAAGCAAGCTTTTAAATTTTTCTATGTCAAATTTGCTGACGATTTCAACATTTTTATCGGTCGAATCATCATCAAACTTTACTTTTCCTTCACTTGAACTGCATGTTATCGCTGTCATGTGAATTTCATTTTTCAAAGTGACCAATTCAGGCCAAATTAAAGTTGAAATTGCAATAGAATCCGCCGGGAACCAAACTTTTGCATGACTCAATTCGTAATCTTCGACCTTATTCAAAAATTGCATTTCTTTAGAGCTTAAATTACCGAGGGTATCAATCCGCCATTTCTATAGAAAGATAATTTCGATTATGTAGAATTTCTTTTCGGTAAATTTGTAATTCATTTGTTAAATAAAAGACCTTTGAAATGGTATTGTTCATATCCCACGGTGATATTAGACATTTCTGATCTTCCAGTGAGCTTAAAAATATCTGATCGCTCTCAGGATCCAGTTGGAAATTAAATTCGGGTTCTGGTTCAAAATCATTCAAAGTTGCTCCCATGGTATAGAATTTTTTAACATTTTTCACAAAATTTGGGTCCATCGAAATTGCCAGAGCAACATTTGTCAGTGGCCCCAAAGTCACCACATTGATGACACCTGTAAGCCGTTTTTTCTCTTTCAATAATACTCTTACTTAATAAATTTGCATTAAATATATTGCATTAAAATTGTTAACTACCTGGGTGTCGTCTAACTAAGTCAATCATTACTAGCGACGCATGTTTAGATCTATCCACAGTAATTTTGATTTCATGTTTGAACTCAAAATCACCAAATCCATCTTTTCCAAAGTAATCGCTGGCGGTGTAGTTTTTTAGTAATGGACCTTTTGCTCCGGCGTAAACTGGAATCTGAATTATCGCGAAGATTTAATTCTGATCGATTGTGTATGATTTTCACCATAAAAAATAAGTTATCTCACGTCAGTTCGATTGGCTATGGTCAAAGTCTTTAGCACATTCAATTCAACATTTTTCAAGTCTGTATTGCCATAAGTACAAGTAATGGCAACAATATCAAGTTTTTTCGTTTTGATAGCCAACAAAAGAGCCATGGCATCGTCCCCACCAGCATCAGTGTCGATGATCACTTTCGGCACTTCTTTGGAGTCATTTAAACTTGATGCATATAAAAATTCGCTAGAAAACACATTTATTTACATTTATTAAGGGGTGGTAGTACTGACAAGGTCAATCAATGGGAGAAATTGAATTAAAACACAATAATATAGAACTGGCTAATGCATATTACATACCAACTACAAAATAAAAATACAAATGTAATGAGCTTCCGCGAATGCGCCATGATTTTGTCAAGACAATAACAATGAAAAGTATCAATGCTGCTCGTATCAGTTTCGTGTTGATATGACTCCAGCTGTACTCGCAACTGAACTAGATTACTTGAATCGTGTCGAGGAATATAAAGTTTCTGCTCGTAAACCCGATGCGGAATCTTATCTACATTACGTTCACACGTAATCTATTACAAAAGGATAGATGGATCAAAATTTAGTTAATATAACTTTTTGACATTCAAATTTGTTTTTTCAAAGTAGTTTTTAGCATAAAAAATTGAATTATAAAAATTGAATTATTAAATTAAAATGCTTTTAACGCGCGTGAAAGCGATCGTTGAATGTTAGCAAGCAGAAAAATGCATTTTTGGGACAAAAAAGTGACACTATATGTCTATATGTATAAATAATACGTAAGTAGAATACATATTAATATAAAAAAATTATATTACGTACTAAAGCTGCAGAAAATACGTACTCTGAAGCTTTTTATTAAGCGGCCTTGGGGTATATAACACTTTTTATCAATTCTTTAAATAAAAATTTAATAAAGGATGAAGAAACCTTCGGTCAAGATAGTTCTGAAAAAATTAAAATTAGATCGAGAGTTTTATGTTTCGCGCAATGTTTTGGGATATATTACATTTGCTTGTAAACTACAATTAACTAGGATGGGGCAAATACCAATTTAGAATTATTTCCGTCAGACAGGTAAAAATTATATCATCTGCAGTAAATTTATAAAATAAATTTTCATTTATTTACTGAACTCGTAACAACGTAAAACTAAATACAAAAAATTACTGATTGCTTGTTTGTTTTTTTTTCGCAGCAAAAAATCGAGCGAGCGCTTGAACAGCTCCGCTAAATTTTGGTTGCACTGAACAAGTTCTTTGAATCCATCCAGGCAGTGCTTTTTGTTTGTTTGCATATCGTCTATCTAGTAGAACAACTGTTGAATAATCATTAATGTGTCGTACCGCTCGGCCGATACACTGATTCACAGCTTTCATACAGGAATTTTCATAAAAAATGCTACCTGCATTCGAATTCTGTAAAAAAAGTGTAAAGAATTGAATTTAAAGGAAGAAATTTTAAGAATTAAATTTTTCTTACGAATTAGCAAATATTACAAAAAACCTACCACGTTCTCTTTCAAATACTTCATTTTTTCTTGTAATTCTAAAGATTTAATATTTGGGTAAGGCATGCCTACAACAATAACGCATCTACCCAAATCATCCGAAAAATTCAAACCTTCACTTAATTTTCCTCCTGTAATGAAGTAAAATGTATTAAGTATCATGTTAACTATCATGCAGTACATTAGATTTAAAGTAACTTACCAACAACACTAAATAATATTGCTCCAGTTTTAGGTTTTACAGCTTTCTTTATTGAATCACTAAAATTTTCTAATACTAAATTCACCTGTCATATGAAAAATTAATGCAATATAATTAAAAATTAAATGAAATGTTTTTGTAAAAATAATACCTGTGTTGAAGATTTAGGCTCACGAAAAATTGTTTTTTTTAAACCAATTTTAGCTAGAATACCATTGGTTTCAAGGTGCTTAATTAACAATTCTTCATAGCTATAAGATGGTAAAAACACAACTATTCCAGCAGGAATTATATTGCAAAGATTCACTAGTGTTCTGCCTAATTCATCTAACTGAAAGTTACAAAATGAATTTACTGTAGTTGAGAGACAAATAATAATTGAATAGTAAAGTTTAATATTTACTTACAAGTTTAGTGTTTTGTCTATTTTGATAATTAAATTCAAATTCTACACCCGTGGGACCAGATTGTAAGATGCAAGTTAAAATATTTTCTTTTGGAACAATATGATCACAGGAAAATGTCATTATTCTTTCTGGTTTTGCTCCAGCGCTCAAAAATAATTGATCCTTAAATTCAGACATAGGTTCCATTGTTCCACCCGCCAAAACAATAGCTCTTGCTTCTTTAACTGTAATGCCATTTCCATTAAAATAATAATATAACATGTTTTTTAGATGAAAGTAACACGAGACAAACTTACCAATATCACTAAAATGAGAAGCAGGATTCAATAAAAGAAATCGTAAGTATCCATCACCAATAACAGTACCAGGAACCACAAATATTCTACCATCACTGCATTTAGTTTTTAATGTTTCTAAAAAACTAGTAATTACAAATAAAGGACTAGTAATTTGATCTTTATCTATTTCATCTTCATGCTGTTTAATATTTTCCTTAATTTCAGGAGAATCTTTTTTCTGAAGTGATTTTAAGAATTCAGAGACACCTTTTTTCTCTTTACAAGGTTCAGCAACTATATTTTCATTCCCATATTTTTCGGCATATCCTCGCAGTTTGTGAGCTAGCTTGGATTTTGTTATAAATTCTATGAGATCAAATATATTGATTGTATCTATTTCTGCAGATATTTCAAATTCATCCAAGCCAAATAGTTTATTATCAGCATTTTTTGGTTTATCATTTGGAAGAGACTTTGAAGTTCCTCCTAATAATTTTATTAGTTTTTTTAAACAAAAACTTAATTGGCTTAAATGTAATACATTTTTAGCTGTCAGTACAGACTTGAACCTGAAAAATAACAATTTTTCAAGAATGAATGTATGCTCAAAAACAAATGATAAAATTAAACATTAAATAAATTTTACTTTTCTTGGTATTGAGTTAATTGATTAAGGCTCTGTAAAATATGTTTTCCAGTAATAGAGACACTGTGCATTCTTTCAATAGCTTCCAACAAATTATGGGCTTCATCAATAATTAAAACATTGTTTTTAATATCAATTCCCAAACTTTCTCTAGTATTTTTGTGTAAAATAGAATTATATGGTACTAGGATGACTTGACCATCTTCAATTGACTTTCTTGTACTATAGTAAGGACATGTTTTTAGTTCTTCACTGGTCTTAACAATATCTTCAATATCTCTAATTTCGGTTAATATTTCTGCTATAAGTATTTCCTGATTTCCAGGCATATATGGGCAAGACGTGGTTTTAGTTTTAGATTTTTTTATGGTCTTTTCATCTTTGGATGTAGTTTTACTTTTCCTTTGCAGCTGTTGACATAAGTCATTGATCAGATTCATATTCTTAAGGGCTTTTACTTTTGAATTAATGCAATAGTTATTCCTGAAATTTTTTTAAAATTTTCACAAAAATTATTATCAAATGACTATATCTTTAACTTACCTAGATGCTATTGGAACAAGAGAAACTTTATCATTGTAAGGACTTTTCTTTAACTCTCCAATAAATTGAGATAACTGTGAATGTGTCCTTGAACAAAAGTATATTTTGCATTCTTGTTCGTTACTTTCATTATCATCATCATCTTCAGAATCATTGGAATGTTTATCTAATTCTTGCAGAATCAAATCTGTATCCATAAAGTCATCAATATTTTCAACTTTTTCATCAAGTCTTGAATTTTCAGTTTCATTTTCTCTTTTGGTTTTCCATTTATTAACATCTCTTTTTTTGTTTTCTATTTTTCCTTCATTATACTGTTTTACCTTCTGCTTATAATTCTTGATTTTTTCTTCTCGTTTCAAAAGAGCATCAAACTTTTGCTGTAGACTCACAATTTCCATATTAAGAGTCATCTGTTCTGTTTGAGCAGAAAACCAATCACCTTCGTGCTTTTTTTTAATTTCTTTGATCTGAAGCTCCAAATCAGCTTTACTTTTGAGTAACTCGTTTTTTTGTTTCTCTTTGTTATCTAATAACCATTTAAGAGCTCCACAGATGATAGATAGAGTCTTGCCAGTACCTGTTGGGCTTTCGAATATCCCTAAGTTACCTTGTTCTAGGCATGCATATAAATTTCTCATAAAATCCGACTGTATTGGGTACGGTTCAAAGGGAAATGGAAATTCTTCGACGCCACCCATGTTCGGTAGATTTCCCGGATTGCAGAAAATTAATATTATTATTAGCGACCCCGATAGCGTCGGCCTCCGAGTCCACTCCAAGCACTGAAAACTGAAAAATGCGCGCGTATTTCCGTCATATAGTGTAGTGCCCCAGTAGTATGCACTGTGCAAAGTTAAGGCACAAGCATTGTGTCAATTTCACAGTAGCAGACAACACGTGCTCAGCAAACTTTTCTACCGATGATTATTTAACTATCGTTCAGCAAGATAGATTATAGACTCATCTGATTAACTATTTTTGTATATAAAAATATCAGGTAGTTGTAAAAGTGTCCTAAAATCTTGAAATTCTGTCAATAAACTACAATTTTGACACAAGAATCACTAACAGTAATTGAGTAGTGTAAATAAAAACATTTTTGTAAGCTTTTTATGTTATGACTTATTAAGTTCGTCTGAAAATTTTTCATTTTTTATTATCATCGATTTTATTTAAATTTTATTAAATGTATCTAATTGAACCTCTAAATAAGGTTAAAATTTTGGATTAGAAAACTCAAGTCTTAGGTTTTTATACTTAATAAATTGAATAATTATATTAAAAATATATTATTTTTTAAAATTGTTTGAATTAATAGTCAATTCTCGATTTTATTTCGATGATTCTATAGAGTAAGAAAAAACTATAAACGTTTAAAACAGATCTTCTTGCTGACAGATGAATAATGTTTCAATTTTATTACATTTAATTTCAGGTATAACAATTTACTGAAAAGATTATTTTTTAATACAACTGCTATGGTAAGTTTGTCACAAGACTAATTTTAAAGTTGTTACAGTTTACAATAAAAAGTTTTTTTCAGAAAAGTCTACTTTCTCGCAAAACTATCAAGTTTGGCATACCATTTTTAGTATTCATGGTGGGTGGATCATTTGGGTTACAAAATTTTGCAGAAATTAGATACAGATACAGATCTGTTGAAACGGTTGACCCTAAAGATGAAGCAAGAAAGTTAGGTTTAGAAATTAAAAGCCCAGAGAAGACAACCATAGAAGCTACATATGAAGAGTTGAAAAAGACTGATATTGATCATTGGGAAAATAAAAGAATACCCAGACCTGCTGGTTGGAATTAAATAATGTAAATATCAAAGATTAATGTGACTCATTATGTACATATATATAACAAATATAATCTTCAGGTACATTTTTAAAATTAAACATTTTTTTAAGAATGAGACCAATTTATCAATTAAATTAAAATATTTATTCAAGTGTAAAAACTGTACAACTAATGAAAGATATTTAATATAATTATTACAAACAAGTATTATGTACGAGTTTTCTTACTCTTTTTAAGAGTTGATTGTTTTTTTAAGCTTTTTTTTTTCTTTTGTATTAAGCTTTTTTCTTTCTTTTCATTTTCCTTTTCAGTGGCATCAGAAGAATTCAAAGTCGTACTATTAAAACTTCCTTCAGGATCAATAGTTTTAATTAATTTGAGAACTTGATAATCATGCACCTTACATCTTTTAGGTGCTTTTTTAGGCAAAGGTGCTGTTGTTAAAAATGAACCATAATTAGGATCATATGGTTTCTGAGAATCTTGAGAAAACTTAGCCAATTTGTTTAGGGAATATTCATCTGTTTTTCCCAAGAGTTCTTTTACTATACTTTTAGCTGTGGCTTGAATAGCAGTACTCGGATGTCGCTGCAGAGCTACAATTTCCCATAAACTGGTTCCATAAGCTGAAGAGTTTTCAGGACAATCATTTTCTGGTAAATAAAACTGTACCGTTGAATCACAGTCTGTTTCAACTAAATTACTTGCTCCTTTGCAATTTAGCATGACTGGCTTAATCATCTGAATAATTTCTAAGGCAGTTTCTTGGTCTAAGTTTAATGAAGCTGTAAAAATTCTTTTTATAAAAGCTATAACAACACTAGGTGTCATCATTTTATACCTCTTGACTATTACTTGAGTCATTGTTTTCAAAATCACAGATAATTCACTACTAGTTGTTCCTGCATGAATATCAAGTAACTTTCTATAAAAATGTGTGTGAAACGTAGTAGGATCTACATTTATAGTAGCAGCTTGAATATTTAAAATTAATAATGCTGAATGAATGCAGTATAGTTGCTGCTTCAGATTTAATTCTTCATTTTCCAGTAAGTTATTTAAAAATGCAACCAAATCAGCATAAAAGTCTATATTAATGCAGGGGGCGAATTTAGCTAATCCCTCAAGACAAGATGTTAAAATAGAAGAGTTTGAATAATTTTTTAGAGTTCGAAAGTAAATCAAATATAGAACTTCTGTTATTTTTGTGAAGTTGGAGCGTTTTTCTTTGGAGAAGTCCGTTGTTTTTTTATCTTGGTCTTTGTCTTTGACCATACTTTCTGATATTTTTAATCCAAGCAATACAGTTAACATTTCTGAATGAACTTTGTGATAATGGGCTACAATGTATTTGTTTATTTTCTGAACAATTAATAAAGATAACTGGCCACGTTTATCTTCTTTAAATAGCTCAGAGAAGCAATTTGCTACCTGCTCCCTTATATTTACAAATCTATGGTTCAGATAGGGAACTAAAAAAGTTGCTATATTGGTAGAAAAGTTGAAATATGGTTGCGATGTAAGAAGCTTGCACATCACTTTTATGCTCAACTTTGCTAAGTATATATCATCTTTTTTCATCTTGTCTACAGCTATTTTTTGTTTCAAAACTCCAACCATTTTCTCTAATTTCTTCAAATACTGCTCGTAACATTTGATAATGTGGGTTTCATATTTTTGTAATTGGATTGTTTCTTTTTTCAATGGTCCTTCTTGCGAACGAATGGAATATTCAGGCAGAATATCTAAAAATATTTCTAATAACGCCTTTATAGTCAATGAACATACTGTTACACGGACGTTTGCATTTTTCTCATCCATAAACCTAATCAATGCTGTAACATTTGAATATCTCTTTTCAGGATCTTCAAGTACTTCACTGGCCAGCTCTCCAATTTTACAACGATAAGCATTTTTAGCATTTTCTCTTTGAGCTATTAGCTCAACCATTGCAATTGGTCTATTTGGATCTACTTGAATTTCCTCACTTTGCACTACAAATTTTTTATTAATTTTTTTCTTTTTCTTTGGAGGCTCTTCTGTGACATTCTGATTTGAGTCCTCTATTTCAGTGGCAGATCTTTGGCCAAGTTTTTTCACAATTGCACCATCTTTAGTTTTAATTGGTAAGAGTAATTTAAGGTTGTCTGGTTCCGATTGCCTTTTCCTCGACAAATCTCTCATGTACTCTCTCTCCATTTTGATAGATTCTAAAAATATGAAATAATTGTGAATAATTGAAATCAAGCTCGATGGATAAGTGAAATATGTCAAAATTTTTTAATCAACAATTTTCTTCGAGTTTTTTTTTTATCATTATGCACTGATAAATCTAAATATAATAACCATGAAGTTTTGAAAAATTTAATTTATATTTTGACATATTGCACTTAGTGACATCAATAATTTAAACTAAAGTTGGATAGTTGAACCAGTGTATGACCGTTTTGGAAAATATTCTATGAAAATCAATTAAAATTACTTTTGGATTGACGTTAAAAAATTTTTTAGTGAATGATTTATCTTGGCTTCCACATTTCTCGTCACCATATAACAAGGAAAAAGTATAATTATTCCATATCCAAAAGTGGTCAATCGCTGGTTCAAGTATCTTCTACAATCATATTAAAATTTGTTTGATAATTCAAATAAAACTAACATTTATAATGCTAAGAGCTAAACACGTGCTGCGAAGTACAAAAACAGTAAATACACTACTAGCGGTATGGAGTATTAACTTGGACTGTTTCAGCTGCTTATTGGGCACTGCACGTGCGACGTCTGCAATTACCATTTGAGTAAACTTTACGTAAGAAGAATTATCATCTGAGTGCGCGGTTTTATTAATTTTCGATTATGGCGGTATGTGAAGTGTGAACGTTATTCGATGCAGTCGTATAGTAAATTGATAATTCGTAATTATATAGAAAAAGCCACATGACACGACTTATATTTATATTTAGTTTTGTAATTTGTCAAAATACTTATTCTGTAAGCAAGTCATAATTAAAAAATTTACACTGACATAACAATTTTCAGAATGATGGTTTCATTCCTCAGTTTACGTTTGAGACTAAATTTTATTCGTTAAACTTAAAAAATAATCTTCGAACCCCAGTTCAATTAAGATCTCGAAAATTGATTCTGGATTAAAAATTTTTTGAACTATCACAATTTGAATGGACATTATTTACTAAGAACATACCTAATTGAGAAAAAAAAACAATGTAGTAATATTTTTATTCACGTAAAAATGATTATTTTATTTCTCGTATCTTTTTAAAATGATAATAAAATTATTCCAAAACTTTAAAGCGTTTTATTTTGCATTAATTATTAATTGGCTTAGGAAAAAAGATTAAATAAATATAATTATGTATCTTGATGTATTATATTCTATTATAAGCGGGGAAGTTTCTATAAACGTAAATATTACTTGTCGTTACAGAAAATATATGTCGATTAAGACGCGCACAGTGAGCTCCTTTTTACGGACCATGACATCAAACTTAATAAAAATTTTATTTTTAAGAAAAGGGTTGAAAAGATAAAATGGTTAAAATGAGACGCCGTCATCGAATAAAAAAAAATTTCAAAAATGAATAAATTAAATTGTACGACTTGGAATCAGTTTTCAATTATGTTATTTAGAATTCTTGTACGAATCCAAGATATTTCACGTTGAGTAGCGTTATAATATTGAAAATCTCAGGAAGGTAAAAGTGTTAAGAGCGAGCAAAGAAAAAAATTGCATAAATTTAAGAAAAAATACATTACACATTATAATCTACCTGAAAAGTATCCAGCTACTAGTCCAGATAAACTAAAACAATAAATTCCACAAGTTCCTACAGCTCCTCTACTAGCTGATTGAAATATTTTAAGCATGAAAAAAACTAAGATTCATTAAATTATAATTTATTTCATATCAGAATATTTATAAATACAGTAAATAAGTCAACAAATACTTGAATACCACTACGAATAACAGCAGCAAAAAGCAGAGATTTAATGGGAGGTCTGAATACATCTGCATAAACAACGTTCCATCCAGTTCTTTCTGAAGCTCTCTCTAATCTTGCAATACCATCACAATTATTGTACTTTGCTATGTCTTTTCCTACTTGACCATGCAACAAAGCTAATGTGACTCTTAGAAAGTAATATTATATTTTTTCATTCTTTTTTATTAAAATGATATATTGTATAATTTTCAAGGAATTAAGTTACCAGAAGATAAAAGTAAACAATACGTTAAGCAGTTTATATTAAGCCAACGAATTTTTATATAATTCTTTGTAACATAAATATTCCATCTACTGGCCCAACTAATATCAGGTTCTTCCTTCCATTGATATGATAGGCTAGTTTTAGTTTCAAATAATTGTTAATATACACCCTATTTTTTTCATCAATACCACCTAGATAATAACCAGGTTGTATATCAATTTTATCATTTAGATTAGTTAGACTTGCTGCTGTGAAATCATCAATCAATCTGTAACATAAGAAAAATATATTAAATTCAGTAAATTTGTTTTTACCCTTACACAAAAACTTTAGATATCTTACAAATGGACAATGTACTCTTGTTGAATTCTTTCAATGACGAGTAAAGAATTACTTTCTTTCCAAGTCATGGGTTCTGTTGGCTTATCACAAAGAAGTTTGCAAGATATATTTTGTGCCATAGCAACTTCGTAAGGTGTATTAACAATTCTGAAATATTTCAACAAGCATGACAATTATTGTAAATAATGTTCGTACTAAAAGATACAAAATTTCCAAACTCACATGTCACCTCTTAACATTTCCCATAAATTTTCAGATTTATAAGATAAGGTACCATTTTTGGGCAAACAAAAAGGCAACGAATAATATTCATAAGATAGTTGTGTACGTAAACTAAACATTTTGGCAACTTCCACATCAATTTTCTGGCTTTTTTTGAAGTCTGTAGAGTCTCCTAGGGCATAAAATGAGTTAACCTCCATGAGGAGCAATACCAGAACTGCAACAGTCCACTTCCATTTTATTTTATTCTGCAAAAATAAATGATTTGATATAGTATATTTTTGCTAATTTTGAGTGGACACCAGTTGCTTGTTGTTATGACACATGTCGATCAAGACACGCACAATGAGCTCCTTTTTTACAGACCATGACATCAAACTTAATAACTACTTTAAATAAATTTTAATTCTAAGAAAAGGGTTGGAAAAATAAAATGGTTAAAATGAGACGCCGTGATCGAATAAAAAATATTTCAAAAATGAATAAATTAAATTGTACGACTTGGAAACAGTTTTCAATTGTGTTACTTAGAATGTTCGAATCCAAGATATTGCACGCTGAGTAGCGTTATAATATTGAAAATCTCAGGAAGGTGAAAGTGTTAAGAGCGAGCGAAGAAAAAAATTGCTTTTACAATTTAGGACAAAATACATTATGCGTACGTATTTTAGTAAAGGACGTAAAGTCAGAAGAAAAATTTTTAAACAAAAAGTGTTTAAATATTGATGCGAAGCAAATTCGTATTTCAAATAATATTTTTTCATCGTGTATAGAATGTTTCATTTCACATGGTTCCGAGAAAACATGAATCGTTTTTACTTTGTTTATGTGGAGCTAGAAAATCTGTTTAAAGGTTATATCTTGAGCGTGTTAAATGATGACGAAGCTAAGAGTGCAAGTTTTAGTATATGTCAACATCAATAGAGTAAGTATCTATACTTGTAAAACATTTAATAAATTTCTGTGAGTTACGAGCGTCAAGTCGAAAATCGTTTTTAGACCTGCGTCAGATTTTGATAGTATAACTAAAGCGGATCAATCATAAGAAAATATACCGATTCCTATATTATGAGAGTCGCCGTCTCGAGCAGTGGAATACTCAACAATATTTTGAAAACGATCGATTGTCAAAAAAGATTATCGTCAAGGTTAGTAAAGATAATAATTGAGACGCTTCGAATGGAATTAAAAACATTCAATCTTTACTTTGATAAAATGAAGCTCGAAAAAATGCGAGCAGCTGGCGTACGACTTGACAATAGTCGGTGGCGGCATCATAGGCTGTGCAACTGCCCGAGAGATGAAATGTCGCCATCCAGAACTGCAAATAGCAATCGTGGAAAAAGAAGACGGAATCGCAAAGCATCAGACGTCGCACAATTCAGGTGTCATATTCACTGGCCTCTTCTACAAATCAGATTGCGTCAAAGTCTGTTTTCACGTATACGGATATAACTACGCGCACAGCTCGCTCGATTTTAGTCAAATTTTGCCAACCAACTGTATGATATTTCAGGCGAAGATGTGTTCCGATAGCATGAAGCAGGTGTACGAGTACCTGTGCAAAAACGACATACCGCACAAAAAGAGCGGCAAACTCGTGGTCGCTCAAACCGATGACGACATTTGCGAGTTGAACGAGCTCTACGAGAGTGGCCTGGAAAACAAGTGCCCCGACATCCAGCTGGTCGAGCGGGAGTGCATCGCGAATTTCGAGCCGAAATGCAAGGTTTAACGTTTAGTCGAACGACGCGAGTCTCGTCGAATTTTCAATAATAATATAGCACGGGATATCGTTTTGTGCTTGCTCGTGCGCAGGGTAAAAAGGCTCTCTGGTGCCCGTGGACGGGCAACGTCGATTGGTCGACCGTCTGCCACCGTTTTGCGCGAGATTTCAAGGAGATGGGCGGCGTCATTCACGAGAACTTCAAAGTGGCCGGTTTTGCCGAGGCGATCGAGAGCAAAGGCACTCGGGAGCTGCATCCACTTTGCGTACATTCGAAAAATCAGGTAACTTGTAATGGGGAGAGGTAACGATGGTATGGAGCAGCGGATGGCGAAAATTGAGCTTCGTTGCCCAATGTCGTTTCAGTACATGCACACCAAGTACGTGTTGACGTGCGCTGGACTCTTCTCGGATCAACTGGCCAGGATGAGCGACTGCCCGCCCTACCCAAAAGTGATACCGATGCGCAGCGAGTACCTCAAGCTCAGAGAGAGCCGACAGTGTCTCGTGCAAACGAACCTCTACTCCTTGTCCAAAACGACCAAGTACCCGTTCTGGAGTCTGCACTTCAATCAGGGAGTCAACGGCGAGGTCTTCCTGGGTCCGAACGCGGTTTTCGCCATGTCGAGGGAAGGCTACGCGTGGCGAGACGTCGACCTGCAACACTGCTCCAGTCTCGTGGCCTGTCCCGGTTATCACAGATTCTGGACGAAGAATTTCGTCGTCGGCGTCAATCAGTTCGCGAGATCGCTCGTGCCCCGCCTGAGCGTGAACGAGGCCAAACGATACATACCTGCATTGACGCCGGACGACGTGGCCAGAGGCCCGACCGGTGTCTCGGCCATCGTGGTCGATCGAGACGGCTACGCCCTCGACGATTTCGTCTTTGACAATGGCCCAGGCCGCATCGGTCAAAGAATACTGCACCTTCGTAACGTGCCGTCGCCCGGCGCCAGCGGTTGTATGGCGATTGCCAAGTTTCTTGCCGATAAAATGGAAAAAGAATTTAAATTCTAAACTTAATCCTATCTGTTTCCTTATAATGCTTATTAAATTGATTATTTCAATATTTCGCACTTGGTTTATTTATTTTTACATTATATACTTTTGTTCGCACACCAACCAAAAGTGGCCCCCCCACTTTTCATTTCAAAAATTCAAAATTTCGTTTCAAAAATGCCGTTGTAGTGGTACTACTGCACGCATCGCTCGAAAGGTTATCGCGCCAAAATCTCGTAGCCCGCCACTTTTCGCCACCGAACCTCCGGCATTCGATTTGCGACTTCCTTGTTGTAACGACAATCGGCCTCTTTTTACGTTTCTCATAACTCATTGCACAATTTTCGACAACGTTTCACTTGATTTTTACCAGTTTAATATTTCAAAGTTTAGTAACCATTGAAGTTTATCATCTACGGAAAATATGGAAGAAGTAGTAAAAACTGCAGCTGCGAACGAGCAAGTTCATCAAACACAAACGCAACAGCAAGTTCCGTTTCATCCTACGCCTGGTTAGTAGACATTCAATTTTTTGTATTTTATTTTCTAACTTGATCAATTTGTTCACGAGTACTCACAATAAGGCACTATTTATGCCATTTTATTATCAATTTATACATCAGTCGATACAAAATAAGAAAAATTGACTGAACACTTTTTCTCGTTTTTTGTTGCAGAATATTTAATTGCAATTAATCCAGAAAAATTAACCATTACCAAGCTTATGAAAGCCGTCAAAAATAATAACTATGATGCTATTCAGAAGTCTCTGGCTGCATATGGTATGCCCAAGAATGGTACTAAGACAACCGATTACTTGATATTACAGACAGCTATCAATCGTAAGCATAAAGAAGTTGCCAATCTTTTGCTTCAGTACAACTGCAACGTGAATGATTGTTCGGAAAGTGCTCAACATATACAAACCCCTCTTTACCTTGCTGTTGATCAACATGATTATGAATTGGTTGATTCACTTCTCATGCGAGGTGCTCTCATCGACATGAAAAGCCAGCGAACTGGTCGTACTCCAATGCACGAGGCTGCGATCAAAAAACAGTATAAGTCCTTATACAGGATGCTAGATTTTCCAGGAAAAGTGAATATACTAGATGATGAAAACCAAACAGTTTTACAAATTCTTCTTGAGCAGCATGCTTTTCAAAATGTTGGCAATGTTCAATTGCATCCATTGCTCATCAAGAAACTTTTATCTAAAGGAGCGCTCATAAACATCAGAGGATGTAATGGATTATCACTTTTACACATAGCAGCTTTACTGAAGAAAAAAGATGTTCTATTAATATTATTAACATCTGTTCAAGCCCAAGGTTTAATAAATGCTTTAGATAATCAAAACAATTCGATACTCCATGCTTTACTTAGTACAAATGGCATCTACGCAGATAATGCTGAAGAAGAAGAAAATTTAAGTGCTTTCATAAGTATACTTCAACTTGGAGCTTATTTTGATGTTACTAATAAACGAGGTCAACAACCTATACATTTGGCTGCAAAAAATAAACATTTCAAAATATTTGACTTAGCATTAAAGTACACTCCAGATGTAAATGTTGTAGATGTAGATGGCAAATCTATTCTTCATTATTTTCTAGAAAACGTACCTCAATTTTCTCCAGAACGGCTTGCAGATTATAAATCTCTTCTGAAAACAGTTATATCAAAAGGTGCAATTGTCGATGCTATAAGTAATACTGGTGATGTTCCTCTTCACATGGCAGTCAAATATCATGATTTTGAAGTATTTCTAATATTATTATCAGGCATTGGCAATATAAATGCTCTAGACCATAATAAAAATACAGTGTTGCATTTCTTGATGGAAAGAAGTGATTGTACACTAGATGTTATAGGATTACTGATAAATAGAGGCATATGCATAAATGCAGTCAACGAAAATGGTGAAACAGCTTTAGACATTGCTGCCAAACGAAAACGAATGGAATTATTTAATCTTTTAAAACAGTACGATCCATCTAATCAGATGAATGCATTAAATTTAATTAACGGTGAAGTAACAGAGGAAGCTACTTATGGTAAACGACCACTGAGTCCAAGTATAAATAATCAGGATCCTTTGTCAAAGAAAGTCAAATCTTCTGAAAATTCTTAGTTTATATTTTGCAATTACTTTTAAGGATAACATTTTATTTCTAAATTTGCAATCAAAAGTTTATGTGCTTCTAATTCTTAAGGAAAAATCCTGATACTTTTAGAAATTTTATGTATTAGTTTAAGAAGATTTTGAAATACATTTTTATTAATTCATGCGATGTTATGTGTCATTTAAAATTCCTAAGTAATGAGTTAAAAGTTGAAACTAAGGTTTTTTGTGTTTATGTAAGTAAGTAATACTTATGCTTTTTAAACTAAAAATTTTTGAGAATAAGTTGAAATAAATACTTTAAGCAAACACTGTCTTCGTTAGTGTAAGTGTTATGAGTTTTAAAAAAACCTAGCTTGAAATGTTTTTATTGGGGATAATGATATTATGTTGATAAATAAATAATTGAAATGAATAAATTCCATATTTTTTGATAAAATTATACTCAATAAACACACTAGAATAATTAACGAATAACAATTTTCATTGTTTCAGGAGCTTTAGAATTCATATTTTCTTTAACTGTATAAAGTAGCATTATCTATTGAGAATATTTGGCGCAATTATGTGCATTTTAGTACTTTATTATAATTGAATGATGATCTGTGAGCTTGTAATACTGTACATTAAACAAATATGCACTAAAAATAAAGAAAAAATGCCTAATTCGGATTGCTTTATTTAGCTGCAATTACTTTCTTGGTCATCTGCACCGCAGTTTCTTCGTGATCTTCGGTTTACACGTGTAGGCTCGATGCATCAATAAGGCTCTTGATTCTAGAGCTCGTCGAAGATTACTCGGTAGTATTCGAGTACTTTGATTACTTCATTTTTGATAATTTCTTGTTACAGATTGCTCGCAGATACAGCGCATATGCATACTTTAGATAAAGCCATTAAAACTGCGATTATTTATACATTCTCCATTCTGTGCGAGTGTTAATTTATTGATAGGATCTTCAAAATATAGAACTCTTTCCCTTGTTCACCATGTCATTTTCCTATACAACATATTCGACGTTCGATATAAATAGTAAGCGTTTCTGACGCCCCATCCGGTGCACTTGACCGCCAACAATATTATTAGCTTGTTTCTGAAATATTTCACCCAAGTCAGTGCTAAACAAGTGTGCAAAATTTTTCTAGCTTACTTCAAGTCTTGATGAACTTAACTACCTTTATAGTTACGCAGTTTGCTAAAGTCAACTTTAACTCTCTCAACATAATGCGAAAAATGTTCAACTCGACTTTATAATTGCACGAGTCACAACACAGTAAATAAATAAATAGATTGAAAATTGAATTTTAGCTTTCTGATAATTATATATGCCGATGAGGTGCTAACGTGTCTCTTGATGAAATCAAAAATATAATACTCGAGGCAGGTGATATTTTACTGTAGTTGCAGAAAATAATGCAATTTTAATCCCAACTATATTAAAACAAAAGGAATTCTAAAAAGTAAGTTTAAAAAAATAATCAGAATTCCTTAAATTCAAGTTGCAAAATTGATTAAACTTTAACTTTTCGCAAAATCATTTTCCGACGGTTGATTTTGAACTTAAAAACGAAAAAGCTGAATATTTTTCTAATGGCAACACAACGTAATGCAAGTCTATCTTTTAAGTTTTAAAGAAAAAACGCATTTTATGATGTTTTTTTTGTTGGAATTTTATCATTTTTCTCCTTTAAAACATACATTAAATATGAACAATTTTCATCAGTTTTTGCTAGATACCTAAATGATAAGTAAAATATTCCTCTTCTTACTATTGACTCATTCACATATTTGAAATTACTAATTTTATACTACGAAATGAGAAAGGATTGCTTAATGAACGAGGAATACATCGATTTATAAAAAAGAAAACGCTCAACGTATTTACATAAAAATACGAATACAAAGTTTCAGGTATAGCTCCAACCATTCATTTAAGTGATTCACTCGTTTACAACTTGATCATTTACAATCTACTTTTGATGAAACGAAAGACCAGAAAGTCGAAAAATATATTACAATAATTGACTGAAACATTTGTCGATATTCTTCATTGTAATTACACCGAACGAAGGAATTGATTTACAATTTACACGCAGATAAAATTGTACAACTTTTGAATGGAAAAATGTTATTTCATAAGAAAGACACATACATCGAGATGGATTTACAAAGGATACTAGGCCGACGCGTCGCGACGCCGTCAAGAGTGCGTTACACCTCCATGAAAATGTAAGTTTGCTGACAAAATGAGCTAATATTATCGTTTACGAAATGTCCTAACTATAAACATCAATGATAGAGTCGATGTCGGCCGATAAATACGTATAGATCGAGAGATCGGCATAGATATACAATTGTCACATTTAATAGAGGTAAAATGGTTAACCACAAAACGCAGAGAGAGAGAGAGATATCGTTCTCGAGATTTCGTATCGGCTCGATCATCGGCTCGCGTTGGCTTTTAATTTGAGCCGCGAGCAGTTCAGTAGGTGCTCTGGCGATTGTCGAAGGGCGTCTTGACGAAGTACGTCGTGAGGGTGCCCTTGCCCTTGACGTAGGTGGGGCCGCGACAGGTGAGCTCGTAGCCGGCGTTCTTGAGTATGCGCGCCGTGTCCTCGGTGACCTGGATGCGGCCCATCTGTCCGCAGCTGTCCATGCGCGAGGCCACGTTCACCGTGTTGCCCCAGATGTCGTATTGGGGCTTCTGGGCGCCCACCACCCCGGCTATCACCGGCCCGTGGTTCAATCCTGTCGACGACGTTCGTTCGTTGTATGAGCTTAAGCTTCGTTAGCTACTTGCAAATTATAATGTACGTGACGCGCGCTTACCTATCCTCAATTTGAATTTCTGAAAAGACTCGCGATTTATCTGATCGAGCAGGGTCATGAGCGAGATGGCGAATTCCACGAGGACGACGACGTTGTGCTCCTCTTTTCTACTGGCCTGCAAATATAAATCGAGTCTCAGCAAATGTCAAGTTGATCTCTAGTTCGAGCGAGTACCTTGGGATTGAGGCCGGTCTCGGTACCGGGGCTGAGGCCGCAAGCCAGCATATAAGTGCTGCCGATGGTCTTGATCTTCTCGATGCTCGAGTACTTGGGCTTGAGCAGGAGCTTGTCGAAGTCGCAGATGATCTCGTTGAGCAGTCTGAGACACTCTAGGCCTTGCTTGTTGATGTCGGTCTCGTCGTAGAACTCCTTGTAGTTGGGTATCGAGGCGAACATGACGGCGATGCAGTCGTAGCTCTCGTGGTAGAGGTCCTTCTGGAGCTCGGCCTTCTCGCGGGTCTCGAGGAAGTGGCCGGCCACGTGGGCCGGCAGGATGTTCTCCAGGAGTATCTTGTTGATGCCGCGCATCGTCTCCACCTCGTCCTGCTCGACCTTGAGCTTGTTCTGCCAGAGAAAGTCGATCCTCGAGGTGTACTCGATGCGCCGGTCGAGCACGTGCAGCATCAGCGCGACCAGGCACAAGAGAAAGCCGATTTGCAACAGGTAGTTCAGGGCCCCGAATCTGCCAACGCACACAAACATCTCGGTAAAACTCGACTCTTTGCTTCTTAGTTATATACCTTTACTTACTCGCTCGATGGATCCTCGTAAAAGTCCTGAATGATTGGGTGCTGAGAAAATATAGCGAGAATCGTCGCGATCGACAAGACCATCACGAGGAGTTTGAGTATTGAGCCGACCCTCAGGTGGGTCCATCCTATGAGTAGACTGACGGTGGCGCTTTTGACGTACATCTATGGATAGCGAACGTTACGCCTGGCAAATGCAATCGGCTCAAAAGGCTAATACTCACGGTGGCGATGCTGCTGTCCCGAGGGTCCTGTTGGTCCTCTCGGTCCTCTTGGGAATCGGTGAGATCGACGAGGCTCACTCCCGACGAGCAGACCGCCAACACGGTCGTGAGCAAGTAGACGGCCACGCGAATGGCCCGGCTCAGGAGCACGCGTTCCTCGCCGGGATCGATGCCACCGTCGACGGGCCTCGAGCGGCTCTTGCGGCTCGCCAGCCAGGATATCACCGAGAGGCAGAGCAGACAGAGTAGTCCAGCGCCGAAGCAGCCCAAAACCGTCAGGCTTCGGGGCAGATAGCAGATCTGCAGGAGGAACATGACGAGGTAGAGGAGGCTCGACACCAGCACGTACCAGGGGTACTGGTCGTCGGGCTGCTCCCGGTACTGTCGCTCTCGCTCCGCGTCCTTGAACCAGTAAGTCAAGCTCGACATGCCGTCGCGCTTGCCGCACCACTGCCTGTACGTCCACGCAAACACAATTACATGTTATATGTAGTCTGAGTTACGAGTATCTCGATAGTGCTCGATTTTATATTTACCTGACGTCGAAGCAGCTCGTGTTGTTCGACAGCAGATTGGACTCGATCATGGCGATACTCTGCAAAATTAATTGGCTCTCGATCAGCTCGGATGCCTGTTTGATGCTATATTACTTATAAACTTAAAACTTACGTTGAGGCCAATGTTCTTGGCCAGGGTCGACTCGGCTATGTTGGCGAACGGCTTATCCGCACCCCAGCACTCGACGTACTTGGTCATTTTGCTGCTCGGTCTGGACCTAAGCAGTAAGGGGCTATTACAGGTTGAAAATAATGAAAAAAAAAGCTATTTTCATCATCATTTTCCGTCTGCTTTATTATACATTCACATGCTTATTCAATGTCAAGGATTGAAAAACGATTCAAAAACATTTTTTAAATATTTTTTTAGTTTTTTATCAACTTTGTAAAAATGGCTGACAGTTAATCTCAGCATCTACTCAGCCGATCTTTACCAAATTTCTTTATTATCGTATGATCCAAAAAATATACCACAAAAAAAGAACATTTGATTTAAAAAACAAAATGTAACAACTTGGAAATTGAAAAAAAACCTTAATTATAGGTTCTTTATCATTTCATACTTATTCAAGATTTTCTTCTTGTTGTTATTTTTTGGTAAATTATATATTCCTTCGTATAGCGTGTACAATTGTATTAGGATCGGCTCACTAGGTCCGGAGATTAACTTTTCGTCATGCCAAACGACATCGTCCCGAGATGAAAACGTTCAAAATTTCGATCTGACATTGAATTCCGTCCATACGCTTGTACTCAATTCTGATTTTGACTGATTTAAAGTCCGAATTTTCGTACAATATTTTAGAAGATGGTTCTCTGAAGCATTAACAATTTGAAAATGGAACGAAAAAAAGGTTTCAAAAAGTTCAACCAGTAATATTCCCTTAAATAAATGAAAAATTTACTCGCGCGCAGGTAAAAGACTAACATCGTGCAAGAAATCAGCAACTTTTGACCGAAAGTCGCAGCCATGTGTAATGTATATGGAAGCAGGGCCATTACCTCGAGGGCACAGAGCCACCGGTGGGTCGGAGCAGGGTACTCTCTTTGCCAGTCTCGACTGTCTGTGCATCGCCGTTGCCTTTCTGTACAGCAGAAAAAAGAGAAAGAAAAAAGAAATAAAAGAAAGGGAAAATAAAAGATATAACAACGTTAGCTGCGGGTCGTGTACGCGTCGCTGCTCGGGGTGCTTTGCTGATTTGCTATATAGCTACAGCGTGCGCGCATCCGCCGACGCTAATTATGTTTATATGTAAAGAGAGAGAGTAAAAGAGCGGCCGGGAGCAGCTTTGGTTCTCCTCTTGTTTCTCGAGGGGTAAGAGCAGCTGGAAAGCTAAGAATTTACCTTGGGTGGAACAATGAGGTAGGTCTCGACTTTGTGCTCGGCCAGATAGGACTCCCGGTCGGGGCCGTTGCCGGGCTCGACTTGGAAGCGATCCCCGAGATGCTGCAGCGTCGCCTTTGTTACGTGCACGCGCCTGCAAATTCACAAAACTCGATCAGTATTATTATTGTGCTTTGGGCGCGCGTCGTAAGCTCTCAATGGAGAATAATAATCGCGGCGCAGCGAAGCTATTAAGGCTGCGATAGCGTCGATGTATACATAGTTGGCACGTCTGTTATATAGGAGAAAGAGGTGGTATATAATATACGAACCCGGGCAAACCGCCGCTCTCCATGTGATTGGCCAACGTGACGTCGTCGCTCCAGACGTCGAATTGCCATTTCCGCAGGCCTAGGACACCGCAGAGCACGTTGCCCGTGTGTATGCCAATCCTCATGTCGACGTTGAAGCCAGTCGCCTCGCGCACGAACCTTATGGCCTCGATCATCTCCAGGCCCATCTTGACGCAGTTGTAGGCGTGATTCGGCCGCGACACCGGCAGCCCCGACACGCAGTAGTAGCAGTCGCCCAGGATCTTGATTCTCATGCACTTGTTGTCCTGCGTGTCGAGATGTAACAACGGCTTTTTATACAAAATTATGGAAATGCGAGCGCGAGCTTAGTGCACAACTGCACTCGCGCGCGGGAGGAGCGATTTGGAAACTTTTCCAAGGGCCAACTTTGCCCAAGCATACGTAGCTCGTTCGAGCTAACTTTTCAAAGGATCCGCAGGTGCAATAATGTATGCCCGCGGCAAAAGTTTGCTCGAGTCGCGAGCGCAGGCTTTGCCAACGTAATACGTTATATGTTTGGGGGCTTTTGTCGCGCGCATCCAGTAATTCGTCAGTCGTACGCGGACAATTTATTTTTCCGCTCGCGCGCATTGTACTTCCGAGCACAATGCCGTACGATATGCTCGAATTCCAGGACAAATGGTTGTATTTACGACGTGTAGTAGTACAGCGAAGAGAAAATTCCGAGCCCCAGTCGATGAGTATATCACGATTATCGCTGCTATTTTTCCAGTTTTCCCGCGCTGCTCGGCGTACAAAAAACGTATACGCTCCCTTTGGCCGCATTAAGGATGCTGCGTATACACGCAGATAGACGGGGGTGTGCATACAGTATAGTTGAAGCGCGAGTACTCGGGGGCCGCATAATATCGTGTATAGCGTACATGCGCTCCAGTTGCACTCACACGCGCATGTATTATACACACAGGCTGCAGTGCATGGAGCTCTGCGGCTGCTGCTGCTGCTGCAGCGGGAGCTTGGGAGCTCGCCTCGACACCCACTGACGCTTTCTCTCTCTCTCTCTCTCGCTCTATCTATCGGCGTATGGAGCGCGATCCGAGTAGCAGCCACAGCAGCAACAGCATCGGCAGCACTCAATGAACGGAGAAATTTTCCTCTTTGTTGCGAGTACGTTTGCACGGAAATTATGCCCGGAGTTATCTAGCAACGCATACTTGGCCGCTTGTATATATACTGCAAGAAATTTATTCAAGACATTTATACGCCACGTGTTTATCGAATTTTTTCTTTCGCTCTTTATAATTTCAACGGCATCATTTACGGAGCTTGGAGTTTACTCGGTTAGCTTCTCTACCTACCCGCGTGTATCCACCTACATACTTTGCTTTAATCGAGTTATGAAAGAGCTCTACTACCGCTGCTGCCTCTGTTGCTGCAAGCGCAACGGCGTCATCGCGTTCAGGGCTAATTCTATATAGAGGCGTGCAACTTGGCGAAACTTTGCGCTAGACTTGACGTTTCCAAAGCGATGTAACGTGTCGCGATCGAGATTTTCATCGATGCGATAAAAAGCTCGATTCCGATTCGGGTGCGAGCCGCTGATTTATGGTCCCTCTTACAGCCCCCGGCAGCAGAGGTGATGATTGTTGGGCCAAACTTTTACGCGGGCCGCAGGAACATTTTTACTTTTACAAGCAGCCGCTAAAGTTCGTATATTACGGGTAGCAGCCGAGGTGGTGCGCACCGAGCTTGCGAGCGGCGCGTGTTTCGGATGCTTTCCTCGCACGCTATATACATATTAATACAGCGAAGGGGGGCTCGTTTGATTTCGCAGCAAAATACGAGACATGCCCCGCAAGCTCGATGAGCGTAATTAAAAATTCATGTTGGCGTAGCGCGTAAACAACGAAAAACGTACACGCGCGCGTATATCGACAGTCCCCACGAAGAGTAACACGTTTCTGTGTTAATTTAAATGGAAACGTGTTACTCTTCGTGGGGACCGTCGATATCGTCGCGTTATTCCACGGGCGCGCGTTTTTTCTCTCTCTCTCTCTCTCTCCAGCTCGGCTGTGCAGCATACGGGGCAAACATCGACGGAAATTCTCGAAACGTGTTACGGAATTAATTTCGTCAGTTGGCCGCGGCCGTTCCGTTATTCAATTCGTGTGCGCGCACCGGGTCGCTCGGATTTCTCGCCAGCTTTTTTTCGAGCGCTCTCGCACAGCTCGCGAACAATCGTATCGCGTCCGGACAGCTCCCGATACGCCGCCCACGACTCCATTGAGAATCGTAAACATAAATTTCGAGCGCGCTCGAGGTTATTTATTAAAAGGTCGCGCGCGCGCGTTTCTCGCTGCACCATATTATATACTGCACCTTTGCCTCGAATTAATCTTACCTAAGAAGCTTCTTTACTTTAATCCTCGATTTAGCCACGTGGAGCTCGCTCGCCATCGTTCATAAATTAATATTTTCACCTCGATCGTAGCGGCCTGTGAGTACCTGCAGAGTTCAGCTAAAGGATACGACAGTTTGTGTATACGCACGCGTTGTGGCCTACCATAGAGCAATTAAACCTTAATAGCTACGGCGGATGGGAAATTCCGAACGTCGTGCTTGATTAAATGTATGAATTTCGCTAGTCGCTTAATTTTTTTGCACCATAATCTCGTCGAAGCGATTATCGTGTCGCGAGTGAAAAATTTTACCTTCTATACCCCGGTTGCAGGGATAATTTTTTATGCCTCCGGCTGACTATAATCTCTCGGGGCTTATGAGTATATATATCCGTACGAACCATACTTGCCAAATTAGCGTAATAAATGATGTTCTCAGGGTAGTTTTTTTTAATGCGACTCAAGGGCACTTGAAAAATGTCTGAAAAATTTCATTCGGAAAAATGTTGCAAAATGTTGAAAAAACTTTGAAGAAAGAAAAACACATTAGGCCTTGAGCAAAGAGCCCCCGCGTCTATACGCGTACGCGCTCCGACGTAATCCGATCAAATATTTTGGCTCTTGGGTAAAAAAAGAAAACGGAGGCGAGGATAGAATTTCCTTCCCCTCGAGCTTTCTCGCACAGATGCGCGCACACGCTACGGAGCGAGGAAATTGAATATAGATTCCGCGAGAGAGCACGACAAAATCAAATTGCCATGCGCATTGTTTGCATGCGTACGTCGCATTTGTCTTCGTGTACGCGCGCTTCGACGTGATTCCCGGCGCGCACCAAGAAGCCCCGAGCAAATTGAAATTTCATTAGGACCGGTGAAAAAATAGACACCGAGTCGTGCAAAGTCATCGTGCATCACAGTCACGGTGACGGCACCTCGTAATTATGCGTGAATAAATACTGAAAATTTCTCGGTAATTAGTGGAAAGAGAGCGGCTCGATTAAGGAGGGGAAGTTCGATCTAGTTATATTGCTAGTGCTTATGGTTATTATGCCTACCTGAGCAATCTGATCGAAGCGGCCGAAGAGCTCGTTGAGCGTCTTGACGAGGTCCGAGGCCGACAGCTGCTCCGACAGAGGCGTAAAATTCACGATGTCCGCGTAGAGTATGCTGCAGCAGAGAGTAGAGAGTAGTAAAGTAGCAGAAAAACATTTTCATCGTTTATTCAGATGTTACGTTGCGGAGCTTGAAGCTCGAAGGGCCAGGGGTATAAATTCGAGATCGCACTTTACCTCACATTGTTGTGGCGTTGCACGTACATCTCGTGGAATCTCGTTTGCTTGTGTTTGCTCACCTCCTGGCATGCGTCGGCCATTTTCAGCATGATGCTCCGTTTGACCTGCGAAGAGCACACACGCATAAACTCGTTTTACTTTTTTTTTTCGCAGCTCCTTTTTACTCGCTTCGCACTTTCGTCCTCCCCTCGTGTCGCATTCGTGCGGCGCAGTGAATAATACACACACACTCACCTCGGCGGCGATGTAGGCCGGTATGACGCTAAGTAACAGCTGCTCCTGCTGCTCGCGCTCGCTCTCGAGTTTTATCCTCGACTCGATTATCGTCTTGGTGCTGGCGAACGTCTGCTGATGGGCTCGAGACGTTAGCACTCGATAATAGAGACCCGCTATCAAGGCCGATAATGCGAAGAACGCGTCGCTCTGCACCTGTGCGCGCATAGACGACGACGATAGAGACGCGATATAGACACGAGTTAAGATGTATCAGGGCAACTCACCTGCCAGGACTTTAAGCCGTCGTCGTAAAAGAGCAGCAGCAGGCACCTCTGGAGCAGAAAGATGATGGACAGTCCGAGGCCGAAGAGGCCGGGCACGTGGAAGCCGGCCTTGGGCAGGGTCGCGACGATCGCCAGGATGGCCACGAAGGCGGGCACGGGCGCTCTGAGAGCCAGGCAGCCGAAGCCGAGGCTGAAGCTCGCAGCCAGGCCCAGGCAGATCCTCGTCCTCCTCGAGTTGAGACCGGCGGGCAGCTGGGCCAGCACGAGGAGGCTCAGCGAGGCCAGCAGCATGGTCGCCAGCACCGCCATGGGTATCAGCATCGTCTGCATCCTCTCCAGGTCCTGCGAAAAGTCCTGCGCACACAAAATTTCGCTCGAAAAAATGCGGACAAAAGCCAAGTAAAAATGGCTAAAACAATAACGACGTGTCCGAGATGGCATGTATCTGGTCGATAAATCGCTCGGTATACGTTGCTCGGTCGCTCGGTCGCGAGAGAGAGAGAAAACGACACATGGCCTCCGGCAGCAAAGACGCGAGCTCCGTATGAAATGAAAACACGCTTATCTACATATATAACAGTTATTTTCAATGGAAAAGCAGAGTAGGCGCGAGTGTGTACGTTATGTGTGCATACATTGTAGTATTATATAGTGCTCTGCGTGCGATAGGTGTAGCATAGGGACGAGCTAGCAAGGATGAGACCATTTTTTATCACCGCGTGCGTATGCTCTCTTGCTCTCGCATCTAGTTTTTTATATGCATATACATCAGGCCGAGAACCTATACACATAGCCAGAGAGAGAGAGAGAGAGAGAGAGAGAGTAAATAAACGTCCTTTGTAAGCTTTTTTATTTTATTTCTCAAGCCTGATCAATTCATAGGTTCAGAGACTTTTTGACTCGTTTCTTTTTATTATACGCGCGGCGACTTGATTGAAATTTCCGAGGCTCAAAGAGAAGCTTGGCCGATTGATCAGTCCGCGTTCGAGATTCGCTACAAGCTCGAAATTACGCGAGGAGGCCAGTGTAGTGTTGCACATTTTTGAAAGAGCTCGAGCGCGCTTCAAACTACTACGTTACTCGATGGATATTATAACGCGTCCTCGTCGTCCGGGGTGTTGGTAATTAAACGATCATTTATAAGAATTTCATTAAAAGACGGCGGCTAATTAAATTGACGCTGCGGCTTGGTAAAGTTCAGGTCCCGATAGCGCGTCGACGTATTTTGCCTATTTTTTTTTCTCTCTCTCTCTCTCGAGCGGATTCGCGCTAATGAATCTCGGCTGGAGCATATACTACTCGACGAGGCGAGCCTGAACCCGATGCAGGCATGTGTGTGTGTGTGTGCGGTGACAATATGTATATGAGCCGCTGCGTACGCGGCAGCTGTTTGTCGTGCGAAATTCACCCGACGCGAGTATGCTCACGTCTATATAGCTTATACTCGCTTATATGTATACATCGAGTCGTGCAAGTCTATATCCAACGCCGCGTGTGGCCTCTCTGCACTTGGCTAAAACTTCCGTACTCGCGTATACGTTACATAGTCTATCTGCGATCGAGCCAAGCCGCGTGTAATATCTCGATTAAACTTTTATCCTGCACACCTCTCGACGACTGACCGACGCTCGACCGTGTAGTAGAACCTGTACTTTATTTATATAGGCTGCCGCCTGGCGCGATGTAGCTCGATGTGTGCTTTTGCGCGTGTGTGTGGGGTATAGGTACTATATACTCACGTAGAGGCAGAGGAGGGCGCAGAGGGCCGAGAAGGTGGCGATAGCGGCAACAGTCAGCACACCCGTGTAAAGCGACGCCGTCAGTTTACCCTCGTATCTGTCTCGGAGCTCTCGCAGTTCCTCGTCGCCGCACTCATCTGTCCCCGATGCCGTCGTTGCCGTTGCCACTGTCGCTGCCACTGCGCCTGCAGTCATATACATACATACATCGATCGATCGAGTCGTTATAGCACCTTTCGATTTATATTTCGCGCCGAGAAAATTACTCGCGCCAAAGCTTGGCCAAAAGTTGCCGTATAAAGTAGCTGATTCGATTACATATATTATCGTGCGTAGGATCGCGCATCAAAGTTTACGCAGCGCCCCAAGTGCTCCACAAGTGTCGACTTTGCTGCTGCTACTGCTGCTGCACTCGAGCGCGCGGCGCAAAATTCCTCCCTTAATTTCGATTTAGCCGCCGACCTTTTGGGACGCACATTTTAGCTTATACGTACATCCAAGGACGCGTCGGGCCGAATCACGAGCGATGCCTCGGCGCGGCTGCTATACGCGATAAAAAATCTCTGAAAGCCGAGTGAAAAATGAAGAGTACGTGAGGCGAGCGCCCAAGGTCTCGAGAGGCTGCGATTTTGCGCCTTTGAAACAATCGATTCTCTCTCTATCTCTCGCGCGCGTCGTCTCCACTCCCGTCTCTCTCGGCACTCGGGGGTTTTAATAATAATTTTCGCAGCAAATCCCCGTTTAATCCGCGCGAGCGCCCGCGAGGATTATATCTCGCAAAAAGCGAATGAAAAAAAAAAGTAGTAGAGTCGAGTCGAGCCCGCATCGTAGGGATGAAAAAGGATCCGGTCGGACTGCACGCACGCGTCGAGCCGCGTACGATCGACCGCGTGATGTATCGCGGCTGCAACTGGCCCACGACGTTTGGCTCTCGAGCCAAGAGCAGTCGAAATTCATATATAGTTTGCGGTCCGAGAAGAAAAACGCCATACGCTCGGTACGGTGCTGGTTAAATTTAGAAGCGGGTAAAGTCAGCTGGGTCGTCGGGGCCATTTGCCGAGCGATTATCGCGTTTTCATTCTCGTGGTGCTCGTGGGCGATCAGAGCTCGTGTGCGCAGGTGTATACCAGCCAATGGCTCGCGCCTATATACTCTTAATGAAAAGTCGCGCAGTAGCTACACTATACGGAGTTATACCTCGTTATAGCTGGCTTTGCACTCTTTTGTTCCGGCTTATATCCGTGTCTGACGCACATTGCACGCGTAATTGCGCTTACTGCGGCCGATAATTCGATTGGGAAAAGTCAATGAAAGACGATGTAGACGATCGTTATATAGCTGCGTGTACTCCGAGCACACCCGAGGGACTTGGCAGGGAGTTGCATGTAACCGCAGGTCGGACGATTCGATTTCGCAAGTTTGGTCGTCGTGCGACGTGATCTCGACTCGATTGCGCGAGAAAAGAAGAATTATAAAAAAATCGATTGATTATCGCCGATACTCATTCGCTCCGTTATTTCTTTTCGTTATTGTTGTTGTTGTTGTTTTTTTTTTCAATGCCACTGCTTCGTACGTTACCCTTCGTTTGTTACAAGCTCATACAAGATTATTAACGGTCAGGGTTTACCAATAAGCGGAATTTCTATAATAATAAGGCCGAGAGCCGATGCTGCACTGCTTGCATTGCGAGAGAAGGAGAGAGAGAGTATAAATATTGATCTCGGCTCTGTATTAATAATTGTGTACGCGCGCACGCGATTCTATCTCTCTCTCTCTCTCTCTCTCTCTCGTCTTGTTCTTTCATATGCACTAAATAGCGTCAACTAAATTTTCTCCTTTATTTCTCTCTCTCTCTCTCTGCTGCTGCTACACGTGAATATTTCAACTATATGAATGTGCTACGTCGAGGCGACTGTGCGTGTGTATGCATACGCGTGTGTACACAGCGAGCGAGCGAGCGAGCGAGCGAGAGAGTAACAGGGAGACCCTTTGAAACTTTAACGTTAGTACATCGTCAGGCGCTTGTAACTTTGAATTTTGCAACTCTTGCCTTGTATATATACATAGACATAGCGGCTTTGTGGCTCGGAACATTATATAAAAGCTCCGAGCTATATCATCCGCGGATAATTAAGCTCGTGCTCGCCACCAACTTTGTGCATTTTTTCTTCCGTCCTTTGTTGATGTCGCGTTAATGCCACAGCTTCCGATGTGCGAGCCGTACATCTACTATACGGTGTCAAATTCAATCGTTCGACGCGTCCGTTTAAATGATTTGAAATATCAGGGCTATTAAAACTTGTGCGCGCACTCGGTATAACGCGTTTGCCGCTCAAGACTTTAACGCACCGCATCGCGGAAGCTCCGACACGCGCGCGTAAGCTTTAACGGCCTACTTTACGAGCAGCTGAAAAGCTATTAGCGTAACCGAAGCCACCGCTGCTGCTGCTGCCCCCGCGCGCACCTTAACACACCGGATTAATTCATTTGTTTTCTTTGCTGGCTTTTCTCGCTGATCGAGAGAGTCGAGGGCAGTTTTTGGAACACCCAAGTCGTGCAGCCCGACTCCATTAACTTGGCTTTTATTATTCTTGCAAAGCCCTATACTAATTATGTATCGACGTCCGACCACCCAGCCGTAAAACTCGCGAATTTTCAAATTTACTCACTCGAATCGAGTGATTTCGCTGAAACACCCGTATAATCGCGACGCGCCTACGGAGTTTCGACCTACTCGCGCTCGACGTAGCTTGGTTTTATATTTGACTTTCGGCCCGTATTCGTCTCGGCCAAATGTCCAGACGCATTTCCGCTGCTCGAGAGACGCAAATACGAGAAAAATTGGTACGTGTAATATTTCAGTCGTCGCCGAGCCGTGACTTGCTTTGCTGCGCTGGATAGGGCCCAAAGATTCAACGCGAATGCGACGAATCAAAATGTCGCTACAGCAAACTCCCGTCTAGCTGATTTTTCTATACGCTACTTCTTGGCAAGACGACTCGTTCGTTTCGTTTCTTCTTTGAGTTATTCGTCTAGTTAAGTAAACGAACAAGTTAAGCCGCTTGTTCGTTTACTTGTATGCGCCTTTGCGAGTAAGCGTACAATATAATTAATAATAATTGTTTTCGCAGCGGCGCAGTCTGGAAGTGGCGGAAAGATTTGCTCCCGCTGCTATATTATATTTTAATTAAATTCAGACTGCTGTTTATCATGTTATACGTTCTCATATCTAAGGCAGCATACGGAGGCAGAGCGAGTTGCGCGCAAGACGGTCGAATGTTGGAGAGCTGCTTTATTGTACGTATCGTAGTTAACGTAGGAATTCGCCAATTCTCTGCGGAGTTTTTCGCCGCGCCCCAGTAAAACTTTGAAATTTTGACGCTTCGAACGAGCTCGCGATTCGACGGATGATGTAAGAGGCGCGACGGATATTAACTATTTTATCTCGTGTCTCCTTGGGCGCGTGTAAACACGCGAGCGAGCGAGGATGGATCGGCGCGCGCAAACGAATGAACGAGCCGCAGCAGCAGCGGCAAAAATGTGCAAATGATTTGTCGAACGATTCGAGTGTGCCGCGAGCGGCCAATTGGCTCGCAGGGTCAAGCCGACTATCTCAATTGGACCTAAATGCGCGCTCGGACGGATCGCAGCGCGACAGCTTGTACGATTCGACCTACGCAACGAAACGCGTCGTCGAGGCTCTCTCAAAGTATTTTTTCGATTTTTATCTCGCGCACTCTCGGGAGGAAGGGTATCGAGTCATGCGCGAAATCACGTCCCGGACACCGGAGAAAGATTGGCTCGATTATTCGTCGGATATATTATACAGCCATTGGCCATTGTGCTTTGACCATTAAAACGAATCGAACGATCTCGGTGAGCCGCGCGTGTAAATGCCACGGCTTTCTCTCTCTCTCTCTAACCCGTATAATTTCGTTATAAACGGGCTCTTTATCAACAAATGGCGTTTGGCGTGTGCGCGCCGATCAATGAAATTCGATTAACGATACGTTTCGGCTCGTCGAGCTCTTTCCACTTGTCGTGTATAGGCGCTGCAGCGCCGCGCGATACGCGATACGCGTCAAGAAAAGTCGATTTTCGACCTGCGCGCGGCCGACTAATAAAGCACATATGCGTGCAGCATATATGCATCCATGCCATATACATTTTCCATAAACTCCGTCAATTTAGCGCTCGTATGCTGTACGCTGTCGGATCGTACGCATCTCGACGTGTAATTCCTCGCTTTGAACACTAATCGATTGCGTCAGCAGTAAAAACGTACGTAACGTACGTAAAACGCCTGCGTCCTTCGCACATGCTTTCTTCATACCCTTCTGCTCTTCTATCGTTCATCGTGTGCTCCAAACTTTTTGCGCATCTGTGTGCGTCTTTACTCTTAATCGTACATATAGACACGAGCGTAGAGCCGACAAAACAGCAGAGACTTTTAATATAGTCGCATCAGCTCCATTGACGCGGAGCAGCAGCAGCAGTCCTTTTCGCGTCAAAAGCTTATCGTACTCCTTGCAGCTAGTCGCCACGCCAATATTGCATCGTCGAAATTTCACGAGCTAGCAATTTCGGACGAATAATTTGCTTTGTCGAGTCGCTTATGTCGATGAGACGAAACTTGGCCTCGAGTCGAGGGATTGTCTCGGTCGTTCGATTTTCATCCGAGCCTTCTGCGTCGCTTCGAGTCAGGATAAATTTATCTATTACATGTACATTTTAAATGGTCGCGGAGCTGTCTCGTGTCTCGGCGTTTTTTCCTCCAGCTTCGTTTGTAAGTACAGGTCGTAAAAGAAACTTTTCCGCGCCTCTCGTGGTATAACGAGGCGAGCCTCGACGACGTTTAACGACGAGGCAAGAGCAAAAAAATGAAGGAAGTAAGGCGATACGTGGCTTTATTGGTCTTTTTCCGGCCGCAGCTGGCTTATATGCGACGCGTCAACCGATGTACGCATCCGATCGTGGCGTTCGATAAATTGTCTCCTTCTCCTTCTTCGCTCACTCTCTCTCTTTCTCTTCGCTAATGCGATTGTCTACTTGAGATTAATTGAAAAGAGAAAAAGGCTCGACGAAGCGATTCGACGTTAATTGACTCGGGCTCGACCTAATACGAGCTTATCATAGCGCGACATTTTCACGCCTCGATGCGATTCGGATTGAAACGGCGCCAATTCAGCTGCGTGTATAGCCAGCAGCCGAGAAATATCTATATATCCAACGTACATTACCCTCGCAATAATATATAAGCCTCTGTATAATACGAGTATAAACAAGACGATCTAGCATAATGGACGCTGATAGGAGAAACGAGATAATAGAGCTGGAATTGTGATCCGCGAAAGCGACTCAATTGCTCGACGCATTAGCTTTCCCGCCATCAACCTCTCGGCTACTTATTTTTTTTTTAACGCTGCCTGCACAATCGTCGTCGACTTTCGTCGTGTTTTTTTTTAAATAATAATTTAATTTATTTAAATATTTACCCGGCTCCTCCATATTGGGATGTGGCCTGCTGCACAGCTGAGCCTGGATCTCTCGAATAAATGTACTGCTGACAACTTTTATGAGCACCAACGCACTTGACCATTTGCTCGGTGGATCAGCGAATGCATTTTATCTCTCTCTCTCTCTCTCTCTCTCGGAAGCTCGTTCACGCGCGCTCGAGTGTGCTTTTAACGACTGTTTCTCACTTTTGAGCTCATTTTACCAATGCCCCGCAACATCAGCATGCGTACGTGCCAATAAATCAGTTTATGAATGTCCGAATTTTCTCCATATTATTCCAGGCGAACGCGCGTCAATGTATACCTTGTTACACGCTCCGTGCGACGCGACAAAATCCACTGGGCGACGTTATTTTACCCTATCGAATTGTTTGCTTCTTGAAATATTCAAACGCGGAGTAAATAATTTTCGCGTGCGATTCAAAAATATATCGCGACGCGATGAGAGAAAAACGATGACGCACGCCAATCCGATCGTCGGATGCGCCTTCGCGAAATTCTCGATTTACATGAAAATTTGCTGCAATTATTTATGCGAGTCGCGATCGCGCGCTCGTGCACAAGAGCAACAAAAAAAGTTCACAGGCCCGAGGGGAAGCGTCAACTTAAATATAGCAGCATCGCGAACTGGTCGCCCGGGAGCAACGACACTTTTTGTTGTCGAAATTCAGGCCTGCTGAGCATATTTCACGGGGACACGCCGCCCTGCACATCGCGCAAATAATCATGTTTCTCCATGAGGGAGCAGTCGCGGCTAATATAACGCCAAAGTTGGCCCGCTGACAAAACTATACACGCGTACGTAGGCGCACGCGGATCGTCGTCGCAACCGAATTGAAATAGAAACTCGCTATAATACAAGTGCGACTCGACTAATGGCCAGCTTCGATGAGCTTTTTGAGTGACACGTTCGACGGCCGATTGCGACTGGACAATTTTTCGATCGAGCTCGCCTCGATTGCTCGGCCAAGGAAATTAAGCCGCTGCTGCTTTTTTCTATTCTAGCGCAATATGTTTTTGAATCTATGAGCTTCCCACTATGAGACGCGAGACCGTGAATCGATACTTCGTTAGCACTACCGATTGAGCGATTGACAAGTAAATGTATATGCAGCTTGGATAAAAAGAGCCGTGGAGCCGGACCGGCCCGTCGCTCGCGACGGCTGCAACTGGTGGCAGTCATTTGGTCGAGGGAACGCCACGCGCTTCTGCAAGAGCTTCCTCCCCTCCGCGCGCATCGCCTCCTGCTATCTCTGCCCGCTCTCGGCTCGGAGCTTTCGCGTAGCCGCAAGTCGGCGCGCAGTCGCTAAGCGCGCGATCTCTCGCCGCCGTCGTTCCCCGTTGTTTCGTGCTAATATTGGAAATTTGCTTGGAAATCGTCGTCGTCGAACGCGCTGCTGCTACCCGATGAGATTGGCGCGACGCGCAGCTGCAGCCAAAGTGGCCTTTTATGAGCTTTTTTACAGCTGAATCGAGTCTTAACTCAATTTGCGAGCGAGCGACCCATAAAAACTCAAATTCCTCGCACTTTTGAACTTGAACTTTTGCGGAACTCGACGCGAAACTCGTTCTGCTGCTGCCGCTGCTCGTAGTGTAGCATAGAAATCAGGTCATTGGAACATTGTCGCGAGCTCGAGTGCGTATGTGCACTCTCTTTCTGCTTCTCCCTATCTTCATCTTCCTGCGTTGTCGCGCTCTCCGCGGGTAATTGTAATAATGCAACGCTGTTACACGTGTTAATTCGCCTACTTCTTTCTCTCTTTCGCTCGCACTCTGGGCAATACTCGCTTGTGCGTTCGCTCACTTATGCTTTGCAGCCTGTGCAGTTAATTAACTAATTAATTTTCGTCGCCTACTTCTCTTTTATGCTTGATGAACACGCGACGCCTCTACCTCTCCTAGATAAATAAATTATCATGAAAAAATTCTGAATACGCATTTTAAGTTTGTGCAAATGACATTTATTCATGTTTTACGCATGTAAATATACAATTGATTACTTTTTATTGATTACTCCTTATTAGCTTTTTAGCAAATTTACAATTTTCATTACGACTTTTCGTCAAAAGTTAAGTCAAATTTTTCAATTTCACATTTGATTTTTTTATAGAAATTCCATTTCTCTTTCAATTCCAACAAATTTAAGTTGCTCTGTAGGTCCATATCTGAAATTTTAAAAAATTAAATGACATAAGAATGGATAAAAAATAACAAATGCCAATGGTAATAACTCGATGTTTTACCGATAGTCGAAAAACAACTCCTCGCCTGGTTGTATCGCTCGCTTGGCAAAAATACCAATTCTGTGATCACCATTGACCATCATAACTTTGGCGTAACAATTTGGATTTATGGAATGATTAGCAAATCTTATTTTATTTCCTTTCCTTGTGGCATCAACAACAAAATCTAAAAATAGGTACATAAAATCATTCGTAAATATCATACTATTACAAACTTTTTTTTATGATTATATTTACCATTATTAAGATTAAATAGAAAACTGCAGGCATATTTGTCGTAAACTTTTCCTCTTCGATCAGCTTCATCTTGACTGATAATTTCACCACAGTATTCCGATATAAATTCATTTTTAGCTGCAGATTCCTTCAAGAAAATACCCCAGCCTGCTACATCTGACGGTGCCATGAGTAAATGTTTATCTGTAAAAAAAAATAACCAGCATAACATTATATACATTTATATGGGTGATTTCTGAACTTTGAAAAATTTAACTTACGCAATCCTCTTTGAACGCTCACATTCTTGCAGGATATCTTTTGTACTTGATACTGATCCGCACCACAAGTCTGACAAAGATCGGGATCGCATTCGCGTACTGCAAGGTAGCACGGACATTGCTTGGTGTTACATTGAGCCTTGCAACGACAGCCTGGAAAACGATTCTGGCACTCACTGCTGCACTGGCAGAACTTCTCGCAAAAGTTTTGCGCTTGTATGCATGGACACGAATTGTCGCAAGGTCTGTTGGGGTGATCACACGGAGCAAAATTATGAACATGATTGGCACCGGAATCTTTTTTCAGCTGTATTTTACGACAATGCATTGACCAGAGCCGGTGCTTCTTCTTTTTCTTCCGTGGCGGTGTGAAGTCTTTGAGACTTTCAACGTCGGGTATATCACTCGCCTCTTTTTGCGAAAATTCATAAACTTTCCGGCAACTTTTAGTTAGCATTATTTGGGCCAACGCGCATGGGTTGCCGGGAAAAGCTTTATGTAGAGCCCTAAACAAACTTTGCTCGGAACCTGTCCATTCAGGATTGCCTTCATGTTTAACAGTTTCGTCGTGCAGAGTGAAAGCAGAATGATGGTCAGGTTGGAGTTGCTCTTGCAGAGCGTCGTCGTTTGATTCTTTGGTTGAATCTTTGTTAACATTTTGTTTGAAATCTAGAAATTTTTAAAGAGGCATTATTAGAAAAGCTTTTGATCCTTGTATCAATATCAGAAACTAGCCATTTCAAAAATATTACCTTGACAGCTACCAACTTGACTGTATTTATTGCTGTCATTACTGTCTTCGCTACTTGCTTCATTACCAGAATCGAGGCTGGCCTGCTTTCGTACTTTCTTCGGTGCACCTCGTTTCTCTTCTTTTTCTTCTTCCTCCATACTAGCTGCTTGCGCTGCTAGTTTTTCCTTAATTCCATCCTATTGAAAAATGATAAACAATTTTAATATTTTTTAGATATTTTTCATGAAAACTAAATACGTAGTAAAAACTTATTTCAAGTTTTTATCTTACCAAATGCATATAACATTCATTTCCACAAGGTTCAGGAAATGGTTTTAGATCTGGTCCTTTGCGCTTTTGCAGGTTTGGTCCAGGATGACAGACTTGCAAACCTTTTAATTTAAAAAATTTTATTTTCAATCTGATTTTTTTTAATGCATATTTTAAAGTCAGGACAATAAATTTAAATGATTGAATAATACATTGATGAATTCAATAAAACCAATAGTCAAAGAAAGTTCTTTGTAACTGGGTTGTAACTTTTATTTTGCCTGGTGGAGATGCTTATTTATTAAAAGATAAAATTTAATCATGTGAATAATGTTTTGACAGAATTCATCATGGGCAGTATCAAAAATTAAAAATATCAACTGTAAATATTATAAAAATACATACGATGTAAAAAGCAGTCATATTTGAAACATCTTCTGCAGAATAATGTGTGAAAAGAGTGCATGGTTTGTTCTCTGGGTACGCTATGAGCAGCAGCACCATCGATATTTGGAGTACATTCTGGAGGTAGAGCATTTGGATCAGACCTTTCTGTCAGTTCAATGTACTTTTCTTTTAATTCTTCTGGTTTTCCTTTGTCAGGAAACATTTGAGATATTGCCTGCAAACATAAAGAAGCATAAAAATCTAGTCAACTATATACTGTAAAAGAAATTTAAAAATAATTATATTTACTGTAAAAATTTGCATAGATGGAAATGGCGTATCGTCAGATTTAGAAAAAGAATCTTCCTTTTTATCTTCGTCTTTTGATTCTTTGAATTTCTTTGTAGGATTTGAATCTTTTTCTTTGTCATCCTTTTCATAGGAAACTAATGCATTTACAAGATCCACAAAAATAGAGTCATCCATAAATCCTGACTCGCGGTCCCCATGTACTTTACCATCATAATTTTTTATTAATTCTTCGATAAAGGTCCCATCTTGATCAAGGATCTCGTCACCCATGTATGGAATATTATGAAGGACAGTTTCATCTTCGACCATGAAATTTTGTTGTATCGGAGCCCAAGTATACATGGTTGGGATTGGAGTTATGGCATTCAATAATTTGACAGGACAATTTTGTACATCTCCATCGGAACAGGTGATTTCAGCCTTTTTCATACAGGACTCTTGAGCAGGTATTTCATGCAATGCTAACCACATAGCTCTGCTATCAAGCCATCTTTTATTTTCACTCTCTAATAATTCTGAAGGCCAATGTATAATGCATTATTGGTTAAAAATTTGCTTTAAAAATGGGTAGAAGTGAAGATGAATGCAATTGCTTACCTGTCATAACCTTGCGATTTTGGTTCCAAGCTATTTTGACTTCATCAGCACGTTTATATCTTTTAACTTGACGTAAACGCATATATTCCGATTTGACACGTTTCCGCCATTCGGCGGTGAGTTTTGCTTTCGACATTTTACTATTTAATAAAGACTAAAAGGAAAAATTAAACAATCACATTCGGAGTCAAACAATAACAACAACAAAAAAACAGTTTACTGATCACCCACGCTTAGCAGACTCTTAGCCCGCGCGGGCAGTCCTGCAGTGTTGTATATGTATGGTAATGTATAATTGTAACTGCCATCTGCGGCTCACACGGCAACACGCGCACACATTGATGTAGTACATATACGCATACACAGACACACAGACACACACGTATTGCATGTGTGGCGCGCGACTCCTTTGCGCCTTTACTACAGTGAGCGGGCAGTATGCAACTGTACCAACCGCCAGTCAATGGCGCCAAAACGTTTGACTCGTCGCAGGAAGATTTGATTGCATCAATATAATTATTGATAATTGTGGCTGAAATAATAAAAAGAAACAGTTTCTCATTGTAAATGTGTAAAGTGCGCTTAACTTTGTGGCAGAAGCACTTATAGTTTCAACGTGTACTTATACTTGATATATTAATGCGTGCAACGAGTTTGCTGCAAGTCTCGTGTCTCCATGATATAATTAATAAATATAAAAGGTATGTATAAAATAAACAAGCCTGAGGGGCTTGCTGGACTTAATTAGCGTATTAATTATTTGTTGTCGGTTGGCACTCCCTTTTGCGGTGCGCGTGTAAGCATAACCTGATCAGTTTTCCAAGGTGTGCAGTCCGCTCGGTCGACTGTATAAATTTTCCGCGCGTCGTTTCGCTGGACTCGAAAATTCAATCGCCCACACAAAGATTTTCAATGTTTGACGTGCAGGTAAATACTACGTGTCGTGGAACAAACAAGAGCCGTGTACGAGCCGACTGTCTATTATTAAACGTCAGCGCGGGGTAGCAATAATGGATTCCGACACAATAAGCCTGCTAAACTCGTCAATGTATCGCTAAATGTGTTGACGATAGGGCGCGAGATAGGCTCGCGCGTTTTGTTTTCCCTGCTGCGAGTCGGCGACTCGGCTGCACCAGTCAACGCAGTCTATACATGTATTTACGTGTGTGTCTCTGTATATACGTGCATAACGAGGTCAGCAGTGCGAAGCGTCGACGATGCCTAGGCAGGGCCGCTATTCATCCTATAGAAAATTGAATCGACAAGGAAGGTATATACGCGCTTATCTTTTAAAATGTAATCATTCGGAAAGTTGGCACAGTGGTGGTGAAGTAGCTTTTTTTGCCTCGCGTATCACGCGCTGATCAACTTCCCGGATCATCAAAAACTTTTAATATAGTAAATTTAAAAATCCTTCTATCTCTCTTTTTTTTTCTGTTTATGTACATGCGATGGTAAGCGTTGACTCGAAAAAACAGACTCACGACCATTTTTCGGCGGGAATATTATTAGTGCTATTTCAAACTATTGCGGCTAATGTTCCACTGTCAACTATAATTATTTCGTAGTTGTTCATGATATATATTCAAGTTGAAAGGGAAGTCACTGTTATCATTTCTGACGCTCGCATCATGTCTCGGCTAATTATACGTCACTTTAAGTTAAAAATTCGAGTGATACTTGTATAATACAGTTTTAAAAGTAATAAATATTTATTGAATGATATTTTTTATTCTCCTGTTTTACACATTTTGAATAAATGTTTTGAAACATATTTTTAAATGCCTTTGGAATAGCTCGATTTAATTTTGTATTGAGTGTTGATTCTGCTGAGCATCGAATCTATTTATTCATAAAAATTTAACTCATTTATAACGTGTAATAGGTTATTTTCACAGTCGTTACTACAGATGACTTTACTCTTAATTTTTATAGTTTATGTAAGCTTTGAACTTCAAATGTATAGCTTGAAAATTTTTATTCTGATATTTTCCATAAAATACCGAAAAACCTAAAAAGAAGTGAAATATTTTTTTCCCAATCTCGAAGTATTCTATGAAATCGACATTGTTTTGAAGCAATATTTTTAATCTGATTAATTTTCTCTAAAACTTTTTTACATTCTCCGACTTCTCAAAAAAGGGTTCTAAAGTATTTTTTGATAAAACCAATGTGTTACAACCAAAGTCAATGTTATTTGCATTGAAATCGCAATTGTGTGTTATACGTAATTCAAACATGTTCAATAGCGGATACTACGATCTTCCAATATCCAGCAAGGTTCTTCAAAAAATGTTCGTAGTAGTATTCTTACTATTATGTTGGGATCATGCGAAGCCTTAGGTTCATAATTTATATGTAATATAAGACATAATCTTTTACCTCTTATTTTTTACCTCCAAATGTTAATGATATTTTCTAAGTTTGATTAAACAATCAGATTGGTATTTGAAAAAACAATGTCATGATATGCAAAGTTTTTGAAATAGAGTTTGATAATCTTGAATATTTGTATTTTCAATTTTTATACATGATTTTTAAAATGAATTTTGAAAGGAAAAATGTGAAAATTAAATAAGACATAAAAAATTTTGAGTTTAATCCTGTATCCGTTAAAATGTAAATCTAGCGTAATAGGGGTCCTCACTGCTTAAAAGTGAGTGGTAATAATAACAGTAGTAGACAGACTAACATAGGCAAAATGCCTACGTCCTTACTTTCACGTTTTTTCGCTGTCGCAGAATTAAATTCAACTCGTGTTCATACAATACGACGTGGTCCAAAAGTGGTATTACTCTCTTATAGTGGAAAATTTTTGAATGAAATATCACTTCGCTAGGGCGTAATGCGAAGGAAGCTGTAATAAAGCTGCTCTCACAATTATTGTGTCGAGTACAGCCGAGGAACCTTTTCCGTACGTCATTATAAACGAGAATGAATCATTAATGAAGATAAAAGTCTATCTAATTAGAAGGAAAAATTAATAGTTTTGCCTTTTCTTTGTAAATGCACTTCTATCGTTTTAACGACCAAACTTATTACTCCAATTATCATACTTCTAAATCTAACAGAACGAGTGTCTTTTCATTGTCGGACATGTATATACGGCAAACAAAGATCGCGTACTGCCTCGAGTAAGCTTCGATTCTCGTGAGTGTCGTCGATATTGTTGCCGTCTTGGTCCTGTCACGTCATAAAAAACCATATCAAACACTCGAAACTATACTCCTATTCCCGTGACATTGGCTTTTGATTTTTATTGTGCTATGGATAAAAGTTTATTCTCCATAGGACTATGTTCAAACTCCTGTGCATATAAACAGTTTCATTTTCCCAACTGCATTGGACTTTTAATTTGTGAAACAAAATTTTTTACACCCAAACAGGGAGTACACGAAATATACATTTCGTTTTCACTTTATAAAATCAAGCCTGCCCAGTTTTTCGTGTAGTTCAATTTAAAAGTTTTATAAACTCGGCTTCCCTACACCGAGATGATATATATCGTTGGATTCTCGTGACAAAAATCGTATTTACGTATACTATTCACACATATTTCTTGGTACTTATTTTTTCAGTAACAATTTCATTTGAATTTTTATCTGTTTCTATATTTTACCAAATCGGGAGGCTGCGGCAAAATATCTGCACCATTTTATTCATTGCCATATTAATATAATTAATGCGTTTAATCGAGTAAGATAGGTACATTTATTGCTATTGCTATCTAGTTCAGTTAGTGAGGCATAAGAAAAATAATTTTTACATACCAGCGGCCCGAAAGTAGCACTTCCCGGCCGCTGCGCTAAACGGGATATTGCTATTTTCGGGCCCGGGGTATGTAAAATCGTATACTGGCCTGTACCGGGAAAAAAGAAAGCCTCAGTGCACGTGTTAATCGACCTCGGTTTCGCCTCGGTCGCTTATTCCACGTGCCCTGGGACTTTTCTATTTTTTCCGGCCTAGGGCAGTAATAAACTATTAACGAACATGCAATTTTTCAAGTGTCCTTGCTTTACTCACCGTAAAACTGTTGTCATAAGTCATGAAAAATCATTTTCTGCACCTGTCGAGCGGGACAAAGATGTTATCATGGAAGACGTGACATGGAATAGTCGGGGTACTGGTGGCACTTGAGCATTGTTGTAAGCTCGCTTCGGTAACTTGGATATTTTTAATGAGTTTAGAGTCGCTGAAACCGAATCTCAAGATTATTAAAATTTTGCTATCAATCTCATTTTACAACATTTATAACTTGCTCAAATAGATTCGAAAAAAAATCCAAAAGAATTTCAGTGAATTATTAAAATAATAATATATTAGCAAATAATATAATTTTCATTTTTTTGAATTCTACCATTCTTAAAAACTTTACATAATTGTGTTAGTTACAACATTTTAGAAATTGTTCAAAACGTTTTGTGAAAATTCCGGTGTATTTCTTTTGCTATTTCAAGTTTTTCAAGAACTCTGTAGTATTGGTTATTGTTTCTTAAAGTTGATATTCTCGAGAAAAAAATTCATGAATTTACCATATTTTTATCCATTTACAACAACTTTTAAATGAACAATGTCAAAACCTTTCAACTATAATATTAGCCCGGACTATTGTTTATGTTTTCCGCAAGAATACCGTCTCGCTTGACAGGTGTAGGAAATGATTTTTCATTACTTATATATGAAGCTTGTATCCGATATTTTAGGGCATAGATTATGCTATTTTAATAACAAAATGGCATAATCTTTTGAATGTGTAAGGTGTCTCAGTAAATATGATACGACGGAAATTTTGTTGCCGGTCTATGCATTTGCGTTGAGGGTGTAATTTACTCGCGCGTTTACGAGTCAGCTGCTAGAGTAATTGTATCTTCAAAAAGGTTTTTTCTACAGATTCGCGCACAAAAGAAAAGGGGAAAATTACATTTATGTTACACTGATATTAAGGTAAGAGAGTGAAGCGATATTCTCAAAATACGCAATGAAATTACCATTGACCCATTTAGCTAGTCGAGCTCGAAATTTCATTGGGACGACGGAGAGGGAGAAGAAAAAAATATGTTGGGGAGGTGCATTCGGTGATTTAACGACGAAAAAATACAGCAACAACAATACAGCTGGAATGTAAGTGAGCGGATCGTTTAAGGAAAAAAATGCCATGCCTCACGTTCGGGACATATTAATATTTTTTTTCGTTTCAGCCTTAGCCTCCTCCTCGTGGCGGGGTAAATGCGGTTTTAACGAGCAAACTCTTGGCTCTCTCTCTCTCTCTCTCTCTTTCTCTCTCTGGGCGTGTTTGTGTGCGGACGCAATGCCAGACATTTACATGCACACGTGAGTCGCTCTGGCTTTCTGGCTGCTCGCAAGTTGGTTTCGGCGCGCACAAAGTTTGCGCGGCGCGTGTTATCATCATCATAATCATTATAAAGGCCACGCACGTAGGCCACGAGCGCCGAAGCTTTGATAACTAATATTTGTTAAAACTGCACGTTGAAAAATCATGTAACGCGCTCGCGGCTCTCGGGGGAGAGGTTCGCGCGCGTAAATGCGCAGATCGACGCGGCAAAGGAGATATTTTTTCAACTGGAAAGTAAGCGAAGAAAAATGATTGCTCGGCGCGCTTTGAGGGCTTTTTCTACCCGCACAGGAGCAGCAACTATTCAAAGGAAATTTACTAGCCGCTTTCGCAAACGCATCCGTATAAAAGACCCGAGTGTTACGTCAATTCTGCAGATTCTCTTATCGCCATTAGACGCGAATTTACCGCGTACACGCTTAATAAATTTCATTGCGTATTTCGTTGTGCTTCCGTGTATGAGGGAAACGAACAGTTAGGGTAATTAGCGTTGCTGTAGCCCACATCGCTGATTCTAAGAGCTCGTACAGATGCTCGAGGGAGACATGGAAATGTCATTTCCATGGCTTTTGATGCTGTTTCGCTGTTTCTCGAGACGTATTTATTTAATCTAATGAAGGTTGCGCGATCGATTCGTTGTTTCACTGAGGAGGAGCTGTCGCTCAATCTGCAGAGCATTGAATGCAATCCCGTCGAAAAATCTGATCAATTCATGCGTTACTTCCACTGCAAACAACGCGATCTCCGTCTATAGGGATGCACTGCCAGCATCGAGTGTAATAATTAGCCGATTGTAAGTCAAATTCCGCGCTTACAGCGTATTTATCCAACGAGCCACTATTGATACCCTCGCGTGTCGGCGATGCTGCCAAGTAACCAGTTGCGATTCATTGATATAGCCATCGAACGAAGTGCACAGTTTTTTTTTTTAACCAAACGAGCCTACGAGTGAGTGTGCCTGAGAAAAAAAACATCCAATCAATCGGCAAATAAGCAGCCAGGATTATTACGGATTGTCGAGTATACGGCGCAGCCTAGCTCGTTTCATGCCCGAGTATAGATATCGCGTCGGTTGATCGATCGTCACACGCGAGCTTTCAGGAGATGTTTCAAGTGTGCATAAACGCGCAGGAGTACTTTTGCAAAGCCACAATGATACTCAACGGTATTTTTATCAACTCGAACATCACCGCGTTCACGTGTATATGTTATTACGAATTCGCCAGAGAAAACAAATCCTTGAGCGTTTTAAGTATATCTATGGCTCTTTAATTTGTAAAAATGCAACTTTTATCATATATCAAGGTGCCAAAATATAATAGTAATTATAAATTATAATATAATTGTTTTGCATGGTACATATTTATCAAATTTATAAATCAAATCTATAAATCGTATAATAGTGTTTTACTTAAAGATAATGTACACAAATTGTCAACTATTGAGGTAGCTAAAATTTGAATTAGAACGTTTTTTTCCAATATTAATATCAGTCATCAATTTTTTTCAATTAGAATTAGGAAACTAAATCTATTTCATTACGTATTAATTTAATATATTAAAAAAGTTTGTCAAAGTTCGATAAATTATAACACTTATTACGTATGGATTTACAAAAAAAATCTTCTCTCTTTCAAAAGAGTATTCTCGTTAAAAATCAAATTTCATTGCGCGTCCACGAAAAAATTCACTCCCCACATCTAATAAAATACCATCTCTAATGCCAGCTGGGTGTCGTTAAAAAAAAAAAAAAAAAAATAANAAGTTAAAAAAAAAAAAAAAAAAATGAAAAAGTGCACAACTTTCAGAATGCAGAAATCGTGTACGAAGCGAAATTCCATTATACATCCCATATAGAGTGAATATCTGTATACATGACGACGTCGTGCGCGCAGGTTGATTTTTCGTACAGCAGTTGCTCGGTACGTGCGTGCGACACTTGTACATTCGCATTGGCTCGCGCGTGCGAGAAAAAAAAAAGAGTATCGATCCTCGAGTTGTAATATCGCTTTTTTTTCGTATAGCGATTTTGTAAAGCTGCTACGATGGAGGTGACAAAGAGATTAATAGCATATTGGTCGTCGAAGAAGATTATTGCTCGGTGAAATATATACTTTTGCCAAAACGTGTGCAGCATTCGATAATAGTCGGGTAATACCCTAACAGTGTATTTTTGTAATTTTTAAATTTGGCATCGTATCAAATACTGCTGATACTGCCGGAAAAAACTTGTCTACCTTTCATTTCCGACTCGAAGGAAGTTATTCTCACGGGTGGTTATCGGGAGAAAAAATAGAACAAATACGAAAAGAAAATGATGTTTGAAATATTATATTCCTCGGGTGCACTTTGAAAAAAATATTCTTTTTTTTTCAACTGGAAGAAATCAAGGGACTTTTTTTTATGTCCTTGCGCGATCGATAAATTCAATGACAAATGTAGTATGACAACGACGATAGCGAGAGCTTAGTTGGCTTTTAGCCTAAGTAGTACTTTGTTTTCTAACCAATAGGTAAGATATGACGAGGTTATTCTTTTATACGTGTTTCGCCCATTAGGTTAATTGCATTTAGCAACTTTTTTCAACAATTATTAAATGAGGCATCGAGCATTACGTCGAGCGAAGAAAAAAGATTAATGTCTCGTGTAAATCAAGCCCGGTAATGGTGTTTACGAGCACGTCCCAATTATGGGTTATTTGCTCGCACGTCTCGACGCGCTGCCCGTGAAAATCGATCCTCGCACTCGCGAATTCTTACATATTTCTTTCCTCCCTCAAATAAGACTCATACTTGTAGCAGCTTTTTGCAACAAGCAGAAGTAATGAATCACTTAAAATGCACAAAAATCTCATTTACAGGAGCCGAGCAGGAGCCGCGCTGGCGGTGCATAAAAGGAGATTATTGAGTAGTAGGATGAAGATGAATAAGCAACGACGATAGTCACCGAACTTGCCAGCCTTATATTCCGTAAGTACGAGCTTTCAATAGGAAGATAAACGAGTGCAGTCGATGCCCGTTGGCCCGTAAGTTATGGCAAAAGTGCATTAGCTGCGGAGATGGACGACAGGAGGAGTTTTTGAGACTGTCGGCGGTCTTTGCGGGATGCTGAATAATCCACGGGAGCGTAGAGGAGGAGTTGGCGAAGCGATTAAAATTGGCCAAGTGTCTCGAAAGGCTGTGGCGCGGTTCGGAGTCGCTCGCAATATGGAAAAGGTCGGGGAAGAGGAGCTTGTGCGCCGCGGTTGGCATTGTCATTGGCCTTCGATGTAAGTCGGTGCTGTGGCCCTCGTGACTCGTCAGGTGATACATGGCTCTTGAAACGCGGCACGAGTGCTCGGCTCTGCGTAGGTAGAGGTGTAGCGTACAGCGTAGCTCGGAGCATAGTAGTCGCGAGCGGCCGCGTCGCGCAGAATCTGCCTTGTGCGAAAAAGGCTGCCGCCGCTGCTGCTCCGCTGCTGCTGTGTCGGTCGGGAGCGCTGGCTCTGGCTGGCTGGCTGGCTGGATGTGGGGTGGCGCGCGCGCGTCAGGTGGCTTTGGAGCAGACGAGAGCCAGAAAGCAGACCCGGGCAGTGCAAGCCGGGCCGTACGCCCGTAAGCAAGCCCTCGCCTACTCGCCAGCTCCCGCGTGCTCGACCTCTCTCGCTCTCTCTCACTCTCTCTCGCTCTTGCTCTCTCTCTCTGCGTACGTACCCTGTGTTTCTCACTCTCTTTCTGTGTGTGTGCGCGTGACACTCCAAGTAACCCGACTACTGAGCCGAGCTCGCTCATCCGAGCTCTCGCAGTGCGCTTAGACAACATTTTCGCGCCTCGCCAGCACCGCAGTAACCGAGTAACCGAGCAGAGTTGTCAGGAATAAAAATACTAAATTCCAGACACTTGTTGCAGTGCGATATACACGATAATAATAACAAATATTTACCGTACGAGAATAGGCCGCCGCCGCGCGCCACAGCCAGATGTTTCATCGGCTTTTTTTCCTACGAGAGAACTTGCGCCGTTGCTGCTGCTACTCCTGTGATACGGCTTAAGTGTATCCTGTTGCGGAAGTGAACGAGTAAGGAAAAAAGTCGAAGCGGACCGCGGGCAATGAGAGAGGACGACGAGTAACAGGTTGGTGCGCGCGCTAACATATATACTCTTTCGATTTTCATATTCCAAGCCCCCCCCCCGCCAGTGTGTTTTCGCTCCCGCGAGTTCGGATCGCATGAGTAATGAGGTGCTTCGGCTATCGGACGGATTTCAAAAACAAACATTAAGCTCGTTTTCTTCCCCGAGCCAGCTCGAGCTTTTTGTGCACTCGCTATATGTACGTAAGTCGCCGAGTGTGTTGCGTGGCCGAGAGGTCGAGTAGAGACCTGTTGAAAATTTCTCTGGCTTCTGCTAGCTGAGCGCGCCACTTACCTTCGACTTCTGACCTCCATATCCGCGGTAAATAACTTTTTAAGGATCTTCCCTTTTTTCATTTGCTCCTTTGTTAACGTCACATTTACCCCAATGTTATTCCAGCCAAATGACCCGTCTATCGGTGTGTACAGTGTTAGCTTTGCATGCCATATGTTCTCGCGCGTGCAATGTAAACGTAATTTTCCCGCTTATCGCAGAGAGGGAGAGAGAAGCAGAGAGCAATAGGACAAGTTTGGAAATTTGGTTGGTTAGTGCTTCAGCGCTCGATTCGCCGATTCAAATTAGCCGAGAAGCTTTGATAGAAGTCGTTCGGTTGATTCGAAAGCCTCCCCTCCCCATTAATGAAGCTTGCATGATTGCTTTTCTCTCTGCATCTCTCTCTCCTCCCACAACTTTTAACGGACTATTTGCCAACTTGTAATAATGCTAAATTAATTTTTACTAACCGATCGAGCAGAAATTTAAATGTTTGCTTTGCGCGTCGATTCATTGATATTTTTCCATAAGACTTTCTCTGACACAATCAGTCTTGCCTTGCCAGAATTTGTGCTTAATGGTTTTAATTGTGGAGGATTTTTTTTTTTGGGGAGGATGGGGGAGGGCAAAATTTCAGCAACTGACGTGGGTTTGAACTCAAGCTGGTACGTTTCGAGCTGTTCGCTCATGCAAAGTCAAACAAAAGGCACGTATAGACCAAGTTTCGCCTCGAGATTACGGATGCCAAGAACGAAAATCCCATTGTTCCAATGCGACCGTTTAAATGAAAAATTTTGCCTTTTAATTTAAGAGGCATGTACTTTTAATAATATCGATTAGTATTCAAATAATTTGAATTCGCCAAGTTTCGTGGCCAATGGATGTGCCATCATTGAAATTAATACTTAATTTTAACAACTAGACATTTAAAATATACTCAGCAATTATTTTTGTATGCAAGCAAAATAAATTCGTCCTTTAAAAAGTTTCATCTCATCTTTCGAACATGCAAGTGCGAGTCGGGCATTTTTAGAAAATATTTTTTTTCCTATCAAGTGAATTCTTAATTTTTTTCATCATTTCAGCGTAGGAGGTTTTCTTTGCTTCAAACGTTTTTCGCTTCAAACAAGCACCCGTACATTCAGCAGAGTCGGGCGAATTCTCTGTAATTTCAGAGTAATACATCTAATACGCGTGTACGCGCGTTGCCTTTAGCAGCCTTGTAAAAGTAAAATACATCGACGCGCGCCCTTTTGGCGAATAAAGCAGCTTTGAGCACGTAAACCAACACTCGAGCTTTTGCATTCGCAGGCGTGTGGGTCGCGCCGCTCGATTTCGGAGCAGCATTCGCGCGTATCGAAGTAATATATTTATAGGCGTAAAATAATAAATTCATGGTGAGGTGTGCAGTTGGCGAGTTGGCGCGAGTGCGTATATGTACAGCCGAACGTTTATAATCGATACATCGAGGCAGCGACGACGGCGTGGCGTACGTATACGCAACGCGAGAATTGACGCAAATCATGCTGCACACACGTGTACTATGCGCACGCAATTACACGTACGCACAGCTGGTGGCCGCGTACACGCAGCGAGGCAAACATTAGCGTAATAATAATCCATCTTTCTCGAATATCAATCCGAGCGCGTAGTTCTCGCTGCACGAAGGCAGCAGCAGGGACGCGTCGATCGATCGATGCGTGTGTGCACCCGATCCTTGCCCGCGTAGTCTCCACGGTGCGCGGCGATACCGTTCAGCAAAAAAGCGCACACGAGTCGACTTTTTTCTTCCCGCGTGCGCAATTATAATCCAACCTGCGCGTATATTTTTTTCTTTCCAAAACAAGCGCCACGAGAAAAATAAAGCGAACGAGGAAAAAGCTAGAAAAATAGAGCTGAAAGAGAAAGAGAGATACGGAAAGTCGATAGTTTTCTGCGCTCTCGGTGGCCTAGACACAGTCGCAACTAATCCGTTCTTGGCATGGGCAATGAGCATTAGCTCGCAGGGTAAAAAAAAAGAGCTGAGAGAAAAAAAAACAACAAATTGACCGTGACATTTGAATGCGCGCACGCATACGCGCGAATATATGTGAAAAAAGAGAAATAAATAGAAATAAAATGCAGGAACATTGTTTTTCTGCTGCATTTATCGTGTATGTGCATGTCATTTAAGCGCGGGAAAATGATCGATGGCGCGCGCGGCTGCTCGTCGGTGAGGCCGCTGCTGCCGAGTCTCTCTCTCTCTCTCTCTCTATGACCTTGGCAACGGCTAGCGAAGCTCGTGCATCTCGCAGGAATTTCTCGTCGTGTTGTGTGGAGGCTTTTGAAGCTGCGTTAGAGGGTGGCATTAGGCACGCTAATGAGTGGCTCGGCCGATCGTGCCCACACGCAGGCCACGACAAAGAGAGCCCCGAGCCGATTGTTTTGCACGCACGCACAGGAGAGGAGAGTCAGCAGCTTCGAGCGGTGAACGAGGGCACGAATGGAAAAGGCGCGGGGCAGCAGCGGCTCTCTTTGTATTTCTCGAGCTATCTCGCTCTCGGCATCGCTGGCTATGGCTTATGAGCGAGGGTGTGGCGGTGGCGCGGCGGTGTGTACATCGTTTCTCGCCCGCTCGCTCGCTCGCACGGCGACACACTTTATATAACGCGCGACTCTGTCATTGTGTACGTGTGTACCTGTGTGTGTGCGTGTATTATATATCGTGTACGTGTCGCGCAGCTCAATCTCTAGCTCGTCCCAAAGAACTTTATCGTAAGAGCTCGCCCGAGCGATTATTATCGCGATCATCGCAACGCGAGGGTTGGGCTTTCGGTTTAATTAAGCCGATACCTTATACAGCTCGCGCGCACTTGTTACCTTATTTTTCTCTCTCTCTCTCTCTCTATTTCGAGCGCTGAATTTCTTTTTCATTCGACGCGATGCGCGCACACCTTTTTGCTTTTTATTTATTTTCCATTTTTTTTTCTCTCCATTTTTCTATGTTTTTCCCCTGAAATCTGAGCACGCGCGGAATAATTTCATTCGTCGGATGCGCGCCTGGCTCGTATCTCTCGCTGCCTCTGCTTCTGCCAGCGCTGCAACAAGTACAAGCTCGCTTGTACAAGCGAAAAAGTCCCCCGCTACGCTTTTTCCGCAGCAGCGGCGGTGTCGACACGTATAACTACGCCACTGTTTACCCCTTACGTTTTCTCATTATTCATGCTACGCCGGAGCATGTCGTGCTTTTATTTTCACCTGTTTACGCGTTTTTCTAGCGAAATTTTTAGATGCACGAGCGAACGGTAATGTGTGGGCGCGTTTAAATGCAATTGTCGTGTCGTTGCTTCCGAACGACTATAGGGATGCGCGCAAAAAAGAAAACACTGGCCGAGCTTACGCCGCAAAACTCGGGGGCGAAGGGCGGGGCGAAGCGACTCGTTACATATATTATACATTCCTAAACACGCACGAATCGCTCAAAGGGCGCAATATCGATGTATAATAAACATAATGCGCGTCAAGCTCGCTCTGATGGGGCACACGCTCGTATATCAAAAGCGCAAATTAAATTTCACTCGGATCGGAAATAGCGTCGCGCGCTCGTATATGTGTATACGCGGTGCGGCCAGACGACATGCAAATATTTGCGTGCGCGCGGCCAAGAAAGACTTTTGGAGCTGAGGCCGCCTCGACGAGCGTATATGGGCGAGCTTTCAGCTCGTCAAATATTTATGGCTAGGCGTGTGTTTTTGTGCGTGTAAACGCCATGAGGGGGATGGAATATAAACGCGTCGAGTATAAAGCGAAAAACAAGGGAATATGGCTCAAACGTGTGCGCGATAAAAAAATACGAGCGCGAGCTACCTACCGCACTACTTACTCACGCGTTGAAGGACTGGCAAAAGCTTCGCGGGGACGGCTTATAAGGCGCGTGTGCGTCATGACGTTGAGTTATTTTTTCGCGCTCGGCAAGAAAAATTTGATTGAAAATACGTGTTGAAATTTTGCTCGGGCTTAATAATATTCCTCACAGTGTCGAGTCTGCGCGTGCGTGTATACCGGATATAATACACTTTCAAAGTATACTTCGCTATTCTCTGCCTGCCGTTTACTTTGAACTTTGTTTACACTTGAAACGTAAAAAAAAGAGAAACAAAAAATACACACATCCAATTAACTAAAGTAACAACCCCCGCGCCCGGATCTCTACGTATGGCACATTGAGCTTTTTTAAAGCGCAGTACTTCTTGTAAAACGACCCTCTCTCGCACGCGGACACTCAAAAGTTTAAGCAAAATATCAAATTAACTCTCTCTAATGTACAGCGCGTTGTTTTTTCGCGCGATAATAAATATATATTTTTCTATTTTTCTTTGGGAAAGTAGCACAAGGTAACAAGGCGACTCTCCTTTTATATGTGCTTTACCGTTTTCACGCGTGTGCACACCCGCACCCATTCATATGTGGACAAAGTAAACGATGATTTAAATTTTCCTCTCTTCTCCGCCCGTTTATCTTAGACGGTATAATATTAGTGTTGCGCACAATAGGCCAATTTCATTTATTAAGGAAACGTATTTTTACGCCTAGGAACGCCGATGAAAACTTTATTTCAACATAAATAAAAGAGATGGTGAGTGCGTTATTTTTTCCTCCAAAGTATGTATGTAGCGTACGTCAGCTCGAAAGAAAAGCGAAAGTAAAAAATGCCTCGGTAGGACGAAAAGCCTAATTATCAACACACATGG